GGGTCCCATCAACTATGCTCTTACTCAAATCCATCTGAAAACGTCAGGATCGGTCGATTGTGCACCCGAAGGCCCCAACCTACGTTCACTTTAATTACGCGTACGGGTTTTACACCCAAACACTCGCATAGGCAATAGACTCCTTGGTCCGTGTTTCAAGACGGGTGGCTTAAGATCATTACGCCAGCATCCTAGCAAATGCGCGGTCCTCAGTCCCGATTGGAAGTATTTGATAAAGCTATAACACTGCAAGCAGCCACATTCAATACCTTTTATCCTCCCATCAAAACTGATGCTGGCCCGGTGTAAAGCGAGTACACATTCCCAAAAGAAAGTGGAACACTAAACACCATGTCTAATCTCAAGCCCTTCCATTTCAACAATTTCACGTACTTTTTCACTCTCTTTTCAAAGTTCTTTTCATCTTTCCTTCACAGTACTTGTTCGCTATCGGTCTCTCGCCAATATTTAGCTTTAGATGGAATTTACCACCCACTTTGAGCTGCATTCCCAAACAACTCGACTCGTCGAAAACATTCTACATAGACGTGCTACCTTCGCATCACGGGATTCTCACCCTCCATGATGTCCTATTCCAAGGAACTTGAGCAAAGACACATCCAGAATTGCTTTCTTCAAATTACAACTCGGCCTGTTGGCAGATTTCAAATTTGAGCTATTGCCGCTTCACTCGCCGCTACTAAGGCAATCCCTGTTGGTTTCTTTTCCTCCGCTTATTGATATGCTTAAGTTCAGCGGGTAATCTTGCTTGATACGAGGTCAAAAATATAGAAAAGCACATTGTGTCTAACATGTACTCTATCATCTTTTTCAAGGCTGGCTACAGCCCCAACACATAAATTGCTTTATGAAGATGAAATGACGCTCGCACAAGTATACTTCCCGGAATACCAGAAGGTGCAATGTGCGTTCAAAAACTCAATGATTCACGTCTGCAATTCACACTAACTATCGCGCTTTGCTGCGTTCTTCATCGATGCGAGAACCAAGAGATCCGTTGTTGAAACTTTTGATTTCGTTTTTCAGATATAATAGGTAAAATGGTTTTTGTTACATTGGCCTTTCGGCCAAGCAATTTAATTGTTTCACAGGTGTAATATGAATCTCAATAATGATCCTTCCGCAGGTTCACCTACGGAAACCTTGTTACGACTTGTACTTCCTCTAAATGACCAAGTTTGTCCAGCTTCTGCGACTTCGTTGCGGTTGCCCACAAGTGAATTCGCATCCGGAGGCCTCACTAAGCCATTCAATCGGTAGTAACGACGGGCGGTGTGTACAAAGGGCAGGGACGTAATCAACGCAAGCTGATGACTTGCGCTTACTAGGAATTCCTCGTTCAAGAGCAAAAATTGCAAAGCTCTATCCCCAGCACGACGCAGTTTAACAAGATTACCCAATCCTCTCGGACAAGGTTATGTACTCGCTGGCTGCGTCAGTGTAGCGCGCGTGCGGCCCAGAACGTCTAAGGGCATCACAGACCTGTTATTGCCTCGAACTTCCATCGAATTGTCTCCGATAGTCCCTCTAAGAAGCTGATACTCAACAAATTGTTGACCCAGCTATTTAGTAGGTCAAGGTCTCGTTCGTTATCGCAATTAAGCAGACAAATCACTCCACCAACTAAGAACGGCCATGCACCACCACCCACAAAATCAAGAAAGAGCTCTCAATCTGTCAATCCTTATTGTGTCTGGACCTGGTGAGTTTCCCCGTGTTGAGTCAAATTAAGCCGCAGGCTCCACTCCTGGTGGTGCCCTTCCGTCAATTCCTTTAAGTTTCAGCCTTGCGACCATACTCCCCCCAGAACCTAAAAACTTTGATTTCTCACGAGGTGCCGAATGAGCTAAAATAACTACCCATCCGATCCCTAGTCGGCATAGTTTACGGTTAAGACTACGACGGTATCTAATCGTCTTCGATCCCCTAACTTTCGTTCTTGATTAATGAAAACATCCTTGGCAAATGCTTTCGCAATAGTTAGTCTTCAATAAATCCAAGAATTTCACCTCTGACTATTGAATACTGATGCCCCCGACTGTCCCTATTAATCATTACGACGGTCCTAGAAACCAACAAAATAGAACCATACGTCCTATTCTATTATTCCATGCTAATATATTCGAGCGAAACGCCTGCTTTGAACACTCTAATTTTCTCACAGTAAATGGCCTGACCTTTCTGCCACGCGGTTAAACGCAACAGACGTCCAGGCAAAAAGAATCAAGAGTTCCAGTACGCACCGTGAGGTGGACCAGACTCCCAATCCCAAGTTTCAACTACGAGCTTTTTAACTGCAACAACTTTAATATACGCTATTGGAGCTGGAATTACCGCGGCTGCTGGCACCAGACTTGCCCTCCAATTGTTCCTCGATAAGTGGTTTAAATTGTTCTCATTCCAATTACAAGACCAAAGGCCCTGTATCGTTATTTATTGTCACTACCTCCCCGTGTCAGGATTGGGTAATTTGCGCGCCTGCTGCCTTCCTTGGATGTGGTAGCCGTTTCTCAGGCTCCCTCTCCGGAATCGAACCCTAATTCCCCGTTACCCGTTGATACCATGGTAGGCCTCTATCCTACCATCGACAGTTGATAGGGCAGAAATTTGAATGAACCAGCGCCAGCACAAAGGCAATGCGCTTCGAGAAGTTATCATGAATCACCAAAAAGTCCGAAGACATTGGTTTTTTATCTAATAAATACATCCCAGACGGGATTTTACGCATGTATTAGCTCTAGAATTACCACGGTTATCCATGTAGTAATGCACTATCAAATAAACGATAACTGATTTAATGAGCCATTCGCAGTTTCACTGTATAGATTGCTTATACTTAGACATGCATGGCTTAATCTTTGAGACAAGCATATGACTACTGGCAGGATCAACCAGATAACTATCTTCAACAGTCAAGAGACTGCCTAGTTTCCGAAGAAACATAGTTTTTCAAAGTTCGTGTTTCCACCCAGTCTCTGCATTGTCAGTTGTTACACTGCCAACACATCAACTGCATCCAATTGCCTTTTTGAGTTCCTCAGTTATAGTCCGCTAAGCAAAGCTTAGCATCAATAACTTGAGAGGAGGTTTCTGTCTACAAATCACGACTAAAGTCGGCTATCTGTAGCAGCATGCCCCCGAGTGTTTTCCTGTAAATTCTTGCCATCGGCTAGTAATCCACAGAACCCATCAGTGCTTTACATAGCGCAGTGCTTGTAAAGACCCTTCAGGTTAACACCTTTGTAAGGTTGTGCTTGAGATTTCGCCGTTAAACGAATCAACTCTTTTCACAACCAAACTAGGCTGCGTTTGAAAAGAAACCAGACTGACCGTTTCCGATTTCATCTTTTGCTTTTTCAAGCTTTTATTTTCTTTTCATGAAGGTCATTTTGGCATTATTTAAGTCAAACTTCTGCAGTCGTAATGTAAACCTGCATAATTCTGACCGAAGTGCTTAGTCGAAAAGTCGAATGGAAAGCAGGAATCGAATAATTTGTTACTCCAGAACGAGAATTCTCATTCTTTAGTTTGTACGTATCGTTTTGGTTAATATTGGTATCTACTATGGCTCACATCATTGTAGTAGGGATGTGATCACCTCCACTTTTAAACATTACGGATCTACGCGACTTATTTACCTGGTGCAACGTCGAGGACTCGGTATATAAATTAAAACTAAGGAAACTTATGCGTCGGTCAAGCGTAGCATTGAGGTCAAAAGTGGATTATAGTATGTTTCGACTACTGATAAGTTTCTCCTTCTTCGTGCTTTCCATTCTGAACATTTGAAATCTTGGTCTGTGCAAACGCTTATTCATGACAAAATCGAAAGCGTCCACGGTAGAGTCCTTCAACTATTCCGTTGTATCTCGACACGACAAGCAGCTTTCGCAAATATTTTTCACATCGCCTATTTGTGAGGTCTACGAATATGATTCTGCTGCTGGGAGCTGGAATAAGAAGGATTGCAAGGGTACATTGTTTCTGTATTCGAGAATTACGCACGACGAGTATCCATACGCAGCTCTTGTTTTGAACCGACAAAGCAACGACGATTTTAAAATGGGAATTACGCCTTGGGCTTTGAGCGATAAGACAAGTATACACAAGATGGAGGTAGAGCTTAACGACAGTCTCCTAGTAATCCATGCGGGGCCGGAAGAAATTTATGGCTTGTGGCTTTTCAGTGAAGACGATAGAAGAACATGTCTCTCGATGATTGAGTGGTGCTTGAGTAAAGGCTCTAATAGCTGAATATTATGATTAAAACGCATGGGAGGTGGCCAAGCAGAGGCAGGACCTTGGAACAGGTCTCCCAGTAGAAAAACTCAAGCAATTGTAGTCTAAAATGTTTGTTTCTCCACAATTTACTCTTAAAAATTTGACACTCAAATATATAGCATTGGATCTTGCCGTTTGCTTTATAAACAGTGCTCCACAAGCTTTGAGAGCTTACGACATGAGATCTGGATGATGAGCGACACCACGAGCGAAGATCACTACGAGTTCAGCGATCAATTTGACGATGATTTTGACCTCCAGGATCCTGGAAATTTCGATTCAGACAATAATTACTTCAATATAGTGAACATGGAGCACGTCAAAGCGAGTGAACGCAGGACCGTAGCGGAAATTGCAGACCTGTTTTCTATAATGGTTCCCATGAGTACCATACTTCTCATGGCGTATTTCTGGAACAGAGAAAAGCTCTCAGAAGAATACATTGAGGGGAGGGCGTTGGCTAAGGTGGGGCTTACCGACGCAGATCTAGAAGTGCAGAGGAAATCTGGCCAAAAGGTTCAGTGCTCCCCACGCACATGCCCTATTTGCTGCGATACGTATACTAGGGGGTTTCAGCTTGCGTGCAAACACACTGCATGTATCAAATGCTATGAAAGATACCTGGGAGAGAAATTAAGCTCTGGTGATTTGCTTTCGACTCGGTGCCTGGGTCAGCATGACTGCAGGCTAGTCGCTACATTAGATGATTTCCGTGAGCTTAGCAAGGACTTGGAAAGTGGTTATCTTGAAAAGACTGCTGCTAGCTACCTTCAAAGTCATAGCTCGTCGTTCAAAGCTTGTCCGGGACCGGGCTGTACGTCCATCATCGAGCTTACATCCAGTCTTGCTATGCTAGATCTTGATCAGTACATGGTTGAGTGTTCATGCGGGAAAAGGTTTTGTCTTGGCTGCAAGAATGACTGGCACTTGCCCATTAAATGTGACTTGGCTAGTAGGTGGATGAATATTAATGGCGAGCGAATGAAAAATAATTTATGGCTGGATAAAAATACGAAACCCTGCCCCAAGTGCGAAGCGAGAATAGAACGAACGGAGGGTTGTAATCATATGAAGTGTAGGACCTGCCACTTTGAATACTGTTGGATGTGTATGCAAGAATGGTCGGCTCACAATGGAATGTTTTTCAAATGTGTGCACTTTCAGCCTTCGGCGGAGGCTAAACATTCAGGAAGAGCTACGTCTGCCCGTCTTAAGCATTATTCGATAAGGTTTGACTCTAACATCATAGATTCAAGACGTGATGTGAATGTTCGTGATCTTACGTTCTCATCACAACAAGTTCTCAACAAAGCTGTGCCAACACTGTCATATACACGACGCATCTTAGCTTGGACATACGTGTTACTTTTCTATGTGACAGGCTCGAACCAGAAAACGATTCTCGAGACAAGTGTGTCCGATATTGAATCGCATGCCGAGACTTTGGCTGAGCTGTTAGCAGGAGATGAGCAGGCAGCAGCACCCTGTTTAGAGCTTTCAGGCTATTTAGAGACTAGGGTGGAAAATCTCATTACTCACGCTCTTGAAACTAATTGGAAGCTGGACAGAAACTCTTTAACATACACACCTAGTTAAAGTCAATAATCGCCTTCTAGAGCGGTACTGTCGCTTGTAAGCTTCTTGATGTAATGGTTGGTTCCAACGAACAAAACAACTGCAGCAACAACCATGACACCGATAATCCCCCAGAACCATATAGGATCTTGTTCTCCGGGAACTTGAACGTTCATTCCCCATAAACCAGGCACTAGATTCAAGGGAATCAAGATTGTTCCAAGAATGGTGACCTTACTCAAAATGAGCGTCATTCTATTGTTTGAGTTAACAAACTCAAGCTGCAGAATACCCATATAGTTCATGTGGCAACGGCTAAGAATTTTTTCCTGAGCGCTGAGAGTATGGTGCATAGACACCAGATGGTCTTCGATATCTCCCAAGAATAGAGAAATATCAGTCGTGTCAGTGGTCTTACCCGGCATCATGGCCCATTGCTCTTGAACTCTTTTACCAAAACTGTGAATGACATCTGCTTTTCCGGTTATCAAGCGCAACACTCTCATAACAATATCGCGTGTTTTACCAAGACGACTTAGAACGGAGCCCATGCCACCAGAGGTGTTTCTCTTGGTGAACACTGCCGATTCAATCAAAGCCACTTGGTCCTCCACACCTTCAAGCACCGGTACAAACGAGTCTGTTATAGCGTCAATCAAAGCATAACAGATCCAATCGGGAGAAATATCTATGTACCCCTTCAGCTTCTTCATTCGCTCACGCACGTGGTAGCAGTGGTCCAAAGGAGAAAAATGGAAAGTGAGGATACCGTCATCATAAACAATAATGTAAAAAGTTGTAGGAAGTAGGTAGGTTGGATGATCCTCAGAGGTCCCAAACGTGTTGAAAACGATAAAGTAGTAATGCTTGAACAGTTCGAATTTCTCTCGAGACTCTTCAGCACGAATATCCTCGGCAGTAAGTGGGTGTATTCCGAAGGCACGACTCAGCACTTTGAGTTCTCTATCAGTAGGGTTGAAACAGTCTAGCCACCAAACACCATTTTGTTCATTGAACAAAGACGAAAAAGAATCATTTTCTGCGACCAACGAGGAGAGAGACTCAGCTCCGATAGTGGAGTCCATATTTGTTGCAAAAAAAGTGAAACGGTTTGTTTCGGTGCCGTCGGTAGTCTCATCACTATCGCTGACGGTGGCTACATGAATGTTCCCTTCTTTTGTGAATTTCAAAGGTGCGGCACTTCCACATGCTGATTCAAGACCGTCGCGATCAGTTTTACCGTAACAAAACTGATTAGCATCTTCGCAAAATGGGCGGTCATGCTCATTCGTGCTGGAGCAGATCGAGGAATTGTCTTGAAGATACTGATCAAGCATATCTAAGTTCACCTCTTTTCGATCGCGATTCTCAGTAGGGAGGCAGACATCATCGCCGACAACACTACTAGTTTCACCGACATTCCAATTGAGACTCAGTGGGGCCATTTGACCAGATTTTAAAGAAACAGCCCCAGATTGCCTTAAGCTGCGGAAGTTCTCAATGTCTGATGAATTGCTATAACGCCTGCCGGATCTGCCGGATTTGCAAGAAGCCATACTAAACGAGGACTGCCTGGATCTTGGTCGGTGTATCGCTATGCTACACTGGGGATCATGAACTTCACCCAGAGCAGCATCAGCTCTAGAAGTAGAGAAGCTGACTCGCTGGTCACGGCCTTCGATAGGTTTCTTGTTAGAGTCCTTTGCATGCATTTTGTTTTGATGTTACTGCTTAGTTCAAGCAGGGCTCCCTCGCCATTGAATGATTGCAAATTTCTTTGAATGGAAAGTTTCCCATTCGTGTTGAACAGATACAGACGAAGTAATTCAAGACATCTGCTGATCCGCTACACTTTAAATATTGAAAAGTCCCCTCTCGGGCTGTCGATCCATCCTAAGGGTAAGGGCTTGAAGCTAAATTTGACGGTAATCATGAAAAAAAAAAGGTCGACAGTGACAAACCAGATAGATCTGAAAAGTTAAACTTGTCTTATTTTGTTTTTGTTTATGAAAGTACAGATATACAAGCTACGAGCGCTTACCGCTTATTTTCTCGTTCCAAATCTCCTGCAGAAGTGGGGTCAGATGAAAGCATCGGTGTTGAGTCATCCCATTGCTCGCGAGAAAAATTTCCGATCCTTAATTTGATAGGTTTTGTTCTGCTAATTGCTTCGTAAAGTTAAACTTGTCTTATTTTGTTTTTGTTTATGAAAGTACAGATATACAAGCTACGAGCGCTTACCGCTTATTTTCTCGTTCCAAATCTCCTGCAGAAGTGGGGTCAGATGAAAGCATCGGTGTTGAGTCATCCCATTGCTCGCGAGAAAAATTTCCGATCCTTAATTTGATAGGTTTTGTTCTGCTAATTGCTTCGTATAAATGCCAGTTTTTTTCTATTTAAGTCAATTAAGTTTAAGCATGCTTGTATATTCACAAATAGCATCAGTTTGGCTAGGATTCCTCGCAATCTTCGGAATCTGCGATCTAGGATCTGCGATCTGCGATCTGCGCTAAGATTTGCGATCTTTACAAGCTGGGCCGTGTATAGTATATAATTGTCTAAAGGCTTAATTCTATAAGATACTAATAATCAGCTATTGCCAAAATTTGTGTCAATAAGTAAGAGTCATGTAAAGTTTATTAAATATGGGCTTCAGCCATGCTCGCGCATTTGGGGTTGGTGACGTAGGATGAAAGGAGTTGTCATCGGCCTAAGCGCGTAATATACGTATTCGCAAGATATAATAATGTGCAAATCGTGAATACCACAACTGCAAAGATTCCGAAAAACCAATCCAGGTTCTCAACACCCTCGCCAGGAACTTTGACGTTCATGCCAAACATACCTGTAACTAAGTTCATGGGCACCAAAACGGTTCCAATCAATGTGACTTTGCTCAATACGGTCGTCATTCTGTTGTTCGAGTTGACGAATTCTAATTGGAGCACACCCATGTAATTGAAGTGACAGCGACTCAGAATTTTTTCATAAGCCGTGAGATTCTGGTACATCGAAACCAAATGGTCCTCGATATCGCCGAGGAAAAGCGCAATATCGCTTCCATTATTTTCGCTTCCTGGCATAGTGGCCCAGACTTCTTTACATCTTTTCGCAAATCCACGAATCACCTCAGCCTTTCCTGTAAGAAGGCGTAACATCCGCATTGTGACACCTCGAGTCTTGCCGAGGCGATCGAAAATCGTGCTCATGTCGCGAGAATCACCCTCCTCACGAACAAAAACAGCATTTTCTATGAAATCAACTTCCTGCTCGATATCATGAATAATAGGGGCGAAAGTATCTGTGATATTATCGATCAGCGCATAGCAGATCCAGTCGGGCGTCACATCGACATACTCACGGAGCTGTCTCATACGTCGACGAACATTGCGGCAATGGTCCACTGGACTGAAGTGAAATGATAGCACACCATCATTATACACGATGATGTAAAAGTTGATCGGCTCAAGATATTCAGGGTCGTCTTTACACGTTTCGAACGTGTTGAAGACCACAAAATAATAATTCTTGAACAACTCAAACTTTTCTCTTGACTCTTCGGTGCGAATGTCTTCTGACGTCAGAGGGTGTATACCGAACGCACGAGAAAGAATTCTCATTTCGCTTTCAGTAGGGTTTTCACAATCCAGCCACCAAATGCCATTATTCGAATTGAACAAAGAGGCAAAAGATTCGTCGGGACCAACCAAAGAGGCTAAATCACTGGAATGAGTAGTCGAATCCATCTGAGTCGCAAAGAAAGAAAACCGTGTTGAGGAATCTGAATTTTCAATCTGAGGCTCTGGCAGCTCTAAATCGGGCATACATTCGTGACGCCTAGAAAACATGAACGGAACACGAAGTTGAGCAGGGCTTTTGAGAACATCCTCCTGCAAAGTGTCAGGGGACTCCGTGTTGGGCGACTCCTCCACTTTTGTTTCCAGGGAAGAATGCTGCCCATTATTATCTGGGCCCTCGCCCTCGACAGCTGGTTTATCTTCTTCATCGGTCAAGTCGTTTAAAAGTTGATCAAGTTCTGTAATATTCACACCATCATGGCTTGCGTCGTCGTTAAATGGGAAACACACGTCCTCCTCCGTATCATTGGCCCCGTCAGACTCATGGTCGCTTTCGACAAAGACTGAGCGCGGCCTGGAAATTTTCGAATTAGATGAGGCTCCAGAGCGGATAGATGATCCTGAAAGACCACGAGGCCGTCGTCTTTGAAAAGAAAATCCCCTTGTGCTTCTTGTTTGTGACTGGTTTGTGGACATACTAGAGACCGATCTCCTAGAAAGTTTACGCTGAAGCTCCAATCTTCGATCTCCATCGTCCGTAACATCTGCTTCATGGGATTCGACCGGAGGAGCAAACAAAATACGCACACTACTGCTTGGGGCAGCAGAGTTGGCCGCTTCCTCGGGAGTAGACTCACTCGGGGTCATTCTGCCCTTTTATTCGCAATGCTTAAACCTGCGACTACTTATCGCATCGAAAAGTGGTTACTCGACAATCAGAAGCAATTAGGGCGCTTCTGTGGTACTTTTTTCCTGGCTTGTTGCTAAGTCGTCACGGAAGAAAATCTTCCATATAATTTCTGCTCTAATATAAGCAATGCACGTGGTGTGGCAGGGCCAACTGGGTGAAAAGAATAGGGTCTGGGCAGCGCTACTGTTACAGAAATCACTTGGACAGAGAGTTCGATGAATGAACAGTGAAATATTTTGAATACACGATCAAAGGGAAGTATATGGGAGTAATTTGGGGGCTAGCTACAATGGGAAAGCATCCGAGTTAATACAAGATGGTTAGTAGCACGGTGGAGCGCCTTCTAAACGGGGTAAGGGCAGATAATACACTGGGCAGAAGCGCGCCGAAGGGGTCGTGACTCCGTTCCGAGACTCGTCTCATTTTATTAGAAACTCAATCCCAACATTCGAACATCTTCGATACAGAGCTGAAGCCAATGCGCTGTTCGCGTTGATACTACGATTCGAGTGACTGATCTGTCCGAGGTTGCATGCGGTGGCTGCATTGGGATTACAAAAGAATGCCCCCTCTCGTATGTTTCTAGGCGCCCAATCGAAAGTAGCCGCGGCTCCCCGTTATCTGATAAAACTTAGTGAGAACAACTTTTCAGTAGCCAGACCCTATATATTCTGTGGTTGAAGCATACAACAGCAGCGCAAAGCTACTTTCACCTTTTCTAATACATTTTGCAATGGGGCTTGGCTCCAGAGACTCTTCATAAACGAACAATTGCTTGAATACTATACGTTTTAAGAGAAAGTTCTACTGAATTCATGCGTTTGCAAGCTGCATTGAACATGACATGGATCGTGAAGGAATCACTCAGAAGTCCGCTGAGTAATGTCTTCTGCGAGGTCTTTATAGACCGAAAAGTTTCAATCGACTAAGCATGGCAGATCACAGTAGAAAAAAAATCAAACTAGGCGCTTTAGTCGAATGCCTAAAAGGTGGAGAAGACAAGCTCGCGCTCAGCGATGCTATCGATGCTTTGCAACTGTTTATTCAGATTAATTTCACTGGTCCGGCTGTTGACCTCAGTGAATTTGAAGATCTGCATACAGAGGAGCTTAGCGTTGATGGCGAGCCTGTATCTCAGCTGGCGAATATGCCGCAGCTCTTGGTTGCATCAATCAACGCCTTCGAAGAACTTAACCATCCTATTTGGCTGGCGCGTGCACTCGTAGTTCAGCAAAGCCTGCTCTCTAATTGCTCTGGATCTTTGCATCAGCGAGTTGTCGAACTTTATTCGGAGAGTAACATAGAGGAGTTTGCCTCTTCTGAAGAAGAACACACAATTTTGTTAGCAGAACTAACGAGAGCCTATTTATTGTTTGACGATCATACGAAGGCTAAGGAAACACTAGACCAAGCCATGTCCTCGTCGGGTCTCATTACTGCAATCACTGGTATTAAGGGCAAACGCACAAGGTTTCAGCAGCATGAAACGGCACAACTGGTATGCTTAGCAGTGAGCAAGTTCGAGGCGTCTGGAGTTCATCATGCCCCAAAAGCGCTTGAGCTCAACTCAGATATTTTTTTGGAGAAGCCCGATCTTGGGTCGCAGAGCGAACTTGATTCCTCTCTGCCTAAAGAGCTGTTGAATGTTGATCCCAACAATCAGCCTCCGCTTAGGAACATTGATTCTGTATTGCTGCTATTGTGGAGCGAGTACCTGCGCCGAAGTAGTCCTGCAGATGACTCCCTTCTTCGTGAGCAGCAGCGCTGTTTAGTCAATAGGGTGATTGGCAACTCAGAGGGCTCAGTAAATTGGTCAGTGTACAGCAGAGCTCTTTGGATTCGCAGCATTCTGGAGTCTCATTCATCTCACACGGTTGAAAGAGGAACTCTACAGATGCAAGCATTGGTGGAAGAATTAGGCTATGGCCAACAAAACTATCTCGGTGGTATAGATACATCTGACAATGGTGGAGAGAGACTAGAGTTCATCCATCAGTTGACCCCTTTGCCGCATTGGGCCATGGATACTGTTCTTGCAGAGCGATACATGTCACTTGGTGTCGTCAAATCTGCAGTGGAGATATACGAGAGATTAGGACTGTGGGGCGATGCTGCTCTATGCTATGCGTTAGTTGGACGAGAAATGAAAGGACTTGAGGTCCTTGATGCCCACTTGTCTAAACACCCTGAGGATGCAAGAGCGTGGTGCATTAAAGGCGATATCACAGTTGACCCCCAATACTGGGAGAAGGCATGGGATGTTGGCCGTTATGCACCATCAATGAGATCTCTTGGAAGATACTATTTCAGCCCGCCAAAAGATTCAGGGTATGCTCGGAATTTGGACAAGGCTGCTCACTGTCTTCGGGAATCTTTGACTGTCAACAATCTAAGCTATGACGCTTGGTTCACTCTCGGGTGTATAGAAATTGAAAAGGAAGCATGGCATTCTGCAGCGGAAGCTTTCACACAAGCCGTTGCGATCAATGACGAGGATACCAAAAGCTGGAGCAACTTGGCAAGCTCATTACTCCAATTGCAAAGAACACGCCAGTCTTTATACGCTCTCAGGCAAGCAATCAAAGCCGATAAAAACAAGGAACCCAATTGGAGAGTCTGGAGTAATCTTATTACAGTAGCGGCTGAACTCAACGACTGGGATGCTGTTGTCGAGGGTATCAACCAAATGCTCAACCTACGATCTGACAAACAAGATAAGTTCATCGACCCGGCGGTTCTCTACGAAGTTATTTTTGTATTTGTTTCGTCAGAATACTCAGGCTCTGCTTCTCAAGAATCTTTCGTCGAGCTGATCACCACTAAACTCCCTGATGTGATTACATCGGATCCGGGTTTATGGAGACTCGTCGCCCGAGTTGATATGTGGCGCAAGAGACCTTGGGATAGTCTTGCAGACTACGAGAAAGGGTTCCGTATCTGCGCACATATGCCTGATCTAGAAACCAACGAGGAGACTTGGAAGGAAGCTGTGAGTTTCTGCTCAGACCTAATTGATGCGTATCAAAACCTAGGAGAGCTACCAGGACGAATAGAAGGCAGTGTAGTTTGCCCTGATTGGAGGTTCAAAGCCAGAACAGCCGTCAGAAGCCTAATGAGCAAAGCCAAGCTGTTTTGGGAAGACACACCCGAGTACGAGAGACTCAAAGAGCTCAAACAGCAATGCACGTAGAATAGCCATAGAAGCATAAATAGTTATTTTACAATTACTCGAATGTACTTAGAGCTCGGCGTTGATATCCTCAATGGCAGAGACTTCTTGCTGCCTAGCGGCCATCTTACTGTACGAGCTGTTGAGGGTGCGGGTCTTGATGAGTTGCCACTTTGAGCGGATAAACTCGGGTGTGTTGGGTTGGGATAGTTTCTCGTCAACGAACTTGAAAAGGTCTTCAAGAGATTCTCTTGCAATTGGTGCAAACATAAGTCTTACCCGGTAGAACACAATGTAAAACCCAAGGGAAATGGCAGAGAAAGGCCGAAATCTCAAGCAGTCATAGAAAAGCTGGACAAACATGAAAAGATTGATATAACCGATGGCCTTACTGACCCGATAAGAAAAGTGTTCGATGTACCAATTGAACGCACGTGTAGTTTTATCCTTGTGGGAAATGTACACACTCGAGAAATCCATTACGTGCATAAATGAAATTGGCAAAAACTGGGATAACTTGGTGACATGTTTGGGCGATATAAGCCAGATTGCAGCCAGCATAAGGTACTGGAACGTTTCAACCGGAAGCAAAGCAAAGAACCCGGGAAGCTCCCCGGATAATTGTTGGCGTAAACTCATTCCATATGTAACAAGAGCTGCCACAAATGTAGAACGGTACAGCAGCATAAAAATTGGGCGCTTTCCTTGCAGCGTCACGCCAGCGAGAATCCCTACAATTGCAGAAATCGTAATGAAAAAATGTCCAATCGCCCACACCCATTGTAGAGGTGTGATAGTGTCTGTCTTTTCATGTTTGCCTGTGGCATGAACCTGGGATTGACCATATTTCTTGGACCTCTCTCGCTCTCTCTGAATTTTACCCTTGAACTTCTCATATCGCTCGTGAGTTGCGCTCATTGTCAAGTTCACCAGTAAGTTTGGGAGCTCTTGGGCAATCAGGGTTAGGACGGCACGTTTGCTGGAGAGAGGGGGTTTTATATCAACTGAGGACAACGTTTTCGCTTAATCATCCGATTTTTCACATTTCGCAGAAATGTCAAGCCGTATACCGACCCCGGCACGACTTCAGGAGCTGTTTAGACTCCAGTGCTTTGTTTTTGGGAAAGTCCACAACCCAGAAGCCAAGCGTATTGGCACCAAAGTTCTGCGGGAAAGTTTGAAAGGGCCTCAAATCCGTAACTATTACTATCCCTCCAAGCAGATTTTACCCACACCTGCCAAACTTAATAAAATTTTCGGTAACTGGACCACTGTCGATCCCGAGGAGGAGCATCGTCTGGAGCGGAACGAGTATTTGCGCCGTAAAGGCAAAGGTGCGCCCAAGAAGCTGAAGGAGAAAAAAGTGATCGAGAAGAAACGCAAGTAACGAGGTTTCTTTTTCAGTTTTGCATCTTGTACATATTAAAAGAAGTTTTATACAGTCTTATTTCGATAGCCTGTTCGCGGAAGCCGTCTTGAACTCGGCATGCAATCTCCAGCGCTTTTGAATCACTTCTGCAGCCATAATGCGTTTAACCTCGTGGAGAACAAGCCTCAGTTTCAAATACTGTTTCAATGAGAGGCTCTTGAATGGGTCAAAATTCTGGTATAAAGGAATCGTTTTCAACGTTTTGTAAAAAGAAATAGAATTGTCGGTTGTGGAAAGAAACTTCATCTGAGCACATAGCAAGTTGTATTTCTCTCTTTTCCGTTTGAAATAATCAACTGGGAGTGCAGCTAATTCCTGATTTAGTGCCTTAATGTCCACCACATAAGGGTTTATCAGAGAGAGTCGAGCACCCGATCTGTTCAGGATTGCCGACACGCTGTACGCTCGATCATCAGAATAGATTCCTAACTTGTAGTAACCTTCAACAGATCCCAGAAATAAATTAAATTTATCCAAAGGAATGTAACCTGTTGCTTTCGGATCATAAATCTGCCAAGCCGCTTGAAACTGTGCGACGCTCTCATCAGGAATTCTTGAAACTGCGCGATGAAAAACTGGCCAGAACGTCTCGTAAATGAGCGAAATAAATAGATTGGCGAAAATGTACATCGAGGTAATGTTCCAGCTGATGAAAAGAATATAGGCCATTGTTTTGTCTCCGCAATCAGTTTCGTAAAATCCAGGATTCTGCACGCAGTAAGGAGAAGACACAAGGTAGTCAGTAAGAATCTGGTTCCAGCCTTCACCAGAAGACATCCGGGCCAAAAGGATGAGTGCTTTGGGGACCGTCCTGAAATTCTGCGCTGAACTACTATTTGGACCGATTCGAGTAAGACCAAACACTTGGTTTAAAGCGATCGCCCATGTCAAATATAGTACAAACCAAGTTTGCAACAGAGTGCAAATGTCCCAAATATTCGCCGTTGCCATCCCGAGAAGAGTTCTTAGTTGTTTGACGCGGGGAATCCACAAGGTGAGTACCAGTACCAGAAATCCACTTTGCAAATCTGATACAGTACTAGTGGGCGCCTGATAGAAGCAAGTGACAATCATCAAGATCAATGGCATGAGAAAGGCATACCACTGCCAGTAGGCTCTTCGGAATGCATCCCACCCGTTAGCCCAGAGCTTGATAGCCTCTAAAGCAGTAAACATGAAAGATGTAATGATGACCAGAATGAAATAAGCAGTCAAAATGGATAACTCCAAAGGTGCATGGAAAATACACATGGTCACTGTGAGAACGATAAGACACCATAGCTGTAGGGCTTCGCAGAGCGATCCATGACCACGAGCGAGTAATGTCACTTTGAATCGCAAACTACCAGGTTTCCAATAGGGGAGCTTGAGCAACGGATCCAGCGTTTTGAACTTACCAAGAGCGTATTTCCAAGAAAGCTGATCTTTGGTCATAAAGGCCGTTCCTTTTGCAAAAGTGTAATTGCGAACAATGATGGCAATAATCATAGTCATAATAATCACAGTGCCAACAAAATTCCATAAAATGGGGTAAAGGGCATTATAACGCCGGTAGAATGTAACAGGGTTCATGTCAATTTCAGTTATCCCCGTCACACTATTCAGGACATCGACCCAACCTTCTAGAGTCAACACGCCGAATGTTATAAATAGTGCATGACCAAATGTGTCAAAATCGAAATAAGGATTTGAGACTGCTCTTGGAGCCCAGACATCCCAAGCGTAGGGCGATGACAAGTATTCATCTACGCAATTGCTAAAGTTTTCAACGTTGCCATCATTGCAAGATTTCAAGCGATCGCTGAACATGTTTTTTGCCCACACCGACATTGGAAAAATAATACCGAGAGCGATAAAGGATGCCACTAGCAGCTGTTGGAGACCGCTAAAAAAGACAGACCTAAAAACTTCTTCCGACCTTGGATTCATTGAAAGCAGACGCAAAGCTCGCAAAGCCATAATCCCGCGCGAATACCTAGATGGACCATGCGACAGTTCTATTCCAATGGTTACCGTCATTGAAATCAAAACAAGCAAGTCAATGACATTCCACACACTATGCGTGTAGGCATTGGGCGTGTAATGAAACCCATCAGCAACGATTTTGATTAGGAATTCCATCAGAAAAATAGCTAGGAATACGATATCGGTGTAAACAAACCAGGTAAATGACCTCGTTGAAGTTCCAATTTCTGCACTGTGAACAAGCTGGTAAATTGGCGTATTGATGCATGAAAAAACCACCATCACAATGATCGCAGCCGTCAAGAAGACTGACAAGGGGTACCAGGTATATTTTGAAGGCTCTACACCACTTGCTCGAACGCCGTGCGCACATGGGTAGATCCGTTGGCAAAAGAGTCGAAGTTTGTTGTGACGACCAAAAATCCATAGTGTCCTATCAAAGCCTGGTGTGATATCGCCATATTCGACCATAAAAGTCTCAGTTCTGGCTCTCATAGTGAAGGCTTCAGATACGTAGAGATCAGGATCAGAACTTCCATGGTAGCCCCCTCTATTCGGGATTTGCTCCTTATAGCCTTCAGGGTGACGACTCAGAAATTTCACAATAGTTTTCCACAATGTTATTAAGGGACTGAACACAATATTAGTGGTTCCAAAGAGTCCGACTTCTGTAGCTGGTTCGTCTTCATCTGCTTTTTCGTTGGATGAGGCGAGAAACTCGGCAATGATTTTTTGCTGTAGCTCATCGTTTGTAACAGATATCTTTTGAGTGTGGGGTTTGGAAGCAGTTATTATGCCAATAGTTTTCCTTATCAAAGCTAAGATACCTGCACCCAACTCTGATCGCCATTTGTCTCGTCTGTCAGTAACATAACGATTAACAAACCATTCAACTTGTCTTTTCCTCAAGTTTTTTACTCTAGAAACAATGTTGTCAGTCATCACAGCGACGAACATGTTCATTAGAATGAAACTGGAGAAGAACAGCCATAAACAGAAGAATGCCGCTGAGCATGCCGACGCAACTGTTCCATTAATGTTGGCTGTAACGTAGAACAAGACGTCTGTCCAGTTTTCAGTTGTTGAGATTTGGTACATCCCAATGAACGAATTAGAAAGATCGAAAAACGAGACATAGGCAACTTCATCGTCTGAAGTGTAAGGCAAACTACCTTGGAAGATCTTCGCAGCTATAAGGGATGCAAAGAACACTGTTGCAAAGTAAAAGAGCGCAAGGAAGCAAATGGTAATATAATTACCAAGCACCATGGACCACATTTCTCTCGCGACTTTGAAAAAACCAATAATTCTGTAAAATCTCAAAAGTTGGAAAAATCCAAAAAATCCATAGACCGTCTTGTCGTTGTGGAAAGCCAAAATAATGAGGGTGAAAACTGCTAGGAAGGCATCAACAAGGTTGATCATTGAATAGAAAAACTCCCGCCACCTAGGAAAGTAAACGAAAAATCGAAATATGATGTCGATAGCCAAAGCTACAGTAGTAGCAATCTCGAAAGAGTACAAGAAATCGAGTCTTCTGTTGTCGGGAGCCCATAGCCCACCCCAGATCGCTTGGAACACAACATCGAGCACAATGAGAAGCAGGAAGAGGGGTTGACAAAATAAATAAGCACGGCCTTTTTTGGTGCTTGTGAAGACCTTGGAATGCTCAGCATTTGGTGTCTTCCAGAGCCTTGATCTATATCCGGACAACTTGCCTTTTACCAGATCGAAGCTCGTGGCCATAATAGCAACTAGAAGATTGATCAGCCAAAGATTTAACACTAGCACACCTGTGATAAAAAAAACCGAGGAAACCATATATTCGGCATCGATAATATCGTACATGATATCACTGTAAGTGTTCTGAGACATAATGATAAACACCACCTCTAGAGAGTTAAAGATATTGTCAAAGCTCAAAGTGCCCGACTCAGGATTCTCGACGGACTTGCACACACTGTGAGGCGGGCATGTGTAACCCTTCGCGCGTGCGGCGGGGCGTCCGTAATAATCCAATGCAGGTAAGATTTCGCCAGTCAACGGGTCATAGTAACCACCACAAAATTGACCAGACTCATAAGTGTCATTAGCATCTGAGGTATTGATCCACACACATTGGCGACTCAAGGACGAATTGAAGCTCCGTAGGCCAGCAATAGCGTAGACGATCCAGAAGTAGGCCAAGAACGATAGAGCATCTCGAAGAAGCGGAATACTGAGTTTCAAAGCATCAAGCACAATTTTAGTGCCTGCGAAAATATCAAGCAGGCGTAATATACGCAGCTGGCCGATTCCTGCTATGATCATCAGCAGGTGACTTGGGGGACTGTCGCGGAAAATACTTGTAAAAAAGGAAATCCAAAAACAAACGACCGAGATGAATTCAAGTCTGTTCCAACTTTTACGGAAAAAGCAGCGCTGTTCAATGTCAACGGATAAATTCTTATTGTCAGGTTTTTGCACCACCATCAGCCAGCTCCCGACAATCCTCATTCTGGATTTGATAAAATACACAATATCCCGTCGATCTACAATTTGGACGGTGAATGCACCATAGGCAATCATCTGGAAACCCATTGCCATGGTATAAATAATATAGAGGATAAAATAAACCCACGTCTCCCAAGTATCTTTTATGGGCAGCACATGTAAGTTACCATCGACGAGTTTATAATTGGCAGTTTCGATTGCTAGGACAATCATCTGGGCAAATGTTAGAGCATCTACCACATATCTCATATACCAGTTTGAATATAGAGCAAACGTGAATTTTCTGAGCCAGTGGTTGGTACCAAAGAGAAACAATGTTCTTCCATACGGAACATTTGGATACAATTTTTCTTCTGAGAAAACTTCGGTGGTCGAGGCGTAGCTTCGAGCGGTTCGAATGGACATATTTTCAGCGCCAAGTGCCGCGCCAGGCTGCAAGTTGAACGGGTCATCGGTGGGGAATTGTGGCTCCGATGTTCTGTCGTGATCCAACTCATCCTCAAAGTCTTGTCTCCGAGAAATGAACGATGGGTAGTGTACACGTTTAGGAGTCACGGGGGACTCCAGTACGCCAAGTTCTGAGGCCCTGTTGGCGATTCGACGAGCGCTGGAAGGAGAGGGGAACCCTGCCCTGTAGTTTGGCTCTTCATCAGAGGATCCGTCGTCTGTTGATGACTGATTTTCGTCATTTGGCAACTCATCAGGCAGCCAGCTATCGAGCTTATCGTCTGTGGCGCTGGCCACGGCTAGAATTCCACTTGATGTGCTATGCGAGGTTGAAAATTCGGGGGCAGAAAGAGCGCTGAGCCGGTTGCCACCACTTCTTTGAAAGGGCGAAGCATCTTGATGCAACACACTGTTTCTGCGAGGTGACAGTGTGCGCAGAGAAATGTTATCCGAGAATCGTGCTGATGGACCTGGTTCCTGCGAACCATTGAGTCTGTCTAAGGGAGGTTCATAATTCATCCGCAAGCTAGAACGATACAAAGCAGCTTAAACCAACAAAATCTATGCTGAAAGGCGTTTTTGGGTCTGTGCTAATGCCTTAGGGCGCTGTGATTTTGTTGTTCAATGTGAAGACGTTGATCACCGATAATTAGACACTAATCTTGCAGGTGAGAAACAGGGCTAGGGCGATGCACGGGGGCTTAGGTGGTCTATATAAATATATCAAAAAAAATCAGGGCGTTTCAGCGGTAAAAGGAGGCCAAAATACAATTAGAGGTCCGAATCCTGGCTATTGACGCTATGGGCATCGACCATAGCCACGACTGTGGTGATATCGTCCGGTTTACCGCCGGGAAGCAGAAGTCCCTCCTGAAATGATCGAGTCGCAAACGGGGAGGCAAAGCTAGGATCCAAAGAGTTGTAATAGGCCCGTTTTGTTAGCAGTTCGGCCAGCTTTGCCTCTCCGGATATTTTTGTTTTTGGCAATATTTCCCCAGATGCATCTGACCAGCTGCCGTTATCTAGCATGGCATCGCTGACGGCCTTCACGATGAAGCTCTGATACACGTTATCAAAGAGGCCGTCGGTGCCAAATATTATCACGTCACCATGCTCTAGTTTGAACGGATCTACCACTAAATCCGTGGTTTGCGTGCGAATCCAAGATGGCCACTCCGGAACCTGGCCTGCAGCGGTGAACATTTGTTTGTGCTTTTGTATAAGATTATCAGGTAGAATAACAAGCTGTCTGGGGGCTAGTCCAACAGCGTCCCGCTCGCTACAGTACGCAATTTTGCCTCGCCGAATGACGATTGACATGGAATCACCTAGATTGCCTAGCAGTATCATCCCGGTAATTGGGTGCAGAAGACCAAAACACAGAGTGGTGCCGCCCGCGTACTCATCTCCGTGCTTTAGCAATTCTTCGAATGACTTGTTGAGTAGGCCACGAGAGGTAGGCAAGACATCAGCTCCCTCGTCTCGCTCAAACTGCTCCTGCATCTCTAGGGCCAGCCCTTTGCTGAGACGAGAGGCATCGACGCCGTACTTCTTCCATCCGCCTACGCCGTCCGCAACACCCACAAGCGCAGCTCCCTGAAGCGGGCCCGGCACGATCCACGTCGATAGCAAGTATGCGTCGTCGCCAGAGTCTTTATTGTAGGCAGCGAGCGACCCCTTGCTGCAGAATGCAACGGAGCTGGACAGCGTGTACACCGAGCGTTGGCTTAGAACCCCTATTTTCCTCGAGCATACTCTCAACGTGCTGAGTCTCGACAGCATTCACCAAAGTACCAACTAGCTCCCGCTTATCTGCGCAGTGAGGTGATCACGCTAAAGCCAGCAGTCCCAACCGGCTTAGTGGGCCGGCAGAGAAAAAAAGGCCCTGGGAAGCCGTGAAGAAATGATGATGGGTGAAAAAATTGAATTGGGGAGGTAACTGTATAGAGGAAATAAAAAAGACGAACATTATAAATTAACTCGACTCAGACTTGCGTTTCTTGGGCTCTGAAATGGTGGGCTGGTACTTTTCCATCACCTCGCGCAAGAAGTCGAACTTCTCTTCTTCCATGACCGCCTGGTAAAGGTGCGCGAGCGAGACCCGCTTGACCTGCTTGGCGCGTGCTCGCTTGCAGGACTCGTCGACAAGCTGGATCATAAATAATTCGAGAGCTTTGGCGACCACCACGGGCGTGGCCTGAGCAACTTTGCCAATGTCCTCGTCGGACTGCATGAGCCGCTTGATTCGGGCCTGTTTGTTAGTAGCTGTGCTAGCTTTACGCGTCATGCGGTAATCTCAATCACTTACAACTGGGAATTGCGTTTTGATCTCCCTTCTAACCGGCTGAGGTTCCGTATTCTCTTCTTGACTCGACGCCATGGTAGTATGTTACTAAGTGTCTACCTGAGACTGATTATAGAAGCTACTGAGATTTAGAAAACACTAGGGATGCATTTGTTCCTCCGAATCCGAATGAGTTCGACATAGCATGGTTGATGCTACCTTCAGTTGCAGTCTTGATGTAATTGCAGTCAAAGCCCTCTCCAACCGTCTCCAGATTCAAGTTTGGAGGCATGGTCTGCGTGTGGAGGGCCATGACCGTAAACGCTGCTTCCAACGACCCGGCAGCGCCTAGCAAATGGCCAGTGGCACCTTTGGTAGACGAAACGTTGATTTCGCTGCTGGGTTTCCCCAAAGCACGCACAATTGCTTTCGACTCAATAGCGTCTCCCAGGGGGGTTGAAGTAGCATGCGCATTCACGTAGTCTATATCCGACCCATTGAGCCCAGCAGCATCTAGAGCCATGGTCATGCAATCGTACGCACCGGAACCATTGGGCTCGGGCGCTGTGATATGATGTCCGTCCCCTGAAAGTCCATATCCAGATACTTCGGCATAGATCTTGGCCCCACGGTTCTTGGCATGGCTTTCTTCCTCCAGTAACAATACAGCTGCACCCTCACCAATCACGAACCCTCCTCTATCGGAATCGAAGGGTCTCGAGGCTTTCTCAGGTGTGTCGTTGAAACTCGAAGCTAAGGCACGAGCTCGAGCGAACCCGGCTACAGCCAGTGGATGAACACAGCCCTCCGTAGACCCCGCCAGCATCACTTTGGCCATGCCATTTTTGATAAAGCCTGCGGCATCGCCAATAGCGTGAGCTCCAGTGGTGCATGCGGTTGAGACAGCGTGGTTTGGTCCCCGAAGCCCGTGAGCGATAGAAACGTTTCCAGCAGCCATGTTTACCAACAAGCCAGGAACAAACATGGGCGATACCTTGCGGTAGCCACCCTCATGGAAAGCTACGGCATTGTCGTACACTGCTTCGAATCCTCCAATACCCGAGCCAATAGCGACTCCGGTATCTTTCTTATCCTGTTCAGATTCCGGATGCCAGTTGCCGTCATCTAGTGCCTGTTTTGCTGCTGATAGGGCATACTGAATAAACAATGGTGTTTTTCGGAGGTTCTTTGCATCGATCCATTGTGTGGGGTCCCATTCACCGGGGTCTGATCCCTTGGGCACTAAACCGGCAACTTTACTGGGTACAGAATCAAATTCCGGACCAAGTTTTACTATGCCACATTTAGATGCAATTAGGGTTTTCCAGGCGTGTTGGATTCCAACCCCCACAGGGCTGACCACGCCGATTCCTGAAACCACCACTCTCATGCTCTACTCGCTGAAATAATTGGAACTGGCCCAGGGCCTTTAGGCAAGATGAGGGGTATAAAGACAATGAGCCAGCAGTCAGTCTGAAATGGCCAGATACCTCATAATATTCAAGCAAGGGTTCAAGCCGAGAAGTTCTTGGGAATTCGACGTAAAACCAGCAAGTTATAGCTCAAGGTCAACATTTACCATCAATGTTGCCGATCCCCTCGTCTTTTATCGAGGAAACAAGAGCTGCATATTGCGTGTCAGCGGCAAAGTTTGGACCGGCCCAACAGCTACGCAGCTCTTAAAAATCTCAAAGTAACCGGGGGCAAACAGTAGTACAGCTCATAGCAACTTCAATTGCTGAAAATGAGATTGAATAGTGGCTTTCTACACAACTTTTTGGTTGAAATTGTTGAGCCCTGCAGGTCCTGCAGATGTAACTAGGAACGTTGTCTGACAGCGAGCAAGGAGTCGCTTTGTTACACCAAGGCAGCCCGGAATTTCAAATTTATATACAACATTGGGTATCCTAATTGCTATGTGCGAACGTTTCGAACAGTCAATTTTTCTCATTGAGAACTTGAGCCGATCGCAGTGGACGTTGAAATTAGGGTGCCGCCAGAGCTGCGGGGTACAGAGAGGAGGGAGCAGCATCATCGAAGCGTAGAGTGCGGGCATCAATTGAAAAAACATATTTCTTGCCAAAAGCCCGTAAACATCAGCTTCACCAATTGCGGACGAGACGACTACGTGAAAGTAAACTCACCTGATCTTCCTGAACGGTAGGCGGTCGGTCTTACTTACCGTACACGGCCACCGGGTAGTGACATAAGCGAGGTTTTCAGATCACTATATATTAGGCTCCGCATTACCAGATAAATTTAACGGATTCCACAAAAGCCCACAATGTCTGAAGTTAAATCAGTCGACGGTGATTCCAAATTCCCTGTTATCGCTCAAATCCCTACATTCGACAATGTTGAGGAGCACAGAAAGTGGCTTCTGCAGTATATGGCAGCTGCCTTCCGCGTCTTTGCCCGTAAGGGCTTCTCTGTTGGCATTGCAGGACACATCTCTGTGCGTGACCCTGAGAATCCCAACACATTCTGGCTGAACCCTCTTGGACAGCATTTCAGCACAATCAAGGCCAGCGACTTGGTGCTGGTTGATGAGGAGGGTAACATTGTAGGCGGGAGTCGCCGCGCAGTCAACAAGGCTGGGTTCCGTATCCACGGTGCGATTCACAAGGCTCGTCCAGATGTAATTGCTGCTTGTCACACCCATTCTATTTATGGCAAGTCCTATTCCGCTTTCGGCAAACCCCTTGACATGATCAACCAGGATGCTTGCATTTTCTACAACAACCACTGTGTTTACAAAGACTTTGGTGGTGTGGTTTTGTCCGCTGGAGAAGGTGAGCAGATCGCCAAAGCTCTGGGTGACAATTCTGCCGTTATCCTTCAGAATCACGGTCTTTTGACCGTGGGCACATGTCCCTCCGCTGCAGCAGCTTTGTTCTGCCTTATGGAGGACGCATGCCACGCTCAACTGCTTGCAGATGCCAGCCGTTATGAACCTAAGATTATCAGTGATGCTGCTGCTGAGTTCACCTACAAGGCCACCTCAGCTCCCGAAATTTTGCATGCTGAGTTCATGCCGGACTACGAGGTTGAGCTCAAGCTCGACAACAGTTTCTTGAATTAGTATAATTTGAATTAATAGCTCTGAATAAATAACTCCGACAAATAACTCCTAACGACGTTGATTCAAAAGGTTTTGGGAAGGCCAAGCAGGTTAGAATCTTTAAGGTGTACTGGGTGGATGGGGTGCGGACTAGGGAAATTAATAAAAAAAGCAATCAAATTTAATATTATTATTGTCAACGCTGGATATATCTCATAGATACGCGATAAATATAAGCTCTGCTCTAGTGACAAGCTGATTCTTCAAACCACAGAGACAGAGTCATCGCCCGACGCAGAGTCAAATCCGATGCGGGCAGCTTTGCCGATATTGTGCTCAGAGTGTGCAATGTCCTCTTCCTCTGGAGGATGTAAGGAAGGATACGACCAGCCTCCATCGTACTTGATTTCAATCCAACGAGTCAAAGCCAACGCAGTAAAGGCAAAAGAGAACGCAAGGATAAAACCGATATCGCCGCCGTATTTAGGGTCACCGATGTGCCTTGAAATTTCACCAACATACCATGGCTGGGCCATTCCTAGAACAGCACCCATGATACCACAGCCACCAGCAAACACCGCAGAGTAACCGACACCTATCTTCTTTGGGTCGTTGTATACCTTGAGGTTGTAGCCCTTCATGCCACGACGGTAAATGAAGTGCTCTGCAATACCAATACCGCCATAGAAGGCAACCCAGTAACCAATGATATTCATGAAATCACCAAGGAACGACTCGAATGAGGTGATACCAGGAATAGCAATGGCAATAGAGATACCGGTGCAGACAATCACCCAGATATAGTGAGGGATATACCGGAACCATGAACAGATGGACTGAGCGGACAAAGCAAACGTGTAAAGGTTGGGAATGTTGTTGGCGATTGTGGATAAGGATAAAACCACCATGCAGAACTCGCCAAATCCGTGCAACGAGTTGTCGACTAAAACCAAACGCAACAAACCACCGGTGCTGTCGGCATTGGAAACTGCAGCCCAGTGCGGGTCGCTAATAGTACCAGTAGATACGGCAGCACCAAGAATACAAGCAAACATTACGGGAGTAGCCTCACCGATAAAAACCCACAAGAAACACTTGAAACGGTTAGTGTCAGCGGGCTTATAGGCAGTGTAGTCAGAAGCATAAGGAGACCAGCCAGCAGCGAACCCGAAAATAGCAGTACCAAATGACAAACAGTTTGCAGCTTCAACTGATCCACTGCCCATATGACCGAATGTGAACTTACCCGACATACCCATGCGAGACGCAATGACCAGGAAGACGGCAAAGTTGGGGATCCACGCTATCTTCTCGTAGTAGTGCACGACTTTATAGCCGAAAAGCGAGATAGCGAGAGATGCTAAAGCAATGATCAGAATACCTGCAAAATTAGGTAGAGCACCGTTGTTGATCTGGTGTAACACGTTTGCAGACGCCATGGTGTTAACGGCACCCCAACCGACAGCTGCGATACAGTTGATCAATGCAGCAATACGCACACCTTGGAAGCCAAACCAGTAACGACTTAAAACCATCTGGCGCATACCAGTGGGTGGGCCAAAGGTTGACAGGTAGGCAACGAGTAGACCTCCGAGTAAGGAAAAAAAAATGATAACAAGAACAGAGTCCCAGAAGACAAGGCCGAAGGCAGTGATGCCAATACCACCTAAACTGAAAGCGGCAATGACTAGGTTACCTCCCAGCCACATTGAAGCTGAGTTCCAGTAGGAGTCGTCAAAGCGTTCATCTTCTGGTACCCGCTCGATACCGCGAGTCTCACCTCCCATCTTCTCCATCCATCTATTGAAACGATGGAAGAAGGCGAGCTGGGCGTGGGAGTCGTCGACCCAGTCCGGGTGATGGTGGCCGTGACCTGTAGCGTGGTCGTCGGCCTCTAGGTGAGAGTCAACAGCAGATCCCTTCTCAAAATCTCCGACACCGAGATTCATGATTAACTCCAAGAGTAGGATAAAGATTCACAGGATCAAAAAAGAAAACGAACAAAATCCGAATAAATCAGCAGCAGATCGCGCCGTTATATACGTAAAAAAAAAGTTCGAGGGATTAAAGGACTAATCTTCTTTGAATAAATACCCCAACCCTGACATGGTGGATTTGTACATCATTTGAAATTAGATAGGGCGTCAGTGGGGGTACAAAAATTTTTTCTACGAGTGTTTGGGTCGTAATCGACGGGGCCCTAATTTTTTTGTGGCCGAAATACCGTTTGGAGGTTCCAAAAACGACGCTTGAGCCCATTTTTACGTCAATAAAAAGCGGGCTCTGCTTGATAAGCCTAGCGCCTGCTTTCGATCCCGTCGAGAATCGTCGGGGCCGTCTCATGCATGCTTGTAACAGAACGACCAGTAGGGCACCCGCTATTGTATCAAAACCTTTGAATGATGGCGACTTCAATCTATGTGGTAATACAATTTTTGGGACTAAAATAATTGATTTCTGGCGTTTTTTTGCCGTTCGAAGTTGTTCACAAGACTCTGTATCCTTATCTCTCCAACGTGCATGAGCCAGGGTTGATAATGCAAACCCCGCGGGCAGCACCGACATTTTCGATGTGCTTAAGCGGCGGTCTCAGATAGTGAACAAGATTCACTTCGATGTTAGGTTGAGAGGCATAATGAAATAATAAATATTTGACCAAATGGATTGATATTGAGAAAGCCAGTCAGTCCAATGTCATCCTGAAGATTAGTTAGGTGCGATGCGAGGTTTGTTGCTCGCTGAGTTTTGCCCAAATGACCCAGTGTGGCGAGTTATCGTCTGAAGCCATGCGAGTCATCCAGTAGACATCCTATACGCCTGCAGAGATAGAGACGCTCAACCCCGCATCGAAAGCTAACAGCTTTGCACGATCCGGGGATTCTTTCGGAATTCAAAAGTGGCTTCGAATTGGTGACCTCGTATTAACCTCAGCTAGCACTCAGCGGCATTGGTGCCCATGCCGACCAACAACCGCCGAGTTAAAAATTCGGACGCTATACCGGCCGAAACTCTACACGTGCTATCCGAACGAGATATTGAAATCATCATGTAGCCATCCGCTTAGGTTAGAGAATATCAACGGAATCGGTGGAACAAGACCAGCATAGAAAATACTTCTTCAACATCAAATTATCTACAGCTGTAAACTCAGACTACTAGCTAGAGAAAAATTGGCGTTAAGAGGACAAAAACTGAGAGTTTAGTGGGCAAAGAATTGCTCTGAAACGATCGAGTGGGAATTTGCCGCAAACGGATGACCCTCCATGCAAATCTAATTGAGCACGTTGAACACAGGTCTGGCGGCAGCCCCCGAGGCAACCTGTGCCGCATCATCATCGTTGAGGTGTTCTTTAACGATTTCAGCCATCGCCTGGATGTACCCCGCGTCCAAGTTCAAAGACTCGGCTCTGCGCAAAAGCTCAGGCTTAGTGACCTCCTCGCGCATCTCAATATCAATCTCATGCAGCGTTTCGATGTGGTCAGTCGTGAAAGCGATCGGGACAACAACAACTCCCTTGTAACCTGGCTGTTTCTCGAGTGTCTGAATAGCCTTTTGTGTCTGGGCACCTAACCAAGGCTGAGGACCCACCTGGGACTGGTAAGTGCACCTGTAAGGGTTGGAAAAGCCAAGACTTTGCATAACTGCGTACGCAGAAGCTGAGACTTCAGCAACATACGGGTCTCCCTTGTTGACAATTGTCATGGGCAGAGAATGGGCTGAAAACAACACCATCACGTCTTTCTGATCAGCTTCAGGGAACTTTTCAATTTCTTGCTGAACTTTGCGAGCAACTGTCTTGATAAAACTGGGGTGAGTGGGCCATCGCAAAATGTAAGACCACTCAATTGTTCGCTCGGGATCCATACGCTCAATTACGCGCTCGAGCTCATTCACACTGCTTCGAGTGGTGGAAAACGAGTACTGCGGGTACTGTGAGAAGGCAATTGCCCGTTTAACACCGTCTTTGAGCAGCTGCTCATACATCTCATCTGTCAACGGAGGCGCATAGCGGAACGCGACATATGATTTGTGGGGGGCAGTGTCAGGGTTGAGCTTGTCGAGCAGCTCGCATGCCATTTCGCCCTGTTGCTCGCTGAACTTGCGAATAGGCGAGCCGCCACCAATCTCCTTGTAGTGCTCCTCAATTGTTTTGTAGCGGCGAGCGGTAATAAACTTCGCTAAGGGTTTTTGGAATCGGCCGAACGGAATAAGATCGCCATCGCTGAAGAGGCGGTATAAGAAATCACGTGTGCCTTCCACAGTCGAAGGGCCACCCATATTCATTAACACAACGGCGGTCGGTCCACTCTTGCTCGAGGTGGACGCATACCTCGCAAACGCCCGAGCAAATATCGACTGCTTGGCTCGAATCATATTCTTGATGGAGTTGCTGACTAGGGCGAATTTATAGTCATACTGAGCAGTGAACGCCACGGTGATTCGATTGGGATACTTGAGAAAAAAGTACCCGGATCGTTCGGAACCTTGAATAACAATATTTTTAGCATAAATTTATAACAATTCGGCCAAGAGTGCTCTGGTTAATTCGAGCACTCCCACATCCACATCACCGGGTCTAGACCCGGATAGTTTCGTCAGCACAGGCAAAATGGCAATTCGCCAGATCGATCAGGCGATTCTGGCCGGTGCATCAGTCACAGGCGTTCCTCCCGATTTGCTTCGAGTGGCAGCGTGCTTGTTCTTATCATTCCCGTTATGTGGGATTCTTAAGCGATTGCCCTCGAAGCAGCCAACTTTGAAAGAGCTGTACATTCTGGCATGTGCGGTGTTCTACCTGCTAGGTATCTTTAGTTATACTTCGGGCACTCTTCATCTTTTGGCCGACGCCATGTTCACATATGTGTTTGTGCGAACAAAGAGATACTGGTCTTTCATGCCCGTAGTAACATTTCTGGTGTTACTGGCCCACATGCTCTACACGCACTACCATGAGCAAATCTTATTTGACGAGTCCTTCAGCGGCCATTACGGCCACTCAGGCGCACAAATGGTTCTAATGATCAAATTGACGTCATTTGCCTGGGATGCATTCGATGGCACCCACAAAGATGAATCGACCCTAAGCGACTTCCAAAAGGAAAACCGGGTCATTCAAATGCCCCCTCTGTTGCGATACTTGTCTTGGGCGTTCTTTTTCCCTGCAGTACTTACCGGTCCTGCCTGTGGTTATAGAGAGTATTCTCAATGGCTTGATATGACGTTATTCAATGATTATTTTGCCATGCAAGACAAGAAACATGGCAAGACGGTCAAGCGGAGAATCCCCCGAAGCGGCCATGTTGCGCTCGTAAAGGCTCTTGAGGGCTCTCTGTGGGCGTATATTTTTATGCAATCTGGAAACTATATCAGTGGTGATATGTTGTTTGAGTCTAGATACCGCAGCCTGTCGTTTTCTTGGCGTGTGCTGTTTTTATGGGCTCTTAGTTTCTCGTACCGTATGAGATACTATGCAGCATGGTGCATTTCAGAGGCCGCATGTATCCACTCTGGCCTCGGATTTAACTACACTACCGAGGAGGGCCGTATCCGCTGGGACCGGGTGCGGAATGTGCGTCCATTGAACATTGAGACTGCGCAAAACATCCACGGCATTATCAGCAATTGGAATATGAACACGTCTAAATGGCTTAGATACTACGTGTTTTTGCGAGTAACACCCAAGGGCAAGAAGCCAGGCTCTCTGTCCACATTGATCACATTTATAGTATCCTCGCTTTGGCACGGTATCCTCCCCGGATATTATCTCATGTTTGTTCTTGGTGCTCTTATGCAAATGTTTGGCAAGATCTACCGTCGCTATCTTCGCCCCGTTGTGCTTGGAACCAGCTACAAGCGTGCTTATGATGTTCTCACTTGGGTGTGCACTCAAGCCGCCCTGGGCTATGCGGTGCAGCCGTTTGTTGTGCTTGAGCTTTACCGTTCTTTGAAGGTTTGGGCATCTGTTTACTTCTATGTGCATGTTTTCCTCCTTGCTAGTTGGTTCCTCTTCCTTGGCCCCGGCCGTAGAATGCTGGTTCCTTATCTTCGCACATTACACGAGGAGCTCGCTTCCCAAGCAGATTAACCTTAGATAGGATTTAACCGCCCTCCCAACCCGTCCGCTTAGAAATCAACCATGTCCTCTATTGAGAAAACGCTGGCCAGAGTGAACGAGAGAGTTATTCTGGGTCAGTACTACGAAGCTCACCAGGCAGTGCGTACTGTTGTATCTCGTTATTTACGCCAAAAGGCATATGGATCTGCCATTGGACTGCTTTATAACAGCTGCATTCTCCTTGTCCGCAAAGGTCAGACAGGTTCCATCGCCGATTTGCTCTCTATGATGATTGAGGTCTACAAGGCAGCCGATGTAGCAGTTGATTCTGTCTCTAAAGGCCGAATTGCACAAATTCTGTGGCAGATCAACGGCTCCGACCAGGCTTTGAAACAAGTTGTTCAGCCAGTTATCTCCTGGTCAGCCAAGCACGGCGCCGAAAAATCCGGAGACCCCGAGCTCCATCACATTTTCGGCTCTTTGTTCAGTCATGCTGGACTTGCAGAAGATGCCGAAAAGCACTTTCTGCTGGGCACTCGAGACTCTGCGGCTGCCCTCGCTGAAATGCATGCCAGATGGCACGCCAAAGATAGCAATAACGCTACCCTCTATATTTCTCGGGGAATTCTTGGATACCTGAGTGTTCAGAACATACGCAATGCCCGAGTTTACACCGAGAGAGCGTTACAGGACTTGATTGAAACCCTCGACGAGCCGGTCACCACTGAGCACGACATTTTTGTTTTCGAAGACGAGTATCTGTTGAATTTCTTGCAGATGCTCATCCCAGCTTGCCAGATCAAGGAGGGAATTATCTATCGCCAACTGGCCGACCACTATAAGGTTAAGAGCATTGAAGGGTGGAGCGCTGCTTTGCAAACTATCGAGGGCGAGTCGTTTGGCATATACCCTCAACGAGGCTTCAATTTGATGGATCTTATGGGCGGGGCATTCCGCTAGTTAGTGTTATTTAATACAGGAAGAAACAAAATAATTCAAACAACCGTCATCCGCGCAAACACGCACTGGCGGCTAGAGCGTCGGCAAGCGGCTGGCGATCGTTTTCTATTAAGGCGGTATGGGCCTGTTCAAACGTCATCCACTGCCGACGACGTTTGTTCTTTTCCGGCCAATCGTCTGCTAGACGATCAGCAATCATGTTGAAGAAGTGAAACTCGGTGCGGGGTGGGGGCGGGCCGTTCTCTTTGCGCCAGTGCTTGGGCGGCCGCTCGTCCAAAAAAGTTCCTATTTTACTCTCAATCGAGCCAATGGCACCAGATTCTTCCCAGGTTTCACGGATAGCTGATTCTTCTATAGTTTCATCCGTTTCCGCACCGCCTTTTGGTAAAACCCAAAACTCTGGTCGGGCCTCGGACGAAACGACGAGCACTTGCCGACGGTCTTTACTAAGAACGACGGCGCCAGCTACAACACGTGCACCATTGGAGGCATATTCTGTTGTTAGTATTCCCTACTCCATCAAGATACATCCAATTCAAGTTCATTGTCGTATTCGAACGTACTTTGCTTATCGCGACCCTGTCGAGCTTCCATCGACCTCGCAGTGGTACTCATGCTGAGTAAAAGAAAGTCAGCAAGAGTTTATTAAAGTAAATAATATAACACACATATATTTATATATATATTTCATTGGGCGAACACACCTCGTAACGGTTCGGGTGTATAAGCGTCCACCATGTCTTTTTCAGAAACCCTCATGGCGCTGTACTGCCGTCTCGCATTGTAAGAGGTTACCCAGGAGAATATAAGGCCCAAAACAATTAGTAGTGAAACGCATCCAATAGCAATTGCACAGGATATGCCAACAATACGGCCTCTGGACATATAATTTCTCTCGTCTTTGGGATGCTCTGTGGGCTTCGACGAACTGCTCGGGTTGCTCGGGTTGCTGTGGTATTCAATGGGTGATATCTTCCGAGCGTGCTCAGCAACGCTTCTTATAACAACATTTGAATGAGAGCCTAGGGTTGTAGTCTTGAATAGCGGACTCCAATCCTCGCCATCAAAAGTCGCCGCTGAAATCTGTCCGTATCCTGGGAAGTTCAGGCTTCCAAACACTACCAAAACCTCGTTTGCGCCAAGAGGTGATGATGAGTTATTGCTCACTGTCGGCAAAATGGACAGGGAAGTAATCCTCGAGGGAGATGCAAATGGAGTTGGTAGATCCGTCCAGCGGCTCATAGACCAAAAACTTACTCCACATGCATTTTGAGGACCATAGGCGTACACTATTGTTGAGTTTAACGATAAAGTGAAACCGGTCACGTTTACCGATGGGATATTGGTCACCGATCCGTTGTGTAGAGAAACTTTCGAAAGGCCTCCATCGTCCAGGGCGACTAATAAATTGTCTTGATCAATAAGCTCAGCTTGTACGACACCTCGAGTAAAGCTGTTATTCGCAGCGGCCGACCATTTGTCCTTGTTGGCATCATATAGGCATATACTTCCACATGGAACATCACTGGTTCCGTTAAACTCACCGACGACAATCGCTTGTGCCGTGTTGGGACGGAACAGAACATTGTTAACTTGAACAGCCCCATCTAGACCGGAGCTAATACCAACGAAAGTGGACTCAGAATAGTTATAGAGTGCAAAACCGTTAACTGGATGATCATCAATAACTCCATTGAATGAGCCCGCTAATGCCAAGAGCGAGTTGTTGCAAGCAACCGACAAGTACTTACCATTGGGCAGGTCGTTACTAGCCAAAGGGAAAGACTCCGAATTGCTAACCAGCATGACGTTTCGAGCTGCCCCATGAGTAGTATTTGCGGTAAAATCACCGACAACAGCAGTAAAACTCTCGTTCAAATATGCTGCTGCTCTGATAATTCCTGTACCTTCATTGAGGTTGTATGGTAACCTAGTGGGATTGAAGTTAGTGTCAAGTGTTGCACCACCTTGAGCTTTGTTAAGAATCTGGAGAGATCCTAAATAAAAGTTCACACCATTAATTTCAAAATTCGCAGACAAATGCCCTTGTATCGAAAGGTCGCCGTTATAACTATCGTTCGTTTGAGGGTTGTACAGCTCCAGATCAGATTGGGAGCTGAAGGCCCAATAAGAAGTATCGTTGAGCTCGAAAGGAACAACACGCGCAGGGTCCGAATAGATCTGAATTAGTTCTGTGCCATCAAGTTTGTATGTCGCATCGGAACTCGCGATGACAGTCTCGTTTAAAACCGTTAGCGATTTCACTGGGACGGAAACATCAATCGACTGCACAGAATCAGACGAAGCAGCTAAAAGTCCAGACAAAGAAGAGTTAAAAATTCTTCCACCAATGTAGAGGGTGTCATTTGTGAATGCTAAGGCATCAACCGTTGAGTTTGAGCCAAGCGTCGTCCCTAATGTATTCAACAATGTAGCACCAACAGGAATGAAAGATGAGTTTTGAGCAGACACTGTGAAATTCTTCTGAGAATACTCAAACAAGTTACCAATTTTGACAGAAGATGCGCCTTCCTGGAATTCAAGAACCAGTTGTCCAGCAACAAAGTTCAGAGGCACCTCCTGCCCATCAACCATACCAACCTCCACAAAGGCATCTGGACTTAAAAGACCTTCGTATACCACATCATACTTGAGTTGTTCATTCGTTTGATACAACTGTACCGATTTCGGTTCCCCGTGACCGGGATAAGTTGTGACATTTACCTGGCCTCTTAATGAACAGTCTTGGCTCTCTGCACATCCTGGTGTATAAAAGCGAACCAAATATTTCGCTTCAATATCGACATTGGGATGAATTGCTAACTTTGCATTTTGTAATTGGCTTGATTCAGAGATATACGACACCATGTAATCGCCAGTAGTCTGATTTGACACCGTCCACGAGCCCGACGAGTCAACCTCGGCAGTATTTTGAGCTTCCTGACAGCTGAGAGGCAAGTTCCACTCATTGTTAGGGGAAATAAAGTAGTCTTGCTGATAAAACTGCACTGAAGTTAACCCTGCATGGTCCCCGTAACTGTCCAACAACACGAGCTCTGCAGAAGTAGTGCTCACCTCGTTCACGAAGGTAAAGTCTGTGAATAGCGATTCAGAAGACGCTGGCAGAGGACATTGAGCATCGCAGTACCTATTTGTGCCGTTAGTGTCTGTCCATGTGAGGTTCATGATACCATTGGTTGGGTGCGTTATTAGCCGAAACACTTTGGTGCCACTCTCACCTGCAAGATTTTGAAGACGCATACGAACAGGAAGAATTGTGAGTCCAAAATCAATATTGAGCGTAGCAACAGCATTATTTCCAAGAGCGTTCCAACCAGCACCATTCAAGCATAGAATTGAATTATCGTCTTGGCCTGCAACACCATTGGAACTTGTGACACTGGCTTGAGAATAAGGAACCAACTGCTGCTGGGCCTGCTCGGTCCTGGTATTATTTGCCGTGAAATTTGCATTTATGCCAGTAAGTTTACCACCAAAAACGAGATTGTCATGAAATTGAGTGATTGCATTAACCACGGAGCCTTCAGTGAATCCACCCCAGGGGGCAGGCAACCATTTATTATTCAACACATCCCATAAAGCAACCGCCGAGCTCCCTGAATATTCAAAGTCACCTCCGACGAAGACTGTGCTGCCATTGCAAAAAAGTACGTTCACGTTACCATTAAAGTCAATTCCATCCATAGGGATTAAACGTCCAGTACTCAGGTCTAGTCCTGCTATACCGTGGGCAGATTGATTAAGAATCTGGCTGAAATTGCCAGCCATTACAATCGTATTGCTGTCAACTTGGCATGATGCTTGAATTGTGCCGTCCACCAGGGAGGATGCGAGGAATGTTGTTTTATTTTGTTGGCTTAAAATCTGGTCATTAACAATTGGAGGATCCAGTACAGAGCCCTGTCCTTCATAAATAATGTGTGTCAAAGTGTCAAAGTTTCCGAACACGCCCAATTCCCCAAGACTCGTTATATTGATCTCTGGTTGAGAGATCGGCTTGGGGTTTACAATGGTCGCATCTGCCGGGGAGTATGATATCCCTAGAAAGAATAAGCCAAAAATACAGCGTTTTCGCATGGGTACGAGACCGGTGCCGATTTGTAGAAATAGTCTGATTCCAAGAAACTTGTCTCACTCTGAGTAAGAAAGTATATAAATCATAACAAGTCTGAAACCTACATGATAGACTCTTAGTCGTGATTATGGCGTACTTAATTTATTTATATGTGTATACACAGCAATTATAATTCATCTTTAAGCCTATTCCAGAGCAAACCTGAGAACTACTCGTCTTTGAAAGCTTGTAGCTAATACCGATCTGTGGCCATGCACATTTCACTGCACGTCCATTGTTTACATGCTTCCATATTGGGTATCTACCCAAACCCACACAAATGCCGGGTTGTCTGAAACATCGTGGGATTGTAAGATCAGAAGAGTATCTTTTCTAAAAATAACCTAGTTATACTGCTTATAGAGCTTCTCTTGGAGTTGCCATTGCTTGAGGAGTTTTTTCGTAGAGCTCTTAGATAGAGGCTCGCCTTGGGCGTCATGCGTAGGAATACCCTTATCATCAAACTGTGAATACTCAGGCAGGCCCTTGAACATATCCTCGGGGCGGGTTTTGGCCTTTTCACGTTTCAAACGCTCTTGCTCTTCTGCCTGCTTCTGTTTTTCAGCTTTCTGCTTAGCCTTTTGCTCGGCAGCTTCGGCGAGCATCCGGCGTTGATTAAGAATTTCATCACGCTCGACTTCTGTCAAGAACTTGATCAGCGCCACCTTATCACCTTTGCGGTCATCCAGAGCAACACATGCGTTCAAAAGATCAAGATCGCGAACGCGATCACACAGAGCGAGAAGGTCCTTGTTAGGCTGCTCGCCAGCCATGGCGACTTGGCGCACCTCCTCACGGAACCCGGCCAAAATCTGTACGAATGGCAGAGCAACATCTTCTTTATTAATACTAGACCCATCTGTCGTGGCCCAACCGATTTCAGAGGTCTCAAATCCGAGAATGTTGAAAATCTTGGTGACCCACTTTGCAATCGTCGCTAGAACTTCGGCCTTGGGTAGCTCTGTATTGGATGCATACTCGTTAGCCTTTTGAATCAACACGCTTATATGCTGGAAAGCAAGATAAACCGACAGGTTATCGGCGAACGCCTCATCAACAGCTAACTGAGTTTTGTAGAGCTCGTCTAGTAAATCAACTTCAGCCTTACCGACATGTTTGGGCGTGGTTTCTGTCGCTTCACGCAAAAGTGCTTTGACTTTGCTGAAAAAGTTGCTCAAAGTAGACTCAAATGACTTCACGTGCGAAAGGGACATCTTGAAGTCAAGCTGGGTGTTCCAAGGTTGGAATGCGAACGCCAAACGCAGTTGACGGGCTGAGAATTGCGCAGTTGCCTCTTTGATTGTGATAAAGTTCTTGAGACTTTTCGACATCTTCTGACCCTCAATATGTAAATGGCCGTTGTGCATGAAATAGTTGATCCACTGTGGGCAGTCGAAGCAGGCCTCAGACTGAGCCAGCTCGTTGTCATGGTGAGGAAAAGCAAGGTCAATTCCACCAGAGTGGATGTCAATTTGAGGACCAAGGATATGAGAAGCCATCACCGAGCATTCAATATGCCAGCCCGGACGTCCCATACCCCAAGGTGAATCCCAAGCCGGCTCGCCAGGCTTGGACGACTTCCAAAGGGCAAAATCAGATCGAGACTTTTTGCCACTACTTTGTAAAGACAAGGAACCTTCTCCCTCATCAATAAGTTCCTGAACACCCTTATTCCAAGGTTGCAGCTTTGCATAGTCGTGACTGGGGTTGGCCTCGAACGCCGCAACGTCAAAGTAAACGCTACCGTCCGAAGCAGCATAGGCATAGCCGCGCTCAATAATTTGCTTGACAAAAGTAACAATCTCTGGAACATACTCAGACACACGGGTTGTCACATCAGGAGGAAGCACATTAAGCTGCTTCATATCTGCCTCGAAATCTGCCTCGAAATAGGAGCTGAGTTTCCTAAAGACAGAATGATCGGTAACCTCACTGCCAAGTTCCTTGTCTAAAAGTTTAACCAAAACGCTCTGAATCCCTTCCAAATACTCATCCACTTGGGTACTTTCCAAAGCGCCCAACGCGTTTTCCACGGCCGTTGCGTTCATCGGGAACTTGGGATCTTTGGCGGTGAGCTCTGCTTTATCTTGCTCTCCAAGCCAATTGGTGTAACTACTTTTAGAATCCAGCGGTGGGGAGAGGGCCAAATCAGTGAAAGCAGCAGATGCATATGATTCTAAAGCGGATCGACCCTGAGCCTTGACCTCATTACTTACAGATCCACTAGCTCTCAGCTTTTGCGAAAATTGATCAAATAAGTAGTTTTGACGTCCTCGCACAATGATCTTATCGTCAATATCAGTAATATTCTGTACATAGAGCACGTCGTATCCGAAATAGTCTTGTAGCAGTCTACGATTGATATCAGTCGTGACGTAGTTACGGGCATGACCCATATGAGCCGAGTCATAAACTGTTGGGCCACAAGAGTACCAAGTAACCCGGTTCTTGCTTAGCGGAATAAACTCTTCTTTTGCGCGCGTGAGAGAGTTGAACACTTTGAGGACAGGGCGAGCAGCAATCTGCTGCGGCCGGTTCCATTCAGGCTGTTTGACTTTTTCCATTGTAGTTAAGCGTCTGAATAGTCTTTTCATACACCTTTACAAGAAAACAGTGCTCAAAGTTGCCTCAACTAGAGTGTCACTTCTTGAGTGAACTTTCCAATTTAGTCATCCCTTATTTGATAATCCCGCCTAGCCAAGGGGGATCAGAGCATCGACGTTTGAGGCAGTTTCTTAGTTTCAATTGAATATGTCGAATATTATAAAGCTCAGCATTATGGGTGTTCGTGCATTCGACAACCATGATAGAGAACTTATAGCATTTGGTCGGCCGCTCACGCTTATAGCTGGTCCTAACGGCGTGGGCAAAACCACGATTATTGAGTGTCTAAGGTATGCTACAACTGGTGATCTACCCCCCAATTCGAAAGGTGGAGCCTTTGTTCATGATCCAAGAATGTCAGGGGAGCGAGAAGTTCTTGCCCAAGTGAAGCTTTCTTTCTACAGTACTAGTGGGGTTCAAATGGTTTGCACGAGGTCGATGCAATTGACGGTGAAGAAAACAACACAAACATTCAAAACCTTAGAAGGGCAGCTACTTGCTGTAGTTGGAGATAAAAAGCAAACAGTTTCTTCGAGATGTGCAGATCTAGATGTTCAAGTTCCATTCAGTCTCGGGGTGAGCTCAGCTGTGCTAAACTATGTGATTTTTTGCCATCAAGAGGACAGCCTGTGGCCGCTGGCCGAGCCATCGATTGTGAAAAAAAGATTCGACGAGATTTTTGAAGCTACAAAGTTCACTAAAGCGTTGGACAACCTGAAGACTCTGAAAAAAGACTATGCTGCAGATATCAGGGTTCAAGAAAAGACTACGCAGTATCTCCAAGCTGATAAAGAGCGTGCAGAGAATATCAAGCTTCGAATCACTGAACTATCAGGTACGATTTCGAACTACGAATCAGAATGTGCGACCTTGAAAGAGCAGATTGAAAGCTCCACAAAGGAACTCAACAAGCTGTTCGAGATTACACGCAGCTTTGAGCAAAAATCAAATCGGTTGTCTCAACTGAGGGATAATAAGAAGCATATGGCAGGTTCGATTGAGGTATTGCTTCGAGGATTAGAAGTGATCGATCTCGATACAGCCAAAATTGAACAAGAACTTGAGGCATATGATGCCCAGGAGCAGTCTCTCCAGGAAGCCTACAACGACCTGCAAACTTTGAAGCGACAAAAACAAACCAAGACTCAAGAGTTTCAGCAGGAGTATTCTAAGCTCATTTTGAAAAAAGGTAAACTCGAAGCAGAATATGAAGACTTCCAACGAAATCAGGAGATGTTGCAGCGCTTGACCGCTCAAGTTCATTCGAAATATGGCTCCTCAAGGAAGGACCTAGAGCAGCAACTGTCTGATATTCTAGCAGAGTCTTTATCAAGTTATGAGCGAGCAAAAACTGACCACCGAGAAGCGGAAAACAGAATTCAGTCTGAAGTGAACCAAGTCACGGCCACAAAGCTTCAAATCGAACAACAGCAACTCTCTAATGAGGCCGAGTTGGATAGACTAGAGTCTTTGCAGAAGGAAATTCTTCGTGATGTCAGTGACCTGGCATCCAATCAGACGCAAAATTCAGTTGAACATTATGAATCCCTTTTGTTAGAGTACCAAGAAAAAGTGGTACAGAGTCGTAAAAAACTCGAGGAACTCACGAATAAAGGTGAAGTTGAGCAGGAAAAACTTAACAATTTATCTTTGCAAGCCCAAATTGAATCTTTGAATAGATCTCTGAGCAAAGCTACCTTACATTTTAGTGAACATTCAAAGCTCTTGGTTCTCAAAGAAAATGCTGAAAAGAAAAGAAATACACTAGAAAGTATGCAGCATACTCTGCAACCAGACTTTGAGCGAATCATGGGTAAAAGATTCCTCGTTGACAACATTGAGAAAGATTTCACTACTCAAAAAGAGTTGATTTCTCAGAATCTTGACTCCAGTTTGAAGGAGCTCCAAGCTCTTTCGGAAAGAGTCAGTGTCCTAGAGTCTAGTGAAAATGCTAAGAACGCTGACGTCAAGAGCCTTGAGAGCCAGGCAGATTCAATCAAACAACATATAGAGCGAGAGATTGGAGGACCCATTACCTCTTTCGACGATCTTCTGGATGAAGTGGAAGAAGATCTTCATGTGGCTACTCAGAATTCAGAACAAAGCTCTTTCACGGCTCAGTTTTACGAAGCTGCCAAAGCCAATGCTAGCTCCAGCCACTGTTGCCTTCTATGTCAGAGATCCATGACTGATAGTGAAAAATCACAGTTTGAAGAGTTTTTGACCGAGAAAATTAAACAAATGCCTCTCACCAAAGAAGAGGCTGAACTCGCGCTCAAAGAAACGAGTCAGGAAGCAGCAAAACTGAGAAATTTGAAACCTCAGCAAGCGCGGTTCAAGGAGCTAACGGAAATCGAGATACCAACTGCCGAAAGACAGCTCGCAGACATTGTGCGAAAATGCTCTGACGAGAAAGTCGAACACGAAAAAGTTCTCAATAGAGTGGAAGAGTTTAAGGCGGAGCGTGCTAAGCTCGACAGCTTGCAAAAAAGCGTTCGTGAAATTGCCCAAACCGCGACGGATCTCAATATGATCAACTCAGAGATTGATGTACTGACAGATCCTGCAGTTGTCGACGAGATTGAGACGCCTCAGGTAATTCAGCAAAAGTTGGAAGATGTAAACGAGAAGTTCCGACGCTCACAGCGTAAACTGCAAGAATTTTCAGACGCAGAAGCGTTCGCGAAAGAGGAAATTACAAAATGGACTAACCTTGTCAATAAACAACAACTTCAGCTCAAGGATTTGCAGCTTGAGGAGCAAGATATCAAAGTGAAACAGGGTAAACTTAGTGAACTCAGAATCCAGCTGGATCGACTACGCGAGGAACCTGAGAAGCTCAAATCCAAGCTGTCTGCAGCCCTTGGGGAACTGTCCTCATCAGAAGAAAAGCTTAGGATGGCCAAAATCAACTCGGCCAAAATCGAGAAGGAACTTTCCTCAGCACAAACAGATGCTCAGGCCCTTCTTGGCGATTGCACTCGACTAAAAACGAAAATTAAAGCGTTCGAGACTAACTTTGGGAAAACGCCACTAAAGGAAATCAGCGATGCAATCGAACAGATACAAAAGTCTCTTGAAACGGAGTCTGCAGAAATCAATGATCTTGAGGATAAGCTCATAGCAGCTGATCGGCGTATTACCGACTTTCGTGGCCAGAAGCGGGTGCTTCAAGACAACCTGCAACTCCGAAAATACCGTGAAGAGATTGAAAGGTTTGGGTCAGCTATTGACGAGCTAGAGAAAGAGTTGGCTGAAAACCAGAAAGACGACTACGAGCGTCAAACACTAGCTCTTCAAGACGAATGCGCAAAGCTCAACTCTGTTTACGCGAGTAAACTAGGAGAAATCAAACAACTTGAAGAACAAGTATTGCGCTCTCAAAAGGAACTTGAAACAGACTACGCAACTGTCCAGGAGGATTCCCGAAGAGCCACTGTGAAACTCGAATCTACCGTGGTTGCAACCGATGATCTCACAAAGTACTGGCGTGCTCTTGATGCTGCAATCATGAAGTATCATTCTGTCAAAATGCTCGAAATTAACAGAGTTTTGGACGAATTGTGGAAGAAAACATACAAAGGAACCGATGTGGATACGATCATGATCAAAGGTGAAAGTGAAGGTAAAGGCGCCCGAGCTTATAACTATCGGGTTTGTATGGTCAAGCAAGACACAGAACTTGATATGAGAGGAAGATGCTCTGCAGGTCAGAAAGTATTAGCTTCTGTGATTATTCGCTTAGCCTTGAGTGAATGCTTCGGGGCCAGCTGTGGCCTTATTGTTCTCGACGAACCCACTACGAACCTTGATCGTGACAATAGCGAAGCACTTGCGAGAAGTTTATCAACCATTATCGAGTCCCGCCAAGCGCAGCGAAATTTCCAGTTGATTGTAATTTCTCATGACGAGCACTTTTTGAGCTGCATGAACGCTTCGGCATATTGTGACCACTTTTATCGTATAGACCGTGACATGCGGCAAATGTCTAAAATTGATAGGCTTCCGATCGGAATGCTTCAATGAATTTATTTATGGCTTGTAGATATAATTGCATCTACCTAGAAAGTGCTTGAGATACAAGCGCTCTATATTTGCGTTGACGGTCTGCCTGATCCAAAAAGATCTCATACTTTGTATCCAGCAATTTTACGGTTAGTGAGTCTTTACTCTCGGGATGAACACAACGACCGGCGCAGCTGTACGCCTTCATGACGTCCAGCAGAGATTTGCCAGGTGACGCAGCTTGAGCGGCCAAAATGGCAGTTCCAAAAACCACTGCAGCATCAATATACTTGGGGATAACAACAGGGCACTGCGTCGCATCAGCAAGCAGCTGGACCAAAAGTTTGTTTCGGCACTGACCTCCGGACAAATAAATTGTTTTGATTTCATGTCCCGCTTTCACCATCGCTTCAATAATCTGCCTTGTTTGCTGGCAAATAAACTCGACCGTTGCAAGATAAGTGATAGCAAGGTTTTCTAAGGATGTGTCCATGGAGATACCTGTAATTGAACCTCTCATTGCAGGGTCTGCAATAGGAGATCTATTGCCGTAAAGATCACCATAGAAAAACAAGTCCTTGCTGAGCAAAATAACAGAGTCCAGACTTTTTTGCTTTCTCATTTCACCCAACAAGTCATTCAAAATGTCAAACTTGGAGAGCCCACCCTGGTCGGCTTTCGCTTCGAGCTCTGTGTGGGCAGGATGCGTCGTGAGCACAAAATGTAAGAGCTCACCGGTTGTGGATTGGCCTCCTTCGGCACACCACATGCCGGGGATTAAAGAATCTCTGTATGGGCCCCAAACACCAGGCACAAAAATAGGATCCTTTGATACCACAATATGACAAGTAGAGGTACCTGCTACAGCAGCTAGGCGGCTTGAGAAGTCCTCTTTATCAACAGCACTGTCAGATTTAGCGGCGACAGTACCAATCCAGCCAGAATAAGCGTCGATGATTCCCGATCCGACAACTGTAGAGGTAGTCAAGCCAAGCTCCTCAGCAGCTTTCTGGCATAAATTTCCAACTTTTTCACCGGGGCTATGAAAAACCCCATTTACTCCTGGAACACCGCCCATTCGTTTGAAGTGGTCGCTTTTTAGTTCTCCTAGGCCCACTTCATCGAAGAACTCCGAGTTCCAGCCGTCCTTGGAGCCATCCACGCCTTGCGGCACGAATCCCTGCTTGCAAACGACAGAGTTGAAAGACCTCGCATTGACTCCTGTAGCTCTATCTGTCAAATAATCTCCGAGGTCATAAAAATGGCATTTAGCAAACATCCCCTCGGGCATGTTTCGCTTTAACCACATAATCTTGGGGATTTCCATTTCGATCGACATTTTACCCCCAACATACTTTAGCAAAGAGTGATTTGTTGCGGCAATTTCGTCAGTTTCCTTGGGCGCTCTATGATCCATCCATAGAATGATGTTCTGAGTAGAGTCTTCCCAGTTTGGGCCAACAGCAATTGGCTCTAAGTTATCGTCGCAAACGACTAAAGAGCACGTTGCATCAAAAGCGAGCCCTTTGATCTGAGCGGGTTCTACGTTTGCATCCTTGAGAGCTTTCTTGGTGCAATAACACGCGGCTTCCCAAATGTCTGCCACAGATTGGTTGAAGTAGTCTTGCTTAGGTTCCCATCGTTTGATGTCCTTGCTAGCCAATGCTACAATTTCACCACTTTCATCCATGATGCATGCCCTTGCCGAGCCTGTTCCCACGTCTATTCCGATGTACATGTCAACTGCGATCAAAAGGTCCGGGCCCTCCGATCGTCTTTATATCCGGCCCAAACCCTAACGCTCGTTGACTAAAGTTGGCAGTGTGGGGAGAGCGAGTATATTGGGCTGAAGTTTGGCATGCCGAAGTTCTTTCGCGGTCATGGGTTCCTACTATGCATTGATGGCGACGAGATCAAAGCCACGAGTAACGATAAGAGTTATGGAGCCACTATTAATGGCACAACAAAAAATCACATCCTGAAATACTTGGGCATGCCGAGAGAAGAGCTCGATCTCACAATTGAGGAAGCTGACGACCGTAAAATGCTATTTTCTTTTGCAAAATCGTTTGAGGGAATGCGAATAGATGTTTGCGTGGTTGAGCTTTCGGAAATCAGTAGTATTAATGTTTTTGAGTGGGCTGTTGAAATGGCAGACTTCTTAAGCTCTCTGCAAACGACAAATGGAGACCTGGAAAACAAGATATCCCATCAAGAGAAACTACTTGACCAAATGATTGAGGCAAAAGAAAAGTACGAAGAGGAAATGCTTGAGCGGGTATGTGCGGTTTTAGATGCTCGCCATGGCGGTCATGCAACCATGCTCGACATCCTCGAGCACCGCCGTCACGAGCAGGAGGTCTTGTCCAAAGACCAACCTATGCATGTAGATGTGAAGTTGGAAGAAATTGCATCGCCTGAACTCGAAAAAGTTAAAGTTGAGCCAGTATCACCTGAGCTTGACGAGCCACTCTCAAGTGCCAGCACTAGCACTGGAACGACAGATAGCGACGCAGAAACTACACAGGATGAAAATAGTTAACCTTAACTTACAACTGAACTCATATAGCTTTAATTAGGTCTAAAATGGTCTATTTTACTAGCAATATATTTTATCAATGATCTTTTGATAGACTAAATTCAATTGATCCGTTTCCACCTCGGCGGAGTAACTATTAAATTATCGTGTTGCTGTAGTTACCAACTTTTTTTCTGCTCAGGCCTTCTTATAGATTCAATAACTCTAGCGACGTGGTCATGCATAATTTTCAGCAAAACTCTCTATAATAATCTACCACATCAGGAAAAGGGTTCGTGCAAGGACATGGTAGGGCTGAGACACTTAGCGATATTATTTTAGCTAGAAACATTTCATTCTATAGCGCTCACTCGGAATCCGACCAATAGATTACCACGGACGGAATAGCCAAAGATAAACTAGTTTTCAGTTTCATGACGCCGTGCTAGCTATAGCCGGTATCAGGGATCTGCGATCCCTACCGCAGAAATCTAGCTGTGAATATTCCGTAATTCGAGTTGCTGCAGGTGACATGGAACAAAGTTTCCCGGATGGTCAACCTTACACTGGGCAGGAGATACCCTAACGAAAGTTAGCTAGCTAGTTTTATCAGGTCATATATTAAGACGTGAACCACCCACAATCTCAACACAGTGAGAATGCTCGTAACGAAACAGCACCTAGCAGCACCTCTGGTTTCGAGTGCGACTGCACCTCTCACAAATGATCAAGACACCTCTTTGGAGTGTTGGCGGTCGTTATATCTGAGCAACTTGCCGTCAAATGCGACTGCTACATCTATTTTGAACCTGGTAACTACTGGACTGGTGGAGAATATGAGATACATACCGCACAAGAATGCTGCCTATATTTCATTTCTCGACCACGCTGCTGCATCTGAGTTTTTCACCAGCTTAATTATCAATGGGCCGGTGCTTGGCGGCAACCGCTTATTCGTTTCCTGGGCACGGGCACCTCCTCTGTCAAAGGAGGTGAAACGTGCAGTTGAAGAGGATGGGGCCTGTCGAAATGTTTACATTGGCAATCTTCCAAGCACAGTCACTGAGAATGATGTCTGCAAAGCGCTTGCCTCGTGTGGTATAATTGAGACCATCAAGGTCAACTACTCAACGCGTGTCGCCTTTGCACACTTCCAGTCAATTTCATCAGCAATTAAAGCAGTCAAAACACTCAATGAAACACCGCCGTGGAATACCTACAAAATTGCGTATGGTAAAGACCGGTGCCTCCACTTTTCAAGAATGCAGAGACAGGCAGCTGCCATCTATCTGGGCATTTCAAGTAAAAGCTTCTCTCTTGATAGCATTTCCAATGAAGCGATAGCGCGTACACTTGCTCAGCAATCCTCAGCTGCGATCACAGTTGCTACGACATCAGGTGGTATCGTAAACATCGGTAATAGATGCGTGTTACTCTCTCAATTGCCACATGACGTTCGGCTGGATGAAATCTGCAATGCAACCAGAGGCGGGGTTCTCGAGAAGATTGTCTACAGCCCCACAACCAAGGTGTGTTTTGTCACATTCATTGACCCAATTGCTGCTACTCAATTCTACGCGCTTTGGAGCTTGTATCCACTGAGCATTAGGCGACAGTCCGTTACAGTTTCCTGGGGGCCACATCCAGGGCCCTTGGAGCAATCCTTGGCAGAGGCGTTAAACCATGGGGCTACAAGGAATGTTTATCTTGGAAACATCTCACCAGAATTGAGTAAATCTCAGCTGCTCGAAGATTTCTCCAAGTTTGGTGAGATTGAACAAATAAACTTTTTACCTGAACGTATGTGCGCATTTGTGAATTTCACCGATATCAGGTTTGCCATGACTGCAGTGGAGAGTGTTCCAAAGCTCTCAAAATATAGAAATGTGCGTATCCGATTCGGCAAGGATCGATGTGGACGCCAGCCCCGCTTGCTTTACGGAGGTCGACTCACTGAAAATATGCCACTGGGTTGGGTATTATTTGAATATTTGACAAAATCACAACCCTTTTACGCTCATACAGATGGAAGGGGTCCCAATGGACCCATAGTGCCGGCATTTTCTGGGGAGCATCAAATGAAGTAGCGAAATGAACCTAATAAACTAAATCACAATTTGAACACAACTTTGCGGTGGGGCCTTAGTGGCCGGCTAGCTGTCATTTTCCTCTCTGTCCGTTTAGCTTGTGCGGGCGAATCTTTAGAGAATATATCGTACTGCTGTTCTGCACCTCTAAAATCAAACGGATCACTGGACGGTAACGTTTGTGGGTACGTGGGGCTTCCGTTTTCATCGACAATGTGTGCGCAATATTTTCTATTTGGTGATTGTCCTGTTGTAAACGCAGGGAGGCCATCTTCGACGTCGATGGTGCCTCCATGCATAGAACTATCGCTGTAAACCGCCCTGTCGGAATCTGCAGGCATTGGGAGGGGTAAGAGGCTCTTCCCACGATTGAGACCTCGTATATTAACAACAGAACATTTTGTTGTACTCCATCAACATTTTAGTTGTCTTTATAGCTCTATATGCTCATAGCGATAAACTATCAACTTATCGGTTCGGCACGTGTGTGGAGGTGCTCTCAACATGTGCATTAATCATCCCGAGAGACCCCCTCCAAACTTACTCTCTTCAATAATGTTCACCGAAGAAGTTGTAAAAGTCAAGGGTATTGAAGGCACGTTAGCAACACCTTCAGGTCATGTTGCGGTTCCTAGAATTGTGTTTATTTTACACGGAGTTGGCGGACACCGCGATTACTGCTACCAAAAAGAGCTCGGCCAGGCCCTTCCGGCCGAGACTGGAATTTCAACTTTTCGCTTTGATTTTAGAAATTGCGGTAACTCAGACTTCATCCCTAATCCCAAAGAAGGACGTCGGATTGCAGGAACCGATAAGGAAGATATGGATGCTTTGTATGAGCACTTTTGTCAGAATCTGGGGTATCAGCTCGTGGCGGTTGTAGGCCATTCCCGAGGCGCATCAGTCATGTTTGCGTGGGCCGTCAACCACCCTGAGATCTATATTCCAGATCTCATCAACTGTTCTGGCCGTTTTGATGCGTGGATGTACAAGGAAAAAGTGCTTCGGAGCCATCCCACCCTGGAAGTGGACGGTGGATATCATCTTCGCGCTAAGCGGTACGAGAAATATAGCGACGAGTGGATTCCATTGGCTGAGGTGAATGACTTTTCTGATCAAATCTCACCTAACTATGGCAAGATTGCTGAGAGAACACAGGTGTTTACTATCTTTGGCAGCCAAGACCATATTGTTCCAGTTGCCGACTCTGCCAAATGGGCCAATCTTTTTGACGGTCGGCATACTTTACAACTGATTATGGGTGGTGACCACAATTTTTATGGTGGCCGTGGTCCCGATAATAAAAAGATTTCTTACAATCCTCAGGTTGTGCGAGCGATTGTGAAGTATCTCTCGCCTGACGAGGAGTACCAGCGGTTCTACAAGCAGAACCTGTTTTCAGCGAAAACTTCTCGTTGGAAAAATATCGAAAATGTGAACAATTTCCGTGATTTTGGCGGATATCAAAATGTAAAGCCCAATGTGCTGTTCCGCTCATCTGGCTTGCAGGACATTACTGCTACTAGCATGAGACAGCTTCGCGATCTTGGCATTAAGTATATTTTTGATTTGCGAAGCAGCATAGAGGTCCAAAACCATCCCACGCCAGACATTCCTGGAATTACTAGACTGCATATTCCTGTTTTTGAGAACAAAGACGTCTCCCCCAAGGGCTGTACGAGATGTTTAGCAACGAGAAGATCCAAGGTGTGTTTACAAATGTTTACCTAGACATGCTGAAAAGCGGAAGTGCTGCGTTCCGCAAAGTATTTTTGACTCTTCGAGACTACCCTGACCAGCCAATTCTTATCCACTGCACTGCAGGAAAAGATCGTACCGGTGTTCTCAGTGCACTGATTCTGCTGCTGCTCGGGGTAGAGCGGGAGATTGTTGCCCGAGAATATGAACTTACCACGACTGGTCTAGAGCAATTCCGGCTGAAAATTATGGATATGTACAAGATGACCCCTGACCACGAGGATTTCAACAAGTTCGAGTTGTTACTAAGTTCGCGCTATGGCGCTATGCAGGCGACAATTACAACACTAGAGACCGAGTGGAAAGGGGCGGCTGCTTATTTGAAACAAGAATGTGCATTGACCGACGGCGATATTGCAACTATTCGCCACAATCTCCTCGTTAGACCAGCCAGCCACTTATAGAGCAAAGAGCGAAGCCAGTCCTATCTGTATCTATGTATACATAATGTCGACCTGGGAGCAACCGTTGTATATCAGTTTAATCGGTGCAAGCTGTAGTTGCGCACAACGAAAATGGAGGCACGCCCTCAACGCAACGCGGCCGTGGGATTCAGTACACTTGTAGGCATTTATCCAACTTGAAAGAACTTAATTGATAGGCTAAATCATTTCTTAAACCCGCCCCGCTTAGGCATGGTAGCTAAAAGATAAAATCCTGCTGCATGCAGCCCAGACTGTATTACATAACTCCTGAAGCCATCTTTTTTAACTCTACCTTATATTTCCCCCTTTCTAGCTTTTTTTCCCCTCAGAACGCGTCAAAAATAGCATGAGTGGAGAATTGATTATTACATTTGACGACGGAGCGAAACATGAAAACGTCTCTGTAGCTGGTGAGTTCACTGGCTGGAACCCTAGTCACATGCAACTGGTGTCAGGTACCAAGTTCAGCGCGAGCTTTTCCAACAACATTCACGCTGGCCACGACTACATGTACAAATTTGTGGTTGATGGCGAGTGGAAGTTACTAGAGGGCCACACCACCAGGACGGATTTGGAGGGTAATGTGAATCACGTGGCTACCGCCACAATTGTTGAATCGGACAAAGCACCTGCGGCTGCGCACACTCCTGGAGTCGTTCCAGTGGCCATTCACAGGGAGGGCGCGGAGCACCGTTCGCTGAGTGAGATGAAGGCGCACGATCGCCAGCGCGCTCAGTACTTGGCGCAGCAAATCGAATCTGCTGAACACAGGGAAAAGCAGAAGGATTCAGAGGAAATCGCTAAGGACCGCGCTCATCTTGGTTCCGTCCAGGCGGGTGCTACCACCCATATCGACAATGCAGGAGGGTTTACTGAAGCGCCTTCCACCCCTTCGAAAGAGCGCAAGGACAATTCTGTTCGCGATATATTTGAGGAGAGCGATATCCCTCCTGCCACGGATCCTGATTCCACAATTGGATCCGCATATACTCCGGACAAGTCCTGGAGCTCTCCTGCTCGTGCCAATGCCGAGGTTGTCGGCCCTTCTGGAGTGAGCACTCCACCCAGAGTCTCCGGTAAGGACAATGGCTCGATCTCTGACCTCAGCGCCCCGGCTACTCCTACTACCAAGGCCGCCAAGGTTCCTGCATCCAAGCCTACCGATCCCCCTAGCCAGGTTACCGAGTCCGCTGCCCAAGCCACCGAGTCCACTGGCCAAGCTGGCGAATCCGCTGGCGAGTCCGCTGGACAGTCCGCTGGACAGACCACTGAGTCCGCTGCCAAGGCCACCACTTCTGCAGACAAGCCTGTCAACACTGACAGTGCCAAGAAACAAGAGAAAGAAAAACCCAAGCGCGGGTCTCTACGCAAGTTTTTTCGCAAGTTCATGGACTAATCGGCGAGTTGTAATTTTAGGCTTGTTTACAATGCTTTCTTGTCCGCCTGTATTATTTTTTCTGGTTTATCCGAATAATCGAAGTTTGAGGCGGCTTTTTGGATCGGGCTAATAGTGTGGATGGAGTGGTCCCTATAGATGTTGTTGCGGAGTGACACTAAATCTCTGTAAATGAAATAGTTTACTTATTTCCAGTTTTTTTTGTTTTGCTCAATCACTCAATTAGCGATTTGCTGGTATTTGCTGTTGTATTTTCCCCGGCCATTGCTGCGAGTATTGTATGATCCAGTCATGTTGGGTATGTCCTTACACCCTGTGTCAGACAACTGACGATAGTGCCCACAGTTTGGAATTAACGCAACCGTTGGAATGTAGAATGCGCGGCCAAGCAAACAAAATATACGAAAAGGATCTAGTGGAGAAGTAAAGGCAAGAGGCAGATTATTGACAGATCTAAGGCTACGTGAGGGGCTATCACTGAGTTTCATGTTGCAGACAAGCCCACCGCATGGCCAAACAAGCTAATTGTCGCCTACAGCCCGGTACGAGATGTGCATAGTTGTTGTAGCGACCTCCTGCATTGCAGGAAAGTACGTACAGGAGAAGTCCCAAACGGGACAGATGGCCCTAACCCGAATAAAAATAATGCGGCCCCTCTGCAGCAACCCAAAGGAACTTTTGGAAGGCTCTGGTTGCAAAGAGGATTCTGGTTGTTTCGAAATATATCTAGACTAAGTACCACACATACAAGAAATAATACAGATATAGCACAAAGAAACGGGGGGTGGGTAAAGAGAAAACAGGCACACCTTGTTCGTTTTGGATAAGCTTCTAAAAGGGCAAATAATTAGGATACTTAAAAGATCGACCAGATTGCCGGGATGTAAAAAAGAGAGATCTTCAGAAGACCAAAAAATATAGAATTTGAACTTGTAAATAAAATACAAAACAAGCTCAGGTCGTTGTACAGTTTCAGTGAACCGCAAAAACACAAACGAAGTGAAAGGGGTGTGTGTAGTCGTTGCGCAAACAGAACACCGATCATAAAAAGGGTATAAATCCCGATGCCGGGAGGCGCACCTTTCTGGCCCGATCGCTTGGCTTCAAAAACAACATTAAAACGGGGACAAGAGTTTTTTCACGACGAGGTCAGAGGAGGATGAAGCTGGTAGTCCAGATTGAAGGTACCATCGAATAGGGCCTACAAGCATCTTGAATACACTCAATTGCTGGCAATTTAAACCTGGGACATGGTGGGGACACCAGTGCGGGGAGGAGCCCGACGGCGGCCGGGGAGGCCAATGCGGCTCTCGCCCTTCCACAGGGCCAGGAAGTCGACGACGAAGAGGATCAAAGCGACGAACCAAGCAAAGTACAAAAAGGCACAACCGGACTGGGCAAGGCGGCAGTCACGCTTGGAGCCATTGAAGTACTTGAGGCGGTACCACTCGGAGCCGCAGCTGTGGCAGTGGATCTTGGCGGCAATGGCGGTACCACCGGTGAAAAGGAAGACCCAGGCGCAGAAGTCGAGGAAAGCGGTGATGACGGGGAACTGGAGGAACTCAATAAAGTCTGCGGCGAGGCCCCAGAGGGAGACAACGACACCGAAGGCAGCGGAGAAAACAGCAAACTCAACGCGGGGAGAGCTGGTGTCTTTCACCCAGCCGCCGGTAAGACCAAGGGCGATAGTGGAGAAGACAAATAAGAGCACACGGCAAATGGGATCTACGATGTTGACCATATTAAAAAGAGAAGATGTAGTAAAATCTTGCAGGGAACTATCTGCTTATATACATCTATGGTGGCGCTGCAAGCAAGCTGTCCTATTCAAGTCAGAAGCAAACAAAGCTGCAGGCTGATGCAGTATGCATGTGCAACCCAGTTACCACATTCGGTGGGCGTCGGGCATCCTCAGGTACTCAACCGACAATGGCAGCGGCTAATAATCGCCTTGATTGCTTTTTGATATTTGACCTAATTCGATTCCCCAGCTTTTTTTCGCCGAGCCCTGCCCAGATTCACTCCGAATGCGGTCCCACCCGACCATCACACGTTGTAAACCCGAACCTCCACCGGCCGCCTGCAGCCAAACACCTTTGCCAAGGCGCATCCTCATCTGGGCAGCGACCCACGAAACCGATACCTGCGGCAGTTTGGCGGAGCCTTTTGTCAAGCAATAATCGATGCTGCAACTGCCCACACGCAGCAGAATCTAGGAAACCGACGATTTTTAAAATATTTTATCCTTCATGCCCCAACCAGTTTGAAGTGGCCTGGAATGTCTCGCGCGGCTATGGGCTGCCTCCAGAGAATTTTCTTTTCCATCGGCATGGTGGACATATTGCTGTGTATGAAAAGCAACGAGATATGCCTTATGTCATCATGCATGGCTGACAAAGCTATGCCCTCCATGCCGATTCAGCAATGTATGTAGAGGATTATTGTGTAGATGCTCATTGATGCCAATGAGTCTTCTCCACGAAACGCGCTCTCGCTTATTTCGGACCGATTTTTTTATTCGGACTAACTGAAATCGCTACCTATTTATTGTACATCGTCTCACATACATACCGTCGACTACACACACCGAGCGAATGTTTGCTTTCAAATGTTGTAGTCAGACTCCGCTTTCCCCATGACAACTGATCAAAGCAGCTAACGGGTCAGCAGCTCTTGTCCAAACGCTCCTAAATAACTGGGGGGCATATTCACAGGTAAAGGTACTATATCAGGCGGAACATAGGTTTAGCTGTATTTAATATAACTTCATCGTAGTACAAGTACACTTTTCCGTTCACCTGCCTAGCGTGTTCCCTCTATAGAGGTTTATTTTGCATGTTTTTTTCAGTCTCCCGCAGATGCTTCGCTCGGTTAACTTTTGGGAGGGTGATTAGCGGGGGTCCATAATACCCCTGCCCTCAAGTATGTCGTCCCATCATGAAATGCAGGCACATGCATAGACCGCCATACTCTTTCTGGTCTGTGTTCGGAAGCTTTTTGAAATCTCGCTCGCTCGCTAAAACATATACCACTAAACCACATCGTGCCACCTGTGACCCCCGTAGAAACTACCCGATGCTATACTGGCACTCTCCGTACCGTCCAACGCCGTCTCGTGCTCATACCAACCGACCAAATAAAAAAGGTTTGGTGACTCAGCAGATGCACGCGCCAAGTGCCTTTCACGCAGTTCCAGCTCTTAAATCCGGATTAGGGCCAAAATTCTGCGAGCCTGGTAAAGATGCTCGTTAACCATGGTTCGGGACTCGAAAAGCTTAAGGAGGAACTTTACCGTTTCAAGCCTGATAACCTAAGTGGTGAGATCGCCTTTGATCAAACTCTGGTCGTCACCGACACCGACTGGGCAGGTGCAACAAAGGCCGCTATCACAGTGAGCGAGCGACTTGTCCAGCTAGAACTAGACCAAAAATGCATCCCCGCCTCGGACGGTCTGGATTACTGGCAGTCCTGGTACGATGCAGGATTCTCGGCCGCCGGCTTACTTTGGGTCCGGCCCCGGATCTTTAAAGGATACGCTCAGATATTCCGGGTTGGGCGGGGATCTCAGGTGCTCAATTCTCTGAGGCTCCCCCATATCCCAATTAATACGTCGAGCCTGGGGCACATGCTGTTTTCAATTGCGAAATGGGTATCGTTGAATCTCAAAAGAGTCAAGCTGCTGCTGGCCAGACCGTTTGCTGCCGAAATCGACTCTGAACGGCAAAAATCCTTTTTGATTCAACGAGAATCGGCTAAAAGAATAGGCACGCTGCTGCTCAACCCGTGGAGCTTTGGCAATGGTGAGACCTATGAAGACGTGGTTAAAAATACGGTTCGTATTATGGCCCAAGCGTATGATCTCAATTCAACCTTGTCTGCAAACTGCTCGCCCAAGGATATTCTGACGCAGTTGCAAAGCATTCTGGACCAAGCAAATGTCAAAAAGGCTCCCACAGATCTTATCCCGCCCCTATGGCAGCGGTGCTGGCCGGCCGGCTTGATTAGTATCTATGCCGCCCTGTCGGTACTAGGAAACTGGCAGGCAATCATTGAATGGATTGAAACTTCTATACTGGATACTGTCAGGGCATTTTTCCTCAATTGGGTCGTTTCACCTCTCCACACTGTGTACAACACCATTCGCCATGATCCAAATAGTACTGTTGCGCTAATGGGCAAACAGAGTCTCATGAGTGACCTGGACAGCCTGGAGCGTATGGTTACCGACTTTGTTGTTCAACAAGATGGCGGGCTAAGCCCTGAAGGGCTCAAGGCTGTCCGTGAAGCAGCAAGACAGGGCGATTTGTCTCCGGTCTTGAGGGTTTACGAAAAACAGATCCAATCGCCAATCAGCTCACTCATTACAGGAGGGCTTATACGAACGCTGTCCATTCAAATCCAAAAGGCCAAGGTTGACGCTGAGATCACAGTCGCCGGTGTCGATAAGATGTTACAGAGCCAGCAACTGGTTTTCGGCCTAATTGCGCTTCTCCCTGGCCTCTTTGTGGTTCAGCGACTCGTTGGATATTTAGCCAAAACTTTGTTTGGGCGTTCGCAGACTAAACAGCTCTTCGCCTGGCGGTCAACCAAGGAGCAGCTTATGGTGCGCTTGGGAAACATTGAGCAGCTTGCTAATGGACGCGACCAGTTTGAAGAAACAGAGATAGGACTGGTATTTGCCGAGGTCGCCCGATTAAAGGCGGAAAGTAGGCGAGTGTTGTCCAAACGGCGGTTCCGGTTGTTCAGTGCAGATCTTGATCAATTGGTGGGCGTTCAAAACACCGCCGAGCTCAAAGAACGGTTCCTCATGCTGTATGCCAAATTTGCTGCTCTAGAATCTAGCAATATCGGCTCAAGCGGGCTCATTTAGTCTATTTTAGCCGTTTATGTAGGGTAGATGGAAAACGAGGCTTTGCATATATTACGTGTTGAAGGCGCTTCTCCCGCTTCGTGCTTCCGCCTCCGCATCCGACTTCATTCCTGCCATGTCGTCTGCCTCTCAGCAGTCCCTGGAGACTATTTTGGCCGAGCTCGACAACCTAAAATCGGCCAGTGTGCTTTCCGACGAAAAGTTCTCGTCTTTCACAAGGGCGTTCAACGAGCTGCTAGATCAGGTGAAGCTGGATCAGGCGAGAGCCGATAGTCGGATTTTTGTAGAGGCGAAATACGAGTTTGTTGGGACAGAGGCGAATGATTTGAGCTTGAAGCCGGGTATGAAGATTGAAGTGCTCGAAAAGCTTAATGCCGACTGGTGGCGCGGCCAGGCAGTGGATTCGGGCACCGTGGGCATTTTCCCCAGCAACTACATTGAGGTTATTGAGTCCAAGAACGCCGCCACGGCGAATAATACCATTGCTGAAACCCCTGCCAAGAAGTCCGGCTATTACGGCAAGAAATCGGAGTCCGATCCGAAACCGTTCAATCCCAAGACGCAATACAGCCCCCCTCCAAACTACCAAGTGCAGTCGTTTGACAATCAGCACTCAAACTACCAGCATCCATCTCAGCTGCAAGCTCAGCATACTCAGCCACCTGTTCAATACGAACAAGAGTACCCCCAGCAGCCCGTCATTGTCGAGCAGCAGCCACAAAGAAGACACCACCCAGTTCTGCACAGGTTTGGAGAAGCAGCAATTTTCGGCGCAGGTGCTGCAGTCGGTGCTGATATTGTCAACAGTATTCTTTAATGTAGTGTGTTACATCTTCGATCTATTTAACCAACTATTCATTTTTCACGTTATCCCACGCTTACCTAGAAAAGTTTCACTTTGCAATGCACCGGGACAGTTTGGTGCCTGTGCTTGTTAGCTCGGCAGTCTCAGTGTGTGCGACGCTTGCGTGTGTTTCATTACTGCTGAAATCGAGAAATGAGCCCGTTGATTCTGGCCCTAAACAGCCCAAACCGGCAGCACAGAATTTTGATCAGGAAATCATCAACGAGCAGCTGGCGAGAAACCGCGCCTTTTTGGGCGAAACCGGAGTAGCCTGTATTCGCAAAACCAAAATTGTTGTGGTCGGAGCAGGCGGAGTTGGCTCATGGGTCGCCACGATGCTTGTTCGTAACGGCATCGGACGGCTGAGGGTCATTGATTTCGATCAGGTCACGTTGTCGTCACTGAACCGGCACTGCTGTGCTACGCTGGAGGATGTAGGTACATCAAAAGTCAATTGTCTGGCTGCATATCTGAATAAAGTTTGTCCGTGGGTGGAAATCGAGCCCATTAATGCCCTGTGGACCAAAGACAAGACCAACCTGCTAGACGGGGCAGACTACGTGGTGGATTGTATCGACAACATTGACACAAAAGTTGATTTGCTTGCCTACTGCTATCACAATCAGATCCCCGTGATTTCCTCAATGGGTGCGGGTTGTAAAGGTGACCCCACACGGGTTGAAGTCGCGGATATTTCTCGCACTGCTGAAGACCCCTTGAGTCGAGCCACAAGAATCAAGCTGCGCAAGCGAGGCGTCAAACAAGGAATTCCTGTTGTATTCTCCAGTGAAAAGCCCGGCAAAGATAAAGCCAAGCTTCTGGACCTCGAGGAAAGTCAATTGGAGGAGGGAAATGTCCACGAGCTGTCGGTCTTGCAAGACTTTCGAGTACGCATTCTGCCTGTTTTGGGCCCACTTCCTGCTCTGTTTGGTTTAACAATTGCCACACATCTTTTGACTCTTCTCGGTGGCTACGATTCTGTGTATGACCCGCTTCTTGGTGGTTATTCGGTTGCTGGCAAAAACCGTACCAAGCTTTACGAGAGCTGCTTGCATAGCGTGGTTGGACAAATGGCCCGTATGAAGTGGACTGAGGAGCGCGAGACGAGCGTGAGCATCGACGATGTTGCCTACCTCATTGAAGAGGTTTGGAAGGGCAAGACCATTACTGGGCAGTACAACCGGCTGCATTTGACGGTTTGGGACCCAGCAAAGCCTCGCGATATTCACAACATGGTTCCTGTTAATAAAGAGCAGCAAGCGGCCCATGAGGAAAAAGTGTTCAGGCAGAAGCTTCCCTTGGAAGAGGTTTACTCGGCCGAGGTGCTTGATCTCGTCATGCGTCGACAAAAACTTGACCAGTGGTATGAGACTTTTCGAAGCAACTAAGTTATAATCATGCAATTCGTGTTAAGCTACGGTTAAATACATTGTTCAATTCTAGATCCGCAATAAATATTTTGCCTTTTCATAGACGAAAAATGAGCAGGCGAACATTGGAATAACTTTAATGTAGCCAATACTCAATCCAATAAAAAAGCCGCGTACACCGCTTTCTTTGAAAACAGTGGCGGCGGTCTGAGCAATTGATTTTCGCGCATTGTTGATGCCAGCAACCTGCATTCGGCGGCGCACAATCTCCAGTGGGTATGAGGCCGTCTGAGCAAGCATTCCCGAGGTACCACCGGCAACTAGCTCTGCCCAGTTTTGTAGGGGGGCTTTTCCGTCCATTCTAGGCTTCTTTTCCGAATCTACAGCAAACCGTCGCAGAAGTTTTGACCGCAAAATGTCGTGGCAGGTGTCGTGGGCCAGAAAAGACACGCCCGCGTACGGAACCATGCCAATAACGGTAGGGATAAATCCAGAATAGTAATTAGAGATGCGAAATTTTTCTGAAGCTTGATATCCAATACCTTTTATAGCTTTTAGCAGGCGATGGCGGCTTTTGTCGTGGGACCGGTATGCGAGCTGGACCCGGACAACATCCAACGGATATGTACAGAAGACGGACGCCACGCCGGAAATGGACCCCGAAAGGAATCTTCTAAAGTGAGTTTCGTAGTCTTTGGATGGAATGCAGACGGCTCTGACCTGTTCATACGCAACGAACTTGATGGCCGCGTACGGGAACACACGGAGCAGGGTGACGCTGTGGCCACGGAAAAGCCCGAGCGCACCCTCGCTAGAGAAAATGTGCGAGAGTGCTCTGTTCAAGCCGAAAAACGAGCCCGCGTACTTTACGAACTCGGGGTTTTTCGTTTGGAACAGAATTTTCACCCGATCGAGAGGGGCGATCAGGGTTTTGGCGGCACATCCGGCCAGCCCACCAGCAAGACCGGATCTCACAACATAGTCAACCGTCTGCTTCTGGATAGGTTCTATTCCAGTGTCTATTGGGGCCGCCTTTGACTGGCAATCATCCGGTATACCCGCTTGATGATTTGCCATAGAAAGATGCGGGGAATTAGTCAGGCGAAATGCCGGAACCCCAGCTTTTATATGACCCGAGCAGGCAGAGGGATACAAAAGATAGGAAACAGCGGCACAGACTATTTTGTGTATAAAAAGGCCGGCATCGTTTTTGAATTTGTAGGAAAACAGAGATTTATTGATGTTTTTTTTTTTTCTAGGGTACTTATTTCCAAATAGCTAAATTAGTCGGGCAAACACCTTACAGCTTGGCAGACTTGCGGCTAACCGTGCACTCAATGTGACCGTTGGGGTCGGTCTGAGGAGCGTAGACCTCAGCATCCTTGCCGGTGTTCTTGAGGCCGTGGTGCCACGAGAGGTCGACCTCGAAGTAGTGCTTGTTGGGCAGGACAAAGGTGACCGTCTCGATGGGCGCGAACTTGTCAAGAATTGACTGGGAGATGTTGTACATGGTCGCCTGAACGGAAGCAGAGTTCTCCAAAGCAAAGATCTCCAGGGTCTGGTTGCGAGCGCCTGCCCAGGCGGCATCGAAAAGGCCCTCGGTAGCCAGCTTGGTGACGGCGGCCAAGTCAGGAACACTTCTGGGGTTCCACTTCCAGGAAGCATCGATATCGGTGGACAAGATACGATCGTAGGTATCCTTGAGAACCGTGTAATCGTCAGTGTGGAAGTCGTAGAACATAGAACCAGTTGACTTGAGAACGGTCAGGCCGGCGATGCCCGAGGTGATCTGGTAGGGCTGGCCCTCCCGCTTGTACAGAGAGACATTGCGGGTCTCAACGCCGTCCTGCATGAAGGAATGGGGGTGAGGCTTGCCCTGGACCTCGTAACGGGTCCAGCGGTACTGCTGAATGTCAACATGAGCACCCCGAATGTGGGGATAAGTGGTCACAAAGTGATCAGCGAGGCGAGCGCCGAAAAGCTCAATAGGCCAGACCTCACCTTTCTTAGCAAGAATGTAGGTGGTCTGCTTAACAGTGTCAGTGGGCACCACGACCTTGTTGTTGGCTGCCGTGTAAGAAGAGTCGATATCACCCTCCAGAAGACAGCGCACGCGGAGTTCAATGACATCCTGCTTCTTGGGATCCTTGGGGTCACGCTTGACCTTCAAGAGACGAACATTCGCTTTACCGTATCGGGCTTTAACAACAGTCATGATTAACTTATCAAGAGTATGCTAGCTTAGGACGATTACCATGCCTTTTAACCTCTACGAGCAGGGCCAGGGTTCGGTGATTACCGACGGCACAACCCGCAGCAGGAAATAGTGAATTCACAAGCATGAAAAGATCAAATTTTTGTGTGCTCAACTAGCGCAGCGTATTACAGTACTACGGCCTGGTTTCGACTAGGCATTACTATCGCTTCTGTTTTGTTAATGATCGGAATCGTTTCTGAGACCTCAGCCGTGGGTTGGGAACTCGCTCTGGGACCTTATCTCAATTTGCAGCTAGGAGAAAGTCGCACCCAGGGCCCGAGAGAGGGCGCAATTAAACCGTTTGCGGGCCCACTGTAGCACATATGGTGAGTGTGCAATCTCCGCACGGACATTTCCTTCGCAGCCACCTGGCGCGTGGCCTCTCAATGCGAACCGCTAGCCCATGCAGGGCAGACGCACTAGCCCATCGGTATACTCCTATGCATAGTGGCATGATTCTGAGGACATCGCATCCCCGCAAGTTTCCGGCTGGCACACATATGTTTTGTTGAAGAAATACGTGAAAATGTACACCCCATTGTTCCCTTTGTGTTTGGTATCTGGGGCAAATGCGTCCACCCGCTGACAGTCCCCTCACTTGTGCTTCCTAATCTACACCCATACGTCATATGATACTTGGATGACTCTCTGTGCAGGAAAATAATCCCTTTGATTTGTCAACTGAACAAATCTGCCTTAGTATATAAACTAAACTATTTATTCGTAGATCCAGTCGAAAGTGGCGGGCTTGTAGCGGAAGACCTCCTCGGGCTTGAACCACAGAGAAATCTCCTTCTTGGCGGACTCGACAGAGTCCGAGCCGTGGCAGACATTGCGACCAACATCAATGGCAAAGTCACCGCGAATGGTGCCCGGCTGGGAAGCCAAGGGGTTGGTGGCACCGAGGATGGTGCGGCCAGTCTTGACGACGTCCTTACCCTCCCAGACGGTGGCGACAACCGGGCCGGAGCGCATGTACTTGAGCAAACCAGGGAAGAAGGGCTTCTCCTGCAGGTCGGCGTAGTGCTCACGGAGCAGCTGCTCGCTGGGCTCGGCCATCTTCAAGGCGACAAGCTTGTAGCCACGCTTCTCGAAGCGGCTGATGATGGGGGCGACGAGGCCACGCTGAACGCCGTCAGGCTTGATCATGATGAAGGTCTGCTCGGAAGCCATTTTTGTAAGGTGGAAAAAAAAGCTGAGGTGGAGCGGCTGATTTGCTTAGGAAGCGACTTTGAACTTCCGGGTAAGCTGCCCTTGGCGCGGCGGCAGTTGTTTGGAGCAAGCAACCTCAGCACATAATAATAGGCAACCTGGTGACAGGGGGTGTACCGTGGGATATAGGGAGCTTGGTATCGTGTTCCCCTCTGATTACTTAACCGTTGGCGTTGGAAATTTATCTAAATGCAAGGCCAAGTTTGCTTGTTGGGAATCGGGCGTAGATCTTAACAGCTCAGACAAGTCAACACAAGCTGCAAATGTAATTCTAACACCTGCACGCTCTTGGATCCCGCTGCACACGTACGTGGCGTGAAAATCAAGTCAATTGTCTCGAGTATGCTCCGCCCTGAGAGCAAACTCGTGAGTAGCCAGCGCAAAATTTCATGCTGCCTGCAAATGCGCCATGCAGTTAATAAGCACTAAATATCCGGCCGATCCCCTTCATCAGTCATAAATAGTTTTATTCCCATTACCAGGCACAACGGAACTCGTTAGTCGCTAAAACACAAACATGATTTTCACCTCCAGCCAGCCAACCTCCAACATCCAGTGGCTGTCAAGTCTCGACACTGAGATTGAGCCCGAGGTCAACTTCCGTAAGTGCTCAATTATTGGCACGATCGGGCCTCACACCAACAATGTCGACATGCTGGTCAAGTTGCGCAAAGCTGGCCTGAACATTGCTCGTCTCAACTTCTCACACGGCACCCACGACTACCACCAGACTGTCATGGACAACTGTCGTAAGTCTGAGCAGGTCTACGCCGGTCGTCCCCTTGCTATCGCTCTCGACACCAAGGGCCCTGAGATCCGCACCGGTGTCACTGTTGACCAAGCTGACTGGCCATTGGTTGCTGGCCATGTGCTCACCATCACTACCGACAAGGCATATGAGAACAAATGTGACGGCAATATCTTGTATGTTGACTACGCCAACATCACCAAGGTGCTGAGCCCTGGCAAGTTCATTTACGTCGACGATGGTGTGTTGCAGCTCGAGGTCGTCGAGATCCCTAACGAGCATACCGTGAAGGCCAGAGCTGTCAATTCTGGCTCCATTTCCTCTCGCAAGGGTGTCAACCTGCCCAACACCGATGTCGATCTGCCCTCTCTGTCTGAGAAGGACATTTCTGATATCAAGTTTGGTGTCAAAAACAAGATCGACATGATCTTTGCTTCGTTCATCCGCAGTGCCGATGACATTCGTGCCATTCGCAAGGTTCTTGGTGAGGAGGGCAGAGAGATCCAAATCATCTCCAAGATCGAGAACCAGCAGGGTGTCCGCAACTTTGACGAGATTCTCAAAGAAACTGACGGTGTCATGGTTGCTCGTGGTGATCTTGGTATTGAGATCCCTCCTTCTCGTGTCTTTTTGGTCCAGAAGCAGCTTATCGCCAAGTGCAACCTCGCAGGCAAACCTGTCATCTGTGCTACCCAGATGCTCGAGTCCATGACATACAACCCCCGTCCCACTCGTGCTGAAGTCAGTGACGTCGGTAATGCTGTTCTTGACGGTGCCGATTGCGTCATGCTTTCCGGCGAGACTGCCAAGGGCAAGTACCCTATCGAGGCTGTCAACATCATGCGTGAAACCTGCTTGATCGCTGAGCAGTCTATTGCATATCTTGCTCTCCACAATGAATTGCGCTCTCTGTCTAGATGCCCCGCCTCAACCTCTGAGACCGTTGCCATGTCTGCTGTTTCTGCTGCATTCGAGCAGCAGGCCCAGGCAATCTTGGTTCTCTCTAATACCGGCAACACCGCTCGATTCTGTGCCAAGTACCGCCCTATGTGCCCCATTCTCATGGTCACCCGTAACGAGGCCGCCTCTCGCTACACACACTTGTACCGTGGTGTGTATCCATTTGTTTACCCCAAGCCCCGTCCCACTGACGCTGAGGGTTGGCAAATCGATGTCGAGGACCGTATTCGTTGGGGTATCCAGGAGGCTGTCAAGCTCAATGTTCTCAGCCCCGATGCTACCATTGTCGCCATTCAAGGCTGGAAGTCTGGTGCTGGTCACTCCAACACTTTGCGCATCATCCAGGCTGAGAACATTGACCAGATCTGATCATACATATCTAGCAAGATTAATTAATAGGCAATATTTTCTGAGCCACTCGTTCTTGCATGACTTTTGCCAAGTATTGCCAGTCCTGTGACAGGTTTAAGCTGCAGTGATTGAGGTAGTTTACCAGGCTGATAGCCTTGGTCCAGTTCCAGTCCGAATCAAATAAATAATCAACAAAATCCCGAAACTCACAAACGTCTTCGTAGTGAGGGCTTTCTGCGGATCTCATCCAGTCTCGTAAGACTTGTCGGAGACCTGCCTCGCTTGTGACTCCGCGAAAACTTACAGGCTCGTACGTAGTAACAGCGGCGGGTTCTGACCGACTCCTTGAAGATGGCACTTTTACCAGGAACTCATCTTCATGGGCCATAATCTCTCGTTTTATCTGAGATGGCAGATTATCGAAAACTTCCATATCGACTTCGACTTTGTCGGGTTGATTAACAAATTGAGATAGCGTGGTGGGTCCGCGACGACGAGATGGCGGAAGCTGTATTTTAGGCTTGTTGGGCGAGGTTGACCTCGATGCAGTCTCAAGTTGCGGGAACTTGATCGCATGGTGGGTGGGAGTTGTCGTGTCCATGAGCCGGAGCTGCAGGCCCAAGCCCCGCATATCCATAGGCGGACAAGCGAACGACTGAACACACTGAATGACCAGTGTCTTCAGCCCCTCCAAGTCCAGACCGACGACCCGTCTCGTCTTGCTTGTCACATCGCAGCGGCCGCAGCCCATATATTTCGGAGTCACAAACGGTGCATCAGCTGCTCGCCGATAAAATTTAATGGTTAAAGTCTCAGGATAGAGAGATTGAACTCTACTCCAGAGCTCCTCTGTCAAGTTTGAGGTGAATTGTGCTACTTCGTTATCGTTCAAAAGCCGAACACCCCAGCACAACTCTACCCCTACCGATTTCTGTACTTGGTCCATCAAAGATATATCATCGGAATCTTGACAATTCAAATAGTCCACAAGCTTTGTACCAACGGCGTTGCCTAGCTGATTTTTTAACGTGTTCTCGGTGACTCGTTTCAAGTGCGAATAGTTTGTGACACCTAAATCAGCGAGTTTTGCCGCAATGTGATAGCCGATTCCCGGTAAATCTCGCACTGAACAATTTGCCAATCTTTGAGGAGCCGAGGATTGAGTTAGACAAACTACGCCCGCAGGTTTTGCCAGCCTTAACGCCATTTTTGCTAAAAAGATGTTCGGCGCAACACCCACAGATGCCTCTATTCCGGTCTTGGCTTTGATTCGTGATCTCAGCTCTTGTGCTAGCTGCGAGGCGTCCGTTTTTGAGCACAAAGACGTAACGTCCACTAGGGCTTCATCAACTGACACGGCTGTAACATAGTCAGGACGGAGGTCAACAATCTCTTGATAAAGCACATCTGAGCATCTTGTGTACTCATCAAAATTATAAGACAAACACACCAGCTTTGGGCAAAGCTGAAGAGCTCTGGATACCCACATGCCGTTTTGCACCCCGAACTCACGAGCTTTGTAGTTGCACGAAGCAATGTCAGAGCTGGGACCGCCCCATGAAACACAGATGGGCTGATCCTTGAGGTCGGGTTTATCCTTGAGTGCGACGGCCACAAAAAACGAATCAAAGTCAATGTGCAATATTGTCCGCGGCGAGGGTCGCTCGGCGACCGGGAGTTGACCCGCAAGTTGCTGGCATTTTGAGCGTAACTCCGCCTTTTTAGTGCTCAAAAAATGTAGACGAGAGCGGGCGTAGTAGCTAGAGATGTAATCAGGAGCCAAGCAGTTGACTTTTTCCCGTTCCTCCAAGATGATCTGCTCTTGGGTTTCCTTGGGATCTAGCGTCGGGAGGGAGCTCTCAATCGCTCTGTAGTTTGTCCAGTCCAGCAGTTTGCCTTGATTTACACAATTGACCACCCATGCAGGTTTCACAACCTTATAATTAGCGAACTGATTATTTTTCCGCTTGGTGAGGTGCTCGGCAACTATGTGCGTTGCATACGTTTTGCCACCAAGAAAAGCGCAGATTGAGCCGCCATTGGATACAATGAGACCTTTGAGAATAGTGTGGGACGGCTCTGTTCTGCCGTTCAGGTAAATATGACAATCCTTGAATATCTGAGACCTGCATTGATTCGCTTCTCGCAGCTGGGTGTCGAGCTTGATCTGCTTGTTGCGGAAATACTGCCCGAATCCTCCAAACTCAGACGCCCCGTACTCAATATTGGTCTCGTCTCCGCTCACCTCGTGGTCGTGCAGACGTTTTGCCGCCGGGTGCATGTTCAGATCATATGTGCTTTAGGTTTACTAAGGCTTCGCAAACCCAAGCCAACTTTTTGTGGTTGCAGCATTGACTTTAAGCCGGTTATAATGTCAGCTGGAAACCGTCGACGGGGTACCAAAGAGACTCTACCGAGCTACGTTGTAGCGGACGAAGAGGAGATAGGGTACCAGACGCCTGTGAAGCGAAGTTGGCGCGAGAACCTGAATGCAGAAGTTATGCGTGAAATCGCGTTTGTAGTGTTTGGTCTACTCATTTTGATGTGGCTATTTCTTGGCGGATCGTCGTCGTCAGAAAGTAATGCCAGTTGGGCAGGTCGACCTCTTGTTTACACGCAAAGTGAGTTCATAATACCGTCGATTCCCGGCGTCGCTCACCAGGGCATAAAGAAGGCTCCTGGCGATATGAACGAGGTCCAGTCTCAGGGCGACACTCGCAATTCTCAGGCACTTGGGAATCTACCTGTTTATGTTTATTCTGGGTCCAAAAGCCCCAAAGTTGTTATTGTTACCGTCATCGACGACGCACGATATCCGAATGAGTACACGGCCAAGATCCTCGAAAATCGGCTGGAATATGCCCGGGCACACGATTATGGTGTTTTCGTCCGGTTTACAAAAGATTTCTTGCCCATCTACAAAGAGTCCAATGGTCGATCTCCCACTTGGGCCCAAGTTGGCATATCGCGCGAAGCCCTGGAGGCATTCCCAAATGCAAAGCATTTCTGGTACTTGGACCAGACAGCAATCATTATGAATCCTCTTGTTGATATCGAAAAAGAGTTTTTGGACCCGGCACATTTGGAGTCCAAGACACTGGTGAATGCTCGCGTTGTCCGGGACTCTGATGTTATCAAGGTGCTCAAGAACGATCCGAAATCCGTCGATCTCATCATTACTCGTGATGATATTGGTCTTTCGACTCTTTCTTATATTTTCAGCAACAATTACCATGTCAAAGCCATGTTCGAAACTTGGCTCGAGCCCCTTTACCGGCAGTATCAGCATTTCAGAAATTCCGAGGACGCTCTACTCCATATGTTGCAATGGCATACGATTTACATTTCGCACACTGCAGTTGTGTCGACAAAACTGCTGGCCTCTCAGGCTGAGCCTGCTGATGGACCTTTCCGCGATGAGTTGGCGTACACTGATGGGGATTTCACTGCAGTCTTCAACTGCGACTATAACACTGAAGCGTGCAAGCAGCTATTCCAACGTCTCTGGAAAGGGAGGGGCCGAATTAGATCAAAGTCTGACCGAAACTAGTATAGAAAAAAAAAAAGTTAAACGTTACTTGATATTTTAATCATAAAGAACCCAACTCACGCAAAGCAAGGGCCCGTCGTCGTTCGGCGTCGTTGTCATTGCGAGCTCTTTCATTGCTTGAAGCTACCTGTTCCTCGTCAAACGGCCGCAGCACTCTGATTTTCACAAACAGGTCGTACAGCTTTGAGGAGACATTTGCGATTGCGTTTGTTATTGGGAGAGGATAAAAGAACTTTGCAAAAGCAAACGAATCACTCTTGTCACCCTTCAAGACTGTGGAAGTGCCGTCAAGGGCCAAATTGTCCGCGACAATCGACTTGACGAACCGAAGATACCACCAGCTAAGTAATAACGAGGTCCAGCTCAATATCAGGAAGGTGGAATCGAAAGCAAGGCCAATGATAGTGTATGCCACAAGCACAGGCATAACGATATATTTAATTGGAATCTTCAGAGTGCCTCGGAAGATGTTCACCGTATGCAACGGAATCGCTTGCTTGAAGGCCACCGCAAAACCAACATGGAAAGGGACACCACCATTGATCCGACGAGACAGCAGGGATACGCCTTTTGCACTCGATGGGTCCATGAATTGGAAATACAACAGATAACAAACGAAGTTGAACAAAGGCGGTGCAATCGACAACAGAGCTAGGTACTTTACCAAAGACCGTGTCCCCCAAATCCGCTCGAAATACTGGCAGCCAAGGTACAACACTATCACAGTTGTTGCTGTGGAAAACAAAGAGCATTCAGTCCAGCTTGTTGTAATAAACGTCCACATGTGAACGATTCCAGATTCGAGAGTGAGTAGCAGGGTTAAGGTGCCGGGAACAGAGGTGAAACTGACGCTGGAAGCACCCTCATTCACTCGTTTCCATGTCCAGAACCGTATAACCAAACACACCGTGCTGAGACTTAGCTCTAACGCTAAAGCCGCCGACGTGATTACTTCTCTCATGCTGACGGATCGGGCGTCGCCTTAATTTGAAGTGCAGGCTGCACACTCTGAGGCAAGTTCAAAAGAAGCGTTGGCATCAACGCCCACGGTTTTCCACAGCACTAGTGCAATTGAATGTAAAAAAAAGGCCAGGGAAAATAAAACCCAAAAGTGGAAAAAAAGATATGAATCGTCGGAGAATCGAACCCCGGTCCTCTGCTTGGAAGGCAGAGATGATAACCACTACACTAACGATCCGCTAGTGATCAATATTATGTTGCGAAGTATATAAGACAAACTAACAGTGTAATATCAAACGCTCATACCGCTTGTTCATTTTACAATTATTTGACATCAGCCACATCAATGTGCTCAGAGCGCGCCAGCAATTTGCCTCTTGCCACTCTAACTACCTTTGGGGTTCCCGCCCAAATTAGCCATCACATGCTTACAGATATTCCCCATGCCACCTACCAAATCGAACAGTCAAAAACAATCTCGGGAGTATAAGCCGTACTCCGAGCGGAAACTCAGTCATGTTACGGCGGAAAAAAAGCGACGAGCTGCGATTAGAAGAGGCTTTGACCTTATTACAGCTGTAGTACCCGATTTGGACGTTGCTCAAAGCCGATCAGAGGCTGTCGTGCTTGAAAAGAGTAAGTACTGGTGCATATGACTGCACAGGCGCACACTGAACAATACTAACCCAGCTGTTAATTTAATTAAGAACCTCATTGAGGAGAACGAGAAGCTGAGAGCGCTAGCTCAGCAGAATGGGGTGACAGTCCCTTCTCGGTTGACATAATCTCAGCATCACGCTGGAATGGACCCCGGGTCGTTTTAATTACGTTTTGCTGTCTTGAGATCATTCTCATCTCCTCATGTATTCAACCTACGGGCTACAACACATGCCAGCGGGGGATGTGACTGACTGACTAATAGTGCCAAGCGACCCCACCCCCACAGACCAATAAAGGGAAGTCGAATTCTGGCCGGAGAGATCCGTTCTAGCCCCTACCCAACAAAGGAATGCCCCGCTAACCTTGTGCGGATGGACTTCCGACAAACACCTTTTAGTTATTTATTCCGTAAATTTAGAGAGCTCAAATAATGGGCTATGCTATGTCTCCTATCTGCTTGTGACGACCTACTATTTTATGCAATGTTTTCTGTCTCTGCCCCCATAAATGACTACCGCACGACTCATGGTCCCTGCAGCAGGGATTTGATAAGACTACTGATAAATATCCTCTCAACATCTCCAGGATCAGATCTCCACAAATATGTCAAAACAAACATTGGAGTTTTATCTTAACGGTAAGAAGCAGGTTCTGCATGCTGCGGACCCAACTATGACGGCTCTAGAGTACGTCCGCTCCGTTGGTCTCACCGGAACTAAACTGGGCTGCCAGGAGGGTGGATGTGGCGCATGTACTATGACGATCTCAGAATGGGATCCTGAGCAGAACAAGCCAAAGTACTATGCAATCAATGGTTGTATTGTTCCACTCATTCTTGTCGACGGCAAACACCTCATCACAGTGGAGGGCATCGGAAATGCCGAAAACCCCCACGCGGTTCAAGAGCGTATCGCCAAGTTCCATGGTTCACAATGTGGCTTCTGCACGCCAGGTATTGTCATGAGCTTGTACTCACTTCTACGTAACACTGACGGCAAGCCCTCGCGTGAGCAAATCTCAGAGGCCTTTGACGGCAACCTCTGTCGCTGCACTGGCTACAAGCCTATCATCGACGCAGCCGAGACATTTGTGTGCGCGAAAGGAGCCGACTGTTGCAGAAACAAGAAGTCTGAAACTGATGAACCGGTTGCTAATGGTAATGGGGTTGCTAATGGTCACAGCTTTGTCGATGATCTGGCAACTGAGATCATAGAAGAGAGCCTTGCAAACGGGAACGGCAAGCCAAATGGCGTTAGTCACAGTAACGGTCATATGAATGGCGCTTCAGAGTGCTCTAAAGGGGCTAATTGCTGTAAGAAGGGGTCTGTGAGTGATGAGGCTGCAAATGGTGCCAAGAAAACGTTTAAGACACCAAATGGCCTCGAACTTAAAGCATATCCTCATTCAGAACTCATTTTCCCTCCTGCGTTACGTCGTTACGAGTACAAACAACTTCGAATCGTTGCTCCAGATGGTTCGGTTTGGTATCGACCTACTACCCTCGCAGAGCTCCTGGCTCTTCGTGAAGAATTTCCAACTGCCAAACTGATTGCTGGCGCGTCCGAAGTACAGATTGAAATGAGAATCCGGGGCGACCTGCACCCTGTGGTTATATTTGTCAATGACATCCCTGAACTGAAGACATTCCAGTACATCCCCGGCAAAGGTGCACTCATTGGCGCCAATTTGTCGTTGTCCGATCTGGAATACCACCTTGAGGAGCTCATTTCTGAGCTAGGACCTGAAAAGAGTCAGGTGTTCATGGCCATCACTGAACAGCTCAAATATTTTGCCGGCCGTCAAATTCGAAACGTCGGTACTCCGGCAGGAAATATTATGACTGCCTCCCCCATCGCCGATTTGAATCCCATTCTTGTGGCTGCAGATGCTCGTCTTTACTTTGAGGGCCGAGAACCAGCTGAGCGTACTATGGGTGACTTTGAGAATCCTTTCTTTACTGGCTATCGAAAGACAACTGCTCCTGATGGTGCTACTTTGGTTCGTGTGCTTATCCCAGAGTCTACACCGAAAGAAGTTGTACGCGCATACAAGCAAGCAAAGCGCAAGGATGATGACATTTCTATCGTTACAGCTTGTATGAGAGCTACAGTGGTGGATGGTGTCTTCAAGAAAGTGTCACTCGCTTACGGTGGTGTTGCACCCATTACTGTTCTCGCGAAATCTTCCCTCAAAATCGTGGGTGAGCCTGTCGATGACAATGTCTTGGGCATCATTCTGAACGAGCTTGACCAAGAGTTCAAGTTGCCCTACTCAGTGCCTGGTGGCATGGCTGTGTTCCGCCGCTCACTGATTCTTTCATTCTTTTACAAGTTCCTTCAGTCCGCCAAGCAAATGACAGGTGGGAGCATTGATATGGACTCTCTCGCCGAAGTCACCAGAAATCATCCCATTGGCGTTCGTGACCTGGACAATGACTACGAGCAGCGCATTCTGGGCAAGGCAGAAATGCACCTGAGTGCACTGAAGCAGGTCACAGGTGAAGCCATCTATGTTGATGATATGCCACCTTTCCACAATGAGGTGCATGCGGTTCAGGTCATGTCAACCAAGGCTCGTGCGAAAATCGCCAATGTTGATACATCAGCTGCATTAGAGCTGCCAGGTGTGATTGGTTACGTTGACGTTAACGATGTACCAGGCCACAACACATGGGGTATTTTCCCCTTCGGTAAAGACTATTTCTTCGCGGATGGTGAAGTCCACTACGTTGGGCAGACTATTGGTGTTATTTGTGCTACCGATCGCGAAACTGCAGCACGAGCATCACGCCTTGTCAAGGTCGAGTATTACGACGAAGAGGAGCCCATTGTTACAATAGAGCAGGCTATTGAGAGAAAATCATTCTTTGAAATTATCTCGAAGGTAGACAACGATGGTGTTGACGAAGCATTCGAGAAGGCTCACCGTGTTTTGAAGGGCCAATCACGAATGGGTGCACAAGAACACTTTTATCTGGAAACTCAAGGATGCATCGTTGTACCTCAGGAGGGTCGTGAATACAAGGTGTATGCCAGTAGTCAGAACCCTCGTGAGAGTCAAGCCCTCGTAGCCGAGGCTCTAAACATTCCGGCTTCTTTGGTCGTTGCCCATGTCAAACGACTTGGTGGTGGATTTGGCGGCAAAGAGACCCGTGCATGCCACTACAACGGTATTGCAGCTATTTGTGCCCACAAGTTCAAGCGCCCTGTTCGGTTTATTCTATCGCGTAGCGAAGACATGCAGCAAGCTGGTCAGCGCCATCCTTTCTTGTGCAACTGGGAAGTTGCTCTGGATGAAAACAACAAGTTTGTGGGTCTCAAAGCCGAAATGTACGCCAATGCCGGCTACTCTATGGATCTCACAAAGGGTGTCATTGATCGTGCCGTTCTTCATATCGACAACTGCTACGATTTCGGTAAGGTCCGGGCATCTGCCACACCCTGCAAAACTAACATTGCGTCCAACACGGCGTATCGAGGTTTTGGTGGGCCTCAGGGTATGTTCTTCGCGGAGTCGATTATATACGAAGTTGCTGATGCGCTGAAAGTCGATCCTGATGATCTTCGTCGCATCAACTACTATCCCGAGAAGAACGGTGTCACACCATACGGACAAAACATGGGAGAGGACTTTACAGCTAGTCTCATGGCTCGTCAACTTATGGAGGAAGTAAACTATGACCAGTTGCGCATAGAGGTGGAAGAGTTCAATGCAAAGAGCAAATGGATCAAGCGAGGACTTGCGCATGTTCCGACCAAGTTCGGCATTGCTTTCGGTGTCCAGTTTTTGAACCAGGCAGGGGCCTTGGTACACATCTATGTTGATGGGTCCATTCTCCTGACCCATGGCGGCACGGAGATGGGCCAGGGCCTGCATACGAAGATGGCTATGATTGCTGCTCAGGAGTTGGGAGTCTCTCTTGACGAAGTTTTCATTTCTGAGACTGCTACCAACACAGTTGCCAATGCTTCACCATCAGCGGCCTCGGCGTCAGCTGATCTCAATGGTATGGCTGTTAAGAATGCGTGTGACCAACTCAATGAGAGACTGAAGCCTTATCGGGAGAAGCTCGGCCCCAATGCCACGATGAACCAGATGGCATTTGCAGCGTACAAAGATCGAGTCAATCTTTCTGCCAATGGTTTCTACAAAACTCCTGATATTATCGAAGCACTAAACACACCCGGTGGTGGGCAAGCGTTCTCCTACTATACCCAAGGTAACTCCATCACCATGGTCGAGGTCAACACTCTGACAGGAGACTGGGCTAATTTGAGAACCGATATAAAGATGGACATTGGACGTACGCTCAATTTGGCGATCGATTATGGCCAGATTGAAGGAGCCTTCGTGCAAGGCCAGGGCCTGTTCACGATGGAGGAGTCACTTTGGCTGCAGACTGGAGCGATTTTCACTCGTGGACCGGGTGCTTACAAGATCCCAGGGTTCAGCGATATCCCACAACACTTTAACGTCAGTGTTTTACGTGGCCGTGATTTTCATCATCTAAAGTCCATTCACCGCTCTAAGGGTATTGGCGAGCCACCCTTGTTCCTAGGGTGCAGTGCCTTCTTTGCCATTCGTGATGCACTAAAATATGCGCGCGAAGATCGGAATTTGGCAATGCTGCAAGGCATAGACGCTCCAATGACTACTGAGCGTATTCGAGTAGCAGTTGGTGACGAGTTGCTTGCCAAGGCACAGGTCGAGGTCGTTGGCCCTGCGTTTACGGTCCGTAGTTAGATAATTTATAGCTACAAACAGGTTAAATGTTACAAAATAACTTGGTTGACACCAAAATCCAGACTTAACATTGTTTCTGCTGCCTTTTGTTTTTTTCTTGGCCAAGCCCAGCCGTTTACGCTACTAACCTGGCGGCAGGATAGCGAGGGGTGCATGCGTTTGCTTTGAGTTCTCTTCTGGATACGTAGCGAGCTATTGAATACATAAACAAACCACAGCTTTGGTGACAAGAAGCAGGACCAAGTAACGTGGCGAGGCGGCTTCTTCAAGAGACGCTACACCTTTCTGTCGGCCTTCCGTAGGCCAGTCGCGATGGGCAACACACAAGGTTAGGGTATTTAAATAGTTATTTTTGTTGGTTCCTGATACTGTCTATGCGAGCATATCGGGCCAGTTGCTAGCGACCTAGCCTGTGCGAAAATCACCACCCGGCATACAGACCGGTTCCGAGGGTGCGGGATTTACCACATAAAACGGTTTGAAAAACCCCGGCGCAGGTATTTGCCCTGCTCGGTTCCGCTAAAATGAGCACATGCGTGTGGTGTGCGTAGAAAGCGGGTGGGGAAGAACGGTATCGAATCGGAGCGAAGAAGCGGAGCGGAGGCCTTGCAGCTGCCAATATCAGCGAGCACCACCGGTGTGGGTGTAAGTCAAGTGCACACGTTATATTCCGCTTTTTTAAAGAGCTATAAAGATATAAAATCATCCGTGGTTTTACTGTGCTTGTGTGCTCTTCATCAGCAGAAAGCTGCAGGACCACCGTGGTTTCCACAGACTGATGCAAGACACACACCATACTGGCATACACGACACCGATGTTACATAATACACTGAGAGCGAATGCAGCTGTGCTCTGGAAGAGTGCTTATAATGCATGAGAGGATAGTTAACAACTGTATTTTCAAGCGGAAAATTATCCAGGGCACATTATGAATACCTAGGTTTAGGTGGGCAAGGAGTGGTAGCGAATGGCATTCTTGTAGCCATAGATCTCATGCCCCGAGCCGCAACCCTAGCCGATCATACTTTGCAGATAGATTTTAGTATGCTTGAAACACTGGATATAATTTTGTTGACAAAGAATAGTTCCGAATGCCACTCAGAACTATGGTTGAAATTTGACTATTCTACAGAGAGTAGCTAACGGCTATCATTATATCTCCGAAATAGCAGTGGTGCGTTTTAGTGGCCGCGGCTGCGACCCGCAGTCGTTCTGCACAGCCCCGCAAAGCATCTTTGTTGACATCCCGTTCATAAACGAGACGCAAGACCATAGCCCTGCCCTTCTCCTGCCCTTCTCCGCAGGTCTGCTGTGCCCAATAGACTAGAGGGGCTGTGCAATGCATGCATGCCGGCTTCGAGTCAGGAAGCAGCAGTTCAGGGTCTTCCACAGTCATAGATCGAGTCAAATAGGCGAGACGTATATATCCCGAGACCGTGTATGTCAGATCTCGGTTCGAAAACTGGCGTTCATGGATCTTAGTTTCCCCTCTGTAAGCTGCAGTTCCTGTATTCCCTCTTGGGACGGCAGAGGACCGCTTGCAGCTGAAGAAACCCTGCCGAACAAGCTGGTTATTAAGGGCAGGAAACGGAGCAATTTTTGGGTCCTTTCTTTTCGGAGTGGCGCAACAATAACCCGCATGTATGTAACTTTGCTATCCAAGTGTCGCTGTTGTGTATCCTTAAAGTTGGGCTCCATATAACCCATCTGTGGGGGCCGCTGATTACCAGTGTCACGTCAGCGAAATATGCCCGAACCCTTTTATTGGCAAATGCTAATAGTACAGCGCCTGTACTCGTCATGTATGGCCCGCCTGCAGCTGATGCAAGTAGCTGGGTAGCCTGGTTTGCCTGACACCTCAAGGAGGTATTTAAGGGGCCGGGGCCCTGAATGTGTAGCCCTTCCTTTCCTGGTCGGACGTACAATGTCATACTGCTTTTATGGCGGTGAGCTAGAGTATGTCAACATGTATGGTGCCCTTGCCGATACAGATACCCTACCGAACATCGAAGATCACACGAAAACCTTACCAGCAGCTACCGCTACGGAGATGCAACCAGAACTTAGTGAGCTCCCTGCTTGTGAGGTCAACACTAAATATCATCCGATGGCCTCGTTGCCATCGCCCCCTATGCCAAGTGAGCCTCTGAGTTGCGAGTGGTCTACGATTGATAAACCTACTGCAACATATATTCAGAGTTACCACAGTCCTGCACATTTATATGAGAGCGCGGACGAAGTTGCCTGGGCCTCGCAGTCTCTGTTTGGCTTGAATGTCACACACCCACAACCACCTGTTCAGGTACCCCATTCAGTTCTTCTTGGAAGCGTGAGTTGCCGCCCGGAGTCACCATTGGAGCTAGTGGTTAAAGTAGAAGAATACCAACCAGCCACGGAATCTGATCGCAAGCAGGCTTCTAAGCCCACGCTCAAGAAGAAAGGTCGGCGGTGTAGGAAGCAGTACGGCACTATTTATGATGATTTCGGCAACGAAATCGTAGATCCTGTCAAAAGATCACGCAAGCGTATCGCTATGCTAATTGAGGAGGACAACCTGCGCCGAAAGTATGAGGAGCAGGAGAGAGCAAAGATCGCGGCGGCTAGAATCCAGCGGGCTGAAAGACGAGCAAAAGCCCATGACGATTCAGCACCAAGCCAGCAGTCGGATTCGAGTATACGGTGCTGATCAATCGATAATTGCCTCGAACAGGAACATATTCATTCAACTTTTCTTGGTTCGCTCGTCCTTTTTTTGCCCACGATTTTTGAATTTTAGACCCAGCTTCTCGCAACTTCGAGCTTGAACATCGCACGCGGTCTGCTTTTGGTAACTATCTTCTTGGCTGGTATCCTGTGAGATTAACTATAATTTACATCCTGTAAAATCTGTTGCATGAAGTTCCTAACTTGAAACAATCGTCAAAAAACCTCATAATTATGTGAGTATTATTTCTGTCGCTCTGATCGGAAAATAAAGTGTTTCCCCGATGACTAATCGACATCACGCTGCTGAACAAGCATTTACTCCAGCCCCTTTAAGTAGTAGGTGGGGTGCGTCTTAATTACGTCCGAATTAATATTTATTAGGGTAAGAGGAGGTGATCGATAATAAGCGGTACATAGAAAAACAAGGACTCATAAGAAGTCGCTCTCAGTTTAAACCTTCTCGATACTGACTAGCATTAGCCAAGAAAATCTAGCCTAAGCCTCCAAGACACGAGCCCCCGCGCTCTTGATGCTATTTTGAGAACTGACTAACCCAGCCTTCCGACATGTCCTCCAGGCACTTTAGCAAAAGCGTGTCCACGCGCCTCATGGCGCTTTTGTGGGCAATGCTACTGTTTTCAGCCAACACAGTAGCCGGATCCAAACTACTTGGAACAAGTGCTCTACTTTCGTGTATGGAAAACTCCCAGTTCCAGGCCAAAAGCTTCAATGTCTTGTTTGATGGTGACCAGGGGGTTGCAAACATTTCTGCATCCGCGATTTCGAACATTGATGGCAATTTCACAGCTCGAGTTCAGCTTATTGCGTATGGAATCAATGTAATCACTAAAGACATTAACTCCTGCTCGGTGTCCAAAACGCTCTGCCCGATTGCTCCGGGACATTTTGAAGTCGACACTACATTCGACATCCCCAAAAGCGTTACGAAGGCGATTCCGGGCATCGCATACACTATGCCTAACTTGGATGGTGTTGTGCGTGTCAGGGTTTACCAGAGCAACTCCTCTGATCCCATTGCCTGCGTGGAGGCCCAACTCGACAATTTCAAGACCGTGCAAACGCGATGGGCTTCGTGGGGCCTGTTTATTGCCATCATCATTGGGATCATTGTAGCGGCAGTTATGTCTATGCTTGGCCATATTTCTACTGCATCGCACATCACGGCAAACATTGTGTCGTTGTTCTCATACTTCCAGTCGGTGGCTGTGATTGGCATGATGGCAGTTTACCGCTTGCCTCCAATTGCAGCGGCATGGGTCGAGAACTTTGTTTGGACCATGGGTGTTATCGAGACTGAGTTTATGCAAAAGATTTTCACCTGGTATGTGCGGTCTACGGGGGGAACACCTACCAACATTTTACCCAACAAGCAAATTATTTCTATTGCAGTTTATCGTCACCGCAAACGTGCGCTGGAAATGACTGCGAAAGTTTTGCGCAGACTCCAGTTATGGAAAGGTGTCGAGTTCATTCGTGGACTCGAGCCTGTTCAGCAGGTAGGCAAGCACGAGCTCACTCGTCGGCTTGTCTCTACGAATTCGAATTACACAACCACAAATGAGAAGGATCCAAGTCTTGTGAACAAGACCTTGGTCTTGCAGGGAATCAAACGTGTCGCGTTCATGGCAAATATTGAATTGACCAACCTGTTTCTGACAAGCGCTGTCTTTTTCTCTTTCATTGGTCTGCTTATTGTGGTCCTGCTTGGATCGCTCAAGCTCATTCTTGAGTTACTTGTCAAAACTGGCAGTATCAGCAACGAGTCTTTCTTGCCTTATCGCCAACAATGGCATGGGTACACCCGAGGTGTCCTGTACCGTTACTTTTTGATAAGTTTCACTATGCTCTCGGTCATGTGCCTCTGGGAGTTCACAAACGATTCATCAATTGCCACAGTTATTACTGCAGCCGTTGTTTATGCCGTGGTTGCCGCATCGCTTCTGTTTGCTACCACCAAGGTTGTTTTACTCGCTCGTAAATCCACCAAAATGTTCCAGAACCCGGCCTACATTTTGTACGGTAATAACGAGATTCTGAATCGCTGGGGCTTCCTGTATGTTCAGTATCGTGCAACCCATTATTGGTTCCTGATGCCCTTTATCGGCTACATTTTTGTCAAGTCGGCAGTTATTGCTTTTGGTCAAGCGAATGGTAAAGTTCAAGCAGTCCTTATTTTCGTTGTGGAACTGATATACATGGTTGCCTTGTGTTGGTTCAAGCCATATATGGACAAGAAGACAAATGGCTTTAACATTGCCATTTCCGTCATCTGCTTTGTGAACTCGATTTTCTTTTTATTCTTTAGCCAGCTTTTCGGTGAAAAGGCCGATGTTGCTGCATCCATCTGTGGTGTTGTTTTCTTCATTTTGAACGCCGTGGTTTCCCTGGTTCTGCTGATTATGATCATTGTCGCATGCGTCTGGGCCGTTGTTCGTCGCGAACCTGATAGCCGTTATCAGCCCATGCGTGATGATCGCGACGCGTTCATGTCAGATGTTGGCGAAAAGACAGGCAACAATGAGCTTGATGCATTGGCTAGCACAGCTCGTGATGGATACAGAGAGTCTTTCGTGCATTATACCCACGACAATTCAAGCTGGGCAGACGATGCTGCATCCCGTAGCCTTTATGGTAACGAGCCTGAACCTGCAGTTACCAGGTACCCCACTAATGACCAAAATCTGGATAGTGACTACCCTCTGTATCGTCACCACCAAGCAGCTGGTGCCGCGGGCGGACTTGCACCCCAGTCTTACAGCTATGGCAATGACTACAGCGACGGACTTTTGAACGACGACAACAACAACAACAACAACCACCGTTACGCATGATCAAGTTAAATTTGTTGCCACGGCAGGCCTGGGCAATCCTTCTATTCTATATATTGGTTGTATAACGCTAGATTTACACTACTTCTACCAACTGAGCTACATAATCGCTTTGTCATGGGCAACTGCTTCAGCGCGTCTCGAGATCAGCCACAGACCGCGCCTGCGGGGCCCAGGAGCAAGCCTGCGCATCCTCAGGCTTCGAAGAAGGCCGCTGGTCACTCACTTCCTCAAGCAATGAACGAAAAGCCCGATAATGCTCGCGACGCCGCAGCGCTGGCAGCTGAGGCCCGTAAGAAGAAACATGACGACGAAACCAGGCCAAAGCGTCTTAGATAGCGTATATTATGTGATTTTTATTATACAGAATACTTTCCGACTTTGGCTGATTTATCAATGCCCTCGCGCAGTAAGCTCGCGAGATCGTAATAGGCACTGGAAACCGCTGCTTCGGTCGGGCCTTCAATAGCTAGGTAGAGCTTATCGGGACCATCTTTGCCAGGGGGGTAGAATGTTCCTCGGTTTGTGATCGAAACAGCATAGGTTTCAATAACTTTACACTGGTTTTGGAACGAGGTCACAGCCATTCGCGCAGCCTGTGGGTAGTCGTTGATGTCCAGGGTGGTATGGAAATTGGCCGTGGCAGGACCCTTTATTCCTGGTGCAGGGCCCAATTTTACAATTGGTTCGGCTGATTTGAGAGAAGATTCAGGTTCTTCGCTGGACTCATCGCTTGGAGAATCAGGCTGCGGGGTCATGGCTTTATCGCCGTCAAGCTGAGCCTTGCGCTTTTCTGATCGTTCTGTATCCAGTTTCTCTAATCCGTTTCCTCCGAATCCAACCAAGTGGTGCTTTTTGGCGGCAGGTGCATCTATTGCAGCTAGCTTGGTGACTTCTTCTGGAACTGGTACTCGACTGGTTTTGAGGGCCCTAACGATGTCTCGAGCCGAACGAGATTGAGATGAAGTAAGGAACGTTACTGCCTTTCCCTTCTGTCCAGCGCGACCAGTCCTTCCTACACGGTGCACATAGTCTTCGAGGTGATTCGGTGGATCGTAGTTTACAACCAAGCCAAGCCCTTTTACGTCCAGTCCACGGGCTGCAACTGAAGTGGCTACGAGCAGAGGTAAATCATTTTTGCGGAACATTGACAACGTCTCGTCACGACTTGACTGTTCGTGTCCGCCGTGGATGGACCTACATTTATAGCCTTTTGCGTTCAATTGCTCGGCTAGTTGATCCGCAGGTTCTTGACGATCAACAAACACAATCGCTTGGCCCTCGGATTTTTCTTTATAGTAACCTCCCAAAAGTTTTAGCAATGACAAGAATTTGGCCTCTTGAGGAATCACCTCAATTACCTGATCTACATCCTGCGACACAGAAGAGCGAGTACCCACCTCTATGAGTACTGGAGAGACCAAGATCTGGCGGATGTGCTTTTCCATCAGGGGTGGGAACGTTGCGGAAATGACTACTGTTTGACGGTCTGGCCGGACATTTTGTATAATTCTCTTGACCTGGGGCGCGAAACCCATGTCAAACATCCTGTCTGCTTCATCAATGACAATCAGTGTCGTACTGCGAAGGCTCAGGATACGACCGCCATTAGCCGCCAACAGATCAATCATGCGACCTGGCGTAGCGACAATAATATCGACATTTCGTTTAATAGCATCAATTTGGGGTTTTACTGAGGTGCCGCCGGCAGCACCCAAAGTAACGATACCAAAAGAGCTCGCGAACTGCTCAACTTCTCTGTACGTTTGCAAACACAATTCTCTAGTGGGGCTAAGCACTATGGCCTTGGTACCGGAGATCTCAGGCAACTGATCTAGCACTTGGCGGATCAGTGGTAATACAAACGCAATTGTTTTCCCACTCCCAGTTGGTGCAATGCCGATAACATCTTTACCAGACATGATCAATGGCAGGGATTGCGACTGAATTGGCGTAGGCTTAGACATTGATCGCGACTGAATTACCTCCAGCAAAGGCGTAGGCAAGCCTAACTGTTCCCATTCTGATACTGGAGCTAGTTTCATCTCATCGTTTTTCACTGTAACTCCTAATGCCTCTCGGACAATTTCAAGGTCGCTTCCCAGAACCAGCTCCTCCGGGGGTCTGTAAAAGCTCTTCCGAAACTCGTGGTATGGTATCTGCGAATGATCAACCTTGGTAATCTCTTTTCGTTTGCCTTTTTCAACTTGTTGGAGGTACTGCAAAGGATCGACTGCCGCATCCGGTGCGGCTTCGTCGAGCTCTGAGCCGCTTTCATAAAGTTCTGTATTATCAATTCCATTGTCTTGCTCCAGGTTGTTCAAAAATTCATCAAGATCAAACTGTGATGAGTCGTGCTTTATCTTCTTGACTACCGGTTCATCGCCCTCTAGAGATATCCGGTTCTGGGTCCGTTTAGGCACCGCTAATTTCAATGGAGTCGGCCCATTTTTTTTGGCAGCCTGCTGCGCTTTCCACTTGGCCAAACGTTGTCTTTTCAGCTCTTGTTTGTCCATCCTTCTAGCCACACCCTCCACTCTTTTTTTAAACCAGTTCGTTCTCTAGTCAGCAAAAATGCCTATCCCGCTGATGCCTCGTCTTAAGGCGCAGCTCAAGCTTGCTATCAACCGGCTGAAGCTGCTGCAAGATAAAAACACGGCATTAGCGAAGCTGAGTCGGCGAGAAATGGCGCAATTAATGGAGAAAGGCAAGATATCAAGCGCCAGAATCCGGGTGGAAAATATCATCAATGAAGACATCTACGTAGAGCTTCTCGAGGCGCTGGAGCTGTACTGTGAGGTTACTTTGGCTCGTATTGCAATGATCGAGCGCACAGAGCTAGACCAAAGGCTCTCAGAGGCTGTGACTGTTATTATTTATGCCGCCCCTCATACAGATATTAAAGAACTACTGGGTCTCCGAGAGTTATTTGTGAGTTTGTTACCTAAAGAGTTTGTGATTGATGCAATTGAGAATACCAGTGGTAAAGTCCCGGAAAAAATCATGAAGCGCATTCACACTGAGGCGCCTTCAGCCGAGCTAGTTGATCTGTACCTTTTGGAAATTGCCAAGGCCTACATGGTGCGAGTATCGGGCTTTTATGAGCCACCGGCCAGCCCTGAGCCTGAAATAATCAAGCAAAGCACCGCAAATGAAAAGCCAGACTCGGGATCAGTAGACAAAGCTGGGGGTCCCGCCGGGGCACCTCCCAAGGCAGATGATTTAATGGCACGATTTGCAGCGTTGAAACGAACCTAATAGTGAATTTAATAACTTACGACCAGCGTTTTTTTAGTTTCTCTACAGAATACGCAGCAGAGCGGCCAACCCCTGCGGTCAAGATGCCTTTTAGAGATTGGGTAAAAGATGGCCACTTGACAGTATTACGCACTGCCGACGTGACCAGTTGTTGACTGAATGGGCTTTTCGAAAGCTTTTGCTCGAAATAGGGCGGCAGAGTCTTGCGCAGTTTGTCAAATGAGCCGTTGTGCTCAAAAGCTGCCCCCTTGGCTTCTGGTCCCAAGCTGGCCAGGGGATCTATAGAGCCGGTAATGTCCAGATCGAAATGATTCATTATTGGACCATAGAGTCGACGGAAATGTTTGAACTGATTGTCAACAATGTTTTGGATCTTACGGGGGTTCTCGGCAATCGCCATTCGCACATCGCCCATGTAAGAAATGCTGGTGATCTTCATGTAAAGATCGCGCTCGCTAAATATTTTTGGGAGTAGCATGAGCGCCAAACTCATGGCACTTATCAGATTCACTTTTTGGGCACTATCAATCCGATCGTCAGATCGTAGTATCTGCAAAGGTTTATGCATTCGACCGGCCAAGTACAATGTGCGCCAGTTTTGAAGATCATCAAGCATGCGATCGATGGACACGACACCGTACTTGACTTTAACACCGTTGATAGAACAGAACGGGTTGAAATACACCCCGGCACCTAGTTTGTCCTGAACAAAAGTAATAAACGAGGGACCAAAGTATTTCAGCCCCGAGTAGTGCGTCGGGTTAGCTTCGATATTTTTAGCATGCCACTTTTCCGGGTCTTGGACCCCGAGTATCAGATCGATTTGCGTATTCGAGTTACGCTGGGCTAGGCCCTGACTGAAGACCCCGCTGCCATAACCGGCGGCATAGGCGACAGGTTCCCTGAACTGGTCAACAATCGCAGTCAGTGTCGACTTCCTGGCATCCTCCAAATTTTGTAAGAGATAGCGAGCGGTTGAAAAACCTCTCCTCAGCCCTCGGCCTAACATGTGAGCGGCGGTCGGGTCGGGACTATAACGTGAGAGTGGTCTGTAATTTCTTTCAGTTAGCTAATATTCCGGGGACCTTAGCCTACCCTCACCCTGCGCTATGCATAAACCACGTTTAAGTTATAAATTATCAAGAAGAAATAGACTTTACTGACGAGACTTCAGCAGAAACGGTCTTGAGATCATTGTATTTCTCGTTATCGCTGGTCCCGCTGACAGAGATGTTGTCCCCAATTTCATCGTCGATGGTCTCACCCATGTAACCAATACTGCCAGTGTAACCGTTAGCCCGAAGGAACTCTGCAAAGCGGACGTCTTCCATCATGAGATCATCCTCGCGCAAATGAGGGATGAAGAAGTAGGTCACAATCATTCCTAGAACACCGATGCATGCAGCGATAATGAAGGTATATCTTTTGCCCAGGTGGTTCTGAATAGGCTTGAAAACCTGAGTGCCGACAGCAGCACCGGCCTTGCCAACCGCCGCAGACAGGCCGTACAAGCTGCCTCTCACTCCGGTAGCGTACGACTCAGAGCTGACCAGTCCGAGCATATTGCCGGGCCCTAGGTTTCCGAACGAGTTGAAGAGACCGTAGAAAACGATGAACAGACCCAAGATTTTGGAAAGACGCTCGTAGGCAATACCAATAACGAGACCAAATACGAGATACCCAGAGAATCCAATCAACATGGTCCATTTACGGCCAATGCGGTCGCAGAGCCAGGCACCAACGAAAACACCGGGAATGGCAATTATACCTAGAAGCAGTTGCCATTCAACCGTCCGCTCGATATTTTTCTCACCTTTGAGCAAGCTGTTGATAATGGTGCCTGAGAAAATACCGTTGGGGAACGTGATGAAATCATACAAAAACCACGCGCCGCAGGTGCCGATCAACCTCCTCCAGTAGAATTTGAAGACCAACAGCCAAGGAATCGCTCGGCTATTGAAGGCAGATTTCTTGTACAGTTTTGTCACCGACATACGCCATCGGAAAATGAAGATCGCCAAGGGCCAGATGCAGCCAATACCGAATGTGACACGCCAGACGGTGTTGAGGTTTTGGTAGCCACTGGCGGCTTCCCAAACAATCAAGAACACAATAATACAGAAAGGGCCTCCGAGGGACAGTGGTAAATTCGTCACCAAAACGAACGTGCCACCCCGCCTCTTGACTGTCTCATTTGCCGCTTCCGATGCAGATGTACTAGATGCGGGGTACTCTCCACCGGACCCAAAACCCACTACACCCCGCATGACGATAATCATCCAAAACATACCGGTTGTCGTAGTGCCGTGGGCAGCAGTAGCTAGAATACCGCCAATAACCATACAAGACGTAGTCAAAGCAATAGCTGCCTTTCTTCCTAAGAGATCACACGACAGACCGATGACGATCATGCCAATCACCTCTCCGATGAGAAGGGAGTTCGAGACGCGTGTAGACATGCTAGAGTTGTAAACTTCAGGATATTTAGCAGCAAAGACCAAGTTGTTTGCCGTCATCAGGTTGTTCTGGTATCCATCGGACATCAAAGCCACACCAGCACAGATGACGTTGAAGAATGCCTTCCAGTTTCTGTTCAGGACGCGACCGCTCGCAGTTACGTGCTCATTAGAGCCCTGAGCCTCCTCATCGACAGGGCGAACAACAATATCAGAGTCCTGGGCGCCCATGCTGTTATCTGACTTCCAAATATCTGGTGTGCTCTGAACTTTAAAGGCTGAACGCACGTGGGGAACCCTGCACTTTAGACGCAACGCATGGTTTAACTCATGCGCGGCACCAGCCACGTGCCTGAGTAAAAATCAGGCAGTTAATCCAGTACATGTAGAGCCAGGTGAAGAGTGCACATCCGCAAAAAAATTCCAATAATGACAGAAAACCACAAGGTCCAAGGCATAGCCAAGAGCAGGCGCAGGAACCATGTCTTGGCTTGCTTTGGCGGTTTGACTTGCAGTGAAAAGCTCGTGATGCACCCTTACCCCAAACCCCTATGAACTAAAGTTGTGATTTCTGAAACCCTGTTCATGAAGGAGCTAATAAACTATGTACAGTTTATAAATTAAATACAAGACTTGGATCCATAGAATCGCTAGAAGTATCCATATCTCCAACAAGCTGCAGCGACCGCGTGACGAATAGCTCCAATTCCTCCGGCGATACCGGTTCATCGCCCGCAGCTTGGTGAAGGACTAGGGTCGCATCAATCCGTCGACCACTTAATTTTCCACCGTCAACCAGTGCCAACTGGACCATAGATCCTTTGTAGTTGAGCTCTATTTGGGTGCGGGAGTTAACAGAATGCAAATGATAGTTGACTACCGCACCATCAATCTCGAGGTCCACTGTGGATGGAATATACCTTACCGCACCGCTGGGACTGACCGCACACGCATGCAGAAACTTTTCAATCGATGGGCTGATCTCAATGTCTGTGGTATTTGTAACCGAGAATTTCAAGTCAGACATGCCATTGGGTAGAGAGACCAGGATGTCGTCTTCCCTGGCCACCCCAACCGCTCTGGCGTTTTCGGCCCGCACAGATTTGAAGCCAACCTCTGTCCAGATCTCCACAGGCGGGTACTTGTGGTGAAGCTCTCCCTCCTGGAAGGGGTTAGGGATAAGCTTGATCTGCAGCATGTTCGCAGCACTAGTTGCAAGGTCCTGGCGTTTGCTTGTGAACGTCTTACCCTGGTCATCCTTAGCACCAAGGATTAAATCCCATAGATCCTGCTGTTTAGACTGAACTTCTGGTGAGGCCGACACTTCGACTGGATCCGATTCGCCCACTGCGACATCCGCGTCATACAAGGGAAGGTCACCAATAACTTTAGACACCAAAGGAATATTCGTAGCGAATGTCTTGGGCATAGAGACGTTAGGTAGAACCGTGTTGCCTTTTGTTTGATGCAATAAATAGCCAAATGTGGCTGTGATAGTGTTGAGGCTATCTGGGCCAGTGAGTTGTAGCTTGGAGCTCATCGTCTCAGCAATAGCTTTTTCAGAAGACAGTTGAGATTCTTCCACTTCGTCACCAAACGATATTTTATTGAGCGGCCGCAGCACAGAAGGCGTTAGCTTGATTGGCTCACGGCATTTGACCTTTTCCCATCGTGACCATTGTTTGAACTGCTCGTTCCAGTCCAAGGTCCCCGAATCACCAAAATTGGAAAACTGACATTTCTGTAAATTATCGGGCGAAATGTCGTACAAGAACGATCTGGATGTCCAGTTGGGTAAAGGAACCATATTTACAAGAAGCTGGCGAGCCAGATCAATATTTTGTTTCTGTTGGGCGTACGAGATCAGCGACTCACTGTCTAGACCATCTTCCAGCACAAAGAAAACCTCGCTCAGTCTTTGGATGAGGCCGACAGTGCTCCAATCCAGTTCAGTTGATGCCCGAAAATGAGTAAGGTCTGTACGATCCACAGCCAAGTTTTCCTCCATGTTGTGCAAAGAGGCAACAATCCAATTGTAGGTTTCTTGAGAGGCTCGAACTAAAAGCTCTCGTTCTCCCGGTAACAACCAAACTCGAGCACCGGAGCGTGTCCACGTTCGAATCAACCGACCGCTTTGAATAGATAACAGAAAAAGTAGTCTGTCAGTGAGGAGAATATTTTTTTCAACCAGAGCAGATCCCGCAGCATCCTCAAGGTTCTTATCCAGCTTCCATACTTCATCCAGAATTTTTTGAATGAGTTGGGATTTGCGTGCGGAAGGAGACGCATGCAAATTCTGTGAATTGAGATAATAATGTAGCTGCTGTTTGGTGTAGCCCTTTTTCAGCTGGTTGGAAAGTTGGCGATACTGCTTTGGGGAAACCGACCTTAAAGATGGCTTTTGCTTTTGGAGTTGGCTAACAACCATATCTAGAAGCGAAGACGTCTCTTTGCTGGCACTAGCTGTGAGCTGATCTGCCTGAAGCTGTCGGTCGAGTTCGTGAGCCTCTGCCATAACGATCTTCGAGCTCCGGGCCTTCACTGTGTTTTGCTGGCGGCGGCGACGGGGCAGAATGCCGCTTTCTCTGGGGTCCAAAATAAGAAATTTGCTCGACATGAACCGAGCAAATAGCGGAGAACGAATCCCCGTTTTTAATGAAAGCATCGCCTCTGGGAGTCTGCACCAGAAAGAAAGGATTGTCTTACCTAAATTTTTTTTTTCTATCCGCGTTACTACTACATGCTCAGATGAGCAAATTTGCCAGACCACATGAGCAAAATCAAGGGTTGATTGAGTCCTGTCTGGAGCATGTAGAGGACTTTGAGGACGGGCCTGTTTGGTTTGGCAAAGGGTCGGCCGAGATTGCAAAAAAAACCTGGTGGACGAAACACCAGAAGGCGGTGTTTGTTAGCTTAATTGGCCGTAAAGGGATCTCGCAATTAGAAAAGATTGCAAACCTTGTCCAGAAAAGCCCTGCCGAGTGTGAAATGTACCTTGGTTTGCTCCAGGGTGCAATACAGAATGAACCTTCTCTCCCGGCCCTCACTTACTTAGACATACCAGCGGCGATTGAAACCAATGAAGAAGAAGTGACGACCGAGAACGAGGCAGAGCAATTCTCTAAAGTTGTGCCTGGATCCGGATCATTGTTGAACTATTCGGCCCTCATGAAACGGTTCAACTGCGTATTGACCGCTGAAGCTGCTCAAAGTATAGAAGAGGCAGTCGTCGAACGACTCAAATGTATTCTCTATTACTGCCAGTTCTGTCCAAGCGGCCAAGCAGATGTCGATTATATGCTGGACCAGTACTTTGAAGTCTACGCGGACCCTGTGTGTGCGGAACCCCAAGAAACCGAGGACCGATTGGACAGCGACGATAGCGAGGATGAGGCTCAAATTGAGCTGGAGGACCTGGAAACAAAATTACTCGACAAGTTCGATAATGGCCAAGATGCGTTGGAACTGCAGGCGTCGTCCGAGCTTGCAACTTACATGAAGCTTAACCCGTAGGCAAGTCCCAACTGCTGGGTACACGCCATCAAAAAAGTGCTATTTATTTATTTCTGTACATTATAACGAAGCTAGTGGTGTTTGCTGCGTGTTTTCCCCATATATACCTCTCGGCAGTTTCGATTCCGAGACGCGCGGCTTGCTCCTGCAAGTAAATCCTCCCAGCTGCTGAGTGTGGGTTCTCCTCTGATTTCGACAAGAGTCGCTTGTACGGTTGAACACAGTTTGGCGCAGCTGTACATACACGTTTCGCACGGACTACTAGTCTGCTGCCATGTTTGAATTAAGAGAGTACTCTGTGGACGAGGTGCCAGTGGCATCTTGGGCGATTAAGCGCGCTCTTGAATATATGGCCAATATTGAGAAAGAATGGGCCCCCACGCCGGCTATCGTGCTTAATGGGCCAGCCAATACCACCATCGATGTGAATTTGTATACCCAGCATATCAACCGTGACTTCTGGGCCGCGCGGGTATCTTATCACCAACAGCAATCATATGGCAAATTTCGGAAGTACCTAATGGAAAACCACACTGCTAACGAAGCTCGATACATTGAAAGTATAGAGTCCTATCGAGTTCTTACAGTGCCACCGATACTAACGGACTGGAACAGTGCCGTCGTTCGGTATAGGCTGCCGGGGCCGCTGTCTGCACGTGACATGGCCATTTGGTTGACTGCGCAAGAGACGGTGCCCGAGAAACAGTTCCTGGTTCTTTCTTTACCACGAAGAATACCAGTAGATGCAACAAAAGGTATTTATGTGTCCATTGAGCTTGTGGAACTCCTGGACAATGGAACGATCAAATGGACAATGGCCCAGACCTCGGATGCCGGGGGCTGGCTGCCGAAATGGGCCCAACGAAAGGCCATTGCTACTGAGATTGCCAAGGATGTACCCACTTTTCTTACCTGGCTTCGATTTCAGCCTCCAAAGCTTAATGGCGACCCAGATCACAAGGAAGAAGAGCCAAAACGCAAAAAAAGCTTGTCCATAAGCAGCCGCAGCCGAAGAAGCCGCATGTCTTCGAGGTCATCGATTCATTGACGGCATGTTGTTCCTTTCTCAATTCTGCATTTAAATTAGATTTATACAATCATCTACTTCCTGATGTTTTTGCCGCGGTCCGGGCCATTTCCTGTTGGTTGGTGAACGCCTGCTTCCATTCGTCGACTGGTGCCGCGGTTTTGAGAAGCGGCCAGAATTCTGCACCCACCCGGCCAAATGAGTGCGAGCAGTACGCCAATTGTAACCATAAGCTACTCCGGTCCGTCGATGACAGCGCAGGGGCCATATCTTCCAGGGTACTGGCCATATGGATCATGACAATGTCTCTAACAAATTCGGATACCTGCAGCGTTGTCTGGCCAAACACTGCACTAAAAGATGTGATAGTAGCAAAGACGTGTTCACGGAACATCTCCACATAGCGTTTGAGATAGAGATGTGGAGTAGACTTCACAGCATCCAAAGTAGACCACTGGGTAAATAAATACTCTTTGCGGGCGGCTAGAAACACATACTGGAGTTGCTTGGTGGCATTTTTGGCGCTTTTGAATGGATCGATACGTCTCAGAAACCCAACAGCCTTGATCAAGGCCGGCAAATGCGATGTCTCCGTCAACAGCCGGATGAGAATATTCAGCATAGCTCCGGTTGATTTGTCGACTTCGTCCACCAACGTTGTGATCGATTTGATATCGGGAAACCGCGTTTTCAGCCGACCGGCGAATGCGACAATGTCCAATGCTGCGCTGTAATGGCCCTGTGATACGCAGCTTTGTGCTAACTGCGGCAGCTCGAGGATCTCCTGAATCTTGTCTATCTGGTGATAGAGGGCCAGTTCAATAGCTAAAACATGCTCTGTAGATGTATACGCACGGTGAGGGGGGAGAAGGACTTTGTGACTCTTTTCTCTTGTCTGCTCAGCCAATGATTCTAGTTCCCCAATGAGCCCTGTCAACTCATCGAGTCCAGACGCTGCCGCGACAAAGTCCTCGTGGTGGCTCGCACCCAGGGACTCCACGGCTTTCTGGATGGCTTGCAACCCGTCCTCCAGGTGGCTCATTTCATTTGGAATAAGGCTTTGTGGTAAAGTCTTGAGCCGTTCTAGGTACGGTTGGTGAACATCGAGACCCGGACGGTCTCTTTCCAACAACTCCACGAGGTCCATGTAAGCAAGCTAAGCGTTGATCATCGACCCGAAAGAAATATAGGTTTTTTGGCCAACTGGTCTACTATTTCTAATTAACTTCTTTTTCAAATATCAAATACATCTGCTACGTTTCGTTATAGATTCCTCCCTAAATCCACCCCGGTTAGCGTGCTGACACATGGAGGGACTGTTGTTCAATATCGATAGTGGCTACGCAGAGGCGCTAGTGCGCGGCTTCCGCAGTGGCCTGATTAGTTCCAGCCAGTATACGAATATGACGCAGTGTGAGACACTGGAGGACCTGAAATTGCAGCTATCTGCGACCGAGTACGGTAATTTTCTCGGAAACGTTCCTTCGCCGCTGCCAACATCTGCCTTTCAGGACAAGGCAGCTCAGCGGCTAGTGTCTCAATTCCGCTACATTCAGACTACCGCAGTAGAGCCATTGTCCACGCTTCTTGACTATATTACTTACGGCTACATGATTGATAACGTGGTTCTGCTTATTTCAGGCACGGTGCACAGCCGGGATCGCGGTGAGCTTCTCGAACGGTGCCAGCCATTAGGTTGGTTCGACACTCTGCCGGCTCTGAGTGTTGCCACGGATGTACAGGGCCTGTACGACACTGTTCTTGTTGACACCCCCTTAGCGCCCTACTTCAAAACCTGCCTGAGCTCGGCTAACGAGCTTACAGACATGAATGTTGAAATCATTCGGAACCGGCTTTGCAAGGCTTACCTTGAGGATTTCGCAGAGTTCAGCAAAACCTTGCCGTCCCCCAGTAACGAAATCATGCTCCGATTCCTTGAATTTGAAGCTGACCGCCGAACTATCAACATCGCCTTCAACTCCATTGGCACAGAATTGTCTCGCGAGGAGCGCGAGTCCTTAATGCCTGCTCTCGGTTCGCTTTACCCCGTTGCCACCAGCCATTTGGTTAGGACTGACGAGCCCGAGCAAGTGCGCAATATCATCGAGACGTTCGGTCCTATCGAGTTGGCATCTTTGTTCGATAACTCCAATCAGAAAAGCCTTGAGGACCATTTCTATCTCCGTGAAATGGAGCTTTGCCGCGACGCGTTTACCCAGCAATTCACATACGCTACATTCTACGCCTGGCTAAGGGCCGCGGAGCAAGAAGTTCGTAATATCACATGGATTGCCGAATGCATTGCCCAGAACCAAAAGACTCGAATCAATAATTATATTTCAGTGTTTTAGTAGCAATATAAATTAAAATTTCTAGCACTAGCTGACGGATTGGCGTCTGAAGAGGCCACGAGCTTTCTGTGACATCGTGGTATTCCGCCGATTCATTTCGGGCGTGCCAACCATCCATTCTGGAGGACTGCCGCTGTGGTTTGTAGCAACTGAGGTTCGTCTTGGTGGCGGCGACAGCGGCATGCCACTGGTACCTGATACATTCTCGGTACTAGTCCCGTAAAGCTCGTCTTCGGAATGGAAGTCGGAGCTGAACAAGCTCTCGTGGTCGTTTGCACTAATCTCTGTACTGATTTGCAAAGCTTCCTGTCCGACTTTTTCTTGCGTGGTCTCTTGGAAAAATAAAACATAGGCTGTGGCCATCCGCGTACCATCGCCGAAAAACTTAAAGGGGTAGTCTTTGTCGACTGCCTCGACGACTTCGTCATCGAACAACAGCCATCCATTCGGCGTATTTACAACAGAAACGTAGTGCCCCATGTGAGGGCCATGACCTAAATGTACAACAACTCCGGTTAGTTCGTAAAGCTTTTCCGGAGTCGGGCAGTCATCTGTGGTGACTGGCAGTCGAATATAGCGAGAGTACATCACGCGGTGAAGCAGTTTCACGAGTTTCTGTTCACTCTCGCTGAATTTGAAACGTTTCAAATGGAGCACCAGAATCTGGGGTGCTCTTTTAACCTTCATTCGTTTTTCAGCCTCCTGAAGAGAGCCACACTGGTCACAATGGAACTTGTTGGATCCGGCTAGTGTTTCCGAGGCAGAAAACTGGTTCAAGCAATGTAGCACTGAACTGTTGCGTTCCAGATCGATACTGAAATCAAGACATTTCTCGTCACGTTGTGTGACGGATTCACAGATCATACATCTAGTTTCACTGGTGATTTGGCCTTCGAAAAGATCGTGGGCCCAATTAGACCCGCGGCCGAGTTTGTCCAATTGTTCAATAACGGTATTTAAAAGCACATTGAAAAATTCATGGGCATCCTGATGCATGGATGACCGGAAAAGTTCATTTTCATGTTTGAGCGTCTCGATAAAGTTCATGGGTGAAGCCACTCCTGTTCGACTTTCGTTTTCCGAAATGCACTCGAACAAATCTTTGAGGGTGGTCAATAGCGATTGATCCAAATTGTAGTCGGCACAGAGGGAGTGGTCAAGATTGATGATAGGACCCTGAACTAGCGCTGCTCGTTTGCGTTTCTCGTTGGTGGCCAAAACATCGTCGGTGAACCCGACGATTGGTACGTTTTGTCCAGGAGCTCTCGGGCCCAGGTCTATACCTTCAAGTCCAGGGTGGGCCCTTAGAAAAGCTTGGTCAATTATGCCCGCCTCGGGAGACTGGGATGCGGTGGTGTTTGGTGGTCTTGTTTGTGTCGCGGGGTCTGGGAACGCGGGTAGACTGCCGCCACTACTTGCCAGCGAGCTGGCTGCCGCACTCGACATAGTGCCAGCAAACGAAGCGGCTATAGAGCTAGTCCGTGTTGCCCTTCGAGGAGGAATCGGGACTCCTGATTCTTCGCGGTCTTTCTTGCCAAACAGACCCCGGACAAACCCGGTGGAGGGAGAAGACGACTCCTTTGAGGCTGCCAACGGCTGCACAGGCTCCTTCGGCTTGTTAGCCAGCTCCAATATTATAGGGTGGGGTTTGAGTCCAGGCACCACCCGGCGGGGCGGCCGATCAACTTTCGCAAGCTGCAAAATCTGATTCCGAAATGGGAGCGTGTAGTACAAGCATTGCAGCACGGAGTTGCAATAGCAAGTATTTCCAAAGTTTTCAAGCCCAAATATGTTATGCTCTTGTGATGCATCCATCTTGGGTTCCAAATCGGTTTGCAATGGTGTTCCGTGGGCGCTTTGGAGAAGTGGGGATGTGCACAGCCTAAGCTGGGAGATGTTAGATCGGTTATCTGGTGTGCCGCTGCAAGTTGGCATGCATATGAATGATTGACGCACGGTTGGTAGCAAATATCAGGGGGCATGGGTAGGACAGGATTTTCAGGGCTCAAACAATTGACAGCTGCTAGCTGCGAAATTCACAGAAACCACGTGCATTTGAGCCCAACTCAGCGAGCCGGAGCATCGTAGCGACCTAACCCTGAGGAAAGCGAAAAGTACGTTACGTCACTAGGAAGCTCAACAGGCCTTGGGGTTCAGTGCAGCACGTGTATATACGTTCAAAAACTTGATTAATTTACAGGATTAGTGCCACGGTCTAGTGTTGCATGTATGCCGAAAGTGGCTGCATGCGCAGGCTGTGCTCGCGGATAATACTGTAAGCTCCGCCCAAAGTACGAACTAAACACAAAGAGAATAGGCACGAGAGCTGTTCAAAGCATGTGCACCTGCAACCAAAGCGATCTCGCTTGATTGTACTCCTCTTCGTGGCGGCCACAGGCCCGGATGCTTTCCTTGATGGAATTGGGCGCGATCAGCATGTAGAATTCATAAAATAAATACCAGCTCTTTTTATTCTGCTTCGTCTTGATAGCCTTCTCCCGAAATAGCAGCTTCTTCGTCCTCTGGAGGCTGCCTGTATCCACTTAGGTCTTGGAGTGCAATGCGGTTACCGCCAAAGTTTTCCATTGCCCAGTTCCATAGCATAAATAAGACTCCTGAACAGAAGAAAATGAGAAATATGGTCTTTGTTAGCTTTCGTTATGGGGTCATGTTATCACAAGATACTCACAAATATGAAATTGGCAATGAGGTTCATTGAGTTTGAGCGGTCGGTTGATTAGCTAAAATTTGGTTCTATAGCGACCACGATACCCCGCCCCAGATCCAACTGGGAACGGTGCCGAGAGATTGAAAGGATTCGACCGGCAAACTGCTCGCGATCTGTTGGTACACCATCATTGCTGGGTCAACTAGAAGAACGTCTATAATGTATCTTTAGAACTAACTCGCTCAAAAGCTGGGTTTAAGTCCTTCAATCGAAACCACTCATACAACACGTTTCAAATACCTATTTCCAATAGGTTCTGGCCTAGCACTCCGTCATGGATAAATTAAGCAACTACAACAGAGGCTGAAGCCCTGCAGCCTGAAATGATAGTCACAACGCGTCTTCGGTTATTCTGAGCCCCAGTTCTACTGAAAGCACTGGTCACCTCTGCATAATATTTTTTACAACCTAGCTAATCAATGCTTGAACCGCATAGTTCTCCTTTCGTGCTCCTTGGCCCAAAGCCTGCCGCGAACAAGCGTCGGGGTTGTCACCCTAACCCAAACGCTGTTTATAATTTACCACTCAGTTCCTATATAACATCCCTTATTTGGTGAGCAGATACTGTTTCAAACGCGCATTGCAATTTGAAATTTTTGGTTCGGCCCCGCTATAGAAACAATACACGTTTGGTTCCCATTAGTCTACGTGGTGAAGAAACAAGGTTGACTGCGCAAACAATGAGTTCCAACCAAGTCCTTTCTCGCACAGCGTGGCGCCAGTCCGACTCAGACTTGCCCAGCGAGGATGATTCCAGCGTTCTAGCCCACCACCAAGTAAAGCACCATACCGGCTATGAGCACGGTTACTCTTATGCCCCTGAGGTCAGAGCTGGATCCATTTTGTACGCTACGGATACGTCGTCTCCCGATATTCCGGGCCCTTCGGCAGGTGGTCCAGCAAAAGCTGTTACTATGCGCTCAGTGCCCTACGCAGTGAATGATATCCCTGATAATAATAGCAGCCATTACGACTATGAACCTGAAGATGGCCCCATGGGACCACCAGACGGCGTGGCACCTCCCCAAATTCACTCCCCCGAGCCGGATGGGCCTTTATCCGGGTTTTCACAGGTCCCCAACTTGGATCCAACCCCAAATATGGTTGCAAACATTCGTCACTTGTCTCCAGATGTGGGAAGCTTGTATTCGGATGCTCGCAGCTCTCGAGAGCCGTCACCTCGCAAATCCTCGCCGGCTTTCGCGGGTCACCGCAAGACTGGCTCTGCATCCTTAGAGTTCTGGATGCCAACTGGTAGCCAGAGCCCCCAACCTCAACAAAAGCTTTCCCCAAGAGCCAATGTGTTCAGCTCGTCGTCTTCTCGTGTTTTCGAGCTCTCCGCCGTACACGAGGGAGCAAACTCTGAGGCGCTTATGCCCCGGCTTAAAACCATTGAGCTTTATCGGAAAAACGCCCAAAAGAGCAATGACCCGGTAATCCAATTCCAGCTGGCACAGTATATGGTACAGACGGCGTTGATGCCTGGGTACGCTAATGAGGAGGAAAAAGTATTGAAGGAGAAACTCTTGAAAGAGGCCCTAGCATTTCTGCGAAGACTAGCAGAAAGAGGACATTCAGATGCACAGTATCTCTTAGGAGATGTTTACTCTTCCGGTGCGGTTGGAGGAAAACCTGACCACAAACAGGCTTTTCATTTCTTTTTGTTAGGAGCTAAACATGGCCACGGCGAGGCATCATATCGTGCCGCGTTATGTTTGGAAGAAGGATGGGGAACATCGCGAGACGCTGGTCGCGCTCTCAAATTTTACAGGGCTGCTGCCGCTCGCAACCAGCCAGGTGCGTTATATAGACTGGGGATGATTTATTTCTTTGGCGGGCTAGGAATAAGTGACAATTCCAACAACCGACTAGCTGGTATCAAATGGCTAACCCGAGCTGTGAACGCTGCCACAGAAATTTACAATCGTGCCCCTTATGACCTGGCAAAGATCTACGAAGCTGGTTATAAAGACATTGTATTCAAAGATCTTCCTTATGCTGTCAAACTTTATGTCCGCAGTGCCGAGCTGGGTTTTATCCCTGCTGCATTCAAACTAGGCCAGGCCTACGAAATGGGATTACTGAACTGCCCGCAAGACTCAGCTCTGTCCATCCACTACTACACGATCGGTGCTCTCGGCAACGATCCTCGTTGCCAACTTGCTCTATGTGCGTGGTATTCCCAAGGTGCCGAACCTCATTTCCCTGTAAATGAAGATGAAGCGTATGAATGGGCTTTACGGGCTGCCCACAACGGCCTTCCGAAAGCGCAGTATATCGTGGGTGTAATGCTTTCCAAAGGATTGGGCTGTGATCGTGATATTTATATGTCTACGCAATGGCTCAAAAAGGCCGCGGCGAACGGGTTTGAACCAGCAGTCAAACGCCTAAAAAGCGATGCGTCCAATGATTCCAACAAAGAATGTGTTATCATGTAAACTTGGCCAACGGACAACAGCGTGAAGCATCTGAGGAAGTGCCTCTCAATTCCTTATTTATCTTGGCATTCTCCTTTTTGTGCATCCTCTGACTTTTTTTTTTCAATATTGTAGAATTTACATTATATATACTGGAGGCTACGTAGTAAAACTAGTTCTGCAGTTATGCGTCCGTAGCTAGTCCTCCTGATGAAGTGTTACCATATGCTACACATTCGCGACTGCCGTTCGCAATGCCAACAAACTCCGGCTGAACAGTCGCCGAAGACACGCCATGTTCAGAGAGGCAGTGCAGGATGTCTCGGCTGAGCTCGCTAAAGCTGTCGGGGGGCGCAGAAACGGCAACATGCAGGGTCGCGATTAGCACTTCGTCATTAAGCTGCCAAATATGCAAGTCGTGGATATTCACGATACCAGGAAGAGACTTGATATCGTCTTTCACTTCGGCGGCATTAACCGAAGGGGGTGCAGCGTTCAGCAGAACTTTGGCAGCTCTCACGCAGAGAGGAATGGTTCCCCATGTGATCAAAACAGCCATCAACATGCAAAGAGCAGGATCGGCGTAGTACTTCCAGGAGAAGTCCGTGAGCCAAACGAACAAACCCAGCACGATGACCACGATATTGTTGACGACGTCAGAGAGGACGTGTAAATAAACACCGTCCATGTTGAGAGGACGCTTGCTTTTAATGGCTTCCCGCGGACGCGAGTGGTGATGGTTAATATGGCTGGATGACTCGTCCATGGCTCCATAAGAGTGCTGTTCCTCGAGCAAGCGTCGCTCTTCAGCGGCAAGAGCTTCTGAAGGCATCAAACCTGCTGATGCCTCTTCATCTGCAGCGGCCCCGGAAAGCAATGAGCCACCGTGAACATGACTATGTCCTCCTCCGTTATGAGAGTGTCCATGGTCGTGGCCATCTTGGAAAACAAGTAGACCCAGAATATTTGATACAAGGCCGGCCAGACCAACTGCCGCCAAAAACTTGGGGTTTGTGATTTCCTCTGGGTTGAAGAACCGGTTGAATGCTTGAATAATTAAAGTAAAGCACAGGTAAAGCAGCGTGGCACCATTGATGAGAGCACCCAGAACTTCGGCCCGACGGAGTCCATACGTGTAGCGGGCATCCGGTTTGGCCTTTGCAAGTTTCATGGCTGCCATTGCCACTCCTAGGGAGAGCAAATCGCTGAAAACGTGGAAACTGTCACCAATGAGCGTCAGGGAGCGAAGCATAAGACCGGTGATGAGCTCCAGCAGAAAGAATATCAGCTGGATTAGGACCAGGATTTGGAGTTTGTGCCAGTTGTTCATTTTTGGTCACTAAAAGTTTAGTTCAAATGTTCGGTCGCGGCAACAAAATCTACCGTCTTTCGTGCTGGTCGGACTAGGCTAGCAATGGATGGCTCTGTCCTCTGGGAAAATACAACCGATAGAAGGGATTACAAATGCCCTGCGCTAATCTCCCTGCAGGATATATGGCTCGAGCATGTAGGTTGCATTAGGTTGCCTTTTTTTCCTGGAAAAAAATCGTGGTATAAAAAGTGGGCGGTCGAATTAGATGCCCCGACCTCTACTCGTGCTCTCTGAGTGGCATCAGATTCAAGTTGATAGAAGCTTCAATGCGATGTCCAGCCTTTTCATGTTTGCAGATCCTGCAAATTTTTCCTGCAAAGGGCAGGGTTCGCACTTTGCCACAGCAGTTTGCCCGTTCTGAAGAAACAGTGCTTTATACCACCAACTTCAATGCATAAGCAACCAATCCGTGTACCTATTTCACAACATCAAGCGGCTAGTTGCGGCTTTTCGTGCTCCTGAGATCGACTTTTTCAGGCACCCTGTGACGTATGCAATCTACCTATCACATAGGGTACTCTGCCTGGTGCAGGGCGATATTCTGGGTACTGATTTTGAGATCACATTTATCGAATTTTGAACTAGAGTGGCCATGCTCGGGTAAAGCGTAATATTAGCTGCACTACTGTCTGCCCCGTCTTGCGATATACGAGAAACCACCTGTCGAAACACACCATAGCATCACGTGACTTAAAAGAAACGAAACCCTGCAGTGTCTGACCGACTCTGCACTTGCTTGCAGGAAAAAGTTGTCGGTTTAACAGACCAAAATGGTTAAGGTAAATGTTAGCTTGAAGCTATGTATAAATTAGACATTTAAGTGCTCGCCTGCTCAACAGGCCAAAAAATATTCAGCCAACAAGTGTTTTGCGTATTGGTGCTCCATCCCCCACGACGCTGCCCCGGTTTTAAGAGTAAGCATAGAAATGAACGTTGTCTGTGGGGTGTGTCCTCTTTCAGGCACCATGTAGAAGACTAAGGCCGCCCGCGATACCGCCCGCGCCCACGGCCGCGCCCACGACCTCTACCACGGCCGGCATATGCTGTATAGCCCGCAGATGAAGAGGGTTGGGCGGCCTGAGGGGGTTTTATTAAAGATCTGTACTCTTTCTCCAGTAGCCTCCACTGTGACTGTATTGAGCGCATTGGCTCAATAATCTCCATTAGCAAGGCTTGCCACTCCTGTTCTTTTTCTAAGGGAATCTCCTTGGCGGCTTGAATCTTCGCCAGCGTCTGCTGAACAACATCGGCTAGCGCAGTATCGGGGCCTTTATTAATTTCAGATGCTTCTTCTAGAGCCCGTTCAGTGACCGCAAACTCAGTGGGTGCGGCTGCAATATTTGTCGTTGCATGTTGTCGTGAATCGTCCTCGAGCGGTGTGAGCTGCTGCTTTGCTGCAGCAGGCTCAGTTTTTACGACAGGATCTTCTGGCTTGGCCTGATTGAATAGCGCAAATGACGCTGCATACGGGGTGTCTGAAAACTCGACATCATCGGCTTCTGCCATAGTTGATTCAAATACACACCTGTTTTAGGGGTAAGGTAAGCGCTAAGTTATGATTACTTTGCAGCTGTCCAAAGGGCAGCGGACCGAAAGCCAATAGTTCCGGAATAGGGTTCTATACAGGCCACTTTAAAACATACAGGAAATCGCGCCAGTGGCAGCTGCATAAGGAATATCAACGCTTGTTTTTACATTTTAGCTATATATCTGGTATTGTATCTGAAAAATTGCAGCTCAGTTTTCCACATCTCTGATGGCTTGGCCCTTACCTAAGGGAAAAGACCTCGCCGTTGGGCCCCCGCCCTAGCTTTCCCAACAGCTAGCAGAGTGTACCCTGATTCTTTCATTTAGGGCTCGATGGCACGAACCATTGAGTATGTTTTACCAGAATTCACTCACACAAAGGGCCATGCGTTGGGGGTGACTGTTTTGACCCGAAACACTGCTGGCGTTCTCTATTCAGGAGGCCGCGACGGCCGTATCGTAGCATGGGCATGTCCAGAATCTAAGCCGTACCAGATCGCTTCTGAGCAAGCACACATTAATTGGATCACAGGACTTGCCTCGGCGGGCCATAGCGTTGCTTCCTGTTCAAATGATACTACTGTAAATTTATGGAACGAGTCGCTATCGTATTTCACTAAACTCGGGAACCACTCGGACTACGCTACCGCGCTGACGATAATGAAGCCTCAAGGCAGTAATGCTGACGATTTTATAGTGGTATCTGGTGGTCTCGATAGCCATATATATGGTTGGTCTTCTACTGCCCCCGGAAAGCCCGTGTTTGACTTTACAGTTCCCGGCGAACGCGGATCCGTGTACTCTATCGCTTCTTCCCACAAGCATTCTCTAGTTGCCTCCGGTACATCTGACTCCATTGTGCGGTTGTGGGATATCCGACAGGAGAAGAAGCCGATTCACCGCTTAATGGGGCATACCGATAATGTTAGGGCTCTGGCTATTATTGACGATTGGGTGGTCTCGGCCTCCAGTGATACCACGGTTAAGCTGTGGAATTTGACGAGCGGGAAACTATTCAAGACGTTTTCGGAACATTCAACTTCAGTATGGTCCCTCCTGCTCGGCAATACGCCGCCCGACAAAGGAACATTTCTGAGTGCGGATAGATCGGGCAAGGTGATTTCGAATTCTCCAAACGGACCGCATACAGTTCTGATGGCCCAGTCCGGAATAACTAGTATGTCGCTTTGTGGCAACCTTTTATACACTGCAGCTTCAAGAGAGACCCTGGAAGGGTATGATATCTCTCAACCGGAGCCTCTGTCAAAACCTACAGTTCAGCTTGAGGGACATGTTGGGCTGAGAAAGTACAGGCTACTGAACGACAAACGACGAGCGCTAACTCTGGATACAGATGGCAATGTGAAGATGATCGATATCACTCGAGGTATTGCTCTGGACTTTTCCCATAAGCTTGTCGATGATGACTCTGACACAGAATTGGACATGATTCTGGACCAGGTGAACACACCTCATGTTTTAGACAATTGGTGTCAAGTTTCGGTACGTGCAGGTCAGCTCGTTGTGAGGCTGGACGGGAGATCAGTTGGAAACACCGAGGTGTATGCCGATGAACTAGTGGAGGTTGAAGGTCTAGACTTCAGCCAAGTGGTGTATGACGATGAAACCCGGATTAACCTTGGGCAATGGACATTGTCCAACTTATTTACTGCCCTGATCGATCACCAGACGACAAAATACAACAACGCAGCAACTGTGAGCGATGTTGAGGATATTAAAGAAGTTACCCCTTTCTCAGGTACCAAAACCCCAGAGACGGTCCCTGAAGGCGCAGACAAAAACACAGGCAAGCTTGAGAAAAAGTCAAGACTTAGAAGAATCTTTGGTTTGAGCAAAAAGGATACACCTGCTGCGGCGCCCAGTACGGAGCCTGCGGCTACTGCACCGAACCAGCAACCTGCAGCTGCGACCGAATCAGCTACGTCTACTGCAGCTGAAGAGGAAGAGGAGCTCCCAAAAAACTTTGCCGAAGTGTTCAACAGCGCTGTCAAATTGCAATCATTCTCGCCTATGGCACCCTCTGATGCACCAAGCGTCACGTTCGATCCCCGAACTCGCCTGATCATCTCTGAGGTTGGGCAAGATGCTGGCGCGCCTACTTGCGTCTATAATCAAGTTATTGGCAAACTCAGCAACGCATCGGAAATTGAGGCCCTTGAGACTAACTTGCCCGGATGGGTTGGCGAGATTGTACTCCAGTCAAACATGCCTCCACGGTACCTCTCGAAAATTGGGTTCCTGGTGCTGTTTGAGAACAAAGAAGGACATGAAGCAGGACACATGGAAAAATCCCGGCTAATGGCGAACCCCGTGCTACGAGCCCGCAAAATTATGACCTACATTGTTAAGCAGATGATCCAAAACAAGAAGCTTCCTGACACAGCGCTGAATCAACGGCCAGAGGACATCGTTGAGCTTGTATGCAAAGACCAAGTGATTGATCCAAACACAATGTTATCTGTTATCCGCACGCGGATTTGGCGCACTGGCGGTGAAGTCCAACTACATTACAAAATTCTTGTAGATATACTGGAATAGATATAAAAATGTAAGTTATTGTACCGTCCATCTATGCACATAAGATCTGGGCAGGGGAGGAGAAAACTTAGTCAGGTAAACTTTTCATGGACAGCGACAAGGAAGCCACCAAGCTGTGGAGAGTGTATCGCACGGTGAAGGAGCTGGTTCGTGACCGCGGATACAACGTTGGACAGGCTGAAGTTGAAATCTCGCTAGGAGATTTCAAGAGCCAGTTCTGCAACGCCGACGGATCGGTTGCGCGTGGTCGGATGAATTTTCAGGCTGTGCCCTTCCCGGCAACCGTAGAAAAGTTCCCTCAGGTGGGCTCGTTGTGGGTTAATTTTTGTGATGAAGCATCTGTTGGTGTGAAAACGATGCGTGAATTTGTTATTCTCGTCGCCACAAAGCAGTTCTCGAATGCGCTTTTCATCTACCAAACCAGCATCACCCCTTCGGCCTCGCGGCTAATTCCGTCGGCCGCTCCTGCTGTTATCGAGACATTCCAAGAGAACGACTTGGTGGTCAACATCACCAAGCATGTTCTGGTGCCCAAACATTTGTTGCTAAGCGATCAAGAGAAAAAGGAGCTGCTGGCCCGCTACCGTCTTAAGGAGAGTCAGCTGCCGCGAATTCAGCGTGAGGACCCAGTTGCTCGTTATTTTGGACTCAAACGTGGCCAGGTTGTTAAGATTATCCGCCGTTCCGAGACGTCTGGTCGCTACGCCAGTTATCGGATCTGCTTGTGAGCTTTTCGGACCCCTATCTTTTATTATTATAACGTGAAATAATTTCTAGACGCATACTGTAGTTTTACCCGCCGATCTCGTGCTCTTCTCTTCAAAGTGATCGTTTGTGTTCATGCGCCCCAGGTGACGTCGGCTGACTCTGAACGGGCCATTCTCGGCTAGATGTGCGCTGCCATAATCGGTAGAATGCAGCACGTGCTTGTTCCCGTGGACTGCAGCTGTTTGTCTAGAGAACAGAGACCCATTGAAAAGCTGGGGCTTGAATTTTTCGACGCGGGCTGCAAATGGTGCCGGCTACTGAGTCTCAGCCCAATATTATAACGCTCAAGTGCCTCTTGGACGAACTCATGTGGGCCCAGCCGGTCGCCCGCAGGATGCATAACTGTTAGGGTACGCCTGACAGAGACTCACACAACTCTTCTAGTTGACATTCGAAACTGGAGCCAGTGACCAACATGTCGAGATCAAAATATCAGACGGTAGATCCGCAAGCTCCTCCTGAGCCCAAACGAGTGCTTAAAATGGTACTCCTGGTCGGCTCGATTATGGCGATGGCAGTGATTCTTTCGTTGGCGACGGTCCTAACTGGCCGTCCTGACGTTGCGCCGCTGATTCGAGTCGCCACAATCCCTGAAGACAAAAAGTTGAGTGCCGAGACAGAGCGCCGGCTCATTATTGTTGGTGACGTCCACGGCCAATTACACGAGTTCAAGAAACTGCTCAAGGAGGTCCGCTTTGACAAGAAAAAAGATCTCGTGGTCCTACTTGGAGATTTCACCACAAAGGGCCCAGACTCTCTTGATCTTATTGATAAGGCGATTGATATTGGCGCCATGTGCGTACGCGGTAACCATGAAGACGAGCTTGTATCTTTGTATGCTGAAGCACACCACCTAGACATCCCCAAAACCTACCCCCCACATGCCAGTGCTACGACCATTACTTTCGGCGAGCAGCCCACTCCGACCCTGGATCCTACCCCTGGCCCCAAACGTGATGATGATTCCAAATTGCCGTTCCCCGACTATTCGCACGAGGCGCCCAACCCCAACTTCGAAGTCGAGGTTGCCGATCGGCATCGAGACTGGCCACTTGCCAAAAAAATGAAGAAACATCATATGAAGTACATCCAAAACTGTCCGTCTGTCTTGGAGCTCGGAAATGTTTCTAAAAGGGGTATCAACGGCGTAGCTTGCCATGGTGGATTGGTTTGGCATCAGAGGGACCTGGAGGACCAGGACCCAGAGGTGACTTTGCGCATTCGAGGTTTGCTACCCCCCAACTATATGCAGCCATCTGAAGGTAAAGATGGTGAAGCTTGGTACAAATACTGGGGTGACGAGCAGCGCCGACGTCCAAAGAACGAGCGCTACCAGGTGTTCTACGGCCACGACGCTTCCAAGGGTCTCCAGCTGCATAAATACAGCCGCGGCCTTGACTCTCGGTGTGTGAAAGGCGGTGAGCTTTCAGCATACGTCATTACTGTGGATAGCAAGGGCCATTTCCACGAGAAGTTGCATCAGGTTGACTGTTCCGCCGCATAGGATTGAATCAATATATAAAAAATCAACGTATTTACTTAAAGCATCTTAGACATATAAGGTCCATCAAGCTCGTATCCAAGACGTGCGTAGTAGTTTCGGACACCAACACCAGAAATGACCGAGAGCTTTTGTGAGCCGTGTTCTTCTCGGGCAATCCGTTCGGCCTCTTCCATTAGGAGCGTACCGAAGCCCTGGTGTTGGAACTTTCTAGGATCACGCGAATGTAAGGGGACAGCACTACCGTAGACATGAAGCTCCCGCACCACACTAGATGGCTGAGCAGTCAATTCTGGGCGATAGGTTGTTTCAGGGTTGCATTTGCGCAGACGCAGTAGGCCGACCAGGATATCTTGGTGGGGATCCTCATAGGCCAAAAATGTCTCCCATCCACCATTCGCAACATAATCACGCCGAATAAGCTCAATCTGGTCGGGATGAACTCGGTGATGGACTTCTTGTATTCCTACCTCGCGGGTTCGAACGTCTCGGCACTTTGTACCGAAATCTTTCATGCGGGCCAATGCAAGTTCACGAAGATTACCATTCTCAACACCTGAAGACACCAGTGGCATAGGAATGTCGCGCTGAACACGATAGATCCGTGTCCAAGGGGGTACCAAGGCTAGAATGCGAGCCACCAGATCGACAAGAGCACTTGGTGGGTAGCTTTGATATAGGCCTTGCTTCCAAAGCTCGTATAGACCTGTACCCCGAATTACGAGAGTGGGATACAGCTTGAGGCCATCTGTGCGAAAAGCTGGGTTGTCGAAATACTCCCGGAACTGCTCCAGGTCTCTCTCCATGCCCATGTTCGGCAGATCTGGCATCATATGCGAAACAACCTTGTACCCAGCATCTTTGGCAACCGCGAATGTGTGGCAGACAGCATTCACCGTATGGCCGCGATTTGTGTCTCTGGCAACATCCTCATAAACACTCTGTACACCGACTTCTAAACGAGTGCAGCCGTATCGAAGCATGTCGCTCAAATGGGTCTCTGTGCAATAGTCGGGCCGAGTTTCAATAGTGATTCCAACACATTTTGTTGCACTTTGCTGGGCAAACTCCACAGCCTCGTCTACATCTTTGGTGGTATGGCCCGAAAGAGCATTGTGGAGGGCAGAAATAAACTCTTCTCGATACTGCTTGTCAAGCGACATGAAAGTTCCACCCATAACAATATACTCGACTTTATCGATGGAATGACCCAGGGATCGAAGCTGCTCAACCCGCCCGCGGGCCTGTTCGTATGGATCATAGCGGGCCCGGATCGCTCGCATCGAGGTGGGCTCGTACCCGGTGTAGCTCTGCGTTGAGTACTCAAAATCACTGTCGGGTCCGCCTGGGCAATAAACACAAATGTTTCCTGTATATGCAATGTGTGGACAGCGATGTGGCTTGCACATTACAGCCACAACGGCAATTCCACTTGCCGTGCGCACTGGCTTCGCTCGAAGTTTGGGCAGCAATTGCTTTTTATAGTTCTCAGGAATCGCTGCTATAATATCTGTTAGCCGCGGTTGGGCTGAGAGCTTGTATTTTTTCGCATAGCGGCCAACAACTGCATTCAGATTCACATCTTTGCGTTGTTGGACGCTCTGGACGAGCTCGACAGAAATATCAGAGCAGCAGCGGAGAAACCGCTCACGTTCTGGAATTTTATTCATCGATCAAGTGGCACGTTTCAAGCAATCTAAGTATATCCTCTTCTGCCGTTGCCGTAAAAGCTGTCGATTTTTTCAGACGCTGGTTTTTTTTTCCCCCCGCTGGGTAAAACGATAGTAATCAAGACTCGAGCTGACGTCACTGGTTTTTTCTAACATCCACTCTGGCAATGGGCGATTATCCGAATAATGCCACGGTGACAGGAAGAAGGGGTGTCGATAACTCGGCACGACCTTTCACTGCTCCTGGTAGGATTAGAAGCGACGCCCAGCACGAATTGAACACGCCAGCTTTTTCAAACGCCAACGAGAATCCCTACGGGTCGCTTGGTGGTGAAGACTCTAGGTATAATTATGATTCGCGTTCTCAGCCGGCTGCGCATAGTGGACAGACTCGCCACCATGACGGTCCCGCGCACGACGCGTACGGTCCCGAAGCAACTAACCAAGCAGCCAGCATGTTTGATCCTCCGGCAAGTGACACGGACTTTTTTGCAAACCTCGGTGATAGCCCCCAGGCCGACTTCGAATCAACGCCCGCTGCTTCGTTCATGAACGAGCGCAACCCTCAGCTGGAGTCTGCACCAGGTGATGACTTCTTCAATGACCAGGAAGATGGGTGGCCTTTACAGGGTTCTCCATTTTTGAAGGAAAACGACGACGGCGATTTTGACAGACTAGATGATGAGACGGCTCAAACCAATAGAGATGACCCTGGATACCCTCAACCTCAAGTGGAATCCCAACCTGAAGTTTGGCCGAGTGAACAGCCTGCTCAGCATGTGGTCCAGCATGAGGACCAACACGAGGCCGATCCCGAGGCACTGCCAGAGCCCGTGGCTCAGCAGGACCCCCAAGCTCCAGCTACACCATCGGCTCTCAACTTGGATCTGGATGACGATTTCTTAGGTGACTCTCCGGGGCCGGCTCCTCAGGCTCAACCAGCTACGCAACCCGGTGCTCAAGTTCAACCGGCTCAGGTTCAACCGGCTCCTCAACCCGCTGCTCAAGCTCAATCGGCTCCTCAGGTTCAACAAGCTCCTCGGACCCAACCAGCTCCTCAGGCCCAACCAGCTCTTCAGCAGTCTTTTTCCCTCAATGCTACGGCAGATCTTTCCTTCCTAGGTGACGATGATGATCTTCTGTCGGACGATGAGCCTTTGGCTCCTTTACCGGATTTGTCCAGTCATTCTTTGAGATCAACAGCCAGCATGCCTAGCTTCCACACTGATACAAGCGGTTTTGACTTGCCGTTGGAGATCATCCCTAAGACTTATCATCCTCGCCATCATGAACCACAACCTCCAGTGAATCCACCTGGAACTCAACTGCCGCCTCCAACTCGTTCGCACACTCCTGGAAACGATTCTTGGAGATCAATGTCGAGACCAATGTCTGCTGAGCCCTCGAGGCCGAACCCTTATGCCCCGCCTGTCTTTGCGGCTCCCCAGGCCCCTGCTCCTACCGCTAAAGCTCAGCAGTCTTTTTCGCCTTATTCTTCGTCGACCCCATTGAATCAGGCTCCTCCAAAGTCTAATCCTCATGCGGCGGCCGCCAAGGCAAACCCTTATGCTGCCGTAGCCCAAACTGAAAGCACAGCTAATGACTCTATCCAGAGTATTGCGTCAAGTTTAATCCCGAGACCCCCTAGTATCCCTATGGGTGTTTCTACTGTGAATTCTCGATCCCCTGCTCCGCAATCTTTGGGTGGTGTCTTAAGTCCTCCTGGCCGTTATGGTCTACCACCAGGCGCCTCACCTCGTCTAGCTGCTCAAACGCTCCCGGCTGCTCCAGCTGCTAAGGTCAAATCTACATTGATGAGAGGATCAAATCCTGATCCTTTCGGTTTCCCCGGCCTTGAAACGATGCAAAAACCTCCTCGCCGTCGCCAGACTGCTTCGCCTGCGCCTAGGTCGAACGTCGCTCCACCACCGGTGGCAAGCGTGCCCCATCCTGGCCCTAGTCGTGGACCTAGGTCAGTGGGTGGCCATTCTCGTCAGGGGTCGGGTATTTTATCACCACCGCCTAGGCTGTTTTCTCCCGCGCATTCACAACGTACTCCTTCCCAGAATCCGTATGCTCCTCCAGCTCAGTCGATCCAGCAGCCACCAGATTTGACCCCGCATGGAGCCTATGCTCCTAAGGCCAATATACCTGCGCTTCAGTCTCCCTATGCCCCACCTCCGGGCAATTATAACCCTCAAAACCAACAGTATGGACATCATGAATATCAGCACCCTCCGGGTGGGCATGAACATTCAGCTGGACAGTATGACTATCCTGGTCAACAAGGTAATTATAATGGTCAAATTGATATTCCTCAGAGTTATGCTAGTTCCCAAGCCCACTACGACCAGCAGCATCAAGAATATTATCCTCAGGGACCCCATGGTCACGAGCACAGCGAAGGCAACTTCGCACCTCCACACGTCCAGCACCCTGGCTATAACCCTCAGGCATCTAATCATCCTCAAGCCCATCAGGGACAGCAAGCATACAATGATCCTCGAGCTCAGCAGGGATACTCACAGAGTTCTTACGAGCCGGCTCCAGGTCAATATGCGCCTCCACGCGCTCAGGCTCAAGGGCCTTATCAGGGTCATGTTCCTTCACAAGCTTATGCACCACAAGGCCCTGCTCCGCAGGCTGACGCCTCCTCGCATGGTTATGGCCCGTCGCAAGGATATGCCCCTCCACCAGCTAACGCTCCTCCACGCGGACATGCTCCTCCTCAAGCGCAGGCTCCTCGGGCTCAAGCTCCTCCTCAGGTCCAGGCTCCTCCTCAGGTCCAGGCTCCCCCTCAGGTCCAGGCTCCTCCTCAGGTCCAGGCTCCTCCTCAGGTCCAGGCTCCCCCTCAGGTCCAGGCTCCTCCTCAGGTCCGGGCTCCCCCTCAGGTACAGGCTCCTCCTCAGGTACAGGCTCCTCCTCAGGTACAGGCTCCTCCTCAGGTACAGGCTCCTTCTCGAGCCGACGCCGCCGGGGCACCGAAGACCGACATGTACTCACAAGAAGCCCACGATCCAAGATCTGAGTTTCTAGGTCGTATGCAGCAGGATCCTCACGCCCCTCAGAGTGAACAGAATGTTGACGCAGAGCAGCCGAATAGTTACATGCCCTCGGGTCCTGAGCACTACCAGAACGACGGTGCTGATGTATCTCATGCCCAGAACCTTACTGAGTCTAGCGTCGACTGCTACAAGATGCAACACTTACCGCCTAATTCATCCCGAAGTGATGATAGAGGCTACGGTCAGCCGCTTGGTGACCCCGATGTCGATCATTCTGAACCTATGAGAGCTCATGCAAACCCCTGCAAACCTGTCACAGCCAATCCATATGCTCCCTCAGTACAGGCAGATCAGTCTGATGGTGAGGTTCCTTTGGACTCCGAGAGAGCAGCTGCTCCACCTCCTTCTAAGCGTACTGTACCGGTTGCAAACCAAGAGAAGCAACCTCAGGGACCTAAAGAATCTAATACGCCACCTCAAATTCCTAAAGTTCTTGAAGATGAACCGACTAGTGAGTCCTTGGCGCCTCCTCCTGGGCCTCCAAAGGCCCAGCCTCGTGGCGCTAAGCCCAAGACTAAGACAGAGGACACCTCCGATCCGTTGGCAGCTCTTTACAATGCCCCACCGCGGAAACCTCAAACTCGTGGTAAACGCAGAGGACCACATCCTCCCATAAAATCGCACGATCCAGAGGTGGAGGAAGTACAACCGGAGCCCAAAACAGCTCCTGAGCCTGTTCAAAATGGGAATTCGACTTTCCGCAATCCTGAAGAGCAAGCTTTCGAACCCGATGAGGCACATGAGGAATGGCATGATCACGCCCCTAAGGTTACCGCTGCTACAGCTGCTACCAAAAGTGGCGGTAAGCGCAACCCGTATGCTCCGTCGACAAATGCTTCTGTTCAGCCTCCACCTGCTCCAGTGATTAATCGCAGCGACAGCCCTCTTTTCGAGCCTCCCCGGCCTCAATCGCCTTTGGATACTCGTGACCTGCTTCAAGAGTCCTATGGTCGACCACTAGAAACTCCTGTAAGTCAGATTATGGACGACGTCGAACAGCCTGGCACTCCACAGCACCAGCGCCCACAACCTGCAGCACACCCTAGGATGCCACCCCCGCCCGAAGTTTTGACTCCTAAAGTTGATCACGGTAACTGGGCAACTGAGGAGCCTGAGATTTCACCCCGCGGTGGTCATGTACAGCGTTCACCCCAGCAGCCTAAGGCTGTCAATGGTGCAGTTGCCCGTGGAAAGAAGCGGAACCCTTATGCGCCGGCTGGTAATGTCGAAAACATTCGTCAATCTGCCCGCTATCCTGGTATACCTCCAGCTGTAGCTGCAGCGGCAGCTATGACTGCCCCCATTAACAGGCCGCCCAGTTCTATTAGCCGGCCCGGAAGTGTATCGAATGATTTGCATCTCTCGCGGCCTCCTAGTGAACTTGCTGAGCCCAAAGTGCCAGAACTGCACCCTGCTCATCAAATCCCTTTGTTTTTATTCTCCAGAGATCGCTATGCTAAAGTGCTCCCTGCAAGAATGTATGGTGCACCTTCACTGGTCAGCGTTCATGACGTTTCTGGCTTAAAATTATTGCCTCCTGTAAGGGCTAAATTTCCGGCACCTCTGGTTAATGCCAAGGGCGTTCTGAAGGGAAAGAAAAAGGAGCTGGAGAAGTGGATGGATGAGTCTGGTGATAAAGGACTTTTGTTACGCATTTTGAGAGTACTTGTGGAGCAACTGGATCCTGAAGCAGAAGAACTAGCACTCCGTCGTGTCTTGGATCCCCAAGCGGGTGAAAAGCATGGTCGCGACAGACTCGTTTCAGGTGCAGATTTGTTTTCACGCCAGCCTCCAACCGAACTTGGCTCATCGTTGGGGGATGTTTTGATGGACCTGGCTGTTGGTAACCGTGATGCGGCACTACAGAGTGCGCTGGATTCTCGTCAATGGGCCCATGCCTTGGTGATTGCCAAGTCACTTGGTCAGGAACAATGGGATGCCGCTCTCTTGCAGTTTGTTCGCGAAGAGTTGCGTACACAACCAGGTAGGGCCGGTCAGGAACTAGCATTTATCTACCGTGTCCTTGGAGGTGCTGGTGCTGCTGCTGCTGATGAATTGGAACCTCTCAGGTCGTCTGACAACTCTGCTCCTGGGTCTACATTCAATTGGGTCACATACGCATCGCTAGTTTTGGCCAACCGAACTCCTGGCGATGGCCCAGCATTAGCTGAGCTTGGTCGTAACCTTGTCAAGCGTGGACTCGTAGAGCAGGGTCATGTATGTTTGCTTTTGAGCGGTGAGCCTGTTTTCGGGGACTTGTTGAATGGATTCGAAGTACCTTATATCACTCGTGGAACTTCGGAACTTGCTCCTATTGATCTTGCAGAAATTTACGAGTTTGTTTTACTATCTCGTGGCTCTGCCATTGCTCCGTTCGGCCATCTGCTGCCCTACAAGGTCAACAAGGCCCTGGAGCTTGCTCAATCTGGTCACCACACTGAAGCGACAAAGGTGGCAGAAAACGCGTTGGTCATTGCTAGACATCTCAAGGCTGCGCCGCTTGTTCAACTCTGTGATCGTGCTTTACAGCACTGTGGGCAAGATCCCAGTGGTTCTTCTGGTCACTGGTTGTCTAGGAAACTATCTCGACCTCGTATGGATAGTACTTGGGTTTCGACTTTTAACAAGTTTGTCTCCGGCGAGGATGATGCCGAAATCGGACAGCGCTCGCTGCCGGGCTTGTCTGCTTCAGCAATTGCACGCCATGGATCTGAACCAATTATTAGTACATCTAGGGCATCACCTGCTCCTATGCCTTTAGCACCCATGACACCCATGGCACCTTTGGTAGCTGGTGTTGCTCCCCGTCAGCCCGCTGAAGTTGGTTATGTGCACAGTGTTGGCAGTTCGCCGAGATCTAACCCTTACGCGCCTCCTGCTGGATGGACCAAGCCTAGTACTCCGGTCCCACCGGTTTCTGAAGAGCCTGAGCTGAAAGCCGTACCCAAGCCTGCGCCTCCGCCTGCTTCTATGTATAAAGCTCCCGCTGCGCACAAGCCCAGGACGCGACCTGAGCCAGTTCCAGTGCCTCTGCCTGTGCCTGAGCCAGTGCGGGAGCCGGAGGTCGAACCTGAGGCTGAGCCTGAAGTCGAGTCTGAAGTCGAGGCCGAAATTGAGGTCGAGGTCGAGGTTGAGGTCGAAGAAGAAGTTGAAGAAGAGCTCACTAAACAGACTGAGGCACAAGCTGACTACGGCGATGATGCTGAACAAAACAGAGGCAAATATGATGAGCAGTACGATGGCCAATACGATGACGAGTACGCTCAAGACGAGGACTATGACTACAATGATTATGACCAGGATTATGATGATCAGTACAATGATCAATACAACGACGATCAGTACGATGATCAGTATGATGAGGGAGCTCCGGAAGGCGAGGATCTTGGCATTGGCAATTCGGCCCCCAAGACTGAAAAAGCGCCTGAAAAAGAGGAAAAGAAGGATACTCACAAGGGAAGCTGGTTTGGGTGGCTGCGTAAAGGAGAGGACCCTAACGCACCCAAGCCGATCAAGGCCAAACTTGGCGAGCAGAGCTCGTTCGTTTATGATGAAAAGCTCAAGCGGTGGGTGAATAAGAATGGGCCTCCACCTGAAGAAGAGGCACCTCCCCCTCCACCGCCCAAGGCCAAGGCCCCTGCGTCGCCTGCCAAGTCACCTGCAAAAGCTCCTGCGAAACCACCGGCCAGCAGTCCGGCTAAGCCTGAGCCAGGTGCAGGATCTGCCGGCCCTCCCAAGCCAGCGAGCAGCGCACCCAAGCCGGCTAAGGCCAATACCGCGTCAAAGGCTGCTCCAGCAAACGACATTGACTCGTTGCTCAGCGCCGCACCGGTTGCCCGTCGCAAGAGACCGACACGCAGTCGGTATGTTGATGTGATGAACCCAACATAAAACATATGCATGTACACTGCGGCAGTTCTTCGGATCTGCAGACAAGTAGAGATTCCCGCGTCGCCAAGATAGATTGTAGAGAATTTCGGAATAACTAAACACAAATATATATTAGAAAATTGGAGGAACCAGTTTCTAGTAAGGAGCTGGTATTTTTCAAAAAATATTCAACCACTGAGCTTAGCCTCGCCATGCTTGTCACCGACCGGTTTGGAAGCCTGGGGGGTCTGGTAGTACTGCTGATGGTGCTGCTGAGCCTGGGGCTGTTGGGCGGCTTGTTGGGCGGCTTGTTGCTGAGCCTGGGGAGTGTGGTGAGCCTGCTGCTGCGCCTGCTGGTACATCTGGCTCTGATCGTAACCTTGTTGATACTGCTGACCCTGATAGTACATTGCGTGCTGGACTTGCTGGGGCTGTCCCTGCTGCTGCTGCTGTTGAGGTTGTTGCTGCTGTTGCTGCTGCTGCTGTTGGGGTTGCTGGGCAGCCTGAGCTTGGTGAGCTTGCGAGTAGTCCTGGTTGCTGTAAACCATAGGATAAGAAGCATAAGGTGAGCCGTAGGCGGAGTTATACGCACCCATCGGTCCGTATCCCTGCATACCATACTGGGGCATGTAGCCATACTGGCGGCTGTAAGCCTGGTGCTGGCTGCCCATCTGATCAGCAGATCCACCGGTACCTTGGCCATCAGCCTGGTGACCGCCAGCAGCGCCGCCAACATCATCGCGACGGACCATGCCCTTTTCACCGGGGATACCAGAGGTTGGGCCAGGCATCATTGACGCCTGGTGGTGGCCCATGTGGCTCTGTACGGGCATCTGACCAGCATTAGGCAGCATCTGAGGGTGCTGTGGGCCGGTAGGATAGCCTTTGACATCTTGACCACCCTGCATCAAACCAACATCACCAGTGGCACTGGGGTTTTGCTGACGATAGAGGAAAGAGCGAATATCTTCAACGAATAGAGGATAAAGTAGGTCGGCGATACCTTCCTTTTGGGCAAAAGCAGCGGCACGGTCGAAAGGAATCCACACGCCCTTGAGGTGCATGGCGCCAATCTTGACCACATGGCGAACTTTTTCGGCCTTGAGCATACCGTCACGGCGTCCACGCGTCATACCAGCAACATTCAAAAGCTTGGTACCGTTGATCATATCGTTATCCTCACGACGGGCGACCGAGATGCCTCGGGCCTCCACTTGAAAGCAGAGGGTATTTTCGTCCTCCCACAACGTGGTAGTCACGCGGGGACGGGGTTTAGGCGGAACCATACCGGCGTGAACAGGGGTAGCAGCATACATTTGGTGGTTTGCTAGACTTGACATTTCCTTGGGGCCAACAAAATAGAACGACTAGCACAGATTGAGCGAGAGTCTGTGAAGGTGCTAACGTATGAACGAATCTTTAGGGGCGAACTAGCAAAAAGAGGAGCGAGCTAGTTTGTCAAAAGGCAAAATATGGGTATTTCAGTCGTCGATACTGGACGAATGATTCTGAAGCGATAAAAACGCGTGGAAAGGAAGAGAAATGGGAGCTGGGAAAAGCCACGGGTTATGTACAATGCGGGCCCTATGTGACGTAAGGCAGGGGTAAGGGCTGCTACTTGACGATGATTGGTGGGATCTGCATCAGTTTGCCACTACTAGCAGATTTTTGCGTCACCGCTACATTCCTTCGCAGGATAAATCTCTCGGCTTTGTTGAAATCGTCAGTTGCCGGCCGCCGCGCGAGGGGCTGTCGAACAGGGGCTGTATCGGAAATTACCTCTGGTTTGTACACCTTTTTCCCGCTCGCTGTGATCCCTCTCTCGGCGACCCTATGACGGAGTACACCCCGCTCAGACTCCCTGACAACTCATCAAAAGCCCTAACCCTGAAAAAGGATATCCACCCTCGCACCTCTTAGACAATAGATCAAGATGCGCCGCCAATGTCAGGCCCGGTTGTTGCGCCTACTTGCACCTACTTGCTTGTGCATATCCCACATTGTTCGAGCTAATCCTAACGCTAACTTTATACTTGTATATATTTATTTTTACTTTCCTTATCTTCTGCCTGGTCTCAACGGTACGCCGTTTGCTTTTCGTCCAGGGCGTCTTTAGCCGTGCAACTTGCCCTATTCGCCCACCCTTGCTTTCTTCCCCAGACACTAGATGTCGCTGCTTTTTGCATCGACGGGCTCAACCGCATGCATACCTCGCACTGTCCGATCAGATTAAAAAGTATTTAGTTCCTTAGGCTATAATCATTTGATTATATCCCGTGTTTACCGGCCGCTTCCGGGTCTTATGCCGTCCCAGGACTCTGTTTGCTCTGCCCTGACCCCACGTCAGCCGTCAGTGGAGGCTCTCTGCCACTATAAGCTTTGATCTGCAGTGCAAACATAAAAATACATATCCATTTATATTTCGATAATCTGATTGAACTTTGAGCTGCGTTACATTCTCAAACTATAAGTAGTGCTCATTTCAGTGCCTTTGCTCGTTCTAGTAAATCAAATTATATTCGCACTTTATAGTTTAATGGTGTCGGCGACGACTATCTAAAGCACCCACTGCATGCTGCAGAGATTCCACTTCACGATACAGCCCATCAAGCTCGTGTTGGCACGCCTCTTTGGCCTGTCTGAGCTCTTCATTCCACTTTTTAAAGTGAGTCTCCTGAAGCGCAGACACTCGGCCCATCTCTTCCTGAGCGCAGCGAACGCGTTGGAGAAACAGCGAATTGTGCTCCAGTCGATTTTTCCTAAGATAATCATACCCAAAGGGCATAACCTTGGCCAACAGCTCGAGGCTGTTGTATCGATCAATAGCCATGGTGTCGGCGTTATCGACAACCGGGCTCATAAAAGTGACGCTCTTTTTCTCAGTAGGGCCCTTAGTTAAAGCATTAGCACTTTCTTCGGCTTCCCGCTCTTTCTTTTGAAGGTCTGTACTGGCCTTGAGCCGCTGCTGCATGAGAAGCCGTCGCTGTCGCTCGTAATGCACTTCGTGTGTCGTATCGATTAGGTCAAGCATGTTCTTGCCCATAAGGACTTCACTCAAACTCGTAAAGTCACAGTGCTCAGGATCATCGACTAAAGATACCCCCCATCTGTATCTCCGGCCACGAGCCTCCTCTCCGTTCACGTTAACAGTCTTTTCGCTGGCAATCACGGCGTAGGGCCAGATGGGCTCCATGGCCTTGCCAACGCTGGAGTTTGCAGGAGGACAAAAGACACTGATCTCGTGCTCTTGAATGGCCTGCCGAATTGAGCGCTTGAAATTAAGCAAGTCCTCCTTACAGAAGCTATCGGCTTTGGCCACAACAGGAATCAAGTTCACCCGTTGTGACAGTTCTTGCATCGTTATGATATCCAAAGGTAGGAGTCCATGGCCACTGGGATAAATAAAATACAAACAAACGTGTACCCTTGTGTCTACAAGCTCTTCACGGAATGGTTGTTCCTCCTCGCACATGTAGAGAGCATGTTGAGAGTCGATGTACTGGCATAGCGGAAGCCACGCTGATTTGTTGTTGGTGTAATCACCCAGCCCTGAGGACTCTACAATTGTAAACCGGCCTGTGAATCCGTTCTCGGTGTACTCGACCTGACGAATATTCAACTTAGTCGTCTTATCAAACAGGCTACCTTCCACCCGCTCAGATACTGACACCGATACCGAGGTGTCGGTAATTTGATCCCGGAACAGAGTGTTTACGAAAGTTGTTTTACCCAAGCCGCTCTCCCCGGCCACCATCATGGTGAATGTAACACCTTTGCGCGCAACGATTTTTTTGCGCTGCAAAGGCAGATACTTGAGACAGCCCGTATTCGTTCGCAAAACTACCATTGTTTCCGCAGCAATATTACGCATTGGATTATCGTCATCCGGGGTGGTGTAAGGAGTACTCGGGGCCGAAGTTTTAAGGGAGTCTTCAGTAGCTAAAGACGGCGCCCTGGCCTCATCGTCGTCGCGTAAATCAGTCGCCTGCAAGGGTTCACTCAGCTTGGTTACAGGCGAGTTCTCGTCCTCGCAGTTATACATCTCAGGAGTGGACATTGGGAAAACATCAAAGACACAGCAGGTTTAATATCCATGCATTGTGGTGGTCTTGCAGACGTTGTGGTGCAAAGACTCTTGTTGAAAGCCAGAATCACTTTGTCGACTATTATATACAATTAAATGCTTTTATTTGGTTTTTTTTTCTCTTTCAAGCAGTTTGTTCGGTCTTGATGGCCAGGTATTGGGGTGGTTCTCTGAAAATGTCGCCCCGGCTGGTCATGGATCTGATGATCTCAGTTCGAGAACCAGGACTCAGAGTAGGATCAGGCATGGGAGAGTTCACCGGAGTCTCAAACAAAGAGCCAATCAGGCGACCCTCGGCAGGAGACTTGGTAGTGTCAAAAATAAAAGCAACATTGTCTACAACAGTGCGTTCGACCTTGTCGACCTTGTTGGTGTCAAGATTAAGCTTGGACAAGACCTGCCTGGACTCAATTCTGTACAGCGTCTGAACAAACCGAGTGGGGGTATCGGGAAGAGAAAGAGGAATAATAGATAGGACCTTGGGCTTCGCGGTCAGTTTTTCAAGCTTCCAGTCGAGACGGACGTTTTTGGGGAACTTTTGGGCCCGGGCAGCCAAGGGTCCGTACACCCAACGAGACGTGAGCTTCGACAGTCCCGAGAGATCACGATGAACAAAGCACTCATTCGTGCGCTGATACAACAGTAGGGCAGTCTCCTTCCACTCTAGCGGTTGGAAACGCTCACGGCCAATCTCACGGCGGAGTTTCACTGCCATATAAGTGTTGACGCCTAAAAGTTGTACACGGCGCTTCAAAGCAGTCCATCGAGCCTTGGGATTGGTGAACCACGACGGCAGATCTCGAGGGGGGACATACAGGTCAGTCACCAGACCGGCCTGGTCCATGGAGAACTGAACCGGCGACGTGGTCGTGGCTGCAGAGCGAGTTACCGCCCGACTAATTACCTGCGATGGCTTCGTGCTATGCCAAATCGATCTGAACATTACGGGGGGGTTAAAACGAAATTTGGACGATTTGTCAGTGAAAAATAGCCAGGCGACGGATACTAGTCACGTGATTAATGCCTTCAAGTGGCAGCTACGAAAACGAACGCTCAAGTACGCTTATATCTGGGGAAACTGTCGAAAACTATTTAACGAGCACCAGTGGTAGTGGCAGAGGCCTTCTCACGCAAATTCTCGGCCGCGTTAGGACGAATGCCCAGAACCTTGACAGAGAAAGGACGCAAGACATTCTCGTAGACCATCTGGGAGCCATTGAAATGAGGCAATCCCAGGTACAAAAAGATAATGGTTTTGAAGAACCAGTAGAAGGGAATCCAGTACAGAATGAAGGAGGACCAGAACTCAAGGATGCTCAGGGCAGCGTAAACAACCCAGTAAGTCAAAAACTGAGTGTCGTCACGGGTACCGGGAGTCTCCAACGCCTTGAGACTGTAATAACCGGGCAAAGCAACAGCGGCAAGATTGGCAAACAGCTGGCCAATGCCGCCAACGTTCAGAAAGACCATAAGCAGGTAGACACCAGCAAAGCCGCCCAGCTGGTACGATTTTGAAACACCGGTCTGCTGCTCAAGGCGGCCCAAAAACTGGGACTTGCTGGCCTCAGCCTGGATACTGTTCAAAGCGGTTGTCAGACGTTGTTGAAACGACATGTTTAGTGTAAGTGGGAGAAATGCACAAGGGTGAGGGGCAAACAATAGATCGGTCAAATACAGGATAAAACAATATGTGGGACACTTCGGAGTTGAAGGCTTGCGACAATTTGCAAGTGGGCTAGCACGTTGCAGTCTCTTCCGCACTCATTCACTCGACCACCCAGTCCCGATGACCTTAGGCAGCCTATTTTGCTTGCACATTCCACTGATTTCATCTTGTCAAAAAATACCAAACTGGTTTGCTACTTCATTTATTATAAAAACAACGTGGCAGAGAAATAAAGTTTAAAGGTTGGCGCCGTACATCTGGTGGACCTTGACGGACTGGCGGATGGACAGGTCCAACATGATCTCCTCAGAACCGCCAGGAATAGCCAGAGCACGGACAACGCGGTAAAGACGCTCGACTTTACCGCCCTTGCCGCCGCGGGTGTAGGAAAGACCGCCAAAGATCTGAGAGGCCTCGCGGGCACAGTACTCGAATGTCTGGGTAGAGAATGCCTTGCAGCCAGCGATGTTACCACCGAGACGCAGCATAGCCTCGTCCTCCTCCATCTTGGAAGATTGGTAGACAAGAGCGTCGGCAAGGGCGCAGGACGCCTCAATGCGGCAGGCCATTTGGGCAAGCTTGTTGCGGATGACGTCGTGCTTGAACAACTTGACACCAAAGGTCTCGCGCTGGAAGGCCCACTTGATGGCCTCCTCATAACAGACACGCGAGAAGCGATTGGCCTGGGTAATGCAGCCAAGACGCTCGTGGTTGAAGTTGCGCATAATGATTTGGAAACCCTTGTTCTCTTCGCCAAGCAAATTCTCGACCGGAACCTTGACGTCGTCGAAGGTGACCAGGGCAGTGCCAGAAGCATTCATACCCTGGGTAGCGATGTGACGGGTAGAGACACCATCGAAGGTGCGCTCAATGAGCAGCATAGAGATGCCGCCCATGCCGGGGCCGCCAGTGCGCACGGCAACGCTGAAGAAATCAGCAAACATACCGTTGGTGATCCACTTCTTGACCCCGTTAACGACGTAGTGCTTGCCGTCAGCCGACAGCTTGGCCTCGGTAACAAGGTTAGCAACATCAGAACCACCAGAGGGCTCAGTGATGCACAGACAGATGCGCTTCTTGCCAGAAAAGACGTCAGGAAGAACCCGCTTTTTGATGCTATCTTTAGCAAAGTTGAGCACGGGGGGGATACCAATGCTATAGCCACCAACTAGGTACCAGACGAGAGCACCGGAACCAGGGCGGCTCAACTCATCGCCGAGAATGGACTCGTGGAAAGGATCGAACTTTTCGTTGGGAACAATATCGGCATGCTTGTTTTCAGCGTATTCCGAGGGGAACTTCTTGGAGCCGAGAGCATAAGGCAGCCAGCCGGCCTCAGCAAACTCCTTGAAAACAGAAGCGGGGATCTCGTCTGCCTCCTCCCACTCGTCAATGTAGGGGGAGATTTTCTCGTCAACGTAGCTGCGAATGCGGTCACGCAAAGCAGCATGGCTTTCATCGTGGTGCTGGGAGTGGAATCCCTGGTACCACATAGGGTCGGCGTAGGGAATCATGTCGCCAAACTGCTCGAGAGGCTCGCCGTCCTCGCCGTTGGTGGGCAAGGCTGTGATGCGGGGGATTTTCGCCATGGTGGGATTGGCGCTAACCGTGGCGACAGCGGGATTGGGCGACAACTTGCCGATCTTGAAATTGTTGCCGAACTTGCGCATAACCACCGCAGGCTCGTGGTACTTGTGGAAGAACTTGGTAGCATCCTTTCCACCCACCTTCTGGAGCATCTTCTTGCCACCAGGGTGGTCCTTTTGCCATTCAGTAACGTCAAAGACATTACCGTCGATAATAATCCAAAGGTCCTCAGGCGTGTTGTGCTTCGAAACCTCCTCAGCAGTATATTCCTTGCTCATTGTGTGGTTTAAGTTACGTTGGAGGAATGCCTAGCTGATTATATATATGCACCCCACAACTACCGAGGCCGCAATGCCGACCAAACCCCCTCCCGCAGGGTCATGTGCCAGGAGATATTTATCCGGGGAGCGAACCGGAGGATTTTTGCCGGTTTAATTTATAGAATTAAACACTTCTAGACAGATTGCTTCTTAATTTCCATAAAACTCGGCGGTTGTGACTGGTAAAAGGTTCCCAGTACCCCCCCACCTTTTTCGGTATATGCTGCCTCCTATTGGTCTCTTGCTTAGACGCATGTGACCAAAAGTGGGGACGGAAGGCCCTGAAAAAGTCGGTCGGCAGGGAGTTTCTCCCGATGACTAAGGCGGATAGGCAAATCTGGCCAAATGTCTAATTCCCCTCCTATGTTACCTTGTACCCTCCCAGCCAGGAAATCTCTGACACACCAATGTCTGTGGCAGTTGTGGCTCAGGATCGAACTGCTGAATTTCGCGCGGCCGTGTCGTCGCTCACGCGAATTCGGGGTGCTCCGGCCCAGGCAGCAGCGGCAGCTTCGCCAGCAACCTCGCGGAGCCAGTTTTCCCGCAAGGCATCCGATATCGCCAAAGAAATCGCCGACACAACTGCAATGCTGCAACGCCTCGCGATGCTGGCAAAACGCAAACCGCTGTTTGACGACAAACCGGTGGAGATCACAGAGCTCACTATGGTGATCAAGCAGAAGCTGTCGTCAATCAATGAGTCTATCAAGTCTCTTCAAGTACAGGTCAAGTCTGACTCGGCTGGCGGCTGGTCCGCAGGCCAGAACAAGGCTCAGCTGGCTGACCACTCGAAGAACGTCGTAATTATGCTCCAGGGCAAGCTAGGAGAAGTGACTACCGGGTTCACAGAAGTCCTCGAGGAGCGAACCCGCCGAATGCAACAGTCCAGGGAGCGATCCGAACAGTTCATCTCAACAAAACGCGACCAGACGCCTGATAATCCCCTATATGCCCGTGGTGCTGTCTCATCGCGCCGCCCAGCAACACCCTCGGCCCCGTCCTCGGCAGGCGGAGCCTCTGCATACGCCTCGGGCACCAGACCAGGCGGCAACAGCGAGGTGTATGCCGATAACCCGTACGCTGCCGCATATGCAGCAGACCCAGAGCCTGAGATGCTAACACTACCCGAACAACAGCAGTCGCTCACGCTGCTTGAGGAGCAACAGAGCTCTTATCTGTCGTCGCGATCCGTAGCGGTCGACGCAATCGAATCCACCATCAGCGAGCTGGGCTCTATTTTCTCGCAGCTATCCACTATGATTGCAGAGCAGCGCGATACCGTTCAGCGGATAGACGCAAACACAGACGACATTGCAATCAACGTCAGCGGCGCCCAGAGAGAGCTGCTTAAATATTATGCCCGCATCAGCTCCAACCGTTGGCTTGTTCTCAAGAGCTTTGGCGTTATTCTTATTTGCTTCTTCTTGTGGGTACTCATTTCGTAATTACCATTTATATTATATAAAAAAAGAAAGCTCCGTTACATTGCCATTTCCGCCTGGAGCTGGCGAAGAACTTCTTCCTCGTCTTCGTCTTCGACCTCGTCGACAGAGGTCTCCGGTGCAGACAAGGGGGCACTGGGAGCAGCCGGGACCCGCCCTGCCGCAACCATATGGGCGTCCACAGTCTCCTGTTCGAGCAGTTCGAGCTCCTCCTCGAGTTCTGCGTCGTCAGTCTCCTGAAGAGGTCGCGAGATGGCGTCCGAAATCTCCTCATTGAGCGCCACCTGGTCTCTGATGTCATCCATAGTTGTGTCGAGTTTGTCCATGTCCATGCCGTTGTGAATGCCTTTGAGGGCGGCCGCACCCTGCTGCATAACCTTCATGGTCTCGTAGTTAAGATTGGCGCCCTCCACAGCGGCAAGCTGCTGCTCCAGCGAGACCATTTGGCCCTGCAGCTTTTCTATTTCTGTTTCGTACTGCTTCTTGCGGCGGAGAGCAGCGCGCGCAGCCGCTTTGTTGGACGTCACCATCTTCCGAGCAACCGCATCCTGCTCATCTCGTTTGCCTTCGAGCCACACTTCGCGCTTCTGCAGTGACTCCAAATGAGCACGCATCGTTACAATTGCCGATGTTGTGTTCTCCTTCTTGCTATTGCCACCGCCCCACCACTTCATACTGAACATGCTTTTGATTCGAAGGCGAAAGGCGGGAACTTTGTTTGTGACTAATGGGGGTGGCCGCCGATTTGAGCTATGTCGAGACGAGATCTCAACAGGAGCTCGATGAAGCAAACAAACTGGTAGAGGCGGAGATACAAGTGCTGCTGCAGGATGACGACTATATGCCAGACATGCCCCCACTAAACGAGTCCCTCCTCGTCCACTCAACCGAAGGGGTTATTCCGCAGTTCAAGTTCCCCAAATCGGGTAACCTGGCCAAGGCATACGAGGATCGCGCAAGAGATAATCTCGAGCTCCTCGAGGAAATGGGACCCACCCATCTTTCCGTTGTGAACCAAGCGCTAGAGTCTTCCTTGACTATCGCCGAGGGCTGGTTGGCCAAAGTGAAAGCGGAGGTCAATGAGCTCAACCTTGATCGGCGAAGAGCCCACCAAGAAGCTATTGATACCATCAACAACCTCGAAGACACTTGGCGATCAAAAGTTAGGTCAATTGTGGATGAGTACGTAGACAAGACACTCGATTAGATATTTATTTCAGCGGCTTGGCGGTCGGTGAATTGACGCACATGAAAAATCGAAACAACAAGAAATCGAAAAGAAAAATGGGCAATGCCAAAAGTCGCGTCGACGGCCAACGGCTATTTATGGCAAGTAAACAGCGACTGCCAATATAAAGACACCTTCAAAATCCTCGAACAACAGTGGTTTTGTAGTGTAGTCGGTTATCACTTTGGATTCTGATTCCAACAACCCCGGTTCGAATCCGGGCAAGACCTTACTTTTTTGGTCTTGGCCTCCCCTAGGGGCTGGCTGATGTAAAAAAATTTTTGGGAGCCCTTGCCCAGTACCCCCAAGCAGGTTATCCAGTTTTTTTTACCTAAGTGAAAAAAAAAATCTCTTTCACACACTCTTGAGTATGACGTTCATTCTCACAGAGACGGCAGCAGGCTATGCTCTGCTTAAAGCCAAGGATAAGAAATTGTACAAGAGCGACAATCTTATCGAGGAGCTCGGTTCCGCCGACAAGGTCGTCGATCAGTTCAAAGTCAAGGTCTTCGAAAAGTTTGATTCGGCAGCAGATGCTCTTGAAGAAATCAACGCTGTCATCGACGCCAAGGTTTCCGACCGTCTTTCACGCTTGCTTGATACCCTGAAGGATGAGAAGAAGGCCACTCTCGTTGTTTCCGACGCCAAGCTGGGCTCGGCCATTAACAAACTGCCCGGTCTTTCTCTCAAGGTTGTATCTGATACCAACACGCTGGAGATTTTGCGTGCCGTGCGTGAGTATCTGCCCAGCTTGCTCCCTGGTCTGAACGAGAAGGACCTCACCACCATGTCTCTTGGTTTGGCGCACTCTATTGGCCGTCATAAGCTCAAGTTCTCCGTGGACAAGGTCGACGTTATGATCATTCAGGCCATTGCTCTCCTGGACGACCTCGACAAGGAAATCAACGTCTACGCCATGCGTCTCAAGGAGTGGTACGGCTGGCACTTCCCCGAGATGGGCAAGATTGTCACCGATAATACCGCCTATGCCCAGGTCATCAAGCACATGGGGCTGCGCACAAAGGCTGCTACCACCGACTTTTCGAGTATTCTTCCCGAGGATCTCGAGCAGAAACTCAAGGACGCTGCCGAGATCTCTATGGGTACCGAGATCACTGAGGACGATCTCAAAAATATCGAATTTTTCGCAAACCAAGTGATCAAGCTCTCCGCCTACCGTGAACATTTGTCCTCCTATTTGAATGCCCGCATGGCTGTTATTACTCCTAACCTCACTGCCCTGGTTGGTGAGCTGGTTGGAGCCCGTCTTGTCGCCCATGCAGGCTCTCTTATCAATCTTGCCAAGGCTCCGTCCTCCACCCTGCAGATTCTCGGTGCTGAGAAGGCCCTTTTCCGTGCTCTTAAAACCAAGCACGACACTCCTAAATATGGTATCATCTACCATGCTTCTCTAGTTGGCCAGGCTACTGGTAAGAACAAGGGTAAAATTGCCCGTATGCTTGCAGCCAAGTGCTCCGTGTCTACTCGTTTCGATGCTCTGTCCGAAGACCGCGATGACTTTGCCACTGTTGGTGTTGAGGATCGGGTGAAGATTGAGCGCCGCCTTGCCCAGCTTGAGGGCCGTGATTTCACTCGTATTACCGCAAACAACGTTTCTCAGCCCAAGGTTGATCTTAAGCCTGTCGATCAGTACAACGCCGACGCTGACGCCGTGGCAGACGTGCCTATGGCTGCCGACTCCGACGATGAGGACGAGGAGGAGGAGGAGGAGACTCCTAAGAAGCGCAAGCGTGATGATGATGAAGAGCCCAAGAAGTCCAAGAAGGAAAAGAAAGAAAAGAAGGAGAAGAAAGAGAAGAAGGAGAAGAAAGATAAGAAGGATAAGAAGGATAAGAAAGAGAAGAAGGAAAAAAAGGACAAGGCATAGTGTATTTAATACGTACTTTTCCAGGGAAACCAGTCCCTGCAAATATATTTTCTGTTACATTCTCCGTTCACGACTCGCGACACTGCGCTATTTGACTTTTGAGACATGCATACCGCATCTCCATAATACATCGGCAGTCTTGATGGCCCCTCCTTCTTTTCAAGCTGTACCATGGAGGTCGCTATTGCCTTGGTTCTAAATCTTAAGATAACGACGTTCGCGGAGTTGAAATCTAGACGTCGCGAGCTTCGTAAGTACCGGCCCTTCCAGATCTATGCCCTGTGCGAGTATGTTTGGATGGGCACTCCATACATCCTGCAAGATTTCTGGCGGCCTTGGTACGAGGTATACACAGAATATAGCCTCGAAAAGTGGCTTGAGGAGCGATTGGCTTGGGAGAGGTCCATTGAGAAGATCTTCAAGTCATTAACGCACCTGACCCGTGAAGAAAAAGCCGTAGTTTCGAAGATTGTCGTTGGAAGATTCGTGAAATACCCCAAGAGAAGAGATTCTTCAAGTGAATCATGCACTAGCTCTCTTTACTCCGCCTCGAACTTTTCGGACCTGAACCTGGGGAGCAAGTCTCTGACATGGACACCCCCAGATAAGCAATCTCCACCAATAGATGCCAGCGAATTGGTTCAGGCTATATCTATCTACGATCTAGCTTCTCCCGCTCCAGAACCAAAGACCCCTGTAAAGTGTTCACCAAACTCTATGGCCTTTAAACATACACCTTTACGTATCCGACTTCATCTGCCGAAACAATAATTGCCCTTTGTGTATGTAGAACACCAATATTAGTGATGGTTCCTCGATGGTTGCGACCGATATCCGCTTCTTCTTTTGATATTGCTGTAATCCTGGACTGCTTCTCTGGCTTCTTTTGAGCAGACTGCCTTTCAAACAGAAACTTAACATCTGAGCCTATCCGACCAGAATAAGCAGGAAGAGGACGTGAATAAGTAAACCCCGAAATAATTGAGCTTAGATTGGGGGCAGATAGGTTCCAGTCTCGAATTATGCGATCTGAGCCTGCTGTGATTATTCTCTGGTCCTTGCCGGACTGTGGGAACGTAGAGAGTACAGTATAGACAACATCTTCACTTACAGTCCATATGGCCAAACGGTTTGCTAGATCGGTGATTGATTCTAGTGGCGGCAGTGGAAGCTCGCCGGCGGTAAGTGGCACTAAAAGCTCGCGGCATTCTGCGGTGTGTACATCCCAAGCAGATATTAAAGATCTTGCGAAACCTCCGCCAATGAAAACCCATGTTGGAGTTCCGCTTGGGTGTAAAACCATACTGGTGATCGGCGCCAGGTCTCCAACCCCAAACGACTGGACCAGGAGCTGGAATCTCAGATCCCAGAGACTTACAACACCATGTGTACTGCCGACTGCAACCCATTGGTGTTGAGGATCAAATACCCAACACGTGGGGATTCCGAATTCTACGGGGCATTCCAGGTCAGTCATATGATCATTGTCGGCCAAGTCAATCAGGTAAATGTGAGAGTCGGCGCCCAACACATAAAGCACTTTGCGATGGTAGTGTATTGCGATTGCATGATCAGGGAGCTCCAAAACTCGTACCAGACTAAACGTCGTCTTTCCTGGTTTCTTGGATTCACTCTCCGGTGTGAGACATTCCATGAAATGTAACATCCCGTCTGAGGTACTAACCACAAATTCCGTGTCTGTCAAAAAAGCTAGCGATTTGACTTGGCTGCCGAAATCAAACGTAACACTTGGACGCGAGCTGCCTTTTCTCAAGCTGGCAACCTCCCATAGCTTGACAATACCGTCGTCGGCACCGGTAACAAACACCTCGTTGGACTCTGGGTATGCCAAGCAATTAATACAACCACGGTGTGCTTTAATTGAAGTAACAAGCGTGGCACTAAAAGGTTGCGCATTAGACTGAGGGGTGGGAGAACTGTTTCCAGGTTCAGTTGCGTCGGTTGTAGTTCCTTTGTCACGAGCATGGGCAATCAAATACTTTTCAAGCTCGGGTGTAGCCTTTTCATCGCCAGACCAAGTTTGGAGAGATACTTTGCGCAGTGCCTCTTGAAGAGATTGCTCCTCGTCCCCCATATAGTCTGGAAGGGCAACTTGCCTAATGTAATCTTTCAGTACAATAATCTGCCAAAGATCCTCATTGTTAAAGCCAACATCTCGCAATCTTTCGAGCCAACGCTTATCTTCCGTAGAAAAAGTTGTTTCGTCTCGACGCCAGAAAGTATCCTTGCGAGCTTGGCTAGCCCAGGTGAGACACAAGTTGTACACTGCACGAGCCATTGGGGGTTTAGCTGCTGCCACCAATGATCTGTATTGTTTGAAATCCGAAACGTCGGTTTGCATCAATGGGGATATCATTGGTACGAGAAGACAGTATATTTGTGCCGACGACAAATGTTTCGCAGCTGATGATACAAGCAAAAAAGCCTGGGCACGAATTCCAGGACTAGGATGGATAAAGAACTTTTTAGCCGAGGCAATGATCTCCCATAGTATTCGGAGTCGAATAAGTCCCAATTCAGCAAGGTTTCCAAGAGCCTGGAGAGCTGCAGCGACAACGCTTTCATCGCGCCATTCAGTGAGGTTGATTTGGATCAGGGGAATAGCATAATTCTCAAGCGAAGCAGAACCTAGCAGCGGCCCGATGCGAGCAATAAATCGGAAAATGGATGCCAGTAGGTGCGAATCTTTTTTGTTGAAGTAAGTCAGGACATGTGACAGAACAATATCATTTGCCTTGGTCCGGCCCATGGCAACGCATAAAGACGACGCATTATCGAGAAAAGCACGACGAACTAACGTATCCTTTTCGACAACCAGCACCCTGATGTGATCTTCAATTTGTGCGTGGCTTGCCACATCCTCAGAGTTAAGGGCAATTGCCCGTTCAACAATGCAAGGAAGACACTCTGCATATACAGCGCGAACCTTTGCATCGCTGCTGGTGAGAACCGCACGTAACTGAGGAAATAAATATTCACCAAACAACTGTTGGTTCAAAGGTGTGAGTTGATCAACCATTATAAGTAAATGGGTCAGAGCCTGCAGGCTTGTCATTTGAATTACCGAGTCCTTTGAAGACAGCATACTCACGATGTAAGGCAAGCAGCGATCGAGGAGAGCTTCAGATGATAAGGCATGGGAGAGGCCCATTATCAAGTCGATGCTCATCAACCGTTTCGAGGCAGTTGAAGTACTTTTCATCACTGAACAAATAAGCGACAGAATGATAAGGGCTGCCGGTTGCTGAGATTTGGCTGGTTTTGGGACCCAGCATTCATGAAGAGAAACACGATAACCCTTCGCCTCGAGCAATTCCTTGTGGGATTGCTTTTCGACGGCAATATCCATGGACTGAAGAATGGTTGGGAAGGCGTCGTAAACCGCTTGAACAACGAGATCCGACTCGTTCTCGGCCGATCCGGAGAAAGGCTCCATTAGTTTGTAAAAATAATCGAAATACTCGGGAAACAAAGTGCCGCGATACTCTTGCAAATAGTGGTCAGCTGAATGGCGATCTGCCGGATCGAGGGAGATCATCGAATAAATAAGAGAGCGAACGTTATCGTCCTCAATTGAGTCCAAAGACGGCATATACTCTTTTCTTCTGTATTTGAACAGATCGGCGAGAGTGAATAGTGGCTTGCCATCGCAAAATAATTCGGCAATCACGCAGCCAGCAGAGTATATATCCATTGCTGGGGTCAGCCTTTCAGCCCCTCCGAAACGTTCGGGAGCAACATAACAGGACCGTCTTTGAGACGTGTCGAAAAAGTACAGAAACTGCGCTGAGTCGTTTTCAGGCAGAGAAACCGGTTTATAAGGCGCCCAGTCAACCAGGTAGAGCCATTTCCAAGACGTGACCAGCACGTTCTCCGATTTGATATCACCATGGCAAAAGTTACGAGCGTGAACGTTTTTCAAGCAAATGAGCAGTTGCAAAACCAGCCATTTTTTCTCAATTGGTTCCAGAAACGGCCGGTTCGATATACGATCGTACAGGTTGTGTTTGATGTACTGTCTCACCAAGTAGCCCGCACGGTCGGTTTCAACGATACGGGAATAACTGATAGCGTTCAAATTATCCTTGAGTGCTTGTTTCAGATCCGTTAGCCGCTGTTTTGTCTCTGCAAGGTCGAGGCCAGCCGGGGGCTTGATCAAGACTTTGACCACAGTTTCAGAGTCGCGATGAGCAGCCCGTACCGACTTCAGAAACCTGCCACCCTGACCAAGATCAACTGTATAGGTTAAATCACCAAGCTCTGCAATGTATGCGTCGATTGGCACGGTTGGGCGAGGTGCCACTGTCGAGAGTGCGGATCCCATGGCTAAGTAGTCAGCGGGCGTGAGGGACGAGATAGCTTGGTGTCACGATGATGGTGATGGATGCTAATTTTGAGGAAACTATTTACAAACATACGCCGTTCGATATGAGGGCGGAAAAATTTTGATCGGCTGTGGAGAGAGTGTTTTTTGGGGGATTATGTATAAGCGCCACACTTTATGCACAACCTCCGCCCTAATGAGGCGCCTGGCCTATAAGCATTTGGGACTCCGATTTTTAAACTCTTTACTTTGACCCGAAAAGATGGCGCCGGTCCGGCCACAGTGCGGGATTACGACGGCAATCTTGCAAGGAGTTGTTTCGCCCTTCAAACTAAATATTCAGATCAGAAGACTACATTGGCCAGCAAGCACGGACCCTTCGCCATACGAGATCTTTAATATGACGCCGGCGACGTTCGATAAGAAAAAGCTGAACCAGGTGTACTTGCAACTGGCCAAAAAGTACCATCCCGATATGGCCCAAGCAAAAGGCAGCTGCGATGATTGCGCCGACAAGTTCAAAAAAATAGTGGCGGCACACGAGATTCTCAAGGACGACCACGAGCGACGGGTTTGGGACATTCGGCACGGTGTCAATGGATATGGTACATCGCATTCGTCGGCTCCACCGGACGGGTATCCAGGTTACGCGTATGGGCAACCCCATGGAGCGTCGTCGTGGAAGGGCCGGGAGTACCATGGCAACACGTACCGGGCGGACCCATTTGACGGCTTCTGGAACCACGAGCACCAACAGAACTTCAATAAGAACCTGAATGACAGCCGGGTGTGGCTGCTGAAGGTTGTGGTGGGCTTTGTTATATTTATTGCCGTGTGCGAGCTTGTGACAGTGTCCGAGGTGAGCGATAGACGGATTATTGAGCTTGACCGCATTTCATGGGAAACCGAGCAGTTGTACGCGCGTATTCTGGCGAACTTCGACATGGGCGACTCCGCAGAAGAACGCATCCAGCGGTTTTTGGAGCACCGCAAGCGCACTTTGGACAATTATCCAGACACTAGCTATTCGGGCATGACTGGCTCGCGCAAGAAGCCCAATTGATATATTTATAACCATTTTTAGCTAGCACGACCCGATTCCGATTTATATCTAATGCCTCTCCTCAGCTAACTTGGAAACTTGACATCATGAAGATGACTCACTCGCAAGCGGACCGGCTGGACTTTAAACGTCCAGAGTCGGTGCTGGATTTGGTTAATATTCGAAGCGCTTTAGTCCGCATGGAGGACACGATCCTGTACGATCTAATTGAACGGGCTCAGTTCACGCAGATGCCCAGCGCGTACAAAGCCGGGGTATTTCCGAATCTGGAAGGCACATTTTTAGACTGGATTTTGAAAGAGACAGAGTCGACGCATGCAAAGCTCCGTCGTTACGACGCAGCAGATGAAAATGCGTTTTTCCCGGTGCCTAAGGACCGTATTCTACCTGCTCTGAAGCTCCAAGACGTGCTAGCGCCCTATCAGAAGGAGGTGAACGTAAACGACCGCATCAAGCAATACTACATTGAGCATATTGTTCCTGCACTCAGCGCGAATCCGTGTGATGAGGAGCAGAACTTTGGCAGCTGCGCGTTGAGCGACGTGTGGGCGCTTCAGGCGATTTCTCGACGAATTCACTTTGGCAAGTTTGTTGCCGAGTCGAAATTCCAGAGCGAGCGTGAGCTGTTCACTAAACTTATTAACGAGAAGGACATCAAAGGCATTGAGGTGGCCATCACAAAACCCGAGGTGGAGCAGCGCATTTTAGAACGAATCAGACACAAGGCCGATAGCTACGGCGCCGACCCGCAGACGATTTTGCGATGGTCGGAGAAGGGAGACGGCAAAGTCGATCCAGAGGTGATTGTTTCTATTTATCGTGATCTTATTATCCCTCTTACGAAAGACGTGGAGGTTGATTATTTGCTGAGACGGCTCGAAACGGAGAATTAGCTCAGATAGCGACGGGTGACCTCGAAGGCCAAAAACGTGCATGCATTAACCGGGAAAGCACGTAGCAGTGTAGGAGCAAAGCCCTTGAACAGTTGGCCGTAGCCATTCTTCACGGTCGCCTGGAAACAGGCGCGCATGTTCTTGTACGTGTACTGGGCCGGCGACAACGCATCGGTCTGCATCTTGGACTTGATAACATCAATTGGGTAGACAGATAGCCACATAGTGATACCGGCGACACCGCCGTACATGCAGAGCTTCCATGAGGGCACTTCTGTGCGGGCGATCTTGTTCTGCTTCATGTCCTGCTTGACGCAAGCTTCAGCAGCCATAAAGTACATGGCCATACCGTGCGACTCGCGGATAATGGTGGGGACGAATCCACGGAAGATGCCGCCCATGCCGCCAGCCTGCCAGATCTGTTTGATGCAGTCAATTGGGCCCCTAAAGGTGGGGCCAGTGCCAGTGCCCGTCTGGGTCTGCAAACGAATACGGATCTGCTCTATAGGGCTGGCCAAAAATGCGTTGGCAAAACCAGCACACGCACCAGACACATACAACTGGCCGTAGGTGATGTCAGACACGCCGGCCAGCTTGTTTTTGCCGCCAAAGTACCGCTTCATTCCCTCGTTGACGGCGAATTGCACGGAAACACAAGCACCAACGCCCACCAGCGGAGTCATGGTACCCTTGTAGAAGCCCTTGAACCCCTCGTTCTTGACCAGCTTGCGCACAACGTCCATAGCGCCAGAGTACGTGCCCTCGGGTGCCGACTGGAGACGCACCTTTGTAGTGTCAAACGGCTGTCCGCTGAGCACCTGGGCGAATCCACCCATGGTTCCAGCAAAGACATCCTTTGCCACATCTGCCTTTGAGTGCTCGGTGACAGGGCCGTGGGCCACGATATCCCACTCGGCTTCGACAGCAGACATTGAGATATATTGACTAAATCTCCACACGCAGGTGACGACGGATGTAGACTTTTCAAGGTTAGGGCTTACTTTTGCATGGGTCGGTGAGGGGAGATTGAGTAGAAGGCGAGGGTGGAGTTACGGGTAAATCCGGATAGTGGAAGCGGTGGTAAAAAAAGCGCAAACTGAGCGGGGTTGCTCTATTGGCGCAGAGAGAAGAAAAATTGACGGGATTGCGGGGTGTTTTGTGCGCGTGCTGAGAAGCTCGAGAGCGGCGGGCCCGGTCGCGGAATTAACTACACAGAGAGCACATACGCACTATAGTAGTCAGGACAATAAGGCAACCATCGCCACGACGTGTCTCGAGCACAGTTTCGACAGGGGCTCAGGTCCCTCAGGAAGACGCTAATCGGCATTCACAATACCCCTTGCAAAACGCTGATCGTGTTACTCAATACCCCTGAAGGGTCGGGTTTCTCGCTATCATCATTGCAGCGCATACGACGTGCATGAAGGGAGACTCTGTGGTATTGGATAAAGAGTTCATTTAGCAGCTCCAGAGAGCGGGTCCGAGCACTTTAGAAACTCAAATGACTCCATTGACTGCAAAAAAACTAACGAAATTCCCATCCCGCTCGGTACTACGTTTCTCAACCCACGGTCACCTGACTCGCATTCTCGTATTCTGTTAGTACATAAGCTGGAAAAAGTTCGCGACTTTCTATCCGCAAAAATGGCATCTAACATTACTTCAGGAGCTCTTGAGCACATGTCGTCATTTTTGATTGAGCAGCGAAGCTGGCTCGAGACCAAGTGGGAGAACTACTACAATTGGATGGACAACGATATCCTGGCTACTGGTTTCCTTTTATTGACCGTCCACGAGCTCGCCTACTTTGGCCGCTCGTTCCCGTTCATGATTTTGGACATGATCCCGGCAATGCGCAAATACAAGATCCAGGACAACCGGCCGCCTACTTACAAGCAGTATTTGGAGTGTCTGCGCTCTGTTATGCTCGCTCATGTGTTTGTCGAGGCCGTGCCTATTTTTGGCTTCCACTTTGTTTGCGACTTTTTCAACATTTCTTATCGTGCTCCTTTCCCTTCTCTTTGGACGATGTTTTACCAGCTTGCCATTTTCTTCCTTCTTGAGGATACTTGGCACTATTGGGGCCACCGCCTATTGCATACCCGCTACCTCTACAAGAACGTTCACAAGCAGCACCACAAGTACGCGGCTCCCTTCGGTTTGACTGCTGAGTATGCTCACCCCGTGGAGGTTGCCTTCACCGGTGTTGGCACTGTAGGCTCGCCTCTTCTGGTGGCTTCTATTGTTGGCGAAGTGCATTTGCTCACCGTTATGATTTGGATCACCCTCCGTCTGTTCCAGGCCATCGATTCCCACTCGGGCTACGAGTTCCCCTTCTCGCTGCACCACTTCTTCCCTCTGTGGGCTGGCTCGGACCACCACGACGACCACCACCATTATTTTGTTGGTAACTTTAGCTCGTCGTTCCGCCACTGGGACTACTTCCTTGGCACCGAGACCCCGGCCACTACGCGTCGTCGTGACTTTAAATTGAATCCCTTCGAGAAGCGTCACGAGATCGTCGAGGACCCCGATGATTTGGCCGACAAGAAGTCCGCTGAAAAGGCTACCGCCCCTGCTGCTGATAGCACAACCTATGCTCAGACTACCGGCAGCAACTAGAGCCCTCCAGGCCTCAAAATTTCTAATTACTTGTTTATTTAGGATACGTAACGATTTTCCAACTTATTATTCCCCCCAGTTCGTCTTCTGTCCGCTTACGTTTTTCCCACGATGTCTCGCGTTTTATGCGTTGCTGAAAAGCCGGCAATTGCAAAGGCGTTGGCGGGTGCATTGGGTGGTGGCAATGTAGCGTTACGATCCACAAGCTCCAAGTACATCAAAAACTATGATGTGAGCTACAATTTCCCTCAGTGGGGGCCATGTCAGGTCACTGTCACGTCGGTGATGGGACATCTCACAGACATCAAGTTTACAAGCGATGGCCCGTGGCACAATGTGCAAGAGCAGCTGTTCACGACACCAATGGAAACGCTGATTGCTGAAGGGATGCAAAAGGTCGCCAAAAATATCCAGCAGGAGGCCAAAAAGTCCCAAAGGCTGTTTATTTGGACGGACTGCGACCGAGAGGGAGAGTTCATTGGAAGCAATATAGTTGACGAGGCCAAGAAAGCCAACCCCCGCATTCAGGTTTTTCGCGCCAATTTCAACAATGCAGAGCCGTCGCATCTCCGGCAAGCCGCGGGAAGACCAGGCACTATCAACCAGAATGAAGCTGAGGCAGTGCAGGTACGGCGCGAGCTTGATCTACGTACTGGTGCCGCATTTACGCGTTTGCAGAGCACTCTGTTACAAAAGGAGGTCAATGGTGCTGCCAAGGGACAAGTGATCTCGTATGGTCCTTGCCAATTCCCTACCTTGGGGTTCGTGGTTGATCGGTACTTTCGTCGAAAAAATCATTTGCCCGAAACGTTCTGGTACATCCAGCTGCGTGCCAAGCCAAATGGATCTGATGCGAAACCAGTAAACTTTAATTGGTCTCGTGGGCGCTTGTTTGATCGCATGGCGGCAGTGTTGTTATACGAACGAGCCTTGGTTGCGGGGTCGAAGGCCAAAATCACCAGCGTCAGCGAAAAACCAACAAAGCAGTACAAACCGCTGCCGTTGACCACTGTCAATCTTCAAAAGCTGGGTGCAAAGTTCTTGCATCTAAGTGGTAAAACAATCATGGGGATAGCTGAGCATCTCTACAACAAAGGTTATATTTCGTATCCTCGCACAGAGACCGATCGCTACGATACTGCTATTGATCTCAAAGCTTTAGTGGCAAAACAGCATTTGAATGGAAAGTGGGGCGATTACAGCAAGGCTTTGAGCGACGGGAAGTTCACTAGACCTCGGGACGGAAAGCATGATGATAAGGCTCACCCGCCCATCCACCCTGTCAAAGGGATTGCTAATGTGGACGGCAACGCTGATCTCACTACAAAAGCACACGCACAAGTATATGAGTTTATATGCCGGCACTTTCTGGCTACGTGTAGTGACGATGCTCAAGGCGTTAAAACCGAGGTTACACTTGAATACGGGCCTGAAAAGTTTCACGCAGAGGGCGTCCGAGTTATTGCCAGAAATTACCTGGAGGTTTATACATATGCCAAATGGGACTCTAAGGAGCTCCCAGCCTTTGTTCAGAGTGAGGAGGTGAGTGTGAGTTTGTGCAAACTTGCCGAGGGCAAAACCACGGCACCCACGCTGCTAACCGAGCCCGAGCTCATCGCGTTAATGGACACAAATGGAATTGGCACTGACGCAACTATGGCAGATCATATTCAGAAGATTCAAGATCGAGAATTTGCAGTCAAGAATCGCAGCAAAGAGTTTATGCCCACCCAACTGGGCATCGCTTTGGTGGTAGGCTACGATCGTATTGGCCTCGAAAAATCTTTGTCAAAACCGGGGTTGAGGAGAGAGACCGAAGAAATGATGAACTCAATTGGTCACGGCACAGTTACACCCCAGGCGGCGAGGAAAAAAGTTGTTCAAGAGTACTTGGCTATGTTCAAGCAAACCGCAGAGAAAAAGCAAGTTCTTGTTGAAGCATTCAGAGAGTATACGCCCTCGTAATAATTTATTTAGTGATACATAAGTGGAGGCACTATTTCTGGCACACGGCCTAGAGTGAAAGCGTCCGCCATGAATGCTTCACGCACCGCAGGAGTCAACTCACTGTCCTCAGGTAAAGGATCCTGGTTTGCACCTTGAATATAAGGTGTTGGTTTAGTCTGTGCTTGCATTGTTTGTGGAAAGCCGTTTGGCTGAGTATTTTGCTGGCTCGATTGACCAAACTGGTTGTCTGAAAACGCAGTTTGTGCTTGACCGCCAAACACACTTGAGGTATTTTGGCTTGTGTTTGCCAGACCAAACGCAGAATTTTGGCCACCAAAAGCGCTAGACTGTCCGGCAGCAGGCTGGGATTGGTTTGAAAAGGAATTGTCTTGTGAGCCAAAAGTGGGTTGCTGGGCACCAAATGCGGATCCATTTTGTGAGCCGAACGCAGAACTACCATTTTGAGAGCCAAAAGCACCAGGCTGGGAGCCAAAGGCAGCTCCAGTTCGGGATCCGAAGGTGGATGTTGCAGGTTGAGACCCAAAGGAAGAGAGCGTGGACTGTGATCCGAAAGCGGACGTAGAAGGTTGGGTTCCAAACGGGCTTTGAGTTGAGCCAAATGTCGAGCTAGCTGCAGGTTGAGAACCAAATGTAGAGCTCGCTGGCTGAGCAGCACCCCCAGACCCAAACGCAGACGTGCTTGGTTGAGAGCCAAAAGCAGACGTGCTCGGCTGAGACCCAAAGGCAGAGGTGCTTGGCTGAGAGCCGAATGCAGAGGTGCTTGGCCGAGATCCAAATGCAGCGCTGGGTTGCTGAGATCCAAACGCGGAGGTGCTCGGCTGAGATCCAAACGCAGAGCTGGATTGCTGCGACCCAAAAACACCCTGGGAGCCAAACGACGACTGGTTGGAACCACCGAATACAGACTGGCCTGAATTATCTTGTGCGGCCTGCGCAAAAGGAGAGCTAGAGGAGCCAAAAGCAGACTGGCCGGATTTGCTTTCAAACAAATTAGTTGCACCAGAAAAGGCACTTCCCGATCCAGTGCCAAAAGAGCTGTTGCCGGCGCCAAAGGACGAGTTTCCTGTGCCAAACGAAGCATTCCCTGTACCAAACGAAGTATTTCCAGCACCAAACGCCTTACCGCTCGTTCCTGACGCAGTACCAAACGCAGTACTCCCCGTTCCAGAGCCCGTGCCGAACGCAATGTTTCCCGTGCCGAACGCGGAGTTTCCTGTGCCAAAAGCGCTGTTTCCACTACCAAAAGCTGAGCTTCCGCTGCTAGCCGGTTGGTTCAGAGTTCCGAACGCGGAGTTTCCCGTGCCAAAGGCACTGTTACCGGCTCCAAACATCGACAACACTAACGAGGCAGTTGACAAATGCAGCCCCGTGAAATCACAGAATTAAAATATCGGCTAAACACGATAATTCTAGAATGTTGCGGGGCGAAGCACTACAGGCTGACGGCTTGGGTTGATTTAATAGATATTGTTGGGCAATTTCGCACCGCTCTCGGCAAGACTCCACCTGAGCGACCGGTAGAGGCTAGGAAAGTAAGAGAGGCTTTGATTTGGTGCTGTAAACGTGTTTATGGATTGTATCGGGACATTCTGCAGAAAGACGAAAAGCTAATAAAGTACCACGCAAAATTCGAGTGTTATTTGGGCGACATCTCGCGCTACAAGCATCAATGCTTGCCCGACCAGCGACGAAAAGGGTCACCGTTGCTAGCAACCAAGCAATTATGGCTCAACAGGGCATATTCACACTACCAGCAAGCGTTCAAAGTCAATTATCATGGGGCGTGTACGAGATTAGCTATTCTGGCCACCGATAGAGGGGATATGCTATCGGCAATGTGTTTATGTGCTGAGGGAGCGTTAATATGTCACAGACAAAAGCAGCAGGTTTCACGTCCGCTTACTCTGCTCAAGCGGTGTGCAGTCATGGCTACGCGGAGCAAATCAGCGTACAGTGGAGTAGCTGGCGTGATCGCCGGGTCACAAAGGTCGATCTCTGAGTTCTTGAATAGTGATGTTGACCGAATACACACTGAACAGCACCAATGGAAGAGTGTTGCTGCTCTGAGTGCGGCTCTTGAACAGCTCAGCTGCCTAGGGATCTGGGATGATCGGCTTCACCAGCTTCCACATATTATCCAGTGTATGTCGAAAATACCCGCTTTCAACTCAGCGTACGCAAACATGAAGAGAAAAATAATATAAGAGATATAGCATAGCTGATTCATTTGGCGGCGGGTGCCTCGCTAGACTCTTCTTTCGGCGTGTCCGAGTGTCGCTTTTTGAAGAGACCTTTCGCCTTGGAAAACAGGTTCGCAGATGCCTGCTGGCCTGCTCGGACATTTCCATAGCCACCACGGCCAATAGTGGGAGAAGCAATCGGTGCGAGATCAAGGTCTTCTACGTCTTGCAACGTACGCGAGACCTGCGGATCGGAGTTGGTGGCCATGTTGCCCGCTCCGCCTCGGCCGGTTGTGAATACCTTCTGGGTCAAATGTGGAATTTCTTGCTCGTCGTGCTCAACAGGCTTGCCATGCTGGAGGTTGCCTGCTCCACCGCGCCCCGTTGAGTAGTATCTATCAGACATGGTTGATGATTCTCAGTTGTGCGGTGCCGCTTAGTCAAAATCAAAGATCAAAATGCAGGTTCAACGCATCCGATAGCCGGGCTGCAGCTATGAGGGAGCTAACATGCTACAAGGGCTACGCTAAATCTTTAGCCGCATCAATGAACTGTTGGTAAAGCTTGGCTTCTGCGTCGTGAAGCTGCTTGACAACCGGCAGCACACTGTCTGATTTTTCTTCTGCAAGCTTGGATGCAAAGTGGTGCGCGAGCTGGGCAACGAGAATCTTGGCCCGATACGCGACTTCGGAAAATTGTTTGGTTTGCTCTGCGATTTGGCCGGGGACAAGTTCTGTATCGCGGATGTACAGAGAGTACTGGCCGTCGACAGTTTTCAATTCAACTAGATCTTCACATGCCACCAAGGTGATAAACTCGTCAGCCCACTCACCGTTGCTGTTCAGTTTAAGAACCTGCATTGGCTGGGGCAGAAACTGGGTCAACAGATTGTACGCAAATTCCATTTCTTTCTTCAGGTCGTCGGGGCAGTCCGGATCTCGGGACGGATCCAGCAGTCTCCTAATGGCTTCGTCGTCTGGATCGTAGATTCTGGTGATCTCTTCAAACTGCTTTTCGGGAATGAATCCGTAGTTGAAAAGAAACTCACCGCTACCTCTTGACCCATAGTCCAAGACTAGTTCTTCGCCCTTGGCGATATCTCGAGTCGCTAAAAGTACGAAATCAGTGCCCTGCAGGTCGTATCTCACATTGGCATGCGAGCTATGATTGCAGAGGTCGATAATGGGGGCAAGAATAGACTGGCCACTTTCAGGATTTGTGAGACTGCGAGACGAAACCCATTGATATGCTAGCACCCACAGAGAAAATGGGATTTCTATATCCTCAAGAAGTGGTTTCGCAAGCTCACAGAACTCATAGTACTGCACTTCGACAATTGATTTCTTGCTGGCAACGGGCTCGTAGATACTAGATCCTTTTAATTGTTGAAGATTATCGTCTGTCCACGAGAACGGCAGGTTGATATCGCCATTCGTTGGTAGCAACTTGAAATAAACCAACCATTTAGTAGGGGTGTTCAGTGCCAAGTATACCAGGGCCCGGTGCAAGCGATGGCGGTCGGACACTGGCTGCAAATTCAACCATTTGGCTAACTTTTCGTCCTGTAAACTCAAATCGTCAATAATTCGCTCACTTATGGTCAATGATTCGGGCACTTTGGCCAGTGTAGTGCCTTCGGCGACATTTCGCGAGCTAGCAAGACCGAGTCCGAACGAATCAACAACGTCTCCATCCAAATACGTATAATGCTTGGCCCATTTTTCAAACACCTCTGCCCGGTTCTCGATCACAGTCGGCCGGTCGTCTGCCATTTCTGAAGATTGCTTAACTAACCAAGAAATCCCAGAAAAGAAAATCTCTGCCTGAAAAAATTCCCCTAAAAAAATGGCCTCTTGGGAAGACGACGACTTCGAAGTGCCAGTGGCAGCTGCTGCAAACGACTTCGGTGAAGAAGGTGAAGAGCTCATGGGAGACTGGGAGGCCGGTCTGGAGAGCGACGACGACAAGCCAAAGGCCGTCAAGCCCAAGGTCAGCAGCGCCCAGCGAATCGCCTCTCGCAAGCAGAAAGAGCAGGAAGAGCGCGAGAAGAAAGCCCTGGAAAAAACCATGAGTGCCAGCAAGAAGGATATGCTTCAGCGCGAGGTCGACGCCGATCTCGACACTGCCAGTGATCTGCTGGCCGCTGCAGACATCCATCCCCGCAGCCGCAAGAAGGAGTCCCAGGGCAGCTCTTCGGCTACCGGTCCCGCTAAGCTGAGCGACTTTGCCGTCTTCAAGCCCACCAATGCTGCTGGATACACCGAGCTCCGCAAGACTCTGGCGCCTGTCATCAACCAGCTGGCGGAAAAGAACTCCAATCTGCAGCACACAAATTTCATCATCGAGTTATGCCGCGACCTGTGCGGTCCGCTAAGCAGCGACCAAACTAACAAAGTCACCAGCACCCTCACTGCCGTCGCCAACCAGAAACACCGTGAGGAGCGGGCCCGCCGGTTGAATAATCGCCAGAAGCCGCAGATCAAGCAGGCCTCTGCCAAGCAAGAGACCCAGGTCAAGGCGCCGGAAGATCTTGCCGACGACGGCCTGGACGATGATGATTTTATGTAGAACGCATTCAGTACTTAGATTTTTTTGGGGTGCCCGCAGGGCCTGTAAATCTAAATCCAACGGTTATTTTGTCATCTGCTCTCCCCCGCTCATGCTGTGCGTCGAATGTGCGCACCCCGTTTCCCGGCTGTATACGTACTATTCGCAGAACAACATTCGAGCCACCACGTGCACTAACTGCCACAAGTTCGCTGACAAGTATATAGAGTGCGACTCGGTGCTTGTTGGCATTGATCTCGTTCTGCTCAAGCCCCAGGCGATCCGGCACGTTGTTTTCAATGTCTTGGCGCCCAAGTTACCCGCATCGCGCTGGGTGCGATCTCAAACACAAAAAATGATGATAGTCATAACCCTTTCGGATGTCTACTTGCAGTGGGCGTGGTCTGTCAAGAGCGAAGACCCGGCCACTGTGCACTTCCTGTCCAACACAGCCCCCACCGTCCAGTATCTCTGTTTCCTGTTCTATGCCTCGCTGGACACAGCGATAATACATGTTGTCGTCCGTCAAATGGCCTACTACTGGCTGCACTGGACGGCTCTGGGCACGCTGTCGACGGGCATAATGTTGAGCACTGCTGCCAAACTGCTGCCAATTGGAACGTTGATCTGGGACTACAATATGCCAATTGTCAACTCAATAGTGTGGTGGATTTTCGGCTTCGTCCTCCTCGAGCACATTGCGGTCGTACTCAACTGCGGCTATGTCAAGGCCACCATCATCGGTGTGATAGCGCTCGGCATTCGCTGGCTCGTTTGTTCGGCAGCTTGGTCCGCCGTAACGTCCCTCGCAACAGCCATATCATGATAACCTGTATTTAAATAAAAAAAATAATTTATTATTCTACTCCCACTCGTCGAAATTAAGTTGACGGCGTACCATACCCTGGGGGTTGGCTACAACGTACTCGGTGCCTTCCACTCCGATCCAGGGGCCATTAAGAGTACAGGTGACGTTGGGGTTGACGTACTGGCGATTGAAATCGCGATTCTCGTCTAGTGTTTGTGATCTGGAATGACGCAATTCCGAAACAAGACGCCCGCTAGACCGGGAACTTTCTGAATCATTATCCATGAGGGCAGAGTTCAGCTCAGAGACTTGCTCCACATCGGGCGTAGTGTCCAGAGGACTATCTCGATAGGGCTCGGTGCTCTCACTCTCTTCGGCTGCTTTCAGGGCAATAAATCGAAGCAAAGGCACGGTTGATGTCTCAAAATCGCGCCAGACAACCACTACGACAATCATCAAAATGATAATTGATGCCGCCATAGTGTAGGCCTTTTGTAACACGAGAACGCCCATAGTTGATAAATGGAACAGCAAAAGCCCCAACAAAACGCGGCGGTAGATTGAGGCCCAGAGGCGGCCAGTTGAGTGCTGGGGGTGCACCATAGAATAAATGAACTGGTACTTGAATACGCAGTATCCAATCGCAAAATATATGCTTCCGAAAACAAGGATTTTGATTGAAATCACACTGTACATGAGCATGATCATAAACATCAACAGCGGTGTGGGAAGGATAACACCATAATTCAAGGTCGCCGGCTTATAGAGATTCAAATAATCTCTTGCAGATTTACAGTGGGTAACAAAAAACGGAAACTGTAGTAGAGACCCTGCCTGGAGAAGCCGTGCTGGGAATACGCCCATACCTTGGAGAATGATTAAATTGGTGTAGAATGCGGACAGTTGCTTGAGTGTATCGGCAAGCTTGACGGCAATTTGTGTAGTGTCCAGCAAAGAAAGGTAATTCGTGGCGATCATAAACACCAGGAACAAGTTCACAAACACGTAAAAGAAATTTTTGGCCACAGATGCCAACTCTGCATCCTCGCTGGAAATAAAGCCTTGGAAGTCGGACATCCAAGCGTAAAAGTATGGCACAACAATGTTGAACAACGTGAAAACAAAAGTTGGTAAAACCTGGGTCACAAATGTCTCAAGCCATTCACTTTTACGAATAATTCTCGCGAGTCCAGGCAAAAAATTCTCAATCTTATTCATATCCAACAAACTCGCAAGAATTTTGACAGGATAAAGCATAAAAGCTGATGTCAAAATAAAAATAAATGTTATCACGTACCCCCGTAGCGCTTTTTCAAACGATGGCAAGTAAACGTGACCCCATACAACGTCCCGAGGCGAAGGAGCTAGCTTGGCGACTAAACGGTGGGGTTTCGGATCAAGCACTGACTGAGCCACTAGTTGACAAGATCCAACGCTATCCATGGTCATGAACGCCGCATTGGTGATTGGGATATCTGTGCGCTGCCGTTCACGAGAAATAAGTTTGTCAATATCACTTAGCTGGGTCGTATAATGGTCAATATAGTCCACTGTAGGGCCTTTAAGTCCAAGCCAACCAGTTCTTCCTCTGGGTCTACTTCTACGATGCTCTACTGCCTGCTGAGCAATTTCCTCTGGAGTTTCACGCAGCACAAGAGAGTGAACTGGTGGTTCCAAGTCGTTGATGAAAGTAGGACCAAGCAATTCAGCCCAGTAATGCTCTAGTTTCAGAACAATCTCCTCCCGTTTAGCCATTAAATGATCCAATTCGGACCAAATTTTGCAAAGAACAACCGATTCTGGTTCACCCACATTAAGCCCTGCCACATACTCAATTAAGGCTTGCTTGGAGCACATGCTTCGTGGAATCCCTGTGATGCACAGTGTTCGATCAGTAATTGTCTTTTGCTGGCCAAGATACAATTGACGAACTTTGACCACTCGGTAGGTATAACGGGTAAAGATTCTTAACGTGAGATACGTAAACACGGCACACGACAGGAGGTATACCCATAAAAAATTTCCAAATAAAACTGTCCTATCGCCATTATGAGGTCGGTCACCTGATAGACTCCGGTCGTCGTCTCCTTCCTCATATTGGCCCGTATACCACCACCGAAGAGGGCCAATAACACAGACCGACATAGCAGCAAGTCGCCAAAAAAGATCAAAGCTCGCTTTGAAAAACGTCAAATACACGTATGCATCCAATCCGGCGTATTCTAAGACCTGAGAGTCGCTGATTCGCAGCACAGTTTTGATCCAGCCAAACAGCGTGGGAGGCAATTGCGGAAGGTCTGGGCGCCTAAACATCCGCGCCGCGTACAGCCGGGGCCATCGTCGCCGCCAGATACTAAAGATCAGAACACTTGACAGCCCCAACAAGAACGCAATGACAATTTGTAAACCAAACCCGCGCTGTGCGCTCTTCTTGGTATAGTCGTAGTCGGGCGCCATGTATGTCATCACAGGCGCGCATGAGCTTTAGAGAGAAGATCACGTGCTGAAAACCATGGTTGCGAGGAAACCCGTCTAAGGCCCCAGCAGTGTTTCAGACGCCTGCAAATAATTTCCCTGGCCCAACCAGCCTGTCTCTTGTTTTCTCGACTGTTCTTTCGTCTGGTTATTCTTTGTCGTTCTCCATCGGCTGCTGACCAGCTTATTTATTATCTAAATTGAAGCGATTGGGGAGGATCATGCGCGACGGGCCGAGCTGCGGCTGCAGCCCATCAGTGATACACTCCGTTAATTAAGCTCCTATCACGAATTGAGTTTTCCATGATATAAAAACATTCAAGATGTTCGGACACGAAAAATCAAATTGTTCTGGTGCTTCGGCTACCATAAGTAAACTCGCATTCTGTGTGAAGATGCAGCACTTGCATGTTGAGGGGTCGGCAGTCTGCGGGGACGAAGTGGATACATATTGAGCCATCTTAGTTTTGTTTTCTTTTCCGGGTGAGCGTTCAGTGTACCAGATTACCTGCGATGTATACGGAAACAGTGAGTCGAAAGATTGAAGATGCTACTATAGCATACATGCTGTATATATCTGAAATTCGAGAACAGGTTCGAAGGGATGTCCTTGAAAACCCTTTCAGCCTGCTGGCAAAGGCTTGCGGACCAGATCATGATGAAAACATAGTGTATTCCGCTGAACGTGTTCTGTCCCACGAAAAATCGGCTGAATTGATGTGGGACCATTATGTTCGGTCGTATATCCTCCAGGAACTCAAAGAATGGGAGAGCACGCATTGGTTTTATCACGCTAGTTTCGAAAACGGTCAAACTGAGATCCCTCAAGATGATGATTTTTTCAGAACTGTCGGACTCATTTGTAAAAAGTACTTTGATCTCGAAATTGTATCGCATATCCTCGACCTGAATCTTCCCTACGCTAAAGCCCAGACCCCACAAAAGCTCAAACACGGCGAAACAACTAGTGCCTGGGCTCAAGCCATTTGTTTAAGCCGTATTTTGGTAGGATATGCCCGCCGTGGGTCAATTGATGCACACTTGGTTGGAAGAGTAATGTCAAAAATTACGTCTTTGTTGACGACCGGGTTCATTCTACCTGATAACGTCGACGATCTCACAGAAATACAATGGGCCCTCAGTCTCGGTTATTGTGTGCAACAACGAGAAGTATGCAAGCTTTGAACAACATCAATTATTCCTACATAAATTAAAGAGCGAGGTAACATGCCTTACTAGCCGATACTACCACGCACACTTTGCCAACAACCCATTAGGATAACGGCGAACAAGGCATTTACGAATTTCATCCATGCTCAACAGTCCAAGGCCCAAAGCCATTGGAAGGAACCAATGCTCAACGGGGATATCAGCAGAATAGAACAGCTGTTGAACATCCTTCGGATAGCAGAAGATCCAAATGATAGCAAAAGAAAAGGGAATGGTGACAAAAATACGCCAGTTCTGGGTATTCTTGTTGAACAGCGGAGGGTGTGTGAAGACACTCATACGCCGAGTTCGCGCTGCCATAGAAACAAACCACTGCATAATGACCAAATTCGAAAAGTAAATGCTTGAGGCAACCTTCAAAATTTCGTTATACCGCTCGGGTGTCATGTGGGCAGGAACTTGACCAAACTTGAACCAAAGATCCGAGAAATAGAGCCCACTCCGCTGGCAGTACCAGTAAGACATAGTGAACGATAGAACCGTCTCACAAACACCCATAAAACCGTACGACCACAGAAGCAAACGCCAGTCAACCAAATAGTCCTTCTTTGAACGAGGCGGACGAAGAAGAAGATCGGCTTCTGGTTTTTCGTATGCCAAAACAATACCAACTCCTGCATCTGTAAAGCAACAGATAATAATCATGAGGAAACTCGAAAGAACTTGAGGAAGTCCAAAGCAAATGTTCGTCATAACAGGCCAAAACTCTGAGAAAGTACCTGCTGGCAGAAGATAAGCAATTGTCTTCTTAAGGTTATCATACGCAGTTCGACCAAACAGAACAGCCTGGACAATGGCACTGAAATCATCCAATAAAATCATATCAGCTGCTTCCAAAGCCATATCAGCAGCGACTTCGGGTGCGATACCAATATCAGCTTGCTTGAGCGAAGGAGAGTCATTCACACCATCACCCGTCATACCTACGATATTCTCAGCGGCTTGGAATTGTTTGACAATCTCCAGCTTTTGCTCGGGTGTGGTTCGTGCAAATACAATTTCTTCGTACTGGCATACTACTGCCCACTGGCCCTCGTCAAGATCATTGAGTTCCGCACCTGACAGAACTAATGCTTTTCTTTCACGCTCTGTGTTAACCAAGAGATCTTCTGCGTTATCAACAAAATCTGCAGTGATGATATTGCATTGGCGAGCGATTGCCTGTGCTGTGAGTTTGAAGTCACCAGTCACCATCATAACGCGGATACCTGCTCCACGTAGTGTTTCTACGACACCTGGGATCTCCACACGGGGCGGGTCAAGAATGCCAACAAATCCGACAAAACACAAGCCATGAGATGCTAGCTCTTTAGCTTCGTCTTCAAATTCGGAATTGCGGGGATCTCCAAAGTCAGTAGGCCTGAGAATTTTGCGAGCAACGGCAATAACTCGCTTACCGTCACTTGACCACTTGTTCTTTACTTCCTCAAGCTGGTGCTTGGAATCTTCAGACAGAGGGGCAACAGCTCCTTGTTCGGTGACATAACTTGAGCAGCGATCAAGCAAAATGTCGGGAGCGCCTTTGATAACCAGCAACCAGGACTTCTCGCCACAAGTTGAAGCCTCTTCAGGTGAAACCGTATTTTCAAAAGCTTCTCTTGAAGTACTTGAGAATAAACGGAGCATGTACTTGTTCTTGGAGTTGAAAGCAAGATCAAACCGCTTGTCCCACAGCTCGCGAGAGTAACTCACGGATCCAAGCTGTTCTGAAAATCTTAAGCATGCTTGATCTGTGGCATCCCCAAGAATGGTTCGGTCCTCAATATCGAGATCCGATGTGGTGGCATCAAACTCCGCGGCATTGCAAATAGCAGTAGCAGTCTCCAGTTGGTGCAAGGCATTGTTGTAAGGATTCTCGCGGTCTTTGGCTCCATCGATAGCCTCCTCAAGATTTATACTTTTGGTTCCAACAGTACAGTTGACTGCTTTCATTTGGTTTTTCGTCAGTGTACCGGTTTTATCTGAGAGAAGAACCGAAACACAACCAAGAGTCTCAACAGTGGATAAAGACTTGCACAAAATATTATTTTTCTTCATTGCGTTCGCACAAATGGTCAAACTTGATGTCATAGCAACAGGGAGACCTTCAGGAACGAATGCAATTCCAACCGAAACGATGTCAACAATAAGTGCAGCCGTTGGAATCCACTCCGGGTGATGTGATCTGAGGTATGCACCCCAAACAATCAGAACGATAGCAATCATAGTGAGCATAAGACACAAAATAATCATCACGAAATTCCGAATTTGAGTTTGAATTGGAGAAGGTCGTTTATTGGGTGTACTGGTCAACTTGGCGATGCGACCAAACACTGTATCATCACTTGTACTAACAACAACTGCTTTTCCCGAGCCTGACGTACAGTATGTTCCTTGCATACCGATATTTCGAGTCTCCATGTAGTTCTCGTCTGTCATACCAACCGTCGCGCCCAGCGGGAGCGATTCACCCGTGAGGATACTACGATCAAACTTGGCGTCCGATGAAACTTCAATAAAACGAACATCAGCGGGAAGCTTGTTGCCTGCCTTAAAGAAAATGATATCACCAGGTACGATATCAGCTGCCTCAGTTTGCTGTTGAGTGCCGTCGCGTACAGTGATACAAGCTTCGGGTAACATACCGGTGATCGAACTCATAACACGAGACGAAGAATAATCTTGCCATGCATTAAAGGCGGCCTGGATAAGGAAAACGCAGAACAAGACAATTGAAAGTGCAAGATTCGACTGGGCAGGAGGATCCCCCAGAGGTCTCCACGAGATCATGACCAGAATGCCTCCGGTAAACAAGATCGTACCGAAACCACCAAAAAAGTACCAAAATATTTTGCGCAACGTATGTCGCGGTGCCTTTGATAATACGTTGCGGCCGAATTGAGACTGCTTTTCCTTGATCTGTTTTTGAGAGAGACCAAGCTCAGAGCTTTCAAGTTTGTCAAAAACTTGAGATACAGACAAAGTGTGCCACTCTAAGGCAGCAACAGCTTCCACAGTTTTGTCGTTGGCAGTTGGGACGGTTGCAGGTTTGCCTTTCTCTTGGCTGGCTTCTACAGTGTAACTTACCGACTGGTATGTTACAGGCATGGCAACACTGGGGTCCATAACACGGCCAGAGACACCGGAAAGCTCGGAGAGATGTGACGACCTCGAAAGCCTGGACACAATTGTGTCCGTTCTGCTAAAACCCACCCCATTTGAAGGACGCCGAGGTGTCTCGTGAAAGACAATGGTGCGCTCTTTTTTGACTTCGTCAAAACTGCTTGAATCAGACATGCCTACAGTGCGTTCAAATTTACGTCTCAACTACAATCTAATGGCATTATGCTAAGGGGTATTTATACATGTCCCACTCGACTCACAGCCGTGAAACGGCATCAGCAATTCCTGCAGATCAAATTTTCTAGTAATTTTAGTCAGGCGAAATCGAATTCAGCCGAGTCGCGATATGCACCTCAAGATGCTGAAAGGGTGGTAGGGTTTGGTGAAATTGAAAAATTTCGTTCAAATTATTTTTCTTTTATTTTATGTATGTTGTGTTTTCCTGGTGTCTTTTGGACGCCTCGAAAGGCCTCAAACGCACGGTCTTCGGAACAAGGCGAGGGGCGTCATACCTTTTTGGTAAACCATGAATTCCCAACGTTGCCCTAAACAAATATTTCAAATGTGCTAAAATTGACGTCATTAAGCATCAATCTCGCATGGAACAAGAAGAACTCATCCGTTGGAAGCTCACTCACGAGGGGGATTGGCATTTCATTTGAAAATCGTAACTTTTGTTGACTTACGATATTAAATATTAAATACTGAGCTCTTAGAAGCACATTTATCTGACCTGAATAGCCGTGAACGATGTGCTAATGGTGTGCATAAGGTTAGGTCTTACACAACACGGCCAGCCTAAAGCTCTCTCAACAACAACTTGAATGAGCACCACTGGCTCGCTTAACATGTGCTTCGTGAGCGATAAAAAATCTTTTCATATTTGGGGTCACGTAGATGTCATATCTGATGTTTCATTTTCGATCAAAATGCGTGACCTGCAGTTAAACTAGATCCCTGCAGCCATTCCTGTATCTTCTGGAGAACGAGGTTCCCAACGGAAGCGGAGCTTGAGAAAAAAATGCGAACGCCAAAAGCATTGAAAGTATCCTTTTAGCGTTTCTCCCGAGTCACTGGAGCCTGAGCAGGTGGAATCACGCCCAACCAGGATTCGGAAGGAGGATCGACATGTGCACGGTGTGGGCATCTAGACCACTCGAAATTCTCCGGTGTGACTGCGAACAAGGAACTAGGCGTTGCATTATGAATTGGCCAGGGTAACTATGGCTCAGCTGGCGATAACTCGATCAAGAAATGTTAAATAGAGATCTATTATAGTGAATTTTTGGGATTTTGAAAAAATCAAACTTCCGCCTATACCTCACCCTCACAGTAAACTTTTCTTGCGAGCTCCGTTTTACTTCTGTCACAGAGGTGAGGCATCTGAAAATGTAACACGCGCATAATCTACGGGCCTGCCAAGGGGTTGATGACATAACTGAGCCATGGACCTATCATAAGCGGTGAATATATGGGCGGGTCAGGTATTTACACTGTACAAAGTGGAAATGGGAGTTAGGACTCCTAAATTAATTGTATTTAAAGCCTCGTACTAACATTCACACACTACATCTTTTATTTACGAAGTCAAGTGTTTAGACCCAGCCGTATGGCGGTCAAGTGATGCTTGAGCAATGAAACTGGGTTACGCAATTGTTCATGTGACCTATGAGCCCTCGTAGAACTCCCTATTGTATTGCAAGCATTGACAAGCAGTATATAGAACCACTGTGGATAGTCAAACACAATGATATGTGAAACACACAATAATATTAGATAAAAACACGCAATTTGGGGATCTATTTTGTTCAAGATACTTGACCGAGGAGGGCATACACTCACCCCTGAGTATCCAGTCAGTTGACAGATTGTGTGGCAGACATGCGGACCTTGCATTTGAGACTCAGTCGCTTGATTTTCATTTGGTTGCAATCATCTTGGGCAAAATAGTGCTGTTTTTCACTACTTAACTAGGTCAACAACAAAACATCGACCACGAGAATAAAAAGAGAAATTGCAGAAGAGCACGTGATATGTAAAATTCTAGGATAATTCAGGGCCTCAATGGTCTTCTCATCTACCTCTAGAAGCAGTTTGGACGGCAATATTATTTTAATCTATCTCAACACCTTCAACCCACACCTAGCTATCACGGTCAACTAGGCTATCGGTTTTCTGTGCCAAAAAAACTAATAATCTCATAAAGTTAGTAGACACTATGTATGTAAAGACTACAATAGGAAAGCAAAGTGTTCTGATCTCGGATGAGCAATTCTCGTCTACGTCTAGATCTTCGCGCAATTGGCCAAGATATCTATATTCTAAATCAGTATGTACTAGACTGAGTTGGTATCGACACATTCTAAATCTGGCAATGCCCGAAAGATGGCCACAGTTGAGTACTCTTTGAGCAAGAGTGGCAACATCATGCGCTATGAAACGCTTCAAATCGCTTGTGATATTTGTGCGGAAAAGTGCCTGTATGGGTTTTGGGAGGTGGCGAACATGATATTTCAAAAAACCTCGAGTGTGCCTTTGCTGCACCTCATATGCTTGGATGTTCCTGTTTCATGTTCCGGATTCTGTATCTAGGGTGAAATTGCCTCCAGTTGGTTGGAAGATGGCTAATAGAATTTACACCTGAACTAGAGCTTGAAATTTGAGAACAACAACGTTGGTCAGTTTTTTTTATGACGGAGCGTGCATATACATGCAGGTGCGGAGACCCCTCAAAATGGTCTTGGCTTGCAATTGGTCTCACGGTTGATTTCGAATTAATCAACAGAGATACAATATCTATCACCTGAATTCTGCTTCCCCAATAATTTTTTCGACCGTATACCGCAGTATTTGTCTATAACAGTTGATCGGAAGTTTCTAGAGGTATGCACGGTCATGCGTGAGTCACTAGCTCAGATGTAGTAATGCCAACCGCTGTAGGTACATAATGCTTGAAAGATAGATAGTGTATCTGTTTATGGAATTGAGTGGCCAATCTTTTAGTTCAGAGCTGCCATCCTATGAATGTCAACCTGTGAGCGTGCGAGAGGGAACGGCGGGGCTAGGGCCTCAGCTACAGTTGTTAGATGTTGCTATTGTAGCGGGCTCGTCCTCGTTTGCTAAAGGCATAGTATCGGTTAGTCCGCTAACCGATGTTTATGCTGGCTACCTCTCAATCAGCTTGATGTGTTCAGAGGAGGTTATGCACAAAGGTAGCTTTGGCGTCGGTGGTAATTTCAAAGCCAGAGAATTTACATGTTCCCGCACGTCCATGTCCATTTGCCAAAATCTGAAAAAAGGTTTTGTATACGAGTACGAATTTTCATTTCGGTGTTTCTCTGACGAAAAGCCAGAGTGTTCGAAATGTCGGACAAAGTACTGTTACGCTCATACTGCAACCCCTCCATCCGTAGGCAGTGCATCGCCTGTGTCGGAATCATTTTATGACGTTGCAGTGAGATACTTTCTGGAGGCCCGGATTGACACCTGCAAGCTAAGGGCCCGAAAATTTGTTTACCATTTGCCGGAGACCACCTCCTTCGATTTGAATGTATTTAGCGATGCGAATGGGCCGCTCAACAGGTTGTACGAAGTGGGTACTGCACTCAAAACCGGTTTTATGAGAAAGAATTACAAGGGAACGTTGGCCCTGCAAATGTATCCGGTCTACCATTTCAACAAGCTGGATTCATCTGAAACTATCACAGAAGGTGTCGCTAATCTCAAAGTTGTGTACTTTCCTTTAGGAGGCTTGGTACCTCATCCCAAACTTTCTGCTACTTACAGTATTCGGCGAGTTGTTATTGCCGCGACAGGAGGAATGAAGTTCAGAATTGATAATGAAGGGTATAGCACGAAACGAATTCCTATTGCGCATGGAAAACTAGATCTCAGTGAGGCGACTTGGGAAGACAATACGTTGAATGTATCTGCCAAGTATGGCATCCAAAGGCTACTTGCCTCATCTCTTTCTTATGCTTCCTGCTTGTCCTATGGCAGTTATGAATTTACCGTTACGGTCAAACACCCAAGTGGTGAAGTGAGCTTGACTGTTCCGTTAGTGCTTCAAGCTACGCGTCCACCTTCATATTCCTAATATTTTATCCTCGTAATTTATGAAGTAGTTAAGTTGATAGTTTGCGTACTCCGGTCGTTGGACGAGCACACGGCTATGTCCGAAATTGTCACCGCTGAATATGTAATCATACGTCAGAAATGACTCTGAGGATTATCGAACTATCCATAAAATCACGGATTTGTTTGTGTACTTATGGTTTTTATCTGAATAGGCAAATATGGTGCAGTAAAAATATAACTAAAATCAATGCCTTTTAAGACCGCTCGTTAAATCTGGCAATGTGAGGGCAGCTGAACTAGGTTTCCCTTGGCGGATATGTAAGCTGACTAGCACTCCTACCTCGACCGAAACCGGTTGAGGCATTGGGCGGCTGATAAACGCGGTTTGGGTCGTGATCAGTAGATTGCGGGGCACAAAAACAAAGCAAAATAGATCAGGATATGTTCGTAATTCATCAAATGCAATTTTCTTCATAACGACTTTCGAGCTCCGCCGTATCGAACAGCGTGTGTACTAATCGGTGCCTCGAGCCGATAAAGCTGCATAGCCATGCATACGGTTTACTCGTCACCACTCATTGATGGAACTTATGTGGGCGAGAGCCCCCGAGCTGCCAGCCTACGAAAATGGGCCAGTGAAGGTGCCTGCATCAGAAGAGTATGTGCCCGCTATTTCGATAGAGGGTCTACCTCGAAAAGTACGCTACGGAGACTTTGTGACTGGCACGGCGGTGATATCTCCTCGGGCACGGCTCACCAACCAGCCGATACAGGTTGAGCTTTTGTGCGCGGAGCGCTTACTGCGTCCACGCTTAGGATTTGCAGACGAATACAATCGGTATTATGTCGCCAGCAAGACCATGATTCCGAATACAACAGAAATGCAGGCGGATGCCCGCTACAAATTCGCCTTCTCACTTCCCGTACCTATGCCACTGGAGAGCAAATGCGAGAATTGTGACGGATTTGATTTTTTAATACCGCCATCACAGGGTGGTGGCAGAAAACCAGATAAAACAGCAATGAAATATTCTGTCATTTGGTTCGTCAAGGTGTCATTGGTAAACCGTCTTGAATACACTCTGCGCGATATTGAGATTATTGCAAACACACAGCTACCGTTCGAAGGGCATTACGCAAAAAAAATTGAAGCAAGTCAGAGATTAGTGGAGGGTCTGTTGAAGAAACACTCTCTAGGAATCTTATCAGCCGAGGCTAAACCGGTTCTTGTCAATTCATGTGAAAGAAGGACCTGTTCTGTCAATATTTCATTGTCTTATTTCCCAACCAAAGCTCAGGGTCTGCGCAAAACGGTAAAGGCGTTTACAGTTAGCTACAGCCTGTCCCAAGTTGTAGAGTCGCGATCCCTAGATGGCTTCTGTGCCGCCGGTACCTCTGTGGAACCATTCAAAAACCAATCTGTTCTAGCTCACGCCAAAGTACTGTCGCATACTCAGTGGGATGACAATGCTGCAATTTTGTCGTTCAACGTTGATTTGCCTGACAACCTCGTTCTCAGCTATTCGACCTGCCTTTGTACTTCGTCGTACGGGCTTAGAGCAACCATCAAGCATGCACATGGATCTCTATCAATTGATATACCCCTGTGGCTTTCATTTGCTCCTCCATCATACGAATGATGTTTATTGATCATTATATATTCTCAACCATCACTGCATCTAAAGAGCTTACGCAATGTACTCATCACCGATGGACTTCTTTTCTATGGGGATGTTCATCCTCGATGAGATACACTGGGGCCAGAAAAAGTACAACGACGTGATTGGAGGCGCTGGAACGTATGCTGCGGTAGCAGCTGGGTTGTTCCTGCCAAAAGACGAAAGAAACCGAGCAGGGTGTATAGTTGATATGGGCAGCGACTTTCCACCAGACCAGCTCGATCAATTGAAGAAATGGAAAGTAGGCTTTTATTTTCGCACTAATGACGACCGATTGACCACGAGGGGCTGGAACAACTATGGCGACAACGAAGCTAGAGACTTTAGGTACATGACGCCCAAACTGCAGGTCGATGCGAAGGATCTGCTCGAATATCCTCCAGCTGCTAATGCCAAGTGCATACATTTTATTTGCTCACCGCCCCGTTTGTTAGAGTTTGTGCACGAATTGAAGCCTCAGAAAGGCCAATTGGTCCTGTGGGAGCCCGTGCCAACCGAGTGCATACCTGAGCAATGGCCCAAGTGCCGGCAGTGTTTTGATAAAGTGGACATTTTGTCTCCGAATGCCAAGGAGGCAGCCTCGTTTTTAGGAAGAAGGGAACCCCAGAGTAAGAAGGAGATCGAGCAATTGGCCGGAGAGTATTCAGCGTTCAAGGGCATGCTGGTTATAAGAGCGGGCCACCTCGGGTCTCTGGTCGTACAGAATGGGCTCAAAAGATGGTACGAACCCTACCACCTGGACCAGGAGAAAGTTGTTGATCCCACAGGAGGAGGTAACAGCTTCCTGGGTGGACTGGGTATTGGATTAGTGCGTTATCCCAAAGAGCAGGCTACGGCCATGGCATACGCCAATGTCGCTGCGAGTTTCATGATCGAGCAAGTTGGGTTCCCTGAGTACGACCCCGAAACCGATCGTTGGAATGGAGACCTCGTTGCAAATCGAGTGGCTAAATATCGAGCAAGAGCTTATTTAGGTGTGTTAAACTAACAAGGATCGACGCTTAACCTCCAAGCATCACGTAATTCAAGAGAAGAGAGTTGGTGGGCAATGGCCGCGAAAGAATTGCATCTCAAGGGCATTGTATTGACCATTGCAACTCATTCGGGCCCGCAGTACGTCTACCATTACGCTTGTCCAAAAAGCAATGATCAGGAAGTCGAGGACACCTGGTTCGATGACACCGACTCGGACGATGCGATTGACTGGAGCGAGAGCGATGAGGAAGCGCCTTATATCCCCATTGCCCTGAATCTTCCTGCGGGATCACTTTTAAATACCTCGACCCGGCGCAGAAGACGCAGAGCAATGACGGTCAAGTCAGGTCAAGACAGCATTGTCGTGCAAGAGGAAGACACGACGCAAATCCCTAAAAAGCTTGCGCAGGACGCAGAGAATTTGGTTTTTGGTTTCGATAGTAGGTTTTTGGCCGAACTGTTAAGTCCTCCCCGGCAATTGTGCAACCAACGTTTTGAACTCGCAGTTGACGGTGCATCTTTCGTGGGGCTGCCAGTGCATATACTTCCCTCGGGTACTTGGAGGAAATTGAAACAAGTCAAGAAAAACAGTGTTGCCAGTGCTGAAGGGATTAATGGAGACAGTGACGGTGCTGAAGAAGATGGACAAAAGGAGAGCGAGCTAAGAGACAGCATCAAGGACCTGAAAATCGAAAACGAAAGCTCTATGGTCCAATTCAATGTCACATTGGTCTTGGTCCCTCCCACACAACGGGCGAAACTACACACGGATCAATTGTACCAGTATGTGGTCTCTCAACTGGCCCGCATGCTTCGCCATGAACAGGCGAGAGACAATTATGTTTGGGAGGAGGCTATGAAAATTGCCAAAATACGCGAAGAGTCAATGCATGACAATAATATTCCCAACGCTAATGTCCTGGATATTCGGATTCGACAGTCCAGTGAGCTGGCACGAGCCCTCCACCACATCTTCCAAGCCATCGCAAGCAATGGTATTGCACGAGTTCAAATTGGTCACAAGATTCGTGCTTTTCAACTGCCGACCGACCACGAGGTAGTGAGACTTCCTCACTTTGTTGATGAAGCCACGCTTGCTCGTAACCAGTTGTATCCAGGGACGCTGCGGATCCGGGGAAAAGAAATCGGGGAGGATTGTGCAGAGAGTTACAGTTTGCTGTTACTAGACGAGCCTGAGAGAATTATTCGAGATATCGAGGTTGATCCCTCTGGACCGGTTGGCGCGCTAATTCGTAATATCCAGCCCACGATATCCATCCAAGCCATGGCTAACCAGAACAATCTCAGCCTCAAGCAGATGATCAGCTTGGTGTATTCCTTAGTTTACTGGCGCAGGGCCCGTATTATCATTCCGATTAGCTCGCGACATGTGTACGTTGTCTCACCATTGGCAATATTAAACAATCTGCAACGGCTGTCTGTGTATTATACTGATCTGTTCCCTGCAATGCCGCCTTTGCAGCGATTTTTGGCAACACTATCGAGTACCAAGCCGCAGCCGTTTGCCTATTTTATTCCTTCTCGAGATCACCGTGATATTTATCTTCGCGTGCTGATGTGGCTTTTGCAAAACAACCTGGTGGTTCAGCTTCAGACATATGTGGCCATCATGGTGACGCGCAAGATTCAATTGACTGTCCACTACGAAGCAGATTATCTTGGCGAGCCCGAGCATGCGGCCACCCAAAACAATACTGGGACTGAAGATCCGCGTAAAACTGACACGAGTGTTGACAACAGTGCGAAAAGAAACATCACGAACGAGTTCCCCAAGAAGGCACTGCCCCGGCTGGAAGAAGCGACTGATGAAAGTGACCACGATAACTTCAGAGATTGTGTTATAGACAACCCCTTGCAAGCGACGCTGGTTCAAAAGAAATGGCTGAACAAAATTGCCGCTAGCAAGTCGAGAGAGATGGGAGCCATGTTCCACAGACTGTCCAAGTATTTTAATGGAAAAGACTGCTTAGAACAAGTGCAATTGCACGAGAACCTCTCCAAGCAGGAGCTCAGAAAGTTTTTGGACGACTTCTCAGAATATTTAATCACCTATAGGCACTGGTAGTATAAATAATGTTAAGCATTATGCGGAATGTAATTAGTCTTCGTCGTCACTGGGTTCCAGAGAGCTGAGTTCCGACTCGACGGCAGATAAATCACCGTCCGCTTCCACGACATCGGCCGAAGCATATTTTTGGACCATGCTACGGACATGCTTGACGTACGCATCATGGTCTCTATTCATGAGCGAGGATGCTCCTGAATTGAGCGGATCCGACGGATTGGGGTAGGTGAGAAGCTGAGGCAAAAATACATCAAAGATGTTGATCATGTCAAACATGGGGCTCCAAGCTTGGTTGATAACATCTAAACATACAGATCCGGAATTCTCGTCGATATTCGGGTGGACGATTTTGCTGGTAAACCCAATTGACGGCGACTTGTAGGGGTATTGGTCGGGCAGCTCGACATGGATTCTCCATACGCCGCCTTCGTATGGGGTCGATGGGGGCCCGTGAAAAGTCACATGGAACTCTTGCCTGCAGTTAGTATTCTGCATACGGCTGCTGCAAATACTTACATGTTGTCGTTCACCAAGGATACATCGTAATTGCTCAAGAGTCTGGGGTTAGTATTCGGGCCGGCATAAACTCAGGTTATTCGCTTACAATTTCATCACATCGGTCTCGATCCTGCGCTTGGACGAACTGAAACTGAATGTTAGCTTCCTACTGTCGGTATTGGAGAGCGCCACCTACCTCATGCTGTAAAAAAACCGCCGTCCTGCAGTTGGGTTGGCTGAGGCAATCCTGCTCTGTACTTAATATACATCTGGATCCGCCCCCTACCCTGGCGATAGGGGCTGCATAGTAGCATTTGGTCTTCTTAACCGGATGGCGTCAGGGCTTGTCAGAGCCGACAGGCACTAGAACAATGCTAAATAAGTAGTTAGAGTTATGTCTTTAGTAGTTGCCATTGCCTTGCCCCCTATTCCACACTTTCTCTTTCTAAGCAGCTGATGGGTATGGCCGGCGATGCTATCTTCAAATGGATCTATAGTATGCACTGGTACATCTTCGGATGCGGCAGTAAGTGGAATGGCTAGCACCCAGAGTACAATAATGGATATGAACATGATAGATCTGTTCGAGGCCATCGCGAGCGGGCAGCTTGGTCCGTCTGAGGTCGCACCCGACCTCCACCCACACGAGCCCCGGCATTTAAAGGACGCCACGGAGAGCGAGCAGGCATCTGGAACCCGAGTCAAGCGCAGAAAACGTTCGCGGTCACGTTCGCGAGATGCAGCCGCCTCGATTCACCCATTGAGCGTGGTTTCAGTGTTCAGTAACCTGATGATTGTCGAAGACACTTTACGGAAACGATATGTCGACCTGGAAAAGAGTCGCCGCAACCATGCAGGATTTTTTTATTTTATGGTAGGCCTGGCGTGTCTCTTAACATACGTGAACCTCGTAACCCCTTCACCATACCGCTGGATTCGGTTCCTGGAGGTTATGCTAAACATCACCATTTACATCTCGCTTGGTCTGTTCTATCTCACGGGCCTCTACGGCAAAACATTCGTCGTTGCCCCAAGGTTTATTCACGACACCAACAAGGGACTGCGAGGCCTCAATGTCCGGCTGGTAAAAGTCCCGCCCACCTGGAGAGAGCGGTTCTGGAGAATCATAGATCCTGTGTACGTGGTGAGATACGGCCGACTTGTCCAGCTTGTGCTAGTGCCACGGGCATTTTCTGCGCACTTTGTTGAGCTGTGGGAACTGTATCGTCGAGAGTTCTGGGAAAAAGAGCGCCGGCGCCAGCTCAAGAAGGCCAAACAATCAGGCGCCCGCCGGAAACGCAAAAGCCCCCGGCCCAGGCTCTCTTCTTTTTCGAACCCAACAGGCGAATTGGACGATCTCCATGTCCAGCAGTTAGAACTTTAACCAAATAATCATCCCTTATTTTTGGCTATCTACTGTACCTTACTGCTTTAGTCCCAACCCTCTCACTGACTTTTTCCGACTTCCACTCCTCGCATGAAGGTCAAGGATCGGCAAGTTCTTGCGAAATTTCTCGCTGCGCGACCGGCGGCACTAGTTATAGCTGGCTGGATTCTTGTAGTTCATGTTGTGGGTGTTGCGCTATTTGCAACTGGTTTCCTTCTCACAAGGCCGGTTTTTTCAGACGTCACGGAGGCCAGCCTCAACCCGAGTAAGGCCTTCGATCGAGCAGTGATTCTTGTGGTGGATGCCTTGCGTTATGACTTTGCTGCTGAAGTAGATGAGGAGACAGCCACGCAGTTCCCCTATTTTTCCAATCAGCTGCCGTTCCACGACATTGTGAGCTCACCAGAGCACGGATTTCTCGTCAAGTTTATTGCTGACCCTCCCACCACTACTTTACAGAGGTTGAAGGGTCTCACAACGGGATCCCTTCCTGCGTTCATTGATGCGGGATCAAATTTTGCCGGGACTAAGATCGAAGAAGACAATTGGGTTGCCCAAATGGCGCGGCGAGGGAGCGTTGGCTTTGTTGGAGACGATACCTGGCAAGCCCTGTATAGTGACGAGTTCGCCATCTCATATCCATATGACTCGTTGAATGTTCGCGATCTCGACACCGTCGATAATGGTGTCAAGCAGCATATGCCCGGGCTCATCGCCAACCGTACGTTGGATATTGTCATTGGCCATATGCTTGGAGTTGACCACGTCGGGCACCGGTACGGACCAAACCATCCAAAGATGCAAAACAAGTTGCAAGAGACTGGAAAGTTCATTAGCGAGATCGCCTCACAGATTGACGATAAGACCGTGCTGTTCGTTTTCGGTGACCATGGTATGGACTCAAATGGAAACCATGGCGGCGATTCGACGCAGGAAGTGGAATCGGCACTCTGGGTTTATTCCAAGAGTCCCAAGTTTATGAGCTCTGGACCTGAAGAAGTCAACCAGATCGATTTTGTCCCCACTATTAGTGCTCTGCTTGGTTTACCCATCCCTTTTAACAATCTTGGGTTCCCTATTCAGCAAGCCTTTGGTTCAAACAATTTTGAAAGTGCCGCTGAACTTACAGCCCAGCAATTGTCTAAATACGCAAACAAGTTCGGAAAGGCAGAGTATGCTGGTAACTGTATTGGAGATGCTCACCACTACCAGAAGACTCTGTTGGACGACTTCCGCGCCTCTTGGATCTCTTTTGATTTGCCAAGAATGGTTGCAGGTATTGCAATTCTTGTGTCCTCGGCTCTGGTATTGATTATCTTTTACAATATTTTGTCCGCAATTAGCTTGGAGGCTATTGCTAGGACAATGTCCTGGGGCGCCATCTTCGGGTCAGCTATCGGGTTTCTGGTTATCACTTTTGGCCAGATGAACTCAACAGCAGACCTTATTTTGTGCTTTGGCGTGGGTGTCACAGTAGGCATTCTTTTGTTTGCTTCAACGACTGTTCGCTTTGCCTTGACAGACTCGAAGGGAAATTACTGGACTTTGTTGGGCGTTTTCCTTCTGGTTGTACAGTGCCTGGTTTTCTTTTCAAACTCATGTGTGATCTGGGAATCTCGCATTTTGTTGTACTTTACAGCTACGACTTTTGTCGCGCTAGGAGTGAGCTGCATTAGCGGTCATTTTGTTGTGCGCAAACTGGGTCTGGCATATGTTGGCTGGACTATGGTTGTCCTCCGGGCAACTTCCTACTTTTATGCCTGCAGAGAAGAGAATGGTACTGAGTGTGTCACTACATTTTATCAGCCAGGGACTTTGCTATCCCCGGTGTGGACTTTAGTGACATTTTCGGTACTGACTTTAGTTACACCAATTGTGCTTGGTCGATTCTATGCGATCGGACGTAGTTATGTTGGTATTGCCAAACTCATGTTCCGAGGCACCACGGTAGCTATGCTACTGTCTGTTCTCTATTGGTCGCTGGACACTGCAGAGACTCATGCCGACTACCATTCGGAGACAGTAAGTATCTTCAAAGTTTTCCTGAGTCGGTCCATTCTCGCCCTGGGCTTTATTGGTGGAATCTACATTTGGTACCGCAGCGAGCTCTGCATCGAGGTTGATATCCGTGGTGACAAGCCCAAGATTGAGGGCTATAATAATGTATACGGAAGTTACGCATTTTTGCCTTTATTATCCATCTTTTGGGGTCTTCTTGTCGTCAACAAACCAGCTGGTGCGGTTGTTTTGTCCTCACTAATGTATACCCTGTTTGCAATTCTCGACCTGGTTGATCTCACAGGAACCAAGTATACATTCTTGGTTCCTGTCTTATTCAACTATGTTGGAGCCATGTACTATTTCTGGACTGGCCACCAAGCTACGATCCCCTCAATTCAGTGGGATACTGCTTTTGTCGCCACCAGGCAGCTTTCTTACCCCATATCGGCAATCACGGTGGTATTGAACACCCTCGGACCACTGTTGTTGACTGTCATAGCTAGCGTCTTGGTTGCCACGTGGCGTCGCCCTCCTTTCAAGGAGCCGCGACAAATCCTCGCCTACGTTTTGAGAGCTGGAGTGGGCACCAGCCTGGTCACCACAATTGTAACCACAGCAAGCATGGTTGCAGTAACCTGTTTACGGCGTCATCTCATGACGTGGAAAATCTTTGCCCCGCGTTTCATGCTCGCAGGTATTTCACTATGTGCTACCGATCTGTTTGTGATATTCGCACTACTGATCGCAGGCCACTCGTTGCACAAAGTAACCAAGATTTTCAGTTAAAAATAGAATCATCGCATAATTTCAATGTTTTGAAAGATACAAAATTAACAAAATAACATTAATACTTATTCGAGCATAAGATCGTCGTCTCCTTCCAGGGCCATAGCTTCCTCTGCTGCACGGCTATAGCTGATCGGAACGGATCTAATACGCTCAGATGGAATAATACTACGACCCAAGAAAGCTTCAACCTCTTTAACCTGCTCGTCGGGGACATTCTTGCCGTAATCCTCGCGCAAGTGAGCGATTGCTCGAGTCAGCACTTCGTCTTTCTCATTGCTTTCCTGCAGTTTTGCGCAGACTTCACGTTCAGCTTTCAGTTTACTCTCGAGCTCACTCAAATTCTTTTTTAGATCTTCCTCGGTCACGTTTGGAAACAAGCGCGGGGGCTCAATGCGCGAGACGGGGGCTGACGAGCCCAAAACGTGACCCAGCCATTCGTGGTGACGCACATATCTCACGGCAGCAATATCACGCAACGTAATAGTATCTAACTCGTAACCAAGCGTTGTCTCACGCGGCTCTGGTCGCCTACCGGGTTGGTCCATTGTGAGAGTTGACAAGCGGCTGCTGACTCAGGGGAAAAGCGGCGATGAGAGCGGAAGGTGATTAAATATTAAAATGAAATTATGAGTTGATTAGCGATTGATCCGAGTTTTAGGGCGGGGAGTTCCCCATTTCGGCGCGGCAGGCAGCATTCCACCGTGGAAAAAGCTCGTGAAAATATCACCTTGGGGCTTACCTGGATTCTTCACCGGACTGTCATAAGTTTCCATAGAAACGTCGCCAAGAAGACTGGGGTTGGACGAAGTACTCTGGCTCGTGAGTGTTTTGACTGGTTTTGACTCGACGACGGGGTCTGTGTGAAGGGGGCCCTTGTCGATGATGTCCAGTCCGTTATCTCGAAGGTATGCAGTAATGATGTCGGCGATTTTTGGGAGAGCCTCCTCGTTCTTTCTAGATATTGAGACAACAATTTGTGAGTAAATGCAGGAGTCATTTTGCATTTGAACGCGCTCAAACGCTTGGATCTGGGCATTGAATGCAATGCACAATGGTGCGACCACTTTAGCGGCAAAGTCGGACCCGACACCAACGGCCTGATCAAATTTGCGACCCATAGCGACCCGGAATTCATAGTCAATTGGAACAAACTGCTTTAGCGCCTCCACTGTGTTTTGGGCAGAGTTGCCCATACCAGTAACTGGCACCAGCTCAGTATTCCGGGACTCCTCCAACGGCAAATTGATCAGGGTATTATTTCCGATTTCAATATCTCGCATGGCGTTAGTGGCTTCCGAGAGAAGTAGTCGTCTATGATTTCTAGGAACACGGATCAGAATTGACTGGTGCTCTCTAGCATATTGGTCGACAGTTTCCAAGAGTTCTTCAGCTGCGGAAGCTAGCATGGCCTTGTTCTTTGCTGGGCATCTGATAAGGACATTATCGATCTGTGCTTGCCCAAATGCATTGGGGATCTTGTCTCCCGAGCTGCTAAACTTGATGTAGACATTGTATTTTCGCATCAGAGACTGGATTCGAGTACCACCACTCCCGATAACCTGCTTGTGGTAAGGCTCTGGAACGTACAGCCATTTTTCAGCTGGAAGTTCTTCTTCAAGAAGTTTCAGTGCCTCCACACAGCTGCTTAACGTCTTCGCAGTCACATGCACATGGAAGTTGTAGTCGTGTAGGGGACTGAACCAGATGTAAGAACCAGTTTGAGAAACGATTCGGGAAATCTTGCCCATTTTTTTGCCGGCAATGAAATCTTTGAGTTCATTTCCTAGCTCAAGATCAAAGACAGGCTGCTGTTTGAAGTTGGTGACTTGGGGTAATGCTTGGATGGCCCGCATTGTTGCCTTGACGTGATCGCTAGTTCCAGACATCAAGAACGAGCTGTTGTGGAAACTGAGAATAGTTGCACCATGTTCGGCGGCTCCCAGCACATCTTTTTCGGTAATTGACGCCTTCGCGAGGGCCTTACCGTCATGCAAATCGAGACGGGCAGTGTACACTTTGCAGCAAAGCACCATCAGGCGCTGAATTGAACATTCAATGCTCGATCTATTAGTCCCTAACACGCGAACGATAGGAACTTCAGCCGTGAGAAGAGGTAGCTGGATGAACGTCGCCAGATCGGTCATGATTTCCTCAACTTCAGATCTGAAATGCATCACGAGACACTCCAAGGCAGCACGGCTAACGTGTACATCTTTGAAAATGGTATCAGTACGCTCGAAAATATTCGCTACGAGCTTTTTGGCGATTTGCACCTGGATGGCATCTCCTACCAAGAAAATTTCATCCAGAGACCTGTTGATAGGTTCAATTGTTCCTTGCAGCTCAAGTAACTGGGGTACAGTGTACACGTTAACCCCAGTCTGGCTGAAAATGTGCAGCAAGTGAACTTTTCTTGGCCCACACAGAAGCGGCTGCATGCTGTAGGGCACATCAAGAGGAGCGATACACTGACCATAAATATGCTCCAGCAGGACTTTGGCGCGATACCGAGCGTATATGGCAGCATCGCTGTCGCCGTAGATGTGGAGATCATGGTCAAACCCATTTCGTGTCACGACAATGGCCACATTGCAGAAGCGTCCCAGATTCTCCAGCTGTTGGGCGAACTGGGGCACAATTGTCAAATTGCCACCCTCCACGTAAACGAAATGAGAGTCCAGCGGCAGTACTTGATGCTCGATGCGAACAAGCGCACCCAAAATGCTCGCCCGAATATTGTTGATGCTTGTGGCAGGTGCGTTGCAGCGGGCAACCATGTAGCCACTTGCGATGTTGACGGTATCAAGATGAGCACCGTTGCGAGAGCAAACAGAAGACATGATATCAATGTTGTCCATTATCATGCAGTCCCCCATGGCTGAGGGCTTCCAACGATTCAGTCCATTGTCGAAGACGATCGAGGACTTCTCAGGGCGCACCTGTTGTGTGAATGGAAGAGGAAGGAAAAGTGCTTCCATGGCTTGAAACAAAATGACGCGTAAACAAACTTTTTGGTGTCTTTCCCAAGTTTCAAGCTCAGAGTAACCTGGCAAGGTTCGTCGACCGAGAATGTAAACAAATGTCGATCCCAACCAGGGTTGGGGTGTATGCATCGAATACCCTGGTGTGGGGGGTGGGATATTAAGCAGTTGGCAGAGGGGTGGTAATCGTATCCGCCTGGAGTCGCTTGGGCGCTCGTAAGCTCAAGTCATGACGGGATCTAATGCTATCCCTGAAGACATTCAAGAGCTCCGAGTAGACGATATAAATGAGCTTGCACAGACACGCGAGGCACTGGAAGGGCTATGGGAGTCCAGTGAGAGGGGAATTGCTATTTTCAACGAGCAGATTGCCAAGGGGAACACCAATTTAGAACGGGCTCGGAAGACGGAGGAGAAGGCGGCAGCGGTGCTGCGTTTGCGACAAGAAGTGCAGAGACTTGCCGAAGAAAACGAATCCAAATTCGATATGTGGCAACGAGCCGAATCAGAAATGACCAACACAATTGAGCCTTTCACACAGCCCCGGCTGGCCCAGCGGCTGTCTGCCGAAATCAAGGAGTGTACGGCGCTTGGAGAATCACTTCGAACAGCATTGATCGAGGGAAGCATAAGCCTGCAGGCCTTTGTGAAGCAGTACCAGGCGAACCAAGTCAAAATCCGCCGATATGAACACACGGTTTCCACTTTGAAATGACACAAACGAGATAAAGTATATAGACAAACATATCTAGATTTTACCTAGAGAAATAGACTCGACATTTTCGGCTATGCCGTCAGTCTCGTCAGGCAGGCGGAAACCGACGTAGTCCTCGGTGTCAAGAGCCTCGCTGAGCTCTTGGAGGGATCCCAAGTCTCCCGGGGTCATGATGCTGTGAGCATCACCAGGCGAGGCCGGGGCAGAGAGCGGGCGAGAGAGCTTGTGACTGTTGGCCTCGTCGAACGGATTGCCGTCGTCGTTAAACTCGGAGGGATAAGCACGGCGGAGAGCGAGTTGGCGGGCCTTGACGTACTCGAGGCCCATGCGCTTCCAATCAAGAAGATCGGACAAGCGTTCGGTACGGTTTCGCTGGTTGATACGCTGGCGACGAGTCATCTGTGTGAACAGCTCCATGTGGTCTGTCAACTGATTGATGGAGTCATCAACACCCTTGTTGCGGCGATCCACGATGTAAATACCGTAGTCACTAGAATTTTCAATGAGATCCTCCATATAACACCCGAAGCCACTAAGGTTCGTGGTGATAGATGGAACACCCATAACTGTGCATTCAGCAGGGGTGTATCCCCAAGGTTCGTAGTACGATGGGAAAACACCAAGATGGCAACCTCGCACAAAGTCCTCGTAGTCCAAAGGCAAGATTGGGTTGTTCGAGTTAAGAAATTCCGGATGGAAAATTATTTTAACCCGGTCGCTGGGGTGGTTGAAAAGCTGGACGCGCCGGATGTGGTTGAGGATGGGATCGTTCGCATCATCGCTCATATTGTGGGTGACAATGGGAGGGAGAGTGGTTCTCTTAAGAGCAAACACACGGCGCTTCAAAAGAACACGGTCCGAGGGGGGCAGCAGAGCGTCCAAGTCGGGGATACCTTTATTGTCGGTGTCACGGCAGCAGTGCTCCAAAAGACGGCGTCCAATCTTGGCCTGGATGCCATCAATAGTGGATTCCAAGGACTTCATAACAGCTTGGCCCTTGAGTGTTTCGACAGTGTACGAGTGTGTGGCGGCAGGCATGATAATAAATGCAACGACCGTCTTGTTTGATCCCGACGACTTGAGGCGGTGATTCAGACGAGCCAAAGCCTCAATGTAGAAATCAGCACCCTTATTACGGTACTCGTATCGACCGGCAATAAAGAAGTAGAGTGTGTTTTCGAGGTCAAAGTCGTAATGGCCGTAGAAGTGGCCACGGATGAAGTCGGCGATCTTGTCCTTGTGGATGGCGTGGAGGTTCTGGAACTCGTGCATAGCACTGAATTTGATAACGTTCAAGCCATTGGGAACAACACCGTCGGGCTTACGCTTCAGCAGGTGCTCACTCTCAAAGGCGGTAATGTGCGAGACGGTGGTGAACACGTCGCAAGAGTGCGCAGCAGCTCTCTCGATACAATATCGATGGTAAATGCCACGCTTTCCAGCCTCAGCATCCACATCGAAATACTCGAGGTTGTTGTAAAAATCAGTATTACCGGCACACAAGTAGCGACCCAACAAAGTAGCGTGGGTGGTGAAGATAGTTGTGAGATCGATTTCACGCTTGCGGCAGAGCGGCAAGGCGACACCAGCCAGCCACTCGTGGAAATGAGCAACAATGGCCTGATCGTGGTTTTGGTTGACATATTCACCAAGGAACCAAGCAGTGAGGTAGCCAAAAACAATGGCATCATTGCTTTCCGTATCCTGAGGAGGGGAAGGGATCTGCGCAATGCTCCAGAGATCGGACTTCCACTCATCCAGGTGACTATATCCAGAGCCAATATCGAACAATACAACGCGGGGCGCGCCATCAATGAGCCAGCGACCGTACATGTACTTGATACCTCTGTCAGACATAGACTGCAAGGTTGCCCTCAGGTGAGGGTCACTGGGCTCCAGCGGCTCGACTTCCTGGTCTGCAGAGTAGTGGTTCAATTTACCAATCAGGTAGTATCGCGACCCATACTCTTTAGACGTAACGGGCGCCTTGGACTTGAGCACAGAGTAGATTCCGCCGACCCGGTTGGCAACCTCAGTTGCTACCTCAAAGAGTATATGGTTTTTTACGTCGCGACCCATTCCAGTACTTTCTTGATTCAGATCGATGTAGGCTGTGTTATGGAAGCGAGAAAAGTAGATCTTCTCAGTTGACTGTAAAAATCCGGTGTGGTGTGGTAACCTGCTATGTTCAGGCTGAGTGTTCGGGGACATTCTCCCACCACCGCTCCCTTACAGCGAGCGGCATGCAGTGTGCATCTAGATCATTTGCTGGGCCTAAAACGTAGCTATGGGTATGTTGCTCACGGCTGTGCACCATTATACTCTGTGGTGCCACGTATCTTTCGTAGCACTCACCGCAGGTGTGAATTTTCTCGAAATTGGTGTCGATTCTTGTTGCTCAGCCGGTTTCCCGAACCCAAGCTCAACCTGAGGATCACTATGCAACTTTGAGCCGTACAACGCAATTCGTAGTTGGCTTTCACTTTGTCCATGCTAAATACTAGATAACAGCTTGGTTTGTACAGACACTGAAATTCTAGCTCCCTTCTATCCTTTTCTGGAAGAAAAACCCGCTGAGGTTATTTTCACCCGCCTCTCCTGACCCTTTTGGGCCACACTTGCATACTCGCCCAACATACAGCTTTTTTTCGATGTATCCCCTGCCTATCCATAGTTTAATGACTTAGAGTTCAGATAAACGATTTATCCTAAACTTTCTGACTGTTTAATCTAAAAAGTAAGGTTTCTCCGAGCTGCACCTGTCGTGTTTGTGGTCAGGCTCCGGAACTGCCCACGAAGGTGAGCTTTTTACCATACGTCATCTGTCGGTCAGCTGCCCGTTTGCTGGCTTGGGCAGTTTTCCCGAGGCGGTTCAAGACGATAATGGTTCTCGCTGACTCACCGTGCATGGAACATCTGGGGAAAACTATCCGGGTGAAACTTAACGACGGCCGCACGATTTACGGCCAGCTTATCTGCTTCAACAGAGGACTTGATCTTATTTTGAACAACTCGATTGAGCAGCATATTCAAAAATCCACTCGTTACGTTGGTATGGTCGTTGTACCTGGCAAAATTTTAAAGTCGATTAGTCTTCAACACCTTTAAAGACCTTGAGATGTTATATTTCAACACTCGTGGATTTAGTGGAACAGGAGTTGTTTATTCTCCATTCCTGGATAGCCGTCTGGCCGTGTCCGCCTCGGCAAACTTTGGACTCGTAGGCAATGGCCGGCTGTATATTCTTGACATTACACCCGACGGCACAATCGTCCCGGTAAAGTCCTTTGATACCCAAGATAGCCAATGTGGTGTCGCATGGTCAGAAACACATGAAAACCAGCTGGTTACGGCCGGGGGAGATGGTGCAGTACGCCTATTCGACGTCACGACCCCCCAACCTTTTCCTTTGCAAGTTTTCAAAGAACATACCCAAGAAGTATTCTCCGTCAACTGGAACTTGACGGAAAAAGTCACATTCTGTTCTGCATCATGGGATGGGACAATTAAAATATGGAACCCAGCTCGAACTCAGTCCCTTCTTACTTTGGGTATTCAACAATCACATGTTCAAGCGCCGCACCCGGCACCGGGGGCGCCCGGCACTTCGAGCACAGAAAAACGCTGCGTGTATCAGGCCAAGTACGCACCATCTAATCCTACTCAAATCCTTGCTGCCTATGCCGATGCGTCTGCCAGAATATGGGATGTTCGTACGGGAAACCCCGCAATGGTCATCCCGGCCGTTCTGGGCGGTGACTGCTTGACTGCGGATTGGAACAAGTATCAGCCAAACGTCATTGCTACCGCAGGTGTCGATAAGGCTGTAAAGATCTGGGACCTCCGCAACTTGTCTGTACCTGTGAACGACCTGCGTGCTCACCAATACGCTGTGCGTTCAGTCAAATGGTCCCCCCACTCCCCCACACACCTTTTGTCAGTGTCCTACGACATGACTGCAAAAGTATGGAACGACTACCGTGACCGCCATGTGCCTGCAACTGGGCCCCGTGGTCTAATCAGCAGCTTTGACCGACACACCGAGTTTTTGAGCGACTGCGACTGGTCATTATGGGGCCAACCGGGCTGGGTCGCTACGGTGGGCTGGGACCAGATGGTTTACGTTTGGAAAGCCGTATAGAAAAATGAGTCCAGTTATGAACATACATAAAAATCAAAAATATATGCGTCATTGGAAAATGATCAAAAAAAGAGTGATACAATGACACTATACGAGCGAAAGAGGCTCAGTAGTAGCTTTGTAACTGCCTGCCCTTAAATGTAGACCGGGTTTTGGATCCCGTCCTCCTCTATCGTGGGGGAAAGTGCCGTTTGCATTCCCAAAAGCATGCTACTGAGCGGTGCGTCACCATCTGTTGTATACTCACCGAAGTCGAGCTCGTTGACACTTTTATGATCGAGCTCGTGAGATTCCTGAAGGTAGTAAGATTGGTAACCACCTGATATATTGTCCTCGCTCAAAACACCGCTCGTGTCGAAGCCAATGTTGCCAGAGCTGGCGGGAGGGGGGTTTTGCGATGGCGACATGCTGAGCATGAGCCCCTGGCTAGGCATAGAACTAGAAATGTCTGTTGTGGATGGGTCCTGTGAGGCCCATGATGACTTCATATCTGACGAGGAATTATATCGAGACATTCGATCACCATTTGGCTTGGCGTATGAACCGGGCTCCGAACCGTTGGGAGTGACGCCAGCACTGTCCATCAAGGAAGTGTTAGCGACACCGAGGCTGGACGGCTCTTCGGATGGGGTACCTGCTAATGTGAGGTCTGGGCCAGCCCAATTGTTTGTGACCATAGGTTTTGGCATGTAGTTCCGATCCTGTTCTACCCAGTTGTCGCCACCAAATTCTTCTTTAATGCTCAAATGGTCGTACCCTTGCTCCACGTAGTTATTGCTGATAGAAGGGAAAATGAAGTTCAGATTGTCCTCAGTGCCGGCTAATGTAGGTCCAGCAGAATACAGCCCAATATCGTCCTCGACCAGCGAGCCGTACATGTCGAGCTGTGAGTTAGAGATAGAAAACCCGGACGGTCCTGTCGGGGACATATCACGGCCACCGTGTTGGCTGGGTAAAAGCGGCGAGCCCATATATTGGCCGTTAGGGCCAGGGGATGGGGAGCGTTTTCGGGGGGCAGAGATCTGCATTTGTGACAAGGTTTGGAGGAGCTGCTGTTGGGTTTGTGATCGGTTTCGTGAGCGAGAACGTGAAGAACGCTGCTGAGCTGCTCGAGTGGACTTGCGGATGCGTCCTACATGCTGACCTTGGGCACTGGCAGGCACTGCGCCATTTTGCATTGACCCCAGAATATTTGTGTTCCCGCCGGCGTTACCAGGTAACCCTGAGTTGAAAGACGGCATGTCGGAAGATAACCCTAAATGGGGATTGTTTAGGGGAGGCAATTCCGGGGAGTCGGTGTTGACGCTGTAGCTAGCGTGATTTTCGGTGAGCTCGTCGACCTCAAACCCGTAAAGCCGCATCAAATAGTCCCAGAGGGCCTCACCATAGGCCTTTGGGGTGACACCCGTAACATTGCGGAATACACGGTGGAAGTGCCATGGGGACAATTTGGCCTTCGCCGCCAATTCTTTGAAACCCAAAATTCCACCTCGCTTTTTGCGAACTGGAGCAACCGGCTTGGCTGAACTATCAAATCTGCGGCTATTCTCTTCGTAGGCTTCTTGAACTGCTTTCAAAACGGCTGAAACAACGGCGATGACGATGTGGCTACAAGCTTCGCAAATCAGGCGGTAATGGTTGAGACCATTAGCTTTTGCAACGCCAGGTTTCGTAGAGTCACTGCGGGATGGATGGCGATTTTTTGGTCCTCTGCTAGAAGATCTCCCGCTGCTAACAGACTCGGGCTGGGCTTGGATTTCTTGTACAAACGGGAGGCCATGCTCGTCAACATCAATAACATCTGCGATATCAGTGTCCTGAAATTCAATGTTGAGTGAAGAGTCAACAGCAGCCATGACAGATAGTACTAGAGCCTTGGTGAGATGTGGCGGAGTTTCTAATTTTGAGGTCGGGCTAACAGGGTCGGGTTCTTGACCACCTACTGGGTCGGTCAACGACCTATCGTTTTGGGTGGGCGGAGGAAACGTGTAAGCCTGGGGAGGCAAAGTTGCATCGGAAATGCTCATACTATGCCAATTAAAGTCTCAAGTTTCGTTGCGGGTGGATCGGACAGGTCACAACAACTGCTGAGGTTTTATGCAAAGAAACAAGATTTCGAAGGGGCGGGTCTGCTTACTGGATGTTCATGGAACCAAGGTTGTGGGAACTGACGTAACTCAATGCTTCCTGCAATCCTCATACAGATACTGTAGTCCCTTCTCTTAGTAAACCAGATGAAGCTGCACTGTTTGTTCGCTAGCATAAAGAAAGAGACCTTTATTTAGGAGGGTTGAGCGGCCTGCAGTAGGCCACAGACGCGGACAACTGATGAGATGTACATAAGCCAGTCTTAATATGTTAAGGGTATAGTGTTATTGCATGTGTAGCAGATATCCAGTTCCTGTGCTGGTCAATTAAAAACCTCAATTTTTGATCTCCCTCGCTCAGGCCCCTGGGAAAGCAACGAGGTGAATCGAAACTCTGCTCGAATCATGATATCAGTGACTAAGCATGACATCTATCTGGAGCCAGAGCGTTTTGACCAACAGCACGCTGCTGAGGCCTATCGCTATAGCATATCAGAGTATGAGGGCAGTGCAAGCAGAAGGCCCCTGCAAAATTATGGAATATTGAGCATAGGCTGATCCGGGTAGCCATAGGAGCTCCCTTGTCTTGCTCATGCAACCGCCGAGAGCTGCTGCGGGCAACGGCAGGGTTTTGCCGACAAAAATAGGCAGTTGACCACGAATCGATCGGTGCGCCGCTGACTTGATGATCCCACGAACATTCCCAAAGCGACAGAAATATTGTTTTATGACAGCTTAGAGGCTTTAAAATTGCTGATCAATGTCACAATGGCATCCCTTACTCGCGATGCCATATCTTGCTCGGCCACGTATGATAGCAGGGCTGCTAAAGCCGCAGAGTTGTGGGCGTCAGTCGATGTGTTCATGCAAGACCCTGTTGGGGTTGCAGATCGATTCGCTTAGTGCAATTGTAATCCAGCATATGATTTGTGATAAAGTCGCATGCTCTAGGCCTACCCGGTCCACTGTTGGCCACTACAAAGCACAAGGGAGTGCATTACGTTTTGCTTGCTCAAAATTCAGCGGAAACGGAGATGTAAGCCGTCGGGGAATATGCCGCGGACCTGGCAACAATGATTTGCCCGCTTCCGGGGAAGGGTTCGCCCGTCCCACTGGCGATCATCGAGAGGGGGTGAATGATATGCCGAAAAGATATCTTCGTGAGTTTGCAAAACAGGATTTTCTAATTCTTTTCTTGACAGATCCTTGTCAGAGTCTCAAGCACCATAGCCAGTTGAGTTTTTTTTTTCCTGGGGCTTGTTCACGGCGAAGTGTAGTGTTTACTACCCTAATCACCTGCATCCCGATTTCTGCTTGTCTTCTTCGCCTGCCGTAAACTTACTGCACTCCGATTACCTGCGGCACTTTCGTCTATATCGCTGGGGCATGGTCGCGTCGTTCCAGCAACCAATTAGACTCTAACCCCTGGTGGTAACGGATTTGAATTTTTTCGACATATAAATTTACTACGAGCTTATGTCTCTATGATCCTAAAGAAGGTCGTATCATCGGGCATATTGCCAATTCGACTGTGAATCGGTGCCTTACCGATTTCCAAAAAACTTATCGATCGCGGTTTGATATCTCTGCACGCTTTATAAGCGATCGATCGAGCCGCTCCAAAAAAGTATCATCGAAAGTTTCAGTAGTCAGGACAGCGATAGAGCTAGAGCCCTGAGCAGCCTGATCGCCTCTGTACGAACTCAAAACGCTATTCTGTCTTTTGCTGGTGGAATCATGCAAATTTCACTTTACCTCGAACCTGTCATGTCAGCACCCTCCCCCCTCCTCTCCTCGTCACATTGATTACTTCCCACTAAGGTTCTCCCAGCGGCCCCAGCTGGGATGGATACTAAGCAGCTGTCAAAGAACAATCGCTGACTACGCGTAGTCGTTACCATGTCTGTTTATGCTGGCTTGGCTAGCGACCCTGGCAGTAAGTTGAATATCTACATATGATCGTACAACAAACTAACTAGTTGATTCAAAGTGGAGAGGGGTAATTGAACGTGCACTGGGATCATGGGACTCGGTCGAAGAATGGGCAGACTATATATCGTTTCTGTCTCGCATCAATAAGGCCACCAGGTATAAGGCAGGCAAAGATGCAAAGATGCCCCTGGCACGGCAAATTGCTGAGCATCTCGCCCGGTGCCTGGAACCCAGATTACCCGCTGGTGTCCATCAAACAGCCCTGGAGGTGTACGATTCAGTGTTTGTTGCCCTCGGGCCCGACCAGCTCCATAAGGACATGAGCATATGGCTGCCCGGCTTACTTCCACTGATGTCCAATGCAGCATTTAGCGTCAAGCCTTTGGTGATTGAGTTGTTCTCCAAGCATATTCTTACGTCTCCAAATCTTCGAGAGCTTTGTAGACCTATTTTACTCGCCTGCCTTCCGTCTATCGAGAACGAGAGCAGCGAATGCTTTCAAGAGATCATGGATCTGCTACAAACACTCCGTGAACGCCTGAATGATGATGTCTTGTTTTGGCAGTGCATTTTCCTTTGTGCCATTACATCCTCAGAGTCTCGCCTAGGGGTTCTCGCCTACTGTCAGCGGGAATTACCCTCGTTCCAGTCAAAAGGCTCAGAGCATCAACTGGATGCAGATGCTCGTCTTTTAGTGTCGCCAGAGCCTCGAAACTTTTTGGGCGCTCTTATCCAAGGCCTCAAAGACCCAAACGTACTCGTCCAACGTGGTTTCCTTGATATCCTGGCGAGAAACTGTCCTTTGGACAGCCCTCTGTTCGCTACATGCCCTAAAAAAGATTTGCAAATGCTGTTGTATGAAGCAAGTCACATAATTCTCCGACGTGATATGTCGTTGAACCGTCGGTTGTGGAGTTGGTTACTGGGTCCAGGACAAGAACACCATGGGGACAATGATCAGAATCTTCGACGCATCGACTTTTTCCGAAAATACGGAGCCAAAACTGTTGTCGAGATGTTGTTGGAAAATCTTAAGAGCGACGACGCACAAACTTTGAGTGAGACTCTAGCGGTTGCCCATGGTATTCTTGACCGGTGGGAGATCGGGTCGGTGGTTGTGCCCCAGATCTTACCAACGGTATTTGAGGTTTCAATGAAGATGCAGAATGAAGATGGAGTGCTTCAGGGATCCAAGCAGTTTTTCAATGCTGTTGAGTCAAACCATATCTGGAAATGTGCTCTTGAAACGGCCCAGAGCGGGGATGTCAAGACGCCTTTGTTTATGGTCAGCACTTTCAATATCAAAGAAGAGGAAATGATGCTTGTTCACTTGCCATTATTTTTGATGGCTCTGATAGATCTGAGGCCTAAAATCACAGATCTGGAGGGCTGGAGCGACCTGGTGTTCAAGTTACTTGAAATAATCTCGCAGCTGTCGCTGGCTAGGTACGAGCAGGTATCAACGAAACTGACTGATGTCAATGCTAGAATCTCCCAGTTTTATGAAGAGTCTGTCAACTTCAGTGAGTCAGAGGAGGATATCAAAATTGAAAGCCCATTTAACGCCGAGGCATTGACCGCGTTTGTCGTGGAGTCACTCATCGAAAACTTCTGTTTTAACCCGAGCGACACGAACGCAGCACTAGTCGAAAAAGTCTTATCAAAAATTCCCCAGCTTGATTCACGCGTTAACAAGCTTGTAGAAACACTCTTATCCTCTGGCGTATACAACGCGGATCTTTTCGTCCGAACACAACCCATTATGCAAAGAGTTGAGGTCGTGAAGTACATCGAAAGCTTTGTCGTACACTGCTTCAAGGCCTTAGTGGAGTCTGGTCCTAGTCTTATTGAGCTTATCAGAGATCTGTCAATTGTTCATGAGGCCAGCCCTGAGTATTTGGTACCCTCTGCCCTTGCCGCTTGCTTTTCGAAAAAGGTCTCTGACCCTGTCGCATTCTCTAAAGCGTTCTCTGTGTTGTGGATTCATTCCGGTGATCGATCGGAATATGCTTCGTTATTGACGAAGCCGACATTGTTGTTTCTTGACCAACTACTATCTAACGATAGCAGTATTGAATCGATCGGCAAACTCTACGTCCGCCGCTCTATTATTCAAACAGGGACTATTGAACGGTTGCTACGATCACTTATTGAAACTGCAAAGCTACATGATAACGACCCGGAGGTTTTTGAGTATCATCTTAAGCTTGTTATACAGCTACTAACCTTCCCTGAAATCGGTGCCGTTTATGACTCAAAGTTCTCTTCGGAGTTGGTTCAATATCTCCATCAGTGGGTCGCCAACCATGCTGATAAAGCTAACACTGGAGCTTTTGCTTCAGTGTTGTCCCTGGTAAGTACAAGCTATCTTCATACGTCACACGAGATCTCGGCTGCACAGCTTAGAACATTGACGGAGTTTGCTGTGCTATTAATGGGTACACCAAAAGAAAATCTCAATCATGCCATCATTTACTTTGTATCAGACGCACTGGCCTTGCTGCCCTTCGAGAAAAACGTAACGTTCGGAAATACGGATTCGTTGGCCTATCATGTTTTCGTTTTTCTTCAAACCACAATTAGCTGGGTGACTTCTGACATTGACTTTGTCGCCCTGTCAAAACTCCTAGACCAATTCATTGCTGTCTTTCATCCGTTTATTTCGCAAGTTTTATTACCCACAACTTCTGAAATAATCCAGAGAATGGTACAACTAGAAAGCCGCCTACTGACAGGCACATCATACTCGATTTCTGAGACTGAGAGTATCGTACAGTTGATGGTATGTTTGGAGAAGATACTCATTACGGGATTACAGCTACTGTATCCCGCGAGCCAAATTTCTAAAGATGATGGGTCAGACGGCGCTAGCAGCTCAACGTCAAATTTGATCGGAAACGTTATATCTGGTGTTTTCAGTTTAGAATCACCGGCAGACCGATCAACTCAGGAAAGCGGCAGAGTGATGCTTTTTGAAGCTTTAGATTTGACAATGAAAAAATGCTGCGGTTACTGGTGCTTCTTAGACAGTGTGAGACAGGCCATCATGAGGGAGAGTCAATACAGTTCGACATTGCATGCTACTAGCCGATTAAAGACGCGTTTGAGAAAGCTCACATCTCTGCTATACCGGCAACGACCTGTTGAAACCATAAAGCTTGCGGTGATTCACTGTGAAACGAATGTGATGGCAGTGAGAATGGTCCATAACTTCGAAGGCACACTCTACCGAGAAAGCGTTCAAGTTATCATTGGTCAAATCACCGGTCGCAAAGATCAGAAAACATCTGATACGGTTGATCTACTCGATGCCAAACTCAGCGATGAGGAGTTTATGGATTTCTTCGTTACGTACATCAAATCGCTCGAGGCAGATGTCGTTGAAGATATATGGCCATTATTGCTAGGGTTACTCAACGATATCAACTCTAAAAGTGCCCAGCATAAAGGAATACTTCTCAAAGCACTCTATCTGTGTACTGTGATGAGTGGATCATGGTCGGCGGAAAAAATTTCGCAGAGACGGAAGGCTCAGAAGGATTTCGGCGATGTGTTCCAGAAGCTTGTACTCACTGCACTCAATGACGTGCCATCTAGTGACCTGGTTCCTGAAAAATCACGCGAGGTGTTAGGTTTGGCTGATATTTTACCTTATGTTGGCAAAATTATTCCTGACCAAGACCGACAGGCGACAGTCTTCACAAAAGTTCTGAACGCGACTGTGGTTCCTGCTTTGAAGAACAATGAGCTTTCTTCCGTGCCAGCATCTGTTTTCAACCTTTTAAGCCTGATCATCGAGTATTCTTCCCAATCAAAGGTCTGGAAGTCAGTAGTGGGTGATCTCATGTTTGACTCGAAATTATTTACTCTTACAGTTGAGCAAGCAAGCCTGCTGATGCCTGTGGTGGATGAATGGGTTAAAGTTGATAAGGAGCGGATTACCGAATTCCTGTCGCGAATCGCAAACTATGGCTCTAACAGTGTACTCTTTGGGTGGACAGGAACAGCGAAGCTCACCAAGGAAAATCTCAACCGTCTCGCATACATTTTGCTAAGTGGCGAGAGTCTTGGAGTGAATTATTCAAAGTTGGTCAACCAACTATCTACCATGTGGAATAGTGGATCGGTAGCTGACGTTTGCACTCTTTTGCGAGCGTGTATTTTGCGGCAAAAAAAATCCCAACTATCGGCAGTTTACAGCTTTCTATCGTTCAAGTTGCAGGAATTCTTCTCTGAGCTTTTGCGTGCCCTGGACTCTCAGAAAGTGAAAGAAAAAGAGCTGAGGGATCCCGTTGCAGTCACCCAGCTACTAGAGGCATCAAAGCTACTTGACCTTCTGCTGACTCTGAACAGTGATCAGATCCAAGTTTACGAGTGGGTCTTCATCTGTGACAGCACCGATGCTATTTACACGAACGACGAGGAACGCAGTGGAGACATTGTTGATAAGCTGGCGCTCTCCAAAAATCTCAAACGGCTAGATCCAGTTACAGTATCGGGGATGGGTGAGACACCACATGAGATAGTGCCAGGCCAAAAGCGCCGTCCGTTACTGCACTCAGAAAGTACTGTTCATGATCTGCGCTTATTTTTCAGTCAACTGTCTATCTCTTTCTATGAGTATATTTACGGACTAACTGCTGTCGATGAATCTTACTGCCGGCAGATGATTCTCAGCGACTTGTTCGTTTAAACCGGAGGACAGAGAGTCTTTCCCACCCAGCTTTCCTCGTCCCGAACTCTTTGACCTGCCAGCTCTTGGCTTCCATGGTTTCTTTCACTTGGTCAGGAAAGTTCCTGGCACAAAACAGTATATACGCACATCCCGTAGGAGTAAGTACGTTGTCGAGGTTTTCGAGAACAACATTTGTGACTTCCATTCCATTCTCACCACCGTCCAACGCCAGAAAAAGCCACCTGTCGTCGACATCTCTCTCAGGAAGAGGTGGGACATCTTCGCTAGGCACGTAGGGTGGATTGAACACGAGCACGTCGACAGAATTAGCACGGAACGGGACCAGCGATGCTCTTATTACTTCAATGCCATCGCACGTTGGTGCATTATTCATACTCCATGTCTTTTTGGTGATTTCGCAAGCGATTGGGTTCACGTCTGTAGAAAAATAACTTGCCCTGGGTAATAAGCTATGGGCGAAAGTAGAAACGATGCCTGATCCCGACCCGATCTCCAGCACGACTGGACACAACAGTGTTTGTAGAAACTCATGGTCCTGCTCCAGGCAGTCCAGCAAAAAAAACGAGTCTTCTACCGGATCGTAGACCTGTTCATCACTGGCCGTTCTTGGAGTGGGCCACATCAAGTAAGCACTGGCTTGCTAACTTCACTTCTTGTTGTAACCATGAAGATCTCAGTTAAAACGCTTGTTGGCAAAGAGCTTGCCCTAGATGTGGAACCATCCGAAAAGGTCCATGTTATCAAGGAGCGAATTGAGGAGAAGGAGGGCATTCCCCCAGAGCAGCAGCGCCTGATTCACAACGGCAAACAAATGTAAGTTCCTCGCGTTGGGTGCGATTTCAAGTACTTGTACTAACATTAGTGACGACAATTTGCCTATTTCTCAATACAATTTCACCGAGGGCACTAAACTGCACCTGGCTCTCTCTTTACGCGGCGGGTACTAGCTGCTTTTAGGGAGAAGCATAACCCCAGAGGTTGCTCTAGCGTGCCACTGTATTTTGGGTCTTATATTGCCTCCTATAGCCGGAGTTCTGTATATAAAGACAGCGACCTTGATTCTCATAGACCTGTTCTACTTAGTAACCCATGAGCGAGGTGAAGAACCGGGCCGTCGCACCGCTCCAAATCTCTGCTGAGCAGATACTGGCGGAAGCTTTCGAACGTAAAGAGAAAGTATTGACGAAAGCTTATGAAACGGTCACCGATAAGGCGGAACTCCGCGAGCTTCAGCACAGAAAACGTACTGAATGGGAGGAGGCACTAAGAAGAAACCGCTTAGATCTTCGTCAATGGATGCGATATGCCCAATTTGAGTGGGATCAGAAGGAATACGAAAGAGGAAGGTCAATTTTTGAACGTGCGCTTGCTGTAGACCATACATTTGTTCCTCTTTGGATCCGATATATCCAAAGCGAGCTGAGGGCCGGAAACGTGAATCATGCAAGAAATATTCTGGATAGAGCAACCGAAACACTACCAAAAGTCGACAAACTGTGGTTCACGTATGTAGGAATGGAGGAAATGCTCAACAACTTGGGTGGTTGCCGCCAAGTCTTCGAAAAGTGGTTACAATGGAAGCCAGAGCTGTATGCCTGGACGGCCTATATTGGATTCGAAGTTCGACATAAGCAAACACAGAGGGCCAGAGAACTTTATCGTCGTCTAGTTTCTGAACGCCCAGATCCTGAAAACTGGGTACAGTGGGCCAAATTTGAGGACGTTTCTCGAGGCGATGTCCGAGGTGTTTATACACTGGCGATTGATAGTCTTATGTCTCTTAGAGGGCCTCAGGCAATTCCTGAAATGCTGCTGCTAGAATTTGCCAAGTGGGAAGCAGACAAAAAAGAATGGGATCGCGCCAGAGCTATTTTCAAATTTGGGCTCAAGCATTTGCCGCCAAGAAATGCTCACAACCTTCGCTCAGGCTATGTGCTCCTTGAAAAACAGTTTGGTAACGCAGATAGTCTTGAATGGTCTATTTGTTTACATCGGAGAAGTCTCCTTGAAGAACATTTGTTGGACAATCCAGCGTCTATGGATACTTGGTGGGACCTGTTAAGTCTCGTCCAGGCCAGTGGCTCTGCAGATGATTTACGCGAAGTTTTTGAGCGTGCTGTTGCAAATGTACCAGCAGATTTAACCAAAACTGATCAATGGCGCCGCTATATTTATATTTGGCTTCGATACGCATTTTATGAGGAGGAGATGGCAGAGATTGATCGTGCAAGAGAAGTGTATATCATGGCTTTGAAAACGCTTCCGCATCACTTGTTCTCGTCTGCAAAGCTGTGGAAACATTTTTCTTATTTCGAAATTCGACAGGGTGACGTTGGCGCAGCCCGTAAGATATTTGGCCAAGCTATCGGAAGGACAGCAAAACCCAAAGTTTACAAAGAATACATTGCACTTGAACTACAACTTCGAGAGATCGATAGATGTCGAAAACTCTACGAACTATTTATTGAAAAGTATCCAGGGCTTGCTGCAACTTGGATCGATTATGCCTCGTTGGAAGACGAACTTGATGACCTAGAGCGCGCCAGAGGCATCTACGAACTAGCCATCGAACAACCAGAGATGGATAAGTTAGATCTAATCTGGAAAAGCTACGCCGAATTTGAAGCTAGCAACGACAATCTCGACAGGGCTAGGTCCGTCTATGAGCGGTTGCTTCAACGCGTGTCACATGCTAAAGTTTGGATTGCCAGAGCCATGCTGGAAATTGGCGAGAATGGCGAAAACGTTGAGCAAGCACGGGAAGTATTTATTCGTGCTGATCGCGAACTAGCAGAAACCCCATCTCAGCGTGTTTCATTATACGATGCTCGTGTGCAATTTGAGCGCATCTATGGCAACGAAGAGACACTACAGCAGATGGAAAAAGCGGCTCCTCAGGCGGTTGAGAAACGAAGGCAGCTGGAAGATGGGAATCATGAATATTATGTTGACTATGTCTTCCCTAACTCTACAGAGAAGGTGTCAAAATTGCTTGCCAATGCGAAAAAATGGGCAGCAAGTCGTGATCAATAATGCATGTAGTTTAAATTCCAGGAGGTGCTGGTTGTGTAGGTGGTGGCGGTCCTGGCGGCCCAGGAGGCGCAGGTGGCCTCTGCAGTCCTGGAGGAGGGGGAGCTGGGGGCTTTTGAATATTCGCTAGGCCCGGTGGACCAGGAATTCCAGGTGGAGGTGGTGGAGGCGGCAAAGGGGCTGAACCAGATGAAGGAGGTGGTACCGGCGAACCCATTGTAGGGAACGTAGGAGGAGGAGGTGGTGGTGGGGCTCTAGCTACACCCACGACAGAGTTGGCTCCTGGGGGTCCTACCCCAGGCGGAGGTGGAGTTGAAGCAAGAACACCCGGTGGTTGGGATGAAAAACTATTGAGAGGCTTAGATGCCTCTGGCAGAACAGAATCATTTCGAGCATTGAAGGGAGCTTTATGAGGAAGCTGCGAAGTCTCACGAAGTTCCTCAATGAGATTCTCAAACTCCGTATTCGCGTCGTCCGAAACGGTTTCAGTACAGTCGCGAGCAAAATGACCAGACTTGCCGCATCTGCGACAAACAATTGTTGATAAGAAACTAGTTTGCTGAGGGCAGGTGAATTTACGATGGCCAGATTGCCCACAATTGGGGCAGATTTGATGCTCGTCGTCTCGCAATGTGCCGTTTAGAACAGCAAGTTCCCTTAGCTGACCTCGTTTTAACTCATTGTGATGTTCAGGCATAGAAATAGCCGTATTCACAATGTTGTGTACCAACTGTAAGCCCTTTTTCAAACTTTCATCACTTTCGGCATTGATAATACAATGAAGATCTTCCTCACTTTCCATGGAGCCTGTACTACTGCGTCCTCGACCTTCCTTAACTGAACCACGACCTCTGATGGCAATTTTGGCACCAGATTCCTCTTCCATTCGCTGTAAAGTCTTCCCACGGGGCCCCAGCAACAAACCAACAAAATTAATATTTGGGTATTCATGAACCGGCATGAATACTTTTTCTTGCGTTTTCTGGTATCGTTTAAAGTTAGAAGGTGCTCTGAAATGCGGGATTGTCCGTAGTGCGAGATCGACTAGGGCAGTAAGCTCTTTTTCCATCTCCTCACGACGACGCTGCTCCCTTGTGTTGATTCTCTTACCAAAAGAATTGTACTCTGGCGGGGGCGAATTCGAACGTGAACGCCGATTCAGAACTATTTGGTTAGTTCGCAGTCGATCACTTAGATCTGTGATGGCTGCATGCAATGCATACGCATTGAGCTGCTCTGGAGTTAGCACGCCGGTGATTTTACCATTCACTTTAGTTTCAGGGCCCCATCTGGAACTTCGCTCAATTGTGCGCCCTCTATCAGACTCATGAGGTCGTTGAAAACTCCCTGGCGGTCTGCTCATTCTGTGAAGAAAAACTGCTTAGTCACTGGGAGCCGGCCTTCTATCTTCACTCCAGGATGTCTTCGGGAACCAACTTTACTGGTGGAACCAGCCGCTGCTTTTACGGTAAGTTAATTGAGGGAAGTGCACGACCACAGTAGTGCTCAGTCTTAGAGCAAGTATTAACTCAGAATGGCAGAAGTTTTTGGACTGCTACACCGCCAAGTCCACCGACGACATTAAAACCTGCCAGCTCCTGGCACAGGACTACGACGAGTGCCTGCATCATCGCAAAGAGAAGGCTCGTGCCCAGCGTATTGCTGCCGAGTACGAACGCCGTGCCGCCAAGGGTGAGGACGTACCTGCCGTTGAGAAGCGCAAGTTGAATATCACCCTTGAGGATGCTAGCGTTTTGCACCCTTGAAGGAAATGTGCCAAAACCTGCCAAAAGTCATAAATATTGCAAATACAACAGTTCTATGCGTATCATGTAGAGGTTCTGTCAACCCCATTTCGAAGCCTGTTATTGGTCGAATCCAAACATGCTCTGTTGTTGCCTTTTTCTAGCTGTTCTGGGCCAATCTGTAGTATGTAGAGCACGAATAATTGTTTGATACATTTTTTAGCACCCAGCTTGATCCAATTCCTCGGTATTATTTGCTCATTTAAGCTCTTCGTTTCGCGTTGTAAGCACTTGATTTCAGATGGGTTTGGAGCGCCGTCATGGAACCATGGTGCACGCCAATAAGGCGTACCTTTTCTGGACTCTGGTGTTTGGAGCTTTGTTTCTGTATTCATTGGTTCTTTTGATACGCGGAGCCCTAATTCCGAGGCGTAAATTCCAGTATAGAGTTCCTCCCTGGACGTTGATTCTATTTTGGTCTCTTGCCTGTGTATTTGGCTTGTTTATCCACCCCAGCCACGAATTCGTCGGTTATGTCCGTCGCATGGGTCGGTTGAGTATTGCCTGTGCGGTTGTCGGTATTTTCCTGTCGTTTAAACCAGCAGTGCTGCCCAGAACTTACAGTGTCCCTCTCACGCAAATACACAAATGGGTCGGTCGTACCGCTGTTTTCTTTGCTTTTCTACACGGACTTTTATATTCTTGTGTTTATTTGAAACGCGGCGTTTTTGGCCGTTTGTTCAGGCCCGCCAACTTGGCAGGAATTTTCGCTTGTTTCACTTTCTGCGTGATTGCATTGACGTCTTTGAAGCCCATTCGGCGCAGAGCCTACTCTGTATTCTATGCCATCCATGTGGTCTCTGTTTGGATGGCACTACTAGCCATTTTCTATCATGCAGACCCCAATGCATATGCGATGGTATACTTAGCCATGGTGTTTCTGATCATCCAAATCACAGTCCGCGTTTTGTTGACAAGAACTGTACCTGTTAAAGTGAAACACATTTCATCCAATTTGGATCTTGTCACTGTTGACAGATCTGCCCTACCAGAAACATTCGAGATCGGTAGCCATCTCAGGTTGTCCTTGCCGCTGCACTTGCCCAAATCATGGCTAGTGCCCTCTCATCCCTACACAATTGCATCTCTTCCTGAAGACGATGCCATCCATCTAGTGGTGAGAAGGACACGGTTTGAGCTGCAGAATCAAGAGTATGCTATTCAGGGTCCTCACCATGCTCCATTTGATGTTTCTGAATTCAAAAGAATCATTGTAGTCGCTGGCGGCTCTGGTTTTGCATTGATTCCACCTGTCTCCCGAAGGGCTAAACAGCTGGGAATTGATGTGAAGTCGGTTTGGATCGTGAAAACAGACGCGGAAACGTCTGTTCTGAATCATATTCCAGTCGATGACTGTGAAATTTTCATCACCACTGAGTCAAATTACAACGCCGAAGATACCGCTGCGGGTACTTATGGTGATGAATTTGAGCTTGACGACCTGAGGGCTTCAGATCGCGAAGGACTGCTGGACAGTTCCAATCCGTCAAAACCTAAAGAAGGCATCAAAAAGTACTTCCAAGGCCGTCCAAACCTTGATGAGTTCATTGGCGACTTCTTCAACCCATCTCAAGCAGCTGAAACCTGTGTTGCGGCTTGCGGACCTGAGAGCCTCACTAAAGATGCTCGCCGATGGGCAAAAGCCCACAATTGTAGTTTTTTTGCAGAAACGTTTGCGATGTAGAGTGGTTTAACAAAAGTTATATGAAGACTAAAAACTGCCGGGAAACATTAAAGCTAAAGTTATAACGGCCTCCGCTTAGTTGCGAATAGTAGCGATGTCGTTCATGACACGCATGGCCATAGAGTGAATGGTAACAAGAGCTTCGTGACCATTGGAATCTTGGTTGAACTGGCGCAAGCGATCGGCACCCTCTTGGGCGTAAGGGCCAACCATGGAGACACCATCTTGGTACAGAGAAATCCAGTCGAAGAGCTCATAGTTCTGCTCAAAGTACTTGATCAAAGAGGTATACTGAGGCTCCTGGACGTAGTCGTTGAAGGCAGAAGCGCCAAAGCTTACCAGGGCCCGGATTTCGGTGGGGTCGGGGGTGCGACCTCTGGAAGCATACAAGGTCTGCAAACCCTTGGAGATTGCCGAACGAACGCTGCGGTCATTAACAACAGAGTCAAACATGTGTCCAGCGACGGCAGAGGCACGAGCCTCAGGGACACCGGAAGAGCGGTGGCTGGCGAGGTTGGCGACAGCAAAAGACGAGACACCGTTGATAACGGGGTTGTTACCGGAGGCAATGACAGTAGAAGCAAGGGTGATAGTAGAAAGGAGAGCGCAGATTGAGACCATTGTTGTTGGATGAAAAACTAATGTTACTTACGAAGGTATTTATACTGCGGCAAGAGAAGCGCGAATGGCAGCTCTGGTGGCATAAAACTCTGGCTCTAACCCGCCTTCGATATGGAAATTTCCCTCCGAGAGTTTTGTCACTGTAACTTTATTATTGCATACCAATACACCCTGTCCCCTGAATTCAGCTTGGAACCCTGCTCCGATCAACGATTTCCTTAATTCGATTAGCCGGATGTCGCCTACCCAAATCGGGGCTTGCGTGTAAGGATGGAATCCAGGAATAGATTTTAGCACAGCTTCAGTTTGCCGATATGAAGGTTTAGGGACCCTATCATCGTCCTGCATGTCACTATCTCTGGGAAACTCTAACTCGCCTGTCACATGCGCGACGGAGAATCTACCCAGAACTCGTTGCCATTGCAATGATTTTTCCAGTTCCGGGTCAATTTTCAACGAGATAGCATGATTTAGTTGCTGTGTAGTGACATCTTCGTTCCCAATGCTTGTATCCAGCTTCAACTTCAGCAGAGACTTGATCACATTGTCATTTCCCGGCAATACAACAAGCTTTGATGGCTGCACTTGAGGTAAAATCATATTTAGGGATCTCATATCTGTTAGACCATTAAAGTCAATGTAATCGATAGAGCATAAAACTTTCAAATCAAAATCGGCTCCCCGGAGTATTAGCGGCGGCTCGGGAGGAGCTCTCTGCTCTTCCTTCCAAGTATTGGATGGGCCCAACCCCATGGTATCTGATTCTTCCATTTTAACATCGGTATCAGTTCCATTAGCTCCATACTCATCAGCTGGTTGCTCAAACTGTCCACTTGCCAATTGTTCACCGTAGTCATCGGCACGTTTTTTGGGTTGGACATGGGGAAACATATACAACCTAGACTTTTCCTGTCCGATTTCTAGATCGTGAAACCCGTCGCCAGCCAGAAATCTGTTCATTTCTACTTGTCCAGTAACCACTTGGACGTCTTGCTCCTCATCACTAGAATCGCTTTCAATAGTCTCCAAAATCTCTTTATTTCTTCGATCCAGAGCTTCTTGTATATTTTTTTCCATTTGCATTTCTTCAATCTTTTGGTTGTACTCGGCTAGCTGGACACCTTCCAGAGGGACAGCTTCTGTTATATGAACTTGAGGTATTCGGAGGGTGAACTGCTTGAGCATTTCCTTGTCGCCCGTATTCTCCTTCCATAAATCATAGACTAGTTTACCGAGAGTACGATTTTGGCAATACTCTGTGAGAATTACCGCCGAGTCAGGCTGCTCTGCAAATCTCTGGAAAGCATTTTTCGAAAGGCCGGTTTCGAGGGCTTCACCGGTCGCCAACACAATTTTGGGTCCAACGATATTGTTGGCTTGCTCCATTGTATCGACGCACAGAATACGAGCCGTTTCAAATGGAGAGTCGTTACGCACTTGCCATTCGTCAATGATTGCCGACTGCAGATATTCCAACATTGAAGATGCATAGGTCAAAATGCGTTTGCCAACATTGCTCAACAGGACCAATGGAACCTGGATATTTTCTTGAGCAAGGTGCTTGTCGATGATTGTACAGAGCTCTAATACACGACTGCCAGCAGAAGTGGGGAGTAAGATCGAGCCTCCACGAGAAACTACGGTGGTAACGTCCTCGAGCAGGCGGGCCCGGTTTGCCTTGAGCGATTTACCACCTGAGACGTACGAGGATGTCACGAGCACGTTGGGTTTTACGAGCTGCTCGTTAATTTGACCGCTGGGTTCAAGAAATGCACCATTGAGATGACTGTCGCGCGAGTGATTCCAATCGACCGCGAAAATTACTGTGCTCAGATCGTCAACAATCTTCCAAATAGTACCACCAATGGAATGACCAGCATTAAAAGCGGTGATAGAAATCTCCTGGCTACGTCCACTGATAGACATGGGTTGAGAGTATTTTACAGTCTTCACGCGGTCCATAATATCATCGATGTCGTTAGTGGACATGACGGCTCTGGGGAATGGTCCAGCTATCCCTTTGGCCCTGTAGCTGTCAATAGTAACCATGCGCCCCATATTCACTACAGGGATTGTCGCATAAGTAGGAATACGGCCGAATTCAGGATACAAATGGCATAAATAACAATATGCTCCAAGGTGAGAAAGAGTAGCGTGGGTTAGCAGAATAAGATCGATGTTGTCTGTGATATTGACAAGGTGGCTCAGATCCGCATCGAGAAGCGTATTCCATCCCACATCTAGTAATATTCGAAGCCTGCCCTCGTCTAGTTCAATCAACGACTGATAAACTCCATCATCTTGAGAGAGCGGCCTGAATGTGACCATGACAAAGCGGGTGGTATGCAAGATTTACAGTAATATACATGATATTTAATTATAAAAAAACAAAAACTATCCCTCGAATTCAGCGAGTACGACTTGAGAATCGTTTTGGTGACGGGCTTTTTGTAGACTTTCCAAAATCTTAGGCGCAATCACCTCGGGCACGGCCTTACCCCAGATCATGTCCAAATGTTCGTAGCGCGGGACGCCAATGGCCTCGGTGGTGTAGGGAAGCTCCTTCAACAGAGCATCGATATCAACCAGGGAGTCTGACATACCGTAAATCAAAGTTATCGGGGTCTTGATATTTTGCGTGGGATACGGCAATGCTCGGTAAAACTGTTTAGTCCGGAAAACAAGCTGCATGGTATCGTCGTCATACATCTGGAATCGGCCGGTGCCAATGATTTGGAACCAGTGCACCACGCTTTTGACAGATGTGAAAGAATACAGATGAGAATAGCCGGTGACTTTCTGCGAGTAGCTGATGTTTTTGCCTTGCCATCCAAACAGGAACTGGCAAGCGAAATCAATAGTGCGCACAAACAAGTCCACGTTCATGATGCTTTGCCAGAACACCGAGCTACGCAGAATGATTTTACGGCCAAACAGAAAGTACAACATCGACGGCGATTTGTTGGTGAAACTTTGGACTAGGGAGTTGACGCCGGGGGGGGTCATTGCCGGTGCTAGGGCGATGAAGTGGTTGACCTTTTTGTTCAAATGCGAATGAATTGATAAAGCAGCAAACGCCTGGGCAGAGCCTTGCGAAAACCCAAGGTACGATAGACTTGGTTCCTTGGTCAAATCCAGGATGTAATTGATCGAGTCGGGAATATCGTAAAAGGAAAACTCGTCCATGCTAAAGTTCCAGAATTTGACCGAGCTCGACTGCAGGGAAATATGTTTCTTGGAGTACTTGTTGCCTCTGTTGTTTCCAAGCCACACATCATACCCGTTGTCCGCTAGTGTGAAGGCAATAGATTGAGCGGGCTTGTCAACGGCAATCCAGATCTCGGAGTTCATCAGCAGCCCATGGTGAAGATAAATGACAGGCTTTCTAACTCCCTTGACATTATAGTTTGCCTTTGGAGAGCCGGTGATTCGGTGTAAGCCCAGTAAATAGCCATCGGTGGTCAGTACGATGTGCTCTTCAAACTCGTACTTGTACTTGTTACAAATTTCATTGAAGGATTCGGCGCGGGCGATCTCATGGCAGTGGCGGAAGAGCGCAGCATTGCATTCCAGCTCGCGCTGGCCCCGCGCAGGCCAAAGCCGAAGTATGCGTTTACTTGCCCGGGAAAACATGTCAATGACCGGCTCCGGGAGGAAGCGGGTTAGAATTGTGATGAATGCTTCGAGGAAAACAAGAAGTGTCGACAACAAGGTCATACTGACCTCATTCAAGACTTCCAGAATCGACACAAAAAATGCCCTTATCATCGTGCAATACTCGAGTCAGGAAGATGCAAGTTAATTATGTGCCTGGGGCTCGGATTAAGTAAGGAGGGGCGCTGCTTTCTCACCAAACGGAAGGGGGCTGGGGAGACAGAGAGCCTAATCAGGAATAAGCCGGGGAAATTGCAGCAAGGTTAAAAGGGCCACCATTTGCTTTTGGATTGACTCTGGGATTCTAGCTTGGCCTGGGCAATGTTGACCGCTCTGAGAATGGCCTCTTCTCGCTCCTGCATGCGGCGTTCGGCCTCTATCACGTGACTCCTCGACGGCCGCTCGAGAGCGATATTGGTATCTGGAGATACTGCCGGTTTAAACAGTCCTTCGTTACCTTCTTTAACTTTCTTGACCATGCCGCGCTGTTTGCCCTGCAGATCTTCCTTCTGTTCGTCTGACAGATTGCTGAAAAAATGCTCCCGTGCCCGCAGTTGGAACCGGTAGGGTAGACTGAAGATGTTATCATAACCATCGTTCCAGCGATAGAAAAATATTCCATAAACAACTAGCCCATAAGTAGCAATACGTCCCATGAGTCGCACACCGCGATTAAAGTTGTTTTGTCCCTTTCTTCGCAAAACCTTGTACTGGCCTGGGTAGTGCTCACTCATAGGTCTTGGGGTATAGTTCAGCCGCTTCATGGTTTCCTTGACTTGTCGGTAGTTACTAGGCTCTTTGGGGACCATTGTCCAATTTCGAGGGCGTCCTGGTGTTTTGTATTCTGACGGATATCCTTCGGCAGGTCGCTGGTCCATAGGGTCGTAAGGGTTGTAAGGCGCCTTTGGCTTTTTCCAGCCTGGCGGATTTGGTCTTCGCTCCATTTTTTTTCTATTTTGGTGCGCTTTAGTCCAACTATTTACCGAGGAGACTCGTCTGAAAAAAAAGAAAAGTCCCTTGCCAGCCAGTTACAAATATTCGATTCGGATGACAGATCGATCCTATATGCTTATCGACCTCTTCTCAGTAGAGGCTCTGGACACCAGGCTCCAGGCGCCTTTAGACGAGAAAAAGCGAGAGCAGATCAAGGCACGGGCGACGGAGCCACGATGGCGCACGCCTGAGTTTTATTTTTATGCTGCGAATTTCGTTGTTTTCGTCCCGTTGATGTTTATTATTGCTCATAATGCCACATCGTCCTCAAGCCCCAACTACAGCAAATTCGAGCATTTACTGTCTCCAAGTTGGTTTGGAACGAAAGTAGATAACTCTGACGCGCAATATCGCGGGTTTCGGGACCCATTCCCGCTGTTGGTAGCGTTAATTGGTGTCCACCAGGCGGCGAGACGGATGTGTCCTGTGTACATTTCCAGAATACAATTCGACGCGATTTTTGGTGTTTTGCTACTTTTCGTACTTCATGGCTTCCATGCCCTCAAGGTTCTGTCTTTGCTTGCCATCAATTTCTACATTGGTGTGAATACTTCTCGTCCGTATGCCTTGACCTGGGTGTTTGGCGTGGCATGTCTCTTTGCCAACGAACTGAGCGGCGGGTATCCTTTGGGCAAAATCTCGCCATATCTAGGCTTTCTTGAGACTTTTGGCGGAGTAATTCCTCGCTGGGAAGTGTTTTTCAAATGCACGATGCTGCGAATGGTGAGTTTCAATGTCGACAGACTCGAAGCGATTGAAAAGAAACCGGGTATTGGCGATGCATCTAATCCAGAACTGCAGAGAGTTTCAACGCCTCACCCTGCATCTCAGTATGACTTTGTGACGTATTTGGGGTACTGCTTGTATTCTCCACTGCTGATTGCAGGTCCTATTATTGGTGCTCATGACTATATTTCGCAAGCTCACCACCGTCTCCCCTCAATTGACCCCAAACGCACACTGCTGTATGCAATTCGTTTCGCTGTATGTTTTTTGACAATGGAGTTTGTCTTACATTACACTCACGTCGTTGCAATGCAACAGACACGGGCCTGGGAAGGACAGACCTCAGCAGAAATTACCATGATTGGGTTTTTCTCCCTGGTAGTTATATGGCTCAAGCTCATGATTCCCTGGCGATTTTTCAGACTGTGGTCGCTAATTGACGGCATCGATCCTCCCGAAAACATGGTGAGATGCGTGGCTAACAATTACTCTGCCCTTTCCTTCTGGCGATCGTGGCACCGCAGCTACAATCGGTGGGTGGTGCGTTACCTCTATATTCCTCTAGGAGGCTCGTCAAGGCCCCTAGTAAATGCGTTAATTGTATTCACGTTTGTCGCTTTATGGCATGATATACAGCTACGACTGTTTGCTTGGGGATGGCTTGTTGTAATTTTTGTTATGCCAGAGATGCTAGCTACCATGGCATTCCCACAGAAAAAGTGGCATACCAAACCTATTTATCGGCACTTGTGTGCATTAGGAGCCGTTGGTAATATCTGGATGATGATGATTGCGAACCTGGTCGGGTTTGCCGTGGGCCTTGAAGGGATCAAGGCCATGCTATACGATATGCTCACCACGGCCCGCGGCCTTCAAACGGCGATCCTGTGCTCTAGTTTGCTGTTTGTTGGATCGCAAGTGATGTTCGAAGTACGCGAGCGAGAACACCGAGCAGGAATTGATCTGCGGTGTTAATTGCTCCCGGAATACTTGCGTTTATACTCGCCTGGAGTCTCGATCTTTGCTCCCTTTTTGAATATTCCCAGACGCTTTTTGCGGGCAGCCGCCTCCAGCTTCCTGAAGGTCTCCTCGTTGCCGTTGAATTCGGCACCCGTCTTGCCCTCATATACAACAGCCCACCCGTTGCGGACCATTTCTTTGCTAACGTTTTTACGCCCCGTCCACTTCCACACTATAGCCTCAGCCACGGTTCGCGAATACTGATCCTTTGAGAGAGGCCTTATTCTCACGCGCCGGCCTAAAATATAGCTTCTTAACCACTGTAAAGCTTCATCACTGTACGGCTGAGAGGGACGTCCGAAATGCGCCCCCTCTGGTGCATCAACACCGCATAATCGCACATGAATGGTTTTACCCTTCAGACCGCGAACATTGGTTTGTGGGGGTTTTCGCAGCCACCCCCAGCCGGCCCAAAGCCCGCCCGGAGTATGGAAGAAGTGGAAATTGTCGGCGTCGCCCACCGAAGTCACTTTCCCCAGAAGAGTTCTTTGCCGGAGCATTCGGCTTGGAAGTCGCGCGGTATCTGGAAAGCGCCGTAAATAGGACCGATAAAACGAGTAACCACCTATAAAGCCAGCACAGAGAAGGGTGCTTGTGAGTAGCACACTCGCCGTGAAATGCTTGTCCCTATCCTTTTCACGAGGTTCTGCCATAACGGCAAACAAACACTGGCTTTCTGAGGTTTGGGTTTCGCCAAGTTGGTTGAATATGCAGCCCCACTAAAAAACTGTTTTAATACCAACCAGTCCAGCGATTGTTGGATAACTTAGTCCGATGATAGAGAGCAGAAAGTTATATTCATGGTTTGCTCGTGGAATGATCTCGGATGTCCGGAACAGACTACCCTTTTACTGGTCTGACTGGACGGACGCATGGGATTACCGGGTCATTCCATCGACGGTTTTTATCTTCTTTGCCAACATTCTACCGGCCATTGCTTTTGCCCAAGACATGTTTGACCGTACAAAAAACGCATACGGCGTGAACGAGGTCCTGATGGCGTCTGCATTGGGAGGTATTGTGTTTGGTCTGTTCAGCGGGCAGCCGCTGTGCATTGTGGGTGTGACGGGTCCGATCGCAATTTTTAACTATACAGTTTTCCAGATTGTTGATGGCATGGATGTGGAGTATTTCCCATTTATGACTTGGGTCTGTATATGGGCCTTCATCATGCATACGATCATCGCAGTCACCAACGGCGTGGTTCTCATGAAGTACATCACCCAGTTCAGCTGTGATATCTTTGGTTGTTTCATCAACATTATTTATATTGAAAAGGGAATTCAAATTCTAATCAGACAGCTCGAGCACAGTGACGATCAGGCAGGAGCGTACTTTAGCATTGTCGTTGCCCTGTGTGTGCTGATCTTTGGCGTTGTATCTCTGGTTTTAGCCGGACACTCGAATTTCGGAACCATCTATATGAGAAAGTTTGTCAAGGATTACAGTCTTCCTTTGATTGTGGTGTTTTTCACAGGCTTTACGTTTTTCCCGGGTCGTATTTCTGAGCTCAAACTGCTCAGACTCGAAGTTGCAACTGCGTTTCAGCCTACTACTGACCTGTTTGGTCGCGATCACGGCTGGTTCATCAACTTCTGGCATGTCAATGTCGGCTACGTGTTTTTGGCTATTCCGTTCGCTATTCTGCTGACCGCTCTCTTTTATTTTGATCACAACATCTCGTCTATCATTTGCCAAGGAGCAGAATTCGACCTGAAAAAGCCCTCCACGTTCCACTGGGATTTCTTCTTATTAGGAGTCACAACTCTAGTCTCGGGACTCTTGGGCATACCTCCCCCTAACGGTTTAATTCCCCAGGCCCCGCTGCACACTTATAGTCTGGTGGTCAATGAGCACGAAGAAGAGCCATACCAGGTTGTTGAACAACGGCTCACAAATACAGCCCAAGGTTTTATGACCCTTGGTCTAATGACAGGCCCACTGCTCAAAGTGCTGCATCTGGTGCCCCAAGGTGTCCTTGGTGGTCTGTTTTTTATGATGGGCGTCCCCGGACTTTTGGGCTGCGAAATCACCCGACGCGTGGGTTTGCTTGTGACAGAGGCAGATCTCAGGTCCTCAGATCCTTTGTACTCGTTAAGTTTCTGGGTGGTCATAACCTTCCTGTCTCTGTCAATCATTGGCACAGCAGCAGAAATTGCCATCACACAAACTATTGCCGCCGTGGGCTTCCCTGGTGTTTTGTTTTTGTTTATGGGCGTCGGTGCTTTCCTGCCCAAGCTCTTCAGTGAATCGGACTTGGAAGTCCTTGATCATCCGGCTGCTAGCAAGTTCTTCAGTAAGGAGGCCGCTAAAGAGCTATAATTTAATTATTTTTCTTATCGATCAATTCTAATAATACAGCACTCAAAAACCCAGGTAAACACTTTCTTTCGAGAGCCCAGTGCTTGTACAGCGACTCGTAGGCCCGGACGTTATCTGTGACTCGGAACGACGTGTATTTGCGGTCGATGTCATCGAATTGTGCCTCGAAGACCGTTTCCGGTTCTAATTCAGGTCGCAACAAGCAAGTGCGATCGCTTAACAGCTCGATATTGTACCCAAACAATTGGTCGATAGCTTTGTTGAGTCGAGCTTCGCGAATTGCAATGGCCTTTTGGAAACTCTGATGTTTGCTTTCCAGCTGAGCGCGCTGGTCCTTGAGCACATCATATTCAACTTTCAGCGTCAACAGTGAGGATCTAGGGACATACTCTGGTGCATAGTTTTCTTCTTGCATTTTGCGTAGATCTTGTACCTCCCGTTCCAGGGCATCCAGAAGAGCGAGTCGGGGAGCTACGTCGGCTTCGAACGGACTGCCCTTGAGTTCTACAACTTTAGTGTCCGATTTACTGGCCAGTTCAAGCTGCTCGACCCGCTTCTTGCTAGACTCAAGATCAAGTTGAGCGATTTCAAGTTGACGGCTCTTTTCTTGGAGTTCGCTCTCAACTTGTTCAAGCTTTGATGAGGTCTGGCTTCTGGAACTCAGCATTGCTTCACTAATACGACGTTTCTTGGAGCTTTGGTCATTGTTCAGATTCGCGTACTCCTTTTCCAGGTCAGAGACTTGCTTTCGAAGATTTTCAATGGTAGCTTGGGCCTGGTCCAGCCGGGCCTGCAAGTCACTGTCGGTATCTTTTTTGTCAAGATGCGCCTCAAGAAGTTGGACTTCTTTTCTAAGGTTGTCAATTTCAAATTTTCGTTGCGATAATTTTATTTTCGTGGCACTCAATTCATCTTGGGCACTCTCAAGCTCGATTTGTTTCTGAACAACTTGCTCAGACTGCTCGCGAGTCGCCTTGAGTTGAATGTCGTGTTCAAGCGATGACACTTTTGCGCTCAATGCTTTATTTTTCAAGGTCAAGTCAGATACTTTCTTGGCAAGATCTTGAGGGGACGAAAGATCAGAGTGGCCCCGGAGGTAAACAACCCAAATCTCTTTTTCAGCCTCCAATCTGGCAACTTTTTCTTGAAGCAAGCGGTTCTCTTTGGCTGTCGAGCTCATAGTTTCAATTTCACGCTTGAGCTGCAGTTTTTCTTCCTCCAAAAACAGGTTCAAGTCCTTGGCTAATTGGCCCTCTTGGGCTTCCTTGCGAACCGAAGCCAACTCCTGCTCAAGAGCTCTAGCTTTGGCGACGTACTCGCTCAGCTGACCAGAAACACACTCATCAGAGCTATACTGCTGCTTGATACTTTCCAATTGAGCTTTTAGGGCGCTGATTTCATCGTTCCGCGCATTCAGGTCGATGCGTAGAACCTGTACTGTTTTATCGCTTTCGAAACCACTCGCTTGCTTTTCGTACTCGGCATTCTGCAGCTTTTCCTGAGCCGCCTTCAACTCTAGCTGCACCGCAGACAACTGCATGTCTTTATCCACAATGTTTGCCTTGGCCGAGTTCAGATCGCGAGACAGTTCAGACGCTTGGTTGCTGAACTTTGCAACTTCTTGTTCGTAGAAATCAATCTTTTTCCGGAGCTCCTTTTGCTCATTAATCATTTTCTCAAACATGGCTGCCGAGTCGGACTCAATGCTGTCTTTATCGGCAGTTAGGTGTCTGACCTGGTTCTCTGCCCGCAGCCGCGCAGCATGCTCATCAGCCACCTGGCGCTCAAGCCGTTTCAATTCAAACTCATGCTTGAGCTGTTCTTTCCGGATCACTGGCGACAAGTCGACCCCAGGAGAGCTCGGTGCCTCCACGTCTGAAGCCATTTTTTCGTTTGAGGATCCGAGGAAAGTCAAGCTGACATAAATCGCAATAGAGCGGCGGCCCACAAAGTATCCCAAATGACTGCGACCATGTAAGTAGAAGCTGAAGATAGAAGGAATTGAGCTAACGCACCCAGTCCACGGAGTTTCCGATTACTGGAAGAATTGGAAAAGGGCGAAAAGGGGCAGGGCTCCGAGGCATGCTCACTTGGTCTGGCCGACTCCAACGACATCAACATGACCATGTGGAATGGAACTATGCTAGGCCCAATTCGATCAATACACGAGAACCGGATCTACTCGTTAACTCTGGAGGCCGGATCCGACTACCCCCAAAAGCCGCCGAAAGTCAAGTTCCTGACTCGGATCAATGCTAGCTGCGTCGACGACCAGGGCAACGTGATATCAAGCCAAGTCCCTTGTCTCGCTAATTGGAAGCCCGAGTACACGATGGAGCATGTACTGCTTGATATTCGTCGCGAAGTCGGCTCCCCTGCCAACCGTAAGCTCCCTCAGCCCGAGGAGGGCACACTTTTCTGAAGTTAAGCTAGTTGTCATAAAATAATTTGATGCGTTAAATAACTATTTGCCCTGCGCAAGTACTTCCTGCGTAATTTCGAAGAATTTCGGAGAACCCTTCCGGGAACCAGAGTGGTCGGTCACTTCGTAGCTGCGGGGGAGCTTGCGATTCTTCTCTTTGCAGACCCGAAACAGCCGCTTGAAGGGTGTGCATACAACCCCCGACTCGTACAGCGCGCACTCGTACTGCGTGATGGCTTTCAACTGACAATCTGCTGGAATCTTGACCAGCAACCTGTCGATAACCACGATAGGCGGAGCCATCTGGGAGCTTTGTAAACTGAATCTAGTTCGGGTATTATTTTCGCATATTTTTATTAATTATTCTATTTAATTAGCCTCTGCAATTGGGCGACAAGGTTCCGGAATATCCGGGCGGTTAGTTGCCTATTTAGGATTTCTCTATTTTGTTTTTGAGTTTCACTATTAAGCAAATCCCAAACATGAGTCTTGAGGCCCCCGAGAAGCACGTCACTTACGGCACGGCTGGCTTCCGTGACAAGGCCAAGTATTTGCCCATCGTTCTCTATCGTGTTGGTTTGTTAGCTGCTTTGCGGTCCCGCTTTCTCGGCGGCAAAACAGTGGGCGTCATGATCACGGCCTCGCACAATCCTCCAGCCGACAACGGGGCAAAGCTGGTTGATCCTCTTGGTGAGATGCTTGATCAGTCTTGGGAAGCGCATGCTACCGAATTGGCCAATTCCCAGTCGACTGCTGAGCAGAATAAGCTGCTGGACGCATTGTACTCCAAGTTTGGCGTCAAGCACGACTCCGACGCCAAAGTCATCTATGCTCGAGATACAAGAGAATCGGGCCCTATTTTGGTCGATGCATTGGCGTCCGCCCTCAAGTCGCAGAATGCCCATGCTACAAATGCTGGTGTTCTCACCACCCCACAGCTGCACTATCTGGTTAGAGCCATCAACACGTTGCATATGCCTGGGCATGAGTCCTATGGTGTCCCCACGGAGGATGGCTACTACAAGAAGCTAGCAACATCTTACAAAAAGATTTCGACGTTGGCACCGAATATGAAGCCGGTTTCAGTCACAGTTGATTGTGCGAATGGCGTTGGGGCCCTGAAGCTCCAGCAGCTGGCGCCCTTGCTGGAAGGTTTAGTTGAGTTCACAATTGCAAACGGTGATGTTGATCATCCCGAGGCCTTGAATGAGAACTGCGGCGCAGACTTTGTCAAAACTAATCAACGATTGCCGGCTAACGTTCAACCCGTTCCGGATAAACTGTACGCTTCTTTTGATGGTGATGCCGACCGCGTTGTGTGCTACTATACTAGCAATAACGGTGAGTTTCATTTGCTTGATGGTGACAAGATCGCAACCTTGGCTGCCTCGCTTTTTTGCGAGCAAGTCTCCAACTCAGGAACCAAGGTCGATATCGGCGTGGTTCAAACAGCCTATGCCAATGGTGCGTCCACAAAGTACATTGAATACGAGCTCAAGATCCCCGTGGTCTTCACACCTACTGGCGTGAAGCATTTACATCATGCTGCCGCAAAGTTTGGCATTGGTGTGTACTTTGAAGCCAACGGTCACGGCACGGTACTGTTTGACAAGTCGACCGTGGACTCGCTCAAAACAATCGATATTGGATCGCCCGCTCAGAAGCAATCCATTGACATCCTTTTGGCGTTGAGTGATTTGATTAATCAAACGGTGGGCGATGCTATTTCTGATCTGCTTATGGTCCTGGTGATTCTTGCTATTCGCAACTGGACCCCTGCTCAATGGGACTCCTGCTATTCAGAACTGGCCAACAGACTCTTGAAGTGTAATGTGCGGGATCGCACAATGTTTACCACCACAGATGCAGAACGTCGTCTTGTCACCCCCAAAGAGCTGCAGCCTAAACTTGACCAACTTATGAAACAGTACCCACAGAGCCGCACGTTCGTACGTGCGTCTGGGACAGAAGATGTCGTTCGGGTTTACAGCGAGGCTGCTTCTCCGGAAGCCGCAAAAGAGATTGGAGATGTTGTGCTCGAGCTTTTGAAAGAGTACGCTTAGATTAGATCAACTTTACTGACTTGCTAGATCTGTTTAAATCATGGAGCATGAACTGATACCACATTGCAGTTGGTAAAACGGTAGACAAATGCCAGAGAGAATGTGCGTCGAACACTAAACCAAACGGCGAAAAGTCAAACAGCTCAAACGACATTCCGCCCATGATGAGAACCACGAGAATTGCCGGTAACAAGTCGGTGGTGCTTTTGGTCTGGCGGTATAGTTTAATTCCCAACGTAACCCACAAGGAGTTTTGGATCAGTCCTAAAACTACGCCGGCAGCCATGTTGTATCCATAGTCAAAGTGGATCAACGATAAATAGGAAATGTGGCCCAGGTAAAAAAGCCCAAGTATTGCAGCCACCATTTTTAATTTATTGCGGTTGTGCGGCAAGTCTAAACGGAACAGACGCGTGAGGGCCAGAAAGAGGCCGTAGACAATAGACAGAATGGCTGAAAAATAGTCGAGCCTCTCGGTCAACACGAAATCACGGACATGGAACACAGAGCTCCATACCCAAGTATTGACACCAATGACTGCAAAGAGCAAATAATACGGCAGCAAGGTGCGTTGCACACCGGTAACTCGAGCCCGTTGCAGCCGCTTGTATCCAATCCAGTTGGGCACAAGATTTAATAGCGAAAAAACCACTGAAGCCGGTTCCTGTACGCCCAGGACGCGGATGAATGGCCATTTGCCATGATACTGATGCACTCTAGAGTTAGAGTTGAGGTGGGAGTGTGTCAATCGCTGTTGGCAGAGATAGTCGCAGTTTGACTGGCAAGTCCACAGCAGAAGCCGCAGCAAAACAGGCGGCTTGTCCTCACACTCTGACTCTATACAATGCTCGACACATTGTCGAAATTCCGGCAGCCGATCGCCCGAAGATGCTAAGACAACCGCCGCACCTAACAAAAGGAAAGCCGATTTGTGCATAATGACAAACCCAAATCCCCAGAAAATTAAGAAGAGTTGTAAATAAATATGTTTGAGAATAATACAGCCCTGTATAAAACGTGGCAGAAAGAATGCTGTGGCAATGAGATTTCTTTGGTTGATTCCAGCGGTTTTAGCTCTCAAAGGGCCACAGTCTATCGACGAGCTGGTCGCAATGGCGTTTAAGAATGGAGAGGCCCCCCCGTTTGTGCCATTGCCCGGCAACGCAATAATTTCCATTGCATCAAATGATACGGCGAGTTTGAAATTGAACCAATTAGAAATTCAGCCGTATCCATTGAAGCCAGGCATTGTCGACTTTTCGTTCCAGCATTCTCTAACAAAGTCAATTCCACCGGGATCCAAACTGTTATTGAGCTCCTGGACAGGCACAGACAAGACGTTCGAGGGAAGCGTTGACTTGTGTGCGTATTTGCCGTATGCCCAACTTCCGTGTCCTATTGCTCCATACAAAGCCATGACCGATATGCTGCAACGTCTACAGGTGCCCAATGAAGTGAAGACGGAACGGGTTTCTTTTGTCGGCAAAGCCGTCACAGCCAACGATGAGCTGATTGCCCATTTCGCTGCCATTATAGATTTACACAGCTCGAGTCATGATGAGCTTTGAAACGCTTCACGCATGTTGACTACGAGCTGGGCAAAGCTACCGTTTTCATTGAATTGATCCGCTATGCGCCCCACAACAGCTTGGGGTAGCTCATTTTGTTCAATGTGGACCAGAGCATCTTTAAATAGGAGTCGAAACGACCGATTTAGGTCGACATAGTTGATCGTCAAGTGTCCTGGAGCCGGCTCTATCCTTAGCGCCAGTGCAGATTCCCATGCTAACACAAGTTGCCTGTGTCGGCTGAACATAGCGTCGGCACTGGCAATGCGATGGCTTTCGTCCGCTTCTAGTTTTCGTAGAGTTTCCTGTGCCTCGGTAACGTCCCGTATCGTCTGTTCCAATTGTAACTTTGTCTCCTCGCTTTCCCGGCTCGTCCGTTGAAGCTCCCGTTCCAATTCAATTGCATAGTCTGGAATAGTCTCCGTAAGTGCCTGCTGTTCTCTTCGTAGCTTGTCAAGTACCTCAAGTCGCGCCTCGTACTCCGTCTGCAAAACACGTGTCGACTCGATCTTGAGCTGAATCTGGTGAGACAGAAGCTCGGATTCGCGCTTGTGCTCGGATATTTGCAGCGAAATACACTCCGAAACAACCTCCGCCGTGCTAGTTAACTCCCTATAAACTTGTTCCATTACAGTAGGCGATGCTGCTTACTTTTTATCCCAGCGTTAGCAGTCTTTTCAGCGATGGGAAAAAAAGATTCCAAGGCTGCCAAGGCGGCCAAAAAGACCCGCACGGCCGAAAAGGCGGCAAAATCCAAAGCAAAGGCCGACAGTAAGAACAAGAAACTTGCAGCCAAAACGGGCGAGGAAGAAGACGTTGATCTGGACGAAATGCTTGCCGAGTTCGCTCGCCAACAAGCCGAGTTTGAAAAAGTCACTATTACTTTGTCTGACCGACCTTCCAAGCGCCAAAACGCTTCTCTGGTGGCTAATCCTTTACAGGGCAAGCACGAGCTTTTTCTGTTTGGTGGTGAAGCCACCTCCAGCGCCTATTCTCACTTTTTCAATGATCTATTTGTGTACTCGATCAAAACAGATCAATGGCGTAAAATCACTTCTCCAAACACACCCATGCCTAGAAGCTCGCATGCCATGTGCTCCCATCCTAGTGGCATAATGCTCATGTTTGGAGGCGAGTTTTCCAGCCCCAAACAAAGCACGTTCTACCACTACGGCGATACATGGGTTCTGGACCCTGCGAGCAAAGAATGGACTAAAATAGAATGCAAAAAGCAGCCCTCTTCACGAAGCGGACACCGTATGACTGTTTGGAAAAACTATATCTTGCTGCATGGCGGGTTCCGCGACCTAAGTGCCTCGACGACATATCTTGACGATCTCTGGGCATTCGATGTGACAGACTACAAGTGGCATCAAATTGAACTGCCCCAAACTATGAGTATTCCCGACGCTCGTAGTGGTCACAGTTTTGTGCCTTGTGCGGATGGTGCTATTTTGTGGGGTGGATATTCTAAAGTCAAGGCGTCTAGGGGCTTGCAAAAGGGTAAAGTTCACGTCGACAGTTGGCTCCTGAAAATGAAGTCCGATCTCAAAGGCGTCAGATGGGAGCGTCGGAAAAAGGGAGGCTTTGCTCCAAGCCCCCGTATTGGCTGTTACATGGTACCCCATCAGGGTCGAGGCATATTGTTTGGAGGAGTCTATGATACACAGGAAACTGAGGAGTCTCTGACTTCACAGTTCTACAATACGCTGTACTCTTATAATATTGAGACCAATCGATGGCTGTCGATGGGTCTACGGTCCCGAAAGCGTCGTCAAGAGCCTGTGGTGCCTACGCGCGAGCGGCGTGATGACGACTTGCAAAAGAACCTGTCCAATATCTTGCAGAATCTCAACATTGATATCAAAGAGATGCTTGCTGATGTTGAAGCAGAACTAGAAGATGAGGACGAGGAGCCAGTTGAAAAGAAAGAGTATCCTATTGTTTCCCAGCTCCCCCACCCTCGCTTTAACTCAACTGTTGCCGTTGCAGACAACCAGCTATTTCTTTTTGGCGGCCTGTGGGAGGATGGCGACAGAGACTTTGTATTTGACAGCTTCTACTCTATCGATCTCGGCAAGCTCGACGGTGTAAAGGTTTATTGGGAGAATCTTGGCCTGGACGATGCAGTCGATAGCGATGAAGAAGATGATGACGACGAGGGTGAGGACGAGGATGAGGACGAGGAGGAGCCTGAAGATGCTTCACTTGAATCAGAGGAGGAAGAAGAGGAAGAGGAAGAAGAGACCCTTGAGGAAGAGGACCCTGATCCTCGTCCCTGGCTTCCTCATCCCAAGCCTTTCCAAACTCTCACGGCATTTTATCGGGCTAACATTAACGAATTTGTTGAGTGGGCCCTGAAAGTTGACCATAACGCTCGGCAGAAGGAGCTCAAGCGCATTGCATTCGAGCTTTGTGAAGCGCGCTGGTGGGAACGTCGCGACGTGATTCGGGCAGCCGAAGACGAATTCGAGGAAATGGGCGGCGTCGACGAAGTTATTGAACGCACTGGCGACCGCAGCTCTCGTAGATAATATTGTGTGTATAAATAATATGGGCCTATGTTAGCATTTGACTTTGGGTCTTGGCAATAGTCTGTACTCCGCTGCATATACCAGTTTCGATGTGGCTCGACATCCAGATATCTGCGTTATCGAACATCTGTCCACAAGCTTGACAATTGCCCCTGCTGGCTCGCCGGTCCGCCTTTCGTGTACCCGACGGGTACTCAAAGTGCATTGATTTCAAATGGTTCTTATAGGTATCTCCTCTCGTGAAACAACCATTCTGATGACAGCTCGGTAAAATGTTGAGCACGGATTGGACGTCTGCTGGAAGAGGCTTTTCACAGTACAATGGGCATTTGTATGCGGCCCCACGGTGTAGTTGCTCATGACGGCTCAAATCAGTTGTTCGTGAAAACTTGCGGCCACAGACAAAGCAGATGTGTGACCTAAAGTCTTTGGAAATGTGAACTGACTTGTGAGTGGACAAATTGCCAAAATAGCCATTGCAAATATCACATTTCCTACGCGGACGACGATAAGCTTTCTCAGCCTCAGGTTCGGGTCTTGGGATATCAGGTCGAGGTAAAATTGGCACCAACTTCCGTGTAAGCTTTCTGCTAGATGACGTGTTGGGCTCTGGCTCGGGGCTTTGCAGTTCTGAAGAAGCCGCCTGGCTGGCTGCAAACGACAAGGCATCAAGTGCATTGTTTCTCGTGCTGTCGACTCTTGGTGGCGGCTTGGTGTATGGCAACAACGCGGGTAAATCAGCAGTTAATGGCGGAATTTCCATGTCGAACTGGAAAGAGTGCCGGTTATCCGCATCTGGATGCGAGTACAGTGGTCGATTTGGAGGCATTTCGCAGTCTTAACGACGACCCAACCCGGCTAAGTTTGATTTCAAGGTTCAATGTAGCTGTAAGATTGGCTCGCAAAGGCGTTTGATCGCACCGGTCAATTGATCCGCCTCTGTGTAAATTGGCAAACTGCTATTTTGTCAGCCAAGTCCGAGTCAGCGGTGAGACAAGCATAATTAAGGAAAAAAAATTGTTTTCTGCAAAAATATCTAGCGGGTTTTATATAGCCAATTTTTCAATAGATTTTTAAATACGGCGGCTACGAGTAGACCGTCTGGAGGCGTCGGAAGCAGCAGCGCCAGAAGCCTTAGCAGAGGCCGGCTTGTCGGCCGCGGATTCAGAAGAGACCTTCTTTGTCTTCTTGGGGGCCAAATAGACCTTGATGTAGAAGGACACAAAGAGGACCAAGTAGGACGTAAGAATCAGGCAGCCGTTGACGGCAGCAGACTCCTCACCAGCGCAGCGACCCTTGTTAGGCAAATTAGGGAAGTAGCGGTAGACAAAGTGGGTATAGCTGGCAAAGTAGACAAAGGCAAGATCGATGATGAACTGGATGATCTGGACACGAGTGACCCAGTGCTTCCACCAAGGACGGATGCCGCATGCCGACAAGAAGTAGTAAAAGTACATGACAACGTGCACAAACAAGTTGAGCGAGATGGGCACCCAAGAGATGGAGGTGGAGCCGTTGAGCTGGTTAAAGCACAGCAAGGCAGTGGCGCCGTGGTGGTAGGTGTGCAAGAAAGTCAAAGGACGCTTGCGGAGCACCAAAAAGCACGTATCAAGCAGCTCGTAGTACTTGGTCAAGTAGTTGAGATAATAGAGGGTGACCAAGGGCTGGGTCCAAGCCGTGGTGTTGCAAATGGCGTAAAAGATGCCGTGGCGCACCAGAATAGGCACGAGCTGTTCGATCATGAGAATCAGCAAAGTCAGACTGAAGAACGTCAGAAGCAGGTTATGCAGCTTGAAGATGAAGCCGAACTTGATCGGTCGCACATTTTGCAGCGCCCAGCGGCCACCAAAAATAACAACGTAGTACATGGTGATTGCAATCAAAACTTCGTGCACCTTCGACATGGGCGCCCACGAGTTGTATTCGTAGTCGAACTTGCTGAGGTCCCAGCCGGTGACGCGACGTGTGCCCTCGACGAAAAGTGGCCAAAGCGCGACTCCAAACGGACGGTCCAGGGTAGGCATGCCGTACTCAAGACAGCTTGAGCCGCCGGTAAAAGGCAGGCTCTCTGTGACGAGGTGCTCCACGTTTTCAATAATCTCCTCGGCCATGGTAAAAAAAAAAAAAACTAGGGGATTAAAACCGCTGACCTGGTGTGAATTGGGAGAAAGGGTGGGGGAAGAAAAAGCGGTGAAATACCAGGCCTGGCAAAAATGTTGCTTACATAAATGGGTGGTTATCCTCGGCCTAGCTATCAGACGCGCAGCAAGCGATCAGGGATGCCTGGCGAGCTTCCTCGAGGAGCGGTGTAGCAAGGGTAATGCTGATACAGCCTATATAAAACATATCAAGATACTTGATTGACTCGACGCTGTTTCTCCCAAAAGTTCATTGAAACAACCTCATCGAATCCATTCTCGTTTTCATGCACGTAGAGAATTTCATGCGTCGACTCCTGCAAGAAGCGGATATTCTCACCCGGGATTGCTCGCAAAAGCTCAGTGTCCATATTGCGGATTTCAATGAAGTTGGACTCAAACGCAACCAGATACGGGTAGCGTAGAACAATGTGCTGGGGCACACTTTCCCATTGGATCATCCAGTTTGGTCGCGATCTCCAGCCGGAAGAGTTGATAAAGAACGAAAAGTCGGAGTAGTTTAGCAAAAACTCCTTGTCCAGCCGGTAGATGGAGATGGGCCTCAGCGAGTCCTTGCGGATCACAAAGTCCAGCGAGGTGTCAGCCGGGTCCAACAGCGACTCAATGTTCATGTTGTGCAGCCCCAACAGCTCAAAGCCCTTAGCGCATCCCAGGCACAGATGTTGCCGCAGATAGCAGATTGACAGCATCTGAGACGGAACCTCAACGGGCTGTTTAAACAGCTTGAAGCCCTCCGAAGATTGCTGCTGGCCGGCAGTCAGCAGTCGACGCAGGGGTGGACGTTTACTCACTGGCCGCGTGGGATCCGCAGGCTCCAGCACCCGGATTTGCGACGAAAGCGAATGCGTCCGGACAACACACAATAGCGTGCGGCCCATGCACTCGTCCACTTTGTAAAAGTTCACGGGTTGGGCAATATGCTTGACCCTACGCGAATTCGCAATAGGGTCTCCCGACTCCAACATGTCTAGAGTCAGTGAATAAACCGTTTTGTCGGAAAGAAGCAAGATTATTCCGTAGATATCCAGAACATCAACTTGGGTGACATTAGTGCTTTGAACGACCAGCTGAGGTGTTGAGCAATGCGGCTGCTCATCTTCGTAGGTGATATCCGACAAATAAATGCCCTGGTCTGTGCCGTACAGGATCTTACGACCTCCATCGTACGTCTTTGCACAGTTGATACGCAGAGATGCACGGAAAAAGTTCGACTGTAAGATGTGCTGCGAGTACACGTCTGCTTGTTTGCGCTGCTGTTCCTGCTGCTTGGTGATAAGATCCACCCATGTCTTGCGGGCTTGGAAATTAGGTCCGTACAGTGTCAACTCGTAGCCCCGACGTCCGATGTGCTGGAAAGTAAGCGGGAAAATATCACCACGGTTCACATTAGACCTAATGATGTTGGGACCGCGCCGGAACCCTCGTGGCATTTCTTCGCTTTCAGCCAGTTGAAGCAACTCAAGAGGGATCGGCTTGGAGTGGACCTTAAGCACCTCGCGTTTATTAACCATCTTATGCTTCACAAACAAAAGCGCATTGTCAAACAAATAAGCATATAATGGACCTTCTGTAGGGCGTCGCATCATCTCACCCTTGTAGAGTAGTTGACGCTTTTCGTCGGTAAGCTTCAAATCAATATACTCTCCAGGACGGAACATAAGCGACTGATTCAGCTGCAGTAAACTGAACCTATTTTCAGCCTTGCCACTCTCTTGGTTGACCTTGATCAGGAACTCGCGAATTGTGGACACCGCCGTGGGGATATTGGTATAATCCGGATTGTCTGGTGATGTCCGCTTCAGAATAGCCTCCAAGAGTAATGGATATCTTGCTAAACGCGTCGTGGGCTTAGCCAAATAACCGTTGAGTTCAAGCTTTTTGGCTTCAGGAACCCGCTCTGCCTCTTCACAAAACTTGGCGAAGGCAGGGTTAGCTGCTCGCTCACGCTCAAACTCATACTTTCCGTATAGCTGGGAAGCACCATAACGAATGAACGGCTCAAAACGAGGTGCATATTCGAGAACAACATCGGCGATCTGATGGACCACTAGATTCAATTGTTGTCGTTTCGTCAATGCCTCGGCAAACTTGATGTTGACGTTGTGAATTTCCAGCACGTTCAAGAAAACTGTGCGAATAAACTTCTCGCGACGGTTCTCTGGAATCACGTTGAGCCGCCTTAGAGGTTTGATCCAAAAGTCGCGAATATATTCAAGATCCTTGACGAAATCACGCTCGGTATAAATAAGCTCACAAATGACCTCCTGTCTCTTTTGCTCCTCTTTAGGTACTGTTTCAGCAATTTCAGGTGACACTGTGTTGATCCACAGCTTTTGCTTCTCGTCAACTTCCTGCAGGGACAATCCTGAATCGGGTGTGTGAAGACCCGGATCCAGTTTCATGTTCAAGCGAGCCTGCTGCTCGAGTCGTCGAGGACAAGATATTGAATAGCAAAGCTTGTCTCGGGTGCATGTTGGGGAGTAACAATCGGCCAGGAGTGTGAACACACCATTGACATAAGAGTCACTAGCCCCTACCTCACCCTCGGAAGTAGCCGAAGTTGCGAATTGATAAACTTCATTGGGAGAGTCACGCAAGCGGTTGTCGTAAGTGACATCGTGGAAGAACTTTTGCGCGTCTAGGGCACGGCCCAGCAGCAGAGCCAAGTTCCGATCAGGGGTTTTGATAATATATGCAACGACGTCCACTGCCTCGTTTCCTGTGAAGGCATTTTTGTAAGTGAGTTCGTTTTTGATATGGTCACCGGTTGCCAGCTTCTCGCGGACTTTAGCAGCAACCCGCGATAGCAGAGCAGGGTAAACCAAAGGTTCCTTGCGCGAGGTAGTTACAATAGCAGATCTAGCAACAGTGGACATAGAAGAGATCGTACTGCTCGACATTTTGCGCGTGGGCGCGCCGGGACCAGTGTAAGGGCCCGATCCCACCAGGGTACTGCCTGCCGAATACGTACTGCCACGAGCACTGGCCGTTGGGCTCTCATCTGTAGATGGCGGTTGTTGAGAGGGTTGCTGCTGCTGGTTGTGGAAACCAAAAACATCCGAAAAGCGCTGAGGGATGGCCCGACCGCCCCGAGTGGTCGAGGTTCCAGTGAGGGACATTGCACGTTGATCCTGCCCACGATAAGAGCTCAACGGCATATGGAAATTAGAAGTCGTCGAAACGGAACGTTGTGTACGTTGAGGTTGTTGGCCATATCCCCGGCTAGCTGAGCCGGCAGCTGCCGAGTCCCTGGCCGTTGCTCCAGCACTAGGATGAGCACTAGAGTTGTATACTTCGTTGAGAGGCCCCAGAGAAGCAGATGATCCAGTTCTTTGGGACAACGATAAGCCTCCCACTGAGGATTGCAACGAGTTTGATGGAGTTCCTCGCCCCGACTGCCACATTCCTGCGTTTGACGCTACGTTTGCTTGTTGCTGGACCTGCGCAGCGCCAGCAGGTAAAGGCGGGGCAGCAGTTGGCATGTTTATGGGTGAATTGAGCTTCTGGCCATATGGAGAGGGAGTGCCATCTACGGGATACGGCGGATGGCTCGCATCGCTAGACGGGTGCACGGGGGACGAAACATCGCCTGTGGGAGAATAACTATAAAGCGGGCCACTGTTTGCGCGTGCATTATTCTTGGTTTGTAGTGGAGGTAACTTTGCTCTCGGATGGCGATGTTGCTGGGTTGGCGAAGAGGTTGCTAATGGATCTCGGGTTGGTAAACGGCCTGGTGGCGGTTCCTGGCCAAATATATCAGAAAATGCGGAATACGGGTCCACGTCTGACTTGCTGTTCACAAGACGAACATTGTGACTATATGGAGCGTCAGTCATGTCCACCTTCCCATCCCCGAGGTGTAGTGTTGTTGGGCGTGGTTTAGAAGGTGTCTTGGGACCTAACCTGGGTGTTGTGTCTATAAGCCGTTACTGGAGCGGCTGGCAAAGCCGTGTGGGCAGGGGTTCGCTGATCGGACCAGATTTAGAAGAGGTTTGATAGCTTCGAGTGGGTTCGGACAAATAGTCGTAAAAAGACGGGGAGGCGGGATGTGTTGGCGCAATACTTGGTATACTAAACGAAACAGGTCGATGTTTGCTATCGGAAGGCCATATTTCCATTAGCCAGCCTAGCTCCCCCCAGTCGATTTAGTAAACCGGTCCCAAAAAACCCAGCATGATATCTTTCGGGAACTTGCTAATTCCGTGGGTGGTTGGGCTGTTTTCTAGCAGAATTGAGCCCCAGTTAGTGTACAATCCGTCCCCTACAGTTATTCCAGACTATATTGCAAAGTATGCGCCCGTAGTGCAGCTGTATTCGGAGGAAGTGTACCTGCCGGGGGATATCGAGGAGTTTGTAGGCCACTTTCGGCTCGCCACTGAGCAAGCAAATGTGACAGACCGACTCACTCTGGGCACACTCAATTCACTAGCCAAAGATACTCGGGCTGTTTACGGGGAGAATACCAAACTGTACATGTCTGCACAGGATAACTGGGAGCATGATCCTAAATGGGTGACGGCGGCTGATAACGTCCCGCGCCCAAGCAGTGGCAAGCTGGCCAACGCACCGGCCGTGTTAATTACTGTCGACAAGGGCGACTTCATAGATGCGTTTTGGTTCTATTTTTACCCTTTCAATCTAGGACCGTTTGTTATGGGCGCCGGGCCGTATGGAAACCATCTAGGCGATTGGGAGCACAGCTTGGTGAGGTTTTCCAAAGAAACCAAGAAACCGGAGATTGTGTGGATGTCGGCTCACGGTGGTGGAACTGCGTACTGGTTTGAGACTCTGGAAAAGTTGGATGTAGATCCCAACCGGCCAGTGATCTTGGCGGCTAGAGGAACTCATGCCCATTATGTTACAGGAGGCCAACACTCACATGATATTCCGTGGAGCGTTTTATGTGATTTTACGGACCGGGGGGATATTTGGGACCCCGCCGCCAACTATATGGCCTATACTTTTGATGGCACAGAAGTTCGGCCCGCCAACGGCACAGCCCCAGGACGTGAAAGTACCCACAAGGACTGGCTTTTGTTCGACGGGTACTGGGGCGATAAGAAGCTGGATCCAGACGATCCTCGGCAGGCGTGGTCAATTTGGGAATACAGAATGATAGACGGCCCGCAGGGTCCTCTGTTCAAAAACCTGATGCGCACAAACCCCTGCCAGCGGTCAAAGTGGTGGAACGTGTTCCACTCTTGTCGGGTTCGAAACCGAGTGACCCCGGGAGAGGGGCTGGAACAAGAGTCGCCGTCCTGCCCAATGATTCTGGAGCGCATTCCCAAACCGTTTGACTACATTTTTTCCTGGGTTTTATGGAGAGGTTGGTTCTGTTTCTGGCTAGATAGGCTATTGGCTTGACCTGCACCGCCGGTAGACTCTGCATAAATCAACACATAGTCAGCAACCCAGTCTCTGGGAGTAGTTGGTGGTAAGGTTTGGCCAACGTCCAGGCAGGAAGGATGAACAAGCGACAAACGATTGTGAAAAATCCTGCGCAGCTTCAATTCCACATCCAAAGCAACCTCGCCGCCAACTCCGTCCCGACCGGCCAACGGCCACATTATACCCCAATTGGCACCTACTAAATCGCAGCTATACACGTGATTAGCCGTTTGCATATGCATCAGCACTTTTGCCACCACCACAGCCCACACAGCGGCAGCTCACATGCGAATCTCGGAAATGGAAAAAGTCTGCGAAAAGTTGCTAGCATACTTATAGAAATAGACTATTTATTGCCCGATCTCAATTTCGCCTAGCATCCGGTATATATGCCGGCTTTCGCCAAGGCCAAGGCCTGTTCAACCTCGAGTTCCCTGAACGAAGAGTGCGCGGCCCGGTTACAAAGGAACTGCAAATTGCATTTGTTACGTCAGCAGCCTGCGTCACAGAAACTTTTTAAGCCGCTCCAGACTTTTAAAGATAAAGCCAGTCCGCTCAGCTCGCATACCCACGATTTTTTCAATCCGCTTGTGGGCAACAGAATTCAGGCGTTTGGACCGTAATTTCACCCAGGGTGACTCGACAGTTTTTAATCGACTGGCCACGCCCCACATCTGTTTATTCTAAAATGCAGGCTTTGACCCCTCCCTGTGAACACCAGAGCCAGTACGTGTTGAGCACGGCCACCAATTTGCTCCAGAGGCAGGCGAAGGCGCTCTCGTATATTGCGGACATGTACACCAATGACTCGCAGGTGCAGGCGCAGTTCTTTCGCGTCCTGACTCTTCTCCACAATTGCGTGCTGGGCCAAAACAAGATCGTGCTCACCGGTATGGGCAAATCTTTGAAGATTGCTGAAAAATTGGTTGCCACTTTACATTCGTTTGGTATTGCCACTGCGAGTCTCCACCCCAGCGACGCTCTGCACGGCGATCTAGGCATGGTCAAGCCCAGAGATGTGGTGATTATGGTCAGCTCAAGTGGCAGTACCGCCGAGCTTTTACAGCTGTGGGATCATCTACCCAGCGAGCAGACGGTACTGGTAATGACCTGCTCCTTGGACAGTAAAATGGCACACCGCGCCACAGAGGTGGTGCCCGTGGTCATCCCGGATGACCATCTGGAAATCTCAGTATACGGACTGGCGGCCCCCACCGTCACCACAACGGCATGTCTGGCTGTGGGCGACGCTATCTGCATTTCCCTTTTTGAAATGATTGAAGCAGACTACAAACTTCGACGACACAACTTTGGCAGATGGCACCCCGGAGGAGCTATTGGCCGCTCGTACAAAGACGAGCCCGAATCAGTTCCAACCTTCACACCGTGGCATAAAATTCCCAAACTAGCTGGCCCGCTAAACGAAACAAGCGAGTTGGATCTCTGGCGTGCAGTGGCCCAGAGCGAGCTGATCATCGCCGGAAACACGGTGTATTATTCCGCAGATATTCTCAATGCTCTCAAATCAGGACAACCCGTTAATGCACATGGATATCCGGTGGACTCAATACCCCGACTCGTTGGCCCCATTCAATATTGCACCCAGCTCACAATGAGCGTGGAGCAGGATGAGCCGCAGGGACTGATATGGTCAAGCGACTGGAGCTGATTGAACATTTTTACTTCTTTTATTATGTGACACGAAATTTAGATTACAGTAGGTTTATTACTTTCTCATAAGACTGAAAACTGTCGAGGCTGCCTGTTTGGGCAACGCCTGGGTCATCTCGCTCAGCAACGACAGATACTCCTGTTCAACGTCTTTAAGGGTGATCACCCGCTGGTTTACTACCATCCAGCGGTCTTCCTCGTCTGCACACTTGAGTGCGTTCAATAGGATGGTGTACCAATCAAACCGGGCCGCAACTGCTTCGGAAGGATCGCCTCGAACTGGCTCTGCTTTGGTGGCACACAAGTTCTTGTAGATCGCAGTGGCCGCTCCGACGTAATCTTCTCGGGTAATGCACCAAACATAGAGTAGCTTGTAGCTAGGCACGCTGCCAATTGTGGGGCGCTGCAAAAGAATCTCATGCAAAACTTCAACCATTCCTATGAAGGGGAAAACCCGCAAGACGTGGTCTGCTTTGCCCTGTTTAGCAGCAGCCTCCAGAAGCTGTAAGATTCCTTTCGAGATCTGGGAGTCACCAAGCCTGTGTAGAGTGCAAATAACCTGATATGCGCAATCAAGGTCCCCAGCCGCCAGGGCTAGACGTTGAAGCTGTTTTTGCGATTCAGCAACCGGCGACTGGGCTGCTAATTTTGCAAAGTGCAATGATGCCTCCAGGGCGCCTGCGCCCTCTGCTAAACGGCTAACTGACAGGTAAACCAAAGAGAAACCGGAAGCTCTGGCAACCGCTGTGCCTAAGAATTCGAGCTCGGGCTGTTCACACAGGGCAATAGTGGGCACAACCCTCGAAATTAACTGTTTGGCCTTGGCCGGATAGGTTCGAAGTAACCCGAGTCCCTTAACAAACACACCAGCAGCTGTATTGGGCAGGTAAGGTGCCACTTGATCGAGACCCGCGTAGTTCTTCAACGAGAGGTCATAAAACAGTTCCAGGCCCTTGGAACCGCTGCTAACATCTACGATCTGCCGTAGTAACTGGGGTAATCCGCAAAACGTCTGCCCATCAACTCGAACCTGTGCTAAAGAAATACCAATTTCCAGGCCGCTTGCCCAACTGCTGTAACTGTGATGGGGACTTGAACCAACAGCAGCTCGTAAAGAAAGAATGGCCGAAGAGGACTTGAAAACTGACAGGGCCGCATCGAACAATTCAACATCGTTTGAAAGTCTTCCCTCGGAAACGGCGAGAATAATCACCGCAACCGCTCTCACTGAGAACTTGCGTATCTCCTGGCTGAAATCTGCAACTGCCCTTGCCAGCAACTCCGCACCCAGAGGTGTCATTGGGCTCGCCGACATTGTTATCGTAGGTTTTGTGAGAGTGCTTTGAAGGGTTTCTGTCAGGGCCTTCTCAAGACCTGCATACTCAAGGACAGGCATATTCATACTACTTTGAGAGAACGCTCTGTAGATCTCTTCCATAGCATCGAAAGGTAGCCGATCAGAAGGGGTAGTGATCAGAGAAGTCAGGCTGGATTCAACAGCGTAAAGGGCAGGCTTTGAAATGGAATCAAACATTTTAGAAAAGGACTCGGCTGAAGTCACCGCAAGGTTTGCCGGAGTCAAAAGTGAAACATGCCCACTACGCAAAACCCAGGTCAAATCTCTACTGGGGACGTAAGCCAAACCAAGTAACTCGGAACTTTGGGCTTCGATCTCTCGGCATATTCTATCCAGTCGTAGCCACTGAAGACGCAAACTTTTTTGGTTTGGATCAGTCATGGTCTGAACAGTCCTTTGCACAGATTCACGTGCATATGCTTCGAGTGGCTCATAAGGCGCCGGTGGACTGCCAGAATAGATCTGTAGGGCCCGCCGTAATGCAAAGTCCGAATAGCGTTCGGTAGAGAAGATGCTTGAAACAAAATGCTCAAGATCAGACTCCTCAGGAAGACTCAACAAAGATTTGGCCTCATGTCTGCTTGCGACAATTGATTTCGAAGCGAGAGCCCGGTCATGAGGAACTTCCAAGCATTTGACAATCGAGCTGAGATTTGAGCGCCAGGCAGCCGTAATCTTGAACAAACTTGTATTCTTGTAAAATATGAGGGCGGTGAGAAGCCAATTTGCCGGCGTCTCGCTAGGTTCGTGCGTGGGCTTTGACGTTGACTCGAGGCCCTGACTGAACACCTTGAATATCTCGATCCCTGATCGGCCATCGGAAGGAAGATATGCCGCAACGTACTCACCCGTGTTGTCAAAACGCACATATGGTCCTGGAAGCAATCGCAACGCAGCCCTTTCATCTTGGCACGGCTTTCGGAACACACACGAGGCCTTGGCCAAAGACCACAGCTTGATCTCGTTATTGATACTGTAGGTTACAGCAAAGTCCTTGGACGAATCGATTGCGACGATCGTACGTTTGGAAAGATGAGATTTACCTTCGACCCGATCTTCTGAGTTTCTAAACATCCACCTCAAACCAGAAGGAGCAAATTGGTCGCTGAACTGGCTGGACTCGAGCATTCCTAGAGCACTGGTGCGGGAGAATTTCAGCAACGACCCGTCTGCTAAGCTCAACAGAAGCATTTTGGGAGAAACAGAATGTAACACTTGGGGATTGACCAGATCAAAAACAATTGGCTGCTTCATGACACACCAGGGCTGTGATGTGTCGAACTCCGAGTTGGTGAATTGCTTGTAGTCCAATGAAATCGTGTATAAAATCCCGTCGGCTGTGAAAAAGTCCAAGACTAGCGCCAGTCCACGATCGTCAGTTGCCGTCACAAAGTTGGGCAGAATCGGAGATCCTGCAGATCGTAGCTCTATAATGGAATAGCCTAATGGCTCGCCGTTCGTATCCAGCGGCTCAAGACTGATTGCGTGTGCATCGTCGATCACCCTCCACATAATAGAGCCAGCAGCAAGGCCCATACTCTCTCGAACAACCACTCCAGCTGCCGACGCCAAATACGCTCGGGCACCGCGATCCAGAACCGCTGCCGCGGCAGACTCGTTCAGAGCGCCGGTGCTGTTCCTTGAATTCAGGTCCGTCTCCGGTAGAACAACATTAAGCACCCTTGGCGCGTGCAGTCGAGCACTGCTGTCACTCACCAAAGTGGTTTCTGTAAACATGCTGCTGACAAAAAAACTATTTCCTGGGAAAAACAATGTAATAAACTAGGATCTATTAGCCTCTATTCATAGTGTTACCGGCTCCTTTAGGGTTTGCTTCGGTGAATTCGTCCCATTGGCGGGCCTTCATAGTTTGCATGTCGGAATAGAGCTCGCTTTCCTCGTCAATCTCAGGGCCGGCTGGGTCTGCGGGTTTGACGCGGTTCTTCAACTCGTATTCAACAGCCTCTTCGATCGACATGGTAGGCAGGACTTGTCCAGTACCCATAACTTTGCGGGCAATTTGCTGTCTGCCGTCGGTCAATACAAAAGGTTTGAGGACCTGACCCTGGGGGCCGAGAATGGCGTGGGGGTCGGGTCTCTCGATGGTGGCATCGACTTTAGTGCTGTAGTCAGTGCCCTGTGCTTTCATTGCGTTCCTAGCATCGTCAAATGTATAGCCACGGTTTCCAGAACCTGCTGCAGCCAGGAGATTGGGGTCGTCAACATCGGGGTTGGCCAGAACATCCGCTCGGGGCGGTCGTCCGCGACCAATGTTCTGTGCAGTAACAAGAATATGCGGTAAGTATGCTTCTTCGGGCTCTTTGGTAATGTCCTCACGCTGCTGTTCTGGCACGGCGAAAATAAGCAGCTCAATTTCGCGCCAGCAGCTACGCATTGAGTCGACAGCACGGCGGCCAAGTTTCCGAAGCTTTGCGAGCTCGTCCCGACGAACATCTTCGTACTTGGCGTTCTTATCGTTCTTATCGCCGCCGACGTTTGTTGTAAACACAATGCTGTCGTTGTTCCGCGCCTTGGAGCTCGACTTGTGCGGTTTGAATCTGGGAGACATTTTGGCATCTGAGTGGGCGATCTTATCCAGGAGATCTGGCATTTGTGAGCGACCATAACGTCCTTCGGGCAGAAACACATATGGAGTTACCTGGGCCAGCAGGGCTTCGTCCAAAAGGTCATGATCTGCTAGAACCAGAAGAAAGTCGTAGAACTTGCGCAGAGCACTCTTGGCAACTCTTAATCTGGCAACCACTGAACCCTCGCTTGGGTTGATAAAAGACTCGTCAAGCAGTTTGGCAATGTGGAAATCGATCGTCATATATTTGAGCGATTTTGTGCTGATTTCATCTAGGCTTGCCGTCGCATCAAGCAAGTTCAGCTGTTCAGCCATTACAAGGCATGTGGACAGCAGCGCTAACGTCCTTCGATACACTTTAGCATGTTCGGGTGTACCTGGACGATATATCCCGTCGTCTAGCTGCTCGGTTAACCGCGATGCCAATGCAAATCGTTCAGGGAGCGGCGCTTGGAATATGGGGTCAGACATGACGATTAGTTAAGAAGAGACGTGGTAGAATTGATCACTTTAGACAAACTGCAGGTAAAGTATCGTGGATTTTGTTGTATTCGGTATAGCAAATAGTATAATTAACCGTTCCGATGGGGGGTAGATGATTCATCATGACACCTCAACCATATTTGAATAGCGAGACCGATTCGTTTGCGAACGATTCCTTGCTCAGACGATGGCCCTCCATTGTTAATTCCTTGCTTGAAGCCTTTGAGAACGCAAAGTCGAGCGCCTCTAGTCCGGAAGCCGTCAAAGAAGCCGAGACGATCGTTGGTCAGATCAAGGGGCTTCTGAAGGAGCTCGAAATTGCTGGCGAAATCAAGCCTATTCCCGAAGGAACAGACAAGGATATCGCTGTGTACAATGAATACCTCAAACGGTCGCCTGGATTGACCTGGAAACAGGCCCCCTGGCTGTTCTCCGAATGTCACATGTATCGTACGTTGCAGACCTATTTCGAGTCTACGAGGCACTGGAAACACTACGATATGTTTGCATCAGCTAAAGACGAGACTTTTTACAAGTCAGCAGACGCTGTCGGCACCTTGGCTGAACGTTACCTGCAATTGAGCTCTGAGCTAGCCGAAAAGCCGGTCGATACCGAGGCATTGCGCATCCTTTTTGACGAATTTATGAAATCTTCCCTGTGGGGAAACGCTACAGACTTGTCATTACTTGTGACCATTAGTCTCGACGATATCAAGGCCCTGCAGGTTGCCGCTCACCACCGGGAGGGCGATACGTTGTTGGTAAACGATCAGGCCCAAGTTTGGAAACGAATGACGTCGGCCTCTGGTGGCCGGGTCGACATTGTGCTCGACAACGCGGGTTTCGAGTTCTATACCGATCTCATATTTGCTCTTTTCATGCTCGATACTGGACTGGCTGAGCAAATCGTTTTCCACCCCAAGTCTATTCCGTGGTTTGTTTCGGATGTCACACTGCGTGATTGGCAGCAATTCGTTCCTCTCCTTTTGAACGGCAAGTTGTTCCCTTCGAATCGCAAGGCAATTGAGGCCGTAGTCGCCCGAGTCGCCCATTACGAGGGCCAGATTGTTTTCCGGCCATCGACCTTCTGGACCTCCTACTGTTCCTTCTCGGAGATCAACTCAAACGGCGCCAATGGCGGAGCCCAGGTTTGGTCCGATCTGAGGTCTTCCAAGCTTGTCTTCTTCAAGGGTGATCTGAACTATCGCAAACTGACGGGCGACTACCGCTGGCCCAGAGAAACTCCTTTTGTTGAAGCGCTTGGCGATCTCGATTACAACAACATCAACCTCGTGACACTTCGCACAATTAAATCGGACGTGTGTGTGGGACTGCCGCCAAACAAGGAGCAGGAACTCAAAAAACTATGGGCAGAAAAGCGCCCCGACCAGAATTCTAATGGCTGGAGTTGGAGCGGAAAATACGCAGTTATTTCATATGCCGGAAAATAGTTGTTTATGTAGCAATTGATCTACCTCGCGGTATCCCGATGTCTGCCCATAAAGCCCACCTCCCCCCATCAATCGATCTCCCGGTTTGGTCATCAATGGCATCGACGGTGTACTATCGATTCCAGTCGCAAAAGGAGCCTTCGAGGATTCTATTTGATGGTACTGGTATATCAGTGTTTGACTTGAAGAGGGAGATTCTTCTAAAAAACAAGTTAGACACCACCGCGGACACATTCGAGCTCCGGTTGACGAACCCAGACAATGGGGATGTTTATGTCAATGACAGCGAGGTGATTCCGCGGTCCACCTCGGTCCTTGCTCGAAGAATACCTGTTAGGGCGAATGCCAGGGACGCAGCAGTTCGCTATGTTTCAGGAAGCATGGTCGTTAACGCTAAAAACGCTGCTAGGCGCGAGGATTTTAAAGCTGGGTCCACGGCGGCAGCTGGTCCTGCTACGGGCCAAGCAGCCTCTACAGGCATGAGGATTGGTGGCACAGCTACAGAAGAAGACATGATCAATGCCATGTTTCAAGCCCAAGGCGAGCAGTGGCAGAAAACCCAACAAGAAATGGAGACCAAGGCACCAGTGTACACCCCACGAAATTTAGCACCTGCAGCTGGTGAAAAAGAGCCTCCGCCCGGATATATTTGCCATCGATGTGGACAAAAGGGCCACTACATCAGCCATTGTCCTACGCTCAATGATCCCACCTGGGAGGCCAAGAGAGTTCGGCGGACCACTGGTATTCCCAAGAGTATGCTTCGAACCGTCGAGAAGCCGGCCGACGACGACTCTGGATCTTACCTTATGGATGCAGATGGACAATATGTTGTTGCAGTAGCCGACGATCGGTCCTGGAAAGACTTCCAAAAACGGCAATTGCAGCAAACGGCCAAAGCCCGTCGCGAAGTGCCGGATGAATTGCAAGACCCAATCACGCACGAACTTATAGTTGATCCAGTCAAAACCCCATGCTGTGGCAAGACGTATTCAGATCAGTCGATTCAAGACGCCTTGATCAGCAGCGAATTTAAATGCCCCAACTGCGGGCAGGAAGATGTGTATATTGATCAGCTCTCAGCCGACGAGGAAATGGCTAAAAAGGTCTATGAATTCGACCACCAAGAGGATGGGGACGGTGAGTTGAAACGAGAGCGGCCGGACGATGACGGATCGCAGGAAGACGAGACCGACAGACCTGATGTCAAACGAGCCAAAAGTGAGAACGATATTTCGGAAGGAGCATATGAATCTGATGACGAAAAAAGCGATGCAAATAAAACAGCAAGCGTAGCCGCAGCCGCGCCGGTCGCTCCAGTTGCTGCTGTGCCTGTTTTCCCCTTTATGTTTCCTCCGTTTTTTATGCCGCCAATGATCCCTTCAGCTCCTGTGGCTGAAAACCGTACATTGAGGCCGTACAATATGACGACAACTGTCGAAGAATTCGATTATTCGGAGAGCAGTGAAAGCGATGACGACAGACGGTCCAGAAGAGGCCGGCGATAGGTGTGTAGCTTAATTTATGACCATAAGGGTTTGAACGTCAGTATTGACTAGACTCTTTTTCTTGAGTTGCACCAAGTTGACTACTTGTTAAAAACACGAAACTTTGAATCAGTCTGTCTTGTGCTCTTAATTCAGACGAGTTGGTAGACATGAGCTTTCCAAGGAGGCATGCTGATCCCGCCATTTGAGATCGCGGTGATATTCAGCCCAACACACGCTTGTCGTCCAAGCAATGTCGAGATAGTATAAATCCTAGCAGTTTCAAAGTACTATATGGACTATTTAAAAGAAAAAACCCCCGAAATTCTGCCAACACGACCTAACCCTGGCAAGTATATGTGGCGGAGAGGTCTGCTTACTGTCACGTATCTTTACTGCCAAAAATGAGTTTTTTGTCGCGTGTTTCTTTTGCCTTACCGTCGAATCTTTCGCTGGACAATCTGCGCGCCGAGAGCTCATCGATCCGCAACCGCCTGTCTAACGTGAAGGGAGTGCGTGAGTTCTTCGCATTCAACCGTCTTTCGCGGCCGGAGGGCTGGGGAGATGCTCAAGCGCGTATCGCCTTCAACCTGAGCTATTTCTCTAGCAACTACTTGATGATTTTGGTCATGCTGTCGCTTTATTCGCTTCTTACCAACCCTCTTTTGCTCTTTGTTCTTTTCTTGGGCTTTGGTGGCTTCATGACCATCAGCGCCCTGGGCGGGCAGGACCTCGTCACGCCGTTTGGTACCATTACCAGCCAGTCGCTGTACATTGGTCTGGGTGTGATTGTTGTTCCATTATTTATTATTGCTTCACCTCTTGCTACTCTGTTTTGGCTGATCGGTGCTGCCGGCGTCACTATTTTGGGCCACGCCGCGCTGCTCGAAAAGCCTCTTGAAAGTGAGTTTGCCGACCAGGTTTAGACACCGCAAACGCTATAGATTATCGGGCACGTCAAAAGCAACATCTGAAATTCTCAAGACACTATTACAACATATTAATCGTTTTATAAACATAGGCTTCAGAGGTAGAAACAAGGAGTTTGCTGGTTAGTGATCAGAACCACGCCTTGTCAAAGGCGAATCTCAGCACTGCCACGTATTTCGGGCTAAGCTGACCGTCGTGAGTTGTGGAGAATGCATCATATCAACTTACCTCAGACACGAAAAAATTGTCTTCAAAAGAAATCAGACATATGCTTGTCTTTTATTTTTCAAGTTCATCAAGGCAAAGACAGTTAAACCACTAAAGAACCATTTCTTTGGAGCTTTAACTTTCTCAAAGTACCGTCCCCCGTATAGAGCCTAGTTAGTATTCAGCAATGCATGAATGGAATTGTAAAAAGGTTGTCGTCAACAGGAAACCTGATTCGGACTCGTCATCTAAGAGATCATCATAATACTCACTGTTTGTTTTTGTTTTGCTGGTTAGTTTCTGTAGCGTAGGTTTTCTAGGCCCACTTAAAGCATGTCACTCATCCTTGTCAGTGCCCAGTGCTGTGGCTCTTCATGAACGTACGAGTTATTGCGTCTAGTCAGTCTTGTCCTCAGATTTAAACTTCTGATCATAAATAGCTTCACAAACTCTAGTTTGAAAATTGAAGTTGGATCATCTTTGGAAAACTTACTGTTAGGAAACTGAAATTTTCTCAAGGGGCCCATCCATTTGTAATAGTCTGGGGGTTTCCAGGGCAGCCACGCAGAGGCCTGGTTATTGCGGGTATTCTACATCAGTATTCAAGTCCTCGATTTCAGGAAACCAGCCGTACGTAGCCATATCCACCCCGCCCTTGTCGGTCACCGGGATCTCCTGCCGCAGCCGCTCCAGCTGGTGCTGGCGTTTCTCAACCGTGCTGATGTACCCGGAACCGCCAATAACCCGCCACCACGGTACGGACTGCGAGCTGTAGCGAAGCTCAGGCCTCGTAGGCAAATGCTTGAGCGCGTACCCCACCTGCCTCGAGTTCTCAGGCTTTCCCGCTAGATACGCCAGATGGCCGTAGTTAGTGACTCTTCCGTAGGGGATTTGAGTAGCTAAGTGGTATACCATTAAATGGAAATCAAGCGCTTCCTGAGACCCTGCTCCATACTCTGGCATTACTTCCGATCAGAATCCAGCGAGTGTTCTCCGTTGGTCAGCAGAGGAAGAGGGGAGTAAGAGGAAAGAAAGGTCCAAGGTATAACGCCATTTTAGACATATAAAATGCTACAGGATAGGAATCCACAATAGGTTAAGCTGATTTAGATCTTCAGCTTAGTGCGGCGCCAGTGGCGACGCTTGTAGTTCCACCGGATGGTGGAATCGGTCTTAGCCCGAAAAAACATGGGGACGTGACCACTCTGCTTGGAAGCCTTGGCCAGCTTCAGCTTGGTCTTCAAGCTCTTGTTCGACTGAATGTTAGATTCCGTTGTATCGCAATCGCTGAGCGAAACGGCTGTTCGCTCCTGTGATTTTACTTACCGGCATGGAAGTGTGTTGAAAGGGTACGCTGGCTAGGGATTATTCACTTAGAGTGGGTACTATCGATTAGTCAGAATCAGAGTGTGACTGCTGTTAGGGCTTCTCCACCACGAACTACCCGCTTTCAGACAAGGGTTGGTCGACGTAGCAACTTTTCCCGTTTAGGTAAGTTATTATTAATGAACGAGTGCTCGCTCACCGCTAAAAGGGAAAAAAAATGGGAGCATGCAGGAAGGAGGGCATGAGCTGCGTGACGAAACTTGAAACAGACTTGGCCAATATGGCGTCGCGTCGTGGGACAGATGTAATTATAAGTTTATAGGATATTAGAGAAGATCGGATTTAGTCCGTTAGCGCTAAATAAAATGTACCTTGTTGGTTTATCCCCAGCGTTTGCGTTTTCCCGGCTGCCAAACCGCTCTGCGCTCACAAGCCGCGTTTCCCCTTAGGCCGCTTAACCTTCCCAAGGGGACATTGGGAGGTAACCAGCCCAGCTCTTGCAGGGGAGTGCAGGACGGAGAACTAGGTCGCCGCTGGGACGGCCGCTAATGATCTGAGTAAATAACAACGTACGATAGTAAGTTTGAACACGTATCTTGAGGGCTGGTAAAAATCCTGGATCGTTTGAGCAGGTCGTTGTTCTCTTTCGATCGAACTGACCCTCCCCATGACGCACTCTCGTGCACCTAATTAGCGAGTTGGTAGTCATGCTCCCAAGGGAAAATAAGCTCTTGCATCATTAGCCAGCCACCCAGCAAAGACGAAACAAAAGTGGTTAGGTCAATATTAAGGCTCCCATCCCCCTTCCAATCCTCGTGAACAGGAAAACCGTTTCGAAAGAAATGGGGATATCAGGGAGGAACAATGTGCCCAGGCCACCCCGCAGTTCATCGCTGCCCCAGGCACTAAACCGGGCCCCGGACATTGACGACCACGGCGACAAAGCTGCTGTGCCGTCCAGCAGCAATGCCTCGCCGGTGTCCACGCTGTTGCGAACTGGCCGTTTAATAAAGAATGGGCTGCGGGTCCTGTCGGAGTCCCAATCCTTCAACGCCAGCTACAACCGTCGTCGCGAAGTGATTAATGACCTATGTGCTGATCTCGACATCACCGATAGCGACACGGATGACATTCATGACGTTACAGACATTGATCACCATTTGCATTCAACACACTTAATCGATGGACCGTTAGGACAAACGTCCGAACCGGTTTCTTCATCCTGCCACCGAGCTCTGGCCACCCCTGAGATTCTTTACGAAATTTTTGAGCAGCTTGATGCACTAAACACCGTCCCGCATGAATTCAGTCAAAGACGACGCAAGCCAATGTCTCTTAGGCATGCCCAGCTTATTTATGGCGATACTCAAAAGGCCGTCGACGTTTGGGAACACTCCCAAGGCAAGGCGCCATGTACGAACGAGTATGCTCCAGCAATGGGCCTATACAACTGTTTACTGGTTAATCAAATGTGGTATATTATGTCGAAAAAAGTTTTGGAAAAGAGAACTCACTTCAGAGACGGCCATCGCTGGCGGCAGTTCGTCCAGTCGGTGGTCAAGAAAGAATACAACCAGGTTCGCAAACCAACCATGCTGATTCTGCATAAACTGACCGATTCCAAGCAGATTGAAATCGAGCAGATGGGCTCTGCTCTTGGCGGCAATCTCGAGTGGCTCGAGTTTTACACCTGCCCGGGCATTGCCCCCACAGTCAGTCTTCTCCAAGGCAGCCGACTAACGAAGATTGTACTACCCGGCTGTAGTCGAGTTACCGACCGCACGCTATATCATATTGCAGACAAATGCCCCAGACTCGAATATCTTGATCTGCGGGCCTGTGAGCAGGTCTCCGACAAAGGACTGAAAATAATCGCCAAGTACTGCCCAAATCTTACTCTTATCAACGTCGGGAGAACGAGTGGTGGCGAGCTTGTTACTTACAAGGGTATCAAGCACCTTGCCCGGCAAACCCAGGTCAACACCCTCGGTCTTGCTGGCTGCGAGATTGACGACCGTGCGATCTGGGAGCTCGCACTGAACAGAGGAGTGCATCTCCAGCGTCTCTCTCTAAACAATTGTCGACTTTTGACGGACGCATCTGTGCCTCGGATCCTCAGCTACACTCCCAACCTGAGCGTCTTGGAGATACGCGGCTGCACACAAATTACCCACATGCGACCGCTAGCTTTATTTAAGCGGTATCGCGAACGACAGGGCCACCCCCCACTAATCGAAGGATGTGAAATCGTCGAACGACGGATGCAAATTGCCCTCAATCGATTGCGACAAGAAGTCTCTCGCCGCATTCTGGCCGACTGTCAGGAATGGGTTAATAGCGCCGATTAACTTGCTTAATTACATTTTTCAACACCGGCCCGCGCTCTCAACCGCTAAGAATAACCTCCTCCCCTGCCCTCGCCTACCTGCTGCAATATGTGGGGTTGGGAGTTGTGATGCATTAAAGCCGTATTTAGAAATAGGTCAACATCCCAAACACAAGCAGTCTCCGATTGAACAAAAAGGCTGGGAACAGGAGGCCAGCTAGAATGACAGCAAGACAGGCTCTGGCGGAATTGTCCAACCGGGCTCACCAGCCGAGCGACTACGTTCGTGCCAAACCGAGAATAACAAAAGTCCTGCAAGACCGCACGCTGCGAGCGACCAGCTCACAGCCCAGTTTGATACCGCAGCGCCGAGCATTGAAGCACCAGCCCTCAAAATTGGACATGCTCGACCAGCGGCTGACGTTTTTTCCTTCGGTCGATGGCGCGATGGTGCTGATTGACGACTATTTTCCAGCCAAGCCCTCGCCAATAATTGACCTTCAGCCCACTCAGCATTCGTGGCTATACACCGTTCAGCGAAAACTACGATGGCGGTGGCGCATTAACGGGCTGTTTCATATGTAAAGTCCTAAGAAAGCTATTTATTCAACTCCAGTGCCCGCTCGACCTCGCCGGAGTTGTACCGCACAACCTTGCCCTGCCACCGGCCCTTTCCGCCTCCTTTGGCGTCCTTGAACGTATCTTTGACCAGTCCTGCATATTTGTCTACGGCTTTGCCGGCAATAATAATCGCTCCGCCACTGGGGCCTTGGCCACAAAGGAGAATAGCCGTGCCCTGCAGATCAGGCAGCTGTTTTTCCACGAACCGCAGATACTCCATATCGTAATCCGGTTTATAGAGAACATAGACCTCTTTTGATTCGAGAATTGCTGCGATTTTACCTGCTTCCTGGACGGCAAGTTCTTGCTGGGCGGTCTTCAGTTGCGACAACAGCGCTCTCTGGCGAAGCTGGAGCTGCTCGATTTTGGAAAGTGTATCATCGGTCTGGCAGGATAATGCAGCATTCACTGATCGGATCCTGTCATGGCTTGACTTTGCGTAGTCAGTAACCCGGTTTCCTGCCATGAAAAACAGCCTACTGTTGCCCTTATTCGGAACCTGGTGCAAGAGCAGTATGGACCCAATCTCTGATGTTTTAGCCAGATGAGTGCCACAGCACGGGTTCCTGTCCATTTCTCCAATAGTTACAACACGCATAGCGCCCTTTTCTTCGTCGTGGCCAGAAATGTCGACGGTAATTGGCAAAGCTTGGGCAATGGCCTGGTTCACGTCGAGCTGGGTTTCTTGTACTTCCTCAGTCGACAGTTTACGGTCAAGCTCAACGTAGTTCATCTGGACACCCAAATTCCATCCCACAGTGGCAACATCTTTCTTATCGAGCACGGCAGAGAGTAAATGTTGTCCAGTGTGCTGCTGCATATGGTCCAGGCGGCGGGCCCAGTCGACCTGCATGGTCACAGTCTCACCAGGCTCCAGGGGGCTGATCAAACTGTGGATCGCATGAAGCCCATCGCGTTGAACGTCTGTGACCTCAACAGGCGTCTCGGAATCGTCCTTTTCACGCAAGATTACGCCCTTATCAAAGGGTTGGCCCCCTCCCTCGGGAAACAGCACAGTGTCCTCAAACTCGACCGCATAAAACCCCTTCTTCTTCTCGCACGATACAACCTTGGTCTGCAGCACCTTCAGATACGAATCTCTTTGGCAGCGGAGCGCGCCGGCAAGCGCTGGCATGAGCATTACAAAGGCACAAGCTGCGGCTGGCCAGAATAAGAATAGTCTGCATCAGGGGGACTTATTAAGGCGCAGCAGACCTGGAAACCCCCAATCCACCACTCTCGTAAGTGCCTCGCACACGACAGGTATTTCCTCCCCTACTTATCCGGCGCTTCTTCCCGCTACTCTATCGGGCGGCGGTGATCATCACATTCTCCTGTCTCCCGCAATCAGAGGTCCCAGCTGACTACAACTTTTTAATCGCCCCCATGGTCGATGAGTGCGAAGCCATCTACGCTTAAATCTGAACCACCGCCCTCGTTGGGGCCAGCACAAGGCTCAGATGCGACACACGAACGGCATGTTCCGCCAAACCACAATGGAACACCAGACAACGGCCCCGCTGCGGCCGTAACTGTCCGACCAGGCACCAGCATAGATTACGGCCGGCCAAGGCAGTTTTCACACGGCTCTTCGTTTCCGCCTCGTCAAAACTCGTCTGGAGGCTCGAGGTACGAATACACGGTTCGCCCTGGAGGCGGAGGTCCTAGCAGCAGCGTTCCCAGGAGCTACGACCGGACGGGTCCACCGCGCAGGGCGCCAGATGAACGCGACTCTAGGCCAAGAAACGGCTCTTATGACGATAGTATGGACCGTCGCGGTAGTTATGGAGACCCCTGGCGTCGTCCAAGCACAGGGTATCGCCGACGCGGCGACCGCTGGATGGGCCGACGCGGCGGCAGCTCGAGCGGACCGCGATGGAATGAATACAGAGACAGAGATATGGACCGTGATCGAGATCGCTACAGAGACGGCCCACCAGACCGTAGGCCTCGCGACTATAACGAAATTTACAGCGACAGGCGCAGGGACTACCGCGACCGTGATAGGCACCGTGGATCCCATCGTGACTACGATAGAGACTACGATAGAGACCGTGATCGAGATAGAGAACGCGACAGAGATCGAGACAGAGATTATGATAGGGACAGGGACCACGATAGGTACTGGGACCGCGACAGAAGGAGCCGAGACTGGGACCGTCGACGCGACTGGCGAAGGGATTACCGTACTCGTTCTCCGTCCCCCATTGGACGTGATGCTGGCCATCGCATCCCAAGCAGCAGATCGCCACACTCAGCAACCCCCGAAAGGCCTGTTCACAGTCTTGATAATAGTCCTGAGTCTGCTTCTAAGAGGGTCAAAGTCGAGCCCGCCCCAGAGTCCGTCCCCGATGCAAAATCTAGCGCTAATATACCCGGGGATATCGAGTCTATTACCAAGCTCGATTCACATACCCCAAAACCTGCTACGGATATAGCCCAAGTCGAGGCACCGCTTTCTGCTTCACCCTCTGGCGATGCTCCAGAAGTTGGACTGCTTAACACACCACAAGGAAGCAGTGCTGATGTCGGAGGATCAAAACAAGTTCTGAAACCCAATTTACCCAATGACTTAACGAGACCAGAGACACCTGTAGTGAAGGAACCGGAAGCACAGAAGCTTGCGCCAATGGCGAACCCGCCAGAATCTAAAAACAACGAGACCAAGGAATCCAAGGATCTCAAAGAGCTAGTCGAATCCAATAAGCCCACGGAATCTAAGGAGCCTACGGCACCCACGGCACCCATGGAATCTAAGGAACCCATGGAACCTACGATACCTACGGTACCCACGGCACCCATGGCACTCACGGAACCCACGGAGTCCAAGGAACCCAAGGAGCCCGAAGGGCCTAAGGTCAAGGAATTCACAGAAGGCAACAATGTCAAGGAATTCAAAGAACCCAAAGTAGCCAGGGAAGCCAAGGGGTCCGAGACACCCAAGGAACTCAAGGAAACTAAAGCCAAGGGACTCAAAGAGCCGAAGGAGTCTGCAAAAGGTCTCAGAGAGCTCAAGCCACTAAAGGTGAAGGAAGCTAAAGAACCCCAACAGCCCAAGGAATCTCGACAAAAAGATACGGAGCTGATAGATGTTCTTCCGAAAGTCAAAATCACCAAACCTATCAAAATCGACCAGGATACTATGAAACTTGACACTGAACCCCCAAAGGGTGTATTTACCGCAAAAGACACTGAGTTTATCGGACCTATGACTAGAATGGAAACGGCTTTGGCCCTACTTGACACTATTCCCAAAAAGCTTCCTTTCCTCGAGCCCAAGTCCCCATCCTGGACCAAAGAAGTGTCCTCGCTCTGCTCTACCCCGGTTTATACTGTCATTGCAAAGCACTATGGTGATCTCGATAGCAAGTATTGCAAGTACCGCAAGCAACGAGAACAGCTCTCTTCCACATGGTCAAGCTTCTGTACTCAGCTCGATAATGAACATGCCGAGCGAACTGCAGAAGCCACAAGGATTGAAGAGAACGTTCTTGAAGAAGCTCCGAGAAGAAGCCGGAGCTATGGAGATGCTGCTCGAAGTGAAGCTGAATTCCTGGAGATTTTGGCAAGCTTAGAAATGCAAACAGCCAGAGACCCTCTTGTAAGAGCTCGATTGACGTCTGCTACAATACCTCCTCGAATTTTTGACCCTGCTGAACGAGATCTCAAGTTCCAGGATACAAACGAAAAAGTTGTTGACAAAAACGCAATGCTTCAACGTCTAGTTAAAGACAAGATTGACACCTTCTCGTTCCAGGAACACGAAAAGTTTGCCCAGGCTTACACGCTCTACCCCAAGGAATTTGGCCGGATTGCTGATTTCATGGGTAATGGCCGCACTTTCCACGAGTGTGTTTTGCATTACTACCGAACGAAGAAACAGGCTGATTACAAGGGTCTACTGGTCAAGCCTAAAGCTCGTGGCAAACGCGGCCGCAAGAAGAAGGTGGATATTTTCGAAGATCACTTCGCTTCTTCTCCCAACACGGTTGCTAGTAATATTGACTCACCAGCGGGAACTCCTTCAGTTGATGATGCTGAGGGCGATGCTATGGAGGTTGACGATTCCTCGAGAGATCTCTCAGTTGATTTGAAAATCGAAAAGGACGAGGAACCAAAGCCAGCAGCCACAGAGCCTTTGGTACTTCCAAAAGTGCGCAAGCCTCGCCAGCGCAAGGAAAAGAAGCCTGTGGAAGTTGATGGTGATACGGTCGAGGCTGCTCAGACATTGCAGACTGTACAATCAGCGGACAGCTCATTTGACGCACTTGCGACGCTTGCTGCGGTTTCAGCGGCTGCCCCGGTTGTTTCGAACGTCGGAACCCTTTCGGGAACACCCGTTCCAGAAGAAAGCTGGCATGCGAAAGATGTTCAGCTGTTTGAACGGTTACTAGACCTTTACGGCACTAGGTGGTCTGAGATTGCAAAGCACGTTGGCCGATCAGCGAGTACTTGTACTAGTTATTTCGAGCAATTCGCAGATCAACGCGGCTACCGCGAGACTGCAGCAAAGGCAGATGAGCGCAATGCCGTACGGGTCCTCCCTGTGTATGTCAAGGCAAACGGGGCGGGGCATAACGGAACAAGCGCAATCAAGGATCACCAACCGAGCCCGTCACAGGTGCCCGTAGCTATACTGAATGGACCGAGCCCGGGATTTTTTGCTCCGCGACCGCACCTACCAGTACAAGCTGAGCCTCCGGTGAAACGTGCTGCCCCAATTGTTGTACCACCTCCTGTTGCACCCCTCAAGCATGAGCCAGAATCTGTTGAGAAGCCAGACCCAGTTCCAATAGCGCCCACACCGGTCAAGCACACTGTGCTCCATGTGGCCCCTGCCCCGCCAGCTACAGGCCTACCGGCGATAATTTCGCCAGTAGTTCGTCCTGTCAGTGCCTCGCCACCTGCAGATGCTCTTGGATCCGCTGAGGCTGAGCGGCCGGTGATTAAGGTGCAGGGCTCTGTCTTGAGCAGTCTTGGCAATTCCGATCATCCTTCACTGCCCCCACTGGTTCCCAGGACTTCCTCATACATGGGTATGAATGATTTCATGAAACCCTATGTTGATCAGACGTACCGAGAAAGTAACGAACGCGGGCGTCCTTAAATAGCTTTCAAGTACGAAATTCTGTTCTTTTTTCTGCTCTTCGCCCCTCTCGCTTGCCTTACAATTTTAATAACGTGCATGCAAATCCTGTAGGGCACGGGCACATTGCATATACATTGCGGGCATCGCTTGATGTTTTGGGCACTTTGTTGGCGGTTAGAGGCATAAGAGTACAGCAGTAGCTCTAGCAATGATGTAAATCAGACGTTTTCAGGGAGCACGGCTCCCAAAAAGAGGCTGTTGATTCATGTGTGTCTAGCTGTCATGCCAAGCCTTGCGCCTTCCCGGGGCGTTTTCCATTGACTAACCCAGCAGGTATATTTAACCTCAGTATTTATGCGCTAGAGGAAAGTTTGCTCAAACGGTGAACTTTAATGGAATCGATAAATGAACGATTCTATAGAGACGAGACGCATTATAACTTGGACGCCATGTTCGTCTTGCAAACTGCTGCTATTTTGGACGGCTCTGCTGTGGGCCATCTCGACTGTTTCTGCAGTTTCCTTGCGAAACACGGCTGAGCTGAGGTATATTGCACCTGTTTTAAGCATAAACCATATCGATTCGCCCAACGGAATCAACCTAGAGGTCTCGATCGGTTCTGACGATCACATTTCGAATTTAGCGCGCCGCTGGTACGTCCAGTTCGATCCAAATAACGCTCAAGCTTTGAACGAGCAATACAGACCGTCTCTCAAATCGAGCTCGGACTCGCTTGCTCTGTACACGTTTTTGACCAGAAATACTTCCCAAGTTGAGCTGCCGCAAAAAACGCTCAAGTTCAAGCTCACGTTGGCGCAGCAGGAAGACGACTGGCTGCAAATAGAGGACGAGAATGGAGTAAAGGACAGCACCCTGTCTGTGCTGGAGGGTACAGCGTATAGAAACGTCTTCAAGTTGAAGAATAACAAAGAGGTCTCGACGTACAATCCGGTTGGCTGGGCGCGTGTGGTCGTCTCTAATTCATCGAGTGGAACATCCTTCATGGGTTCTTGGCTTGTTGACGACGAAACTAATTTGGGGATACCACAAACTGTGTATCATTTGACGACAGTCGAGCACTTGGCAGCAACGCTCAGCGGCACTGAGAAAAAACAGCTCTTGGACAGGAACTGGAGCGCGGATCAAGCAATTGTTTGGCGTGAAGCAGATGTTGACAACGAAGGGCCTCTCAACTCGATGGAGAAGTTTCCAGTCAACGATTTCAGGTATTTGGATGAACTAGATCAAGGTCATGCCACGATGAAATTCCGGCGTGACGACGTTAGCGGAAACTCTCCTAATGGCGTTAGTTTATACACCACTATAGGCGATACAAGTGGGTGTCCTCAAAAGCGAATGGTCTCTCTCACGGGTATAGCCGTTGACTGCAATTTCATGAGACAGTTCAATTCTACTCAGTCAATCCGTTCGTATCTTCTCGATACCGTGAGCCAATCCTCGCGCTTTTTCGAGCAAGGATTCAATATCACGCTTGGCCTCAAACATATCGTCATGCCGAATTCAACAGACTGTCCAGCTTCTGACCCCCAGTATCCCTGGAACTATCAATGTGTGCAAAACGGGTCTTCGATAAACGACCGTCTGAATTCCTTCACTGACTGGCGAAAAACCCGTTCCGACGATGGAATCGCAACCTGGACATTATTCACGGACTGTGGACAGGGAAGTTTGGTGGGTATTGCTTGGGCAGGACTTGTTTGCCAGAAGGGTGGCACCAGCGTCGTCACAAAAACTTTGCTTGACCCCCATGTGCTGGCCCACGAGCTTGGCCACTCTTTCGGAGCGGTTCACGACTGTGACAGTGATACCTGTAGCAAGCTTGATGACACGACGTCTAATTGCTGTCCTGGCTCGTCAAACGCTTGTTTGCCTAACGGCCAGTACCTCATGAACCCGAGCGCCGGATCATCACAGCAGTCGTTCAGTGCATGCACGCAGGGCAATGTTTGCACCAACATCGCTCGACGCACAATCAATAGCACATGTCTATTGGCGAATTCAGGAGGAATCAATCTGATCTCGGAAAATGTTTGTGGTAACGGAATTGTTGAAGAGGGAGAAGAGTGCGATTGTGGCGGTGTAGAGGGATGCAAGGGCAACCCTTGCTGCGATCCTCTGACCTGTAAATATACTGCAGGGTCTCAGTGCGATGATACAAATGAGCAGTGCTGCTCAGGCTGCAAGTTCGCAGCGTCCGATACGGTTTGTCGCCAATCCACTGGCCCTTGTGATTTCGACCAGTATTGTCCCGGAAACTCTACATCTTGCCCTGGACCGCGGCTGGCGGAAAACGGAAAATCATGTCAACTTCCTGATAGAAATTCGACGGGTCTTAGTTGTGTCGCCGGCCATTGTACGTCCCGGGATCTTCAGTGTCAGCTCATTATGGCAAATAGAACCGTGACCGTAGCTGGTCGGCCCTTGAATCTGCAAAAGGCATGCGATTCCACATCCTGTCAAATATCCTGCATCGATCCAAACTTTACCGGAAACTGCTTTATGCTACACCAAAACTACTTGGACGGCACCCCTTGTGCTGGAACCGGTACATGCCGAAACGGTCAATGCATTGGCGGCAAGAGTTCCTTCTTCGATGATGCTGGCGGAAGCGGTGGATGGGCATGGTGGAAGTACATTGCAGTTGCTATTGGTGCCTTTGCTGGTGTGTCCTTTTTCCTGTACATCCTTACGATGTTGACGCGGGGACGCAGTAAAAGACTGCGAGCATACCAGGCATCCCAACCATACTACCCTCCGCCTCCTTCCATGGATCCTACTTACAATACTTATCCGCCTCCGCCTCCCTCCATGGAGCCTACTTACAATATTTATGCACCTCCACTACCAATGTATAGGAGCGATGATCCCCCACCACCGACTTACGCTACTCGGGAGTATGACGATCGAGGTGCTTCATCGTCCGAAGTATTCTACGCACCGCCCGAGCGCGCACGTGGGAGTAAATCGAGAGTTCGTATCAGCCAGTTCCCATAACTGGCGCCTAATACCTCTAAATCAACCAAGTATTCTTTTTTATTAATAGTCGCATCTACCGTTCATGCAAGTATAACGACCTGCAATCAATTGCTGGGGCTCCTGCATCCATCAGGTCGGGAGGAAAGGGGGAAGGACCAGCCATGGCAGATTTATATAATAGGGTAAATTGAGCTTGCAGCTGAAGCAGGAGCTTTGGGGCTGGCTGCTGGTTTGTGAAAGGCCCCTGAATCAATTATGGATTTACCACAGGTTCGCCCTCTCTTCTGGGCTGTTTCAGATTCGCTTCGCTACGATTGCAGATCAAAGTAATGTCTTTGTAATGCAGCTGGCTCGTTTCTGTGGCTACACCAGAACACGTGTGCATTTTAAAGCCCGTCGGCTTTGGCATTTTGAAGCAATTAATTTCCGGTTTGTTTATATTGTATCAACAATTTCCCACAAACGTCCCCCACCCGTATTTTACCCCTGGCCAGATCGACCTCGCGTGCACCCCTCTGATAATAAGCACCCGCATTAATTAGCTGCAGCCCCTTACTACTTGAAAATCGCTCCGGATATAAGGCGATCATCACCATCCAGAGAGGTTGATAACGGTCGTCTGAAAAAGCTGCACAAACTCACAAGAAACAATGCTTAATGGTCGTGATCGATCCCACCGGGCCTCCAAGACATTCAGCACGAGGTCTATTTCCATGTTGCTTAACGGTGGTCTGAGTAAAACTAAACGTACTGACTCGGCCGCTTCGCTGAAAAGCGGGAAAACAAGCACGCGACTCAACAGCCAGGGAAGCTTTAGTAGCTTGACCAGTGACTCGACAGTGAGCTCGCTGAACCATAGCCCGCGCACGCCCTCTGAGCCAGCGTCTTCATGGAGTTGCTTGCCCGACAACGCGCCAACCTTATCTTTAGATTTTGAGACGTCCAGGCACTCTGACCTGGCGCCGGACATTTTACTCAAGCCGCAGCTCACGTCTACCCGCAAGGTCATGAAGAGAAACGGCAGCGTCTACATTTTCCATGGCGATGAATCCATGAACGAAGCCGAGCTATTCAATCCCTTTGAGAAGTACTGGTAATTTTGGAAACCAAAAGGCCGTTCAATCTGGCCCGGCACTTTCAGTCGTTCAGCGGCTTTGACATTTTATGCCTGAATACGAATATTTTTTTGGAAGCTCGACGCAACGTCAAGCGAGTTTTTGGACTATAAAACGATGCAAGGTTGTCTATTTGAAAAGAACAACTACAAAATTGGTACGACCCGAAACACTTGCCAGATGCATTTGTATATTCTTCGTAGAACATATATTTATTAATCAAGGAAATCATTGCTCGGCGTGGTAGTTAGCCGCCCGCCCGAGAGACAGCTTTGAAGGCGACGAATTCAAAGAGACGGGGCTGAGGCTCGGCGAGTCTGGTATAGCAGAGCATACGGATAGTTTGCGGAGGTGTATTGGCACATGTCGCTTCGGAAGTGGGAACACTAGTGGCGAGTCTCCCGAAGTTCTTCTGTCCTTTGACGAACTCAAAGAGAGCAGGCTTATAGTCGAGGTGGGCACAATTAGCGGTGTGAATGGATGCATGGGACTATCATCCACGGGGGAGAACGGGAACAGGTCTGGAGAGTCCGGTTGCGGAGGGATCATCATTGTGTTTTTATTTGTGGATTGATTTGGAGCTGGACGTCAAACTAGAGCAATGCAGCAATGCAGATATGCGTGGCACACAAATTAATAAAAACTTTTCACAAAGCGCAGGGTCAATCACAAATCTGGTTCTTCGGGTGATGCTTATTGCACTTTATATGTGCAACAACAACAAGGTTTTATACACGGTAATTTTTCAACCCACGTCGCCTGCATCAGACCTTACCCTGATTAGATGGAAAAAGGTCGCGTGAGCAGATAGTCGGCAGCATGTGGTAAAATCTAGATGATGGTGCAGCAGGTCAAAGTTACAAAAGTTACAGGTAAATAGCAGGGAATTTGTGGGCTCGATGGAGATGTGCGGCTAGCGAGCTTTTTGCCCCGAGGGCTCCGTCGAGGCTCGTGAACTCGATCTCGGTCTCCACGTTTTGCCCGAACGCATCGCTGTTGCTGTGCAAAACTAATGCACAGTCCCTCAGCTGCTTAGGAGGTAAGTATGATTGGTTGTGACCAAGAAACAGGCTACCCTTAGCAACCACAGGAACGTGCATGGCGAGGGTCAGCCTGACAATGATGTTGGCATTGTTCCAGTCATTGAACGCCAGTAATTTCAGTCGAGTAGGCGTCAGCCGTAGCATTGCTGCCGCCCAGACCTCGTCCAGGATGTCGGAATCAATGGTTTTGGCGAAAATCGCGGGTGGGTCCCACGTGTAAGCGTATCCATTGGGACATAGCTCATGCAGTAACTTGTGCTCAACCCGCTGTTGTTCGTAAACAATGTTCAGGAGCATCTCAATAGACAGCAGAGACCCGTGCGTTTGATAGAATAGCCCCTCGCGCTGACCTTCGCGGATGCGGGCAATCAGGTCTTCTTTCGACAAGGCGACCGCGTTGCTAGGCAGAGCCTTCGCAGTGGTGAAGTGGTAGATCATATGCTGCTTCAAACTTTTTTCGTATTCGATATAGAATTTCGGGTTGGCTTTTTTTTCTGCGCTCGCCGGCTGCCAATTGTCTTCTAGAGGCTCACCAACAGCATTTCGGTCGAGTTTAATCAAATCAAACAGAACGCTATGGTTTTCGAAATCCGGCTGAACTAAGGCACTGATAATCACCGGCCGGGCCTGCAAATGCCCGTTTTTGGCAGGAAATAGCGGGACTCGGTGCTCGTTTTCATAGCGGTGGTCACCAAAAATAAGCACATGGGGAGCAATTGGTACCACTACAGTGTGCATTGCACCCTCCATGTTTGTGATGCTATCTCCCTTCTCATATTTGACCTTGAGCGCTCCGTCCTTTTTAGTGCTCAGGAGGTGGCTTACCAGAGCTTGGGGGACAATTGGCGAAACACCAACTACTGCCTGGTCCACTTCATAGTACCTCTCTAGAAAATGTTTTCTAACGTCGCTAACTGTTGCAGGAAGCGAGGTCGTCACCAGCTCCCCGCTTTTAGTGAGCAGCGAAGGCGTGCGTCTAGCAAGCTCTTGAGCGGTCATCACAGCAAATGAGTAAGTGAGTTCATGGCCTTCGGACCCTCGAGCATTTTTGGTTTGCTCGACGAGTCTCGACAAGTCTCCACACATTGACTTTGATACACTATATATGTATGATATAAAATATGACCTGCAACTTCTTGAGCCCATACGACGCAAGTGGGAAAATCACAACAAATAAATATGTGTTTCGAGCCCGTCAAGCATCTATCACACCGGTTTGCAATGGTTCGTGCGAGTACTGATGATTTCGCATGTTGAGATAAGTGGCAAACAAGGTGAATCCTAGAGATGCCAAAAAGAGAATTGCGACCACACTGAGCCAGTCTGCAGCCAACGCATAGCCAAAAATTGTCGCTACCAACAGCACACAGCTTGCCAGAACAGCCGCGATGGCCATTGCCCGTCTTGTTTGTGAGTCCATTGATTAAGTCAGGTTTTGCTCGCCTGGGTAGTTGAGCCCCCGCAATCTACAACTTTTTTGATGCATCATATTGCTGTCTATTTCCCAAGTTTTTTTTTATAGTTTGGCTTCGAAAACCGCTCGAGCATTAGTCCTCCATGAATTTTTGGCATTGGCAGCACTTCATGCAAGATTAGGTCATTTTTTTCCCGGTTGACTACCATGTCGAAGGAAGCTAAAGATTTGGAGGAGGAAAGTGGCGATGCCTTCATTAACCAGAACGAGGTTGGTGAAGTTGTCGAAGAGGTTGTCGATGAAGATCAGCCCATGTCTGACGATGAGGATCTCGACGAGGACGAGTTCGATGAGCATGGAAACTTGGAGATCGATCTCACCAACAACTCCTCGACGTACTTTGACCAACACCAAGATTCTATTTTCCTGATCTCCAGCCACCCGACGCTGCCAATGGTGGTGACTGGCGGCGGTGATGAGATGGGTTATCTGTGGACTACCCACTCTAACCCACCCCGAGTAGCCAGCCAATTGACCGGCCACACAGAGTCGCTAGTTGCCGGTGGCTTTACCAGTGATGGCAAATATTTGGTTACTGGAGACATGAATGGCCAAATAAGAGTGTGGCGGTCCAAAGCTGGGGGCGAGAAATGGGAGTTTTTCTCCTCATTGCAGGAGGTCGACGAAGTGGTGTGTCTTCGCATCCACCCGAAGCAGCCTGTGTTTGCAATTAGTGCGAAAGATGGCTCAATTTGGGTCTACGAAATGGGCGGCAACAAGCTGAACAACATCGCCGTCCTGAACGCTCACTCGGAAGCCGTCAACGACCTGCTGTTTGCCGAGGTTGATAACGAGGAGAAAATGACCCTTATCAGTGCCAGTGACGACGCAGGGATCATCAGTTGGAACGTGTACCAGTCGACGGCCAACTATCACTTGGGACCTGCTCAGCTCAAAGGCGAGCATCCGTGGGTTGTGTTATGTTTGTCGCCCTCGGGCCGCACTTTTGCGACAGGCTCTCAGGACGGTACCATGGTTATTGTCAAAGTAGACGACGGAGCTCTGTTGCAGAAGATTGATACCGGCAACGATGCAGAGGACGAAGAGAGCCGAAGCGTCGAGGCGATTGCCTGGGCAGACAAAGCCAACATTGTTGCTGTGGGCAACGTAGGGGGTCAAATCCAGCTGTGGGATATTGCGACTTGGAAGGTGCGCAACACTCTGCAGATTGAGGGTGCTATCACCAAGTTGGAGTTCATCAAAGGCACCACGAAGCTAGTGTCCAGTGGTTACGACGGATCGCTGATTGTTTGGGATGTAATTACTGGCAACAAAGTGTGGCAGTGCTTTGGCCATAATGCCGGCGTGCTGGGCTTTGCCATCCAGGAGAATGGAAGCCGAATCATCTCTGCCGGCGATGAGGGCGTGTCTCTCGTATTCGAAGTCTCTGAAGTTGATTAGCATTTTATAGACTACTGAGCCTTGTTGACATGTTTTTGGACTAATTTATCGAGAAACGAGCTGTTGTTGCTCAATGCTGCGTTCACTTGTTTCTCTACAAGCTTGCCCATAAGATCAACTTCGATATTGACAGTGTCACCGACATTTTTGAGAGCAATACTGACCTTTTCTTGGGTGTAGGCAATAAGCATGACTCCAAAAGTGCTCTTGTCGTCGTCTACTTCGGTCACCGTCAAGGACGTACCGTTGATGGCGATGAAGCCTTTCTCGACAATGTACAAGAGCATTTTCGGATCATTGACCTTGAATGTGAACCGCAGTGAGTTCTCGTCGGCCTCAATATTGACAATTTCCGCAGTGGTGTCAACATGACCCTGGACAAAATGGCCGCCGAATCGAACGTGGCCAGCCACAGCACGCTCGAGGTTAACTTTCTGGCCCTTGGCGATTTTACCGAGGTTTGTGCGGTCCAGAGTCTCCGGTGCAATGCCTACCTTGAACGAATCGTTGTCAAACTCAGTAACTGTCAGGCAGACGCCGTCAACGGCGATGGAGTCACCGTCGTGGCAGTCGCCCAAGATGGAACTGGCACCTGTGATTGTCAGTGAGACACCATTTCCTCCCGACTTTGAGGTATCGTGCTGTTGTAGCTCTGCAACAGTTCCAAGAGCTTCGACAATTCCAGTGAACATGTCAAGTTTCCAAGCGGCGTTCCGGGGCAAAACGTAATAATATGGCTGCATAGTCGCTTGGTCACTCGCGGAGCTAAATTTACTTTATTTTTGCCCTAATAGATACTCATTGTAATGTACTACCGGAATTCCTCAATAATTTCTAACATCTACCTATTTGATCCGTTTTCTCCAAACTGGCATTCAGAGTCTAGACTCTGTGGGGGAGGGACGGCTGCGTCATCATTACGATAATGTCGTTTGCACCTTTGAAGAACGACCTGATTTTGCGGGCTGCTCGTGGCGAGAAGGTCGAGCGCCCTCCGATGTGGATCATGCGCCAGGCTGGTCGCTATCTGCCAGAGTACAACCAGTACAAAGGCTCGAGCGACTTTTTTGATTTGTGCCGGGACCCTGAGAAGGCGTCTGTCATTACTATCCAGCCGATTAAACACTATCCAGGTCTCTTAGACGCTGCTATTATTTTCAGCGATATCTTAGTTGTCCCTCAGGCTCTCGGTATGACCGTCGAGATGAAGGAAGGCGCTGGCCCTCATTTCCCTGACCCGCTGAGAAAGCCTGAGGAAGTCGATTCCAAGCTCAACTTCAATCCCGACGTCTCCAAAGAGCTCGATTGGGCTTTCAAGGCGATTACCTTGACCCGCAAGAAGTTGGATGGAGAAGTGCCTCTGCTCGGCTTCTGCGGGGCGCCCTGGACCCTCCTTGTCTACATGATCGAAGGCGGGGGCTCTAAAATGTACCGCTTTGTTCGTGAATGGATTTACAAGTACCCTCAGGAGTCCCACCGAGTGTTGCAGCTATTGACAAAGACATGCATTGAGTTTTTGGCCCTGCAAGTTCAGGCGGGCGCCCAAATGGTGCAAATCTTTGATTCTTGGGCTGGTGAACTTGGGCCCACCGAATTTAAAAAGTTCTCTTTGCCTTACTTGCTTGAGATTGCTGAAAAGCTTTCTCTTCGTCTTAAAGAACTCGGCTTGGAGCCCGTGCCTATGACGATTTTCGCCAAGGGTGCCTGGTACGCCGTCGAGGACTTGTGCAACTCCAACTATAACACCATTTCGCTTGACTGGCTGCACGACCCTGCGCAGGCGGTAGCTCAGGTCGCTGGCCGCAAAGTGCTGCAGGGCAACCTTGATCCTGGTGTGATGTATGGCTCTAAGGAGACAATCACCGCCAAGGTCGAGGAAATGATCAAGGGATTCAACGGTGGTAAGCAAAACTATATCATCAACTTTGGTCATGGCACGCATCCTTTCATGGATCCCGAAAACATCGGCTGGTTCCTTGAGGAGTGTCACCGGGTTGGCTCTCTGTAAATAGGTAAAAGTACAAACAATATTAGATGCTAGAAATAGGTTTGTCGCAGTTTCTTTCGATGATTAATTAGAAAAGGTCGCGCGGGACAGAAAAGGAGAAAGAAAAAGGACAAACAGAGGCGGGGGGACATGGATCACAAGGCTTTTGTCGGGGCAAGATAAGTCCGAGCCATCCAAATCTCATCTTCGAATTCTTTGAGGGCTCTTGTCTCGGCCCACCCAAACAGATACCCTATCAAGCCTTGTATAACACCCACTGTCATGATCAGTGCTGTAGCGGTCGTGAAAATGAAGCCGACGTAGGCCCGTCCGGACTTGGCGGCCCACCAGATCGCGACCATCATGCCGACTACAGTGGCATTGGAGAGCCAGAAATGCCAGATACGCCAGCTGGCTTGCCATTTGGCTACTGGTTTGTACTCTGTGATCATCATGAGGATTTGCTCAAACATTGTCAACGAGCCTTCCACATCGGTGTCGCACTGCCGTGGAGTCGGCGTGTGTATGACGAACGAGCCCTCGATGCCAAAGTGATCGCTAACAGACCCGATGTTGGGGATGGGTTCAGTGAATACTACTTTGCACTCTGACGGTGCAGCGGTGGTTTCGTCGTAAAAAATGTAGTCCAGTCGCTTTGCTCGCTCTTTCGCATAATTAACCCGCCACGTATTCAATTGGCTATCTGATGTGACTCCGGCGAGCAGGATCTGGTCTTCAGGACTCAATGATGCTATATTTCCCTCGTACTCGCCGTGGCAGGTGACCCAGGCATCGGACAAGCGGCCCGTTCTCTCGAATAGTTGATGCATTAAAGTACCTGGCCGTGAATTAAGATCACCCACCGCGAAAACAACGTGGCCGGTCTCACTCGCTCGCGCAGCGAGACGGGCCATTTCCCATGCTTGACTAGTCCGGTGACATGTGTATGCAGCGTCACCCGTGCCGTATGGGGCGTGAAGATGGGCATTAAAGACGTCGATTTTGAGGCCGCTGGGGTGGTCAATAATGCAAAACCCCACGGACTTGCCCACGTACCAGTCGCCTCGGAAGAATGCAGACGGCCGCCCATTCAGAGGAAATCGGAACACTGACGAGTGCGCAATTGGCCAACGGCTAAAAACAACAAGGCCAGGGCCGGCCAAAATTCCGGAATAGAACCTCTTGGTGTGGGGAAGAAAATGCGCCACCGCGGCTTTGATGTGTTCGTAGTCACGGTCAACCCACAGCTCTTGAAGAGCGACAATATCGTAATGGCTACATTCTCGCAGGCGCTCCGATATCGCCGTAATGCGTGCCTCACGCTCTGTCGATATGTACTTGAGCCCCCAGCAATTTAGGCTTAGGATGCGGACCTGATTGTCCAACATCACTTCTCAAAAGTGTAAAACGTCAAGAATTCTTGTTTAGGCCTGTTCTCGAGTCAAACCCTATCACCCTGCTTAGGTAATGGGAATCTTTTCTCGCAGAGCTCGTCGACCTTCACATGGTGATAAGAGGCTGGCTCTCTGGCTCGATCAGAGGGGCACCTCTCGGCCCAAAAAAAGTCACACAAGGGGCACATGGGACATACCAACGTAGCGTAGGCGTAAACAGCGTTGTTACATTTAGTTTGTACAAGTCGTGTAACAACCGGTTTAGTATATGAGCGCTCCTAAACTACGCCTGGGACTAAATTTGCTAGCTGGGTTTCAGAATTCTAGAATCTGAGCTCGAGGTCGGCGTTTTCCTTGCAGATGTAGGTACGAAAAACATGGGGGTGCCACTTTTATCCGGCAGTAGCCCTGGCAGCAACTGGGCACCCCTCGCTTTGAGGCTATTTCATTCAGTGCATTTTCGGTCCCCCGAGCTCGGAGGTCAGTAAATTTGGACTTTGCTGTAAAGCATAATATTAGACAAGCAATGAGAAATGCATAGCGGCGGCCGGGTCGCCCGGGCCAGCAAACGCGACCTCTGGGCGTACCGCTAAATAGAGGTAATAGACTTTATTCATAGTTCCTGTTAGCATAAGCCTAATAAGGTCTCCTACCAATACAAGCAAGGGTCGTCAAACAGGCGTAGGCATGGTGGTGTACATTGTGGTTGGTACGGTTAGGGTTTACTGCAGCAAAGGGCTCCCATGTCTGGATGACTTTACTTTAGGCGGCAGCCCGATCTGGCCAATCTGTGGCTAGATTCGGTGGGGTATCGAGCCGTTGTTTCGTCGATTGCTGGGGCGAGATCGGTATGGGATTAATTAATACTAGTCCTTACCATAAGGCGGTCTAATTGTCTTGCCCATGAAGCCACGCACGTGGAGCTCCGTGCATTTTTCGCATGACCTTACACACTCCCACAGTGTCACTACCATAACCACTTGGCAGGAAACTGCATCAGAGGTGCTGCTGCGAATATTAATAAAAACGGAAATGGACCACCAGTGAGGGGAACATTCTGGTCTGGCGTACCTCTGGTCAGTATCTGAGAGTCATCTAGGCATCGCCGCCTCGTGTATCACTCCATTTCAGTGCGTGCTCAGAAGTGTCTTCAATCAGCAGAAAGTCATGCTTATGCAGAAAATGGAAACCAGAAGACGCCCCTGCATCCCCTATCCTTAACGCAAAATTTCTGCATATTTTCGTAATCACGTTTACTCGAAATACTCTATGCATGCGCAGGTCAGGATGAGACGGTGGCTAAGCCTCTAACTGCTTTACGAAAGCTCAGGGGTGAGCCGCTACCACGGTGCATACACAGGCTTCACACTAGACACATTGCCGCTGTTCAATCCCTAAAAGCACAACACATTGGGTATTCACTATTGCTCTGACCGCCATCTTGACAGCTACATTACCGGCATCCCCTTAGTAATGAGTCTCTTGCAGCGGCCTGGATTCTATATGGGTTAGGAGCTCGCTACGGAAAAACCGTACAGACACTGCATATACCGAGAGCCGAGCCGGCTCGTCGTGTGTGCCAGTTTATGAGGAGCCTTCTCGTCTTGGGCCTCCTGTACAGTTGGGATCTAAAATGGCTATGCTGGCCTAAAAGTCTCATAGCCCTGGGGTCACCCGTCACATGCGCGTTTAGGATTTGTTTTTTCGCCAAGAGACGCAGCTCGCAGCTCTGCATATTGGTACCGAACAGGGGTCATACGATGTTTTATTCAGCGAAATTCGACACATTCTGAATTTAAAAGGTACCTGGTCGTGGCACCGGTGTATATCTCAATCCCATCAGCGTACCCCCACACCTAGTAATCCCACTTTTTGGGCTTAAAATTAAGGTTGTCTCCCCGGAAATCTGTTGACGTAGACTAGTCCCAGCGACACTGGGAGGAAGTGCGAGACCAGCTTACCAATCTCGCTTACAGCCCCAGGGGCAGCAGAGCGCAGCAGCCGACTCGGTTTGCTTTGGTCCTGTTTGCGGAGCTCAGAAAAGCCACAAATTAGATTATAGACGACCTTAGTGCCAGCATGAGCAAGCAAGTTTTTTTAAAAAGGATTTTATTAGTAACTTGAGCAGCTATTGAGTCGCCAAAATAAACCCCCGAACCATTTGTTTCGGAGGTACCCGCTGTCGAGGCTAGGTTAAGTTACTTTTGCTTGAGCTTCCTTGGGTATCGGCATAAGAAACACTCTCGAGAATTGGACACTGGGATGGCTATAGCCTCATAAAAGTTGCGTAAAACAGGCGGCGGCTTCCTGCCACCGCACATGCAATCATGGGCCTGGACTTTGCTTCGCCGAACATGTTTCAGCCAGGTTGTCCTCAGCACCAGCAAGGGTGCGTGCTACCCTTACCTTGAGTGCGAGGAGCCGTAGCGTGGATATGCATCTCCTAAAAATCTTGCAGACCGCCATGCATCGTGTATAAAAGCACTGCCTAGAGCCCAGGAGGCGGCTCCATCCTAGCAATCCAGCAAGCCTCCAATCCATATCTTGACCCCTCCACCCCCACCTTACTACTATGATTGTTATAGACGGCACCAAGTATTCATGTCAACGTTGTATTCGTGGCCATCGCGTCTCCGGCTGTGACCATTACGATGAGGAGCTCTTCATCATCAAACGAAAAGGACGACCTTCCAGCATGTGCATGTACTGCCGAAGAACGCGCCAGGCAAGAAATAATAAGATCAAGTGTGTTTGTGCTGGTCCGTCAGAGAGCTGCGCAAGCCTGACCTGTAAAAACGCCGACAACTCCAAGGGCTGTACCTGTGCCCAGAACAACTCCCAGCAGATGCAAACTATTCCTGCTAGCTGTGCACGCGCGCTCATTGCCTCCGGCAAGCTCGATAACCGTGCAAGCAACAACTTTAGGAGCTACCCCTCTCAGAACGAAGCCACTCAGCGCACACTTGCATACGACGAACGGTCGACAACTTACCCGAACACGGACCCGTATGCCCCTCTTAGTCCTCCCGAGTCTATGTGCAGCGATAACTCTGATATCAGGAGCGTCGATTCTAACATGAACTCCCCCCGCATCTCCGACAGTGTCCTCGAGAACATGGGTATGAACAGCCTGTCGAGCAGCAACGACGTGCCCTTGAGGCGATCTATCCAGCCAAGTACACCCTCGTCTTTCAAGACCTCGGTGTACCCTGGCTACGACACGCAGTTCGAGCTTTATACCCTTCCTCAGCGCTTTACTTTTGAGGAGCGATTTCAGGAGCCAATTGTAAATTTTGAGGACGACGCATTCGGATTCCCTCAGGGATCCTCTTCTTTCTCTCGCATGAGTTATTTATATAGTCACTAGTTATTCAGACGTTCTTAGATACTTTTCCAGCTTCTGCTCCCTGGTGCCACCTAGTGTCCCGAACCTCCTTGGCCTTTTGCCATCAATTAACGTTATTCGACGGCAAGATGTTGTTGATTCTGACCTAGTTCGCAGAGTCAACATGAACTTTAAACCTGGCTGAGTTATAAGGTTAACCTTATCCAAGGTAGGTAACTAGTAGTTTTATCGATTGGGCACTAAGCTCAATCTGCTTAAAATAGAGTTTTACCTACTCCGCTTCACCCCCGGCTAGTAGTTGCTTGTTTCATAGCGAGCCCCTCCGAGCAGTTCCTGTATCCAGCTGGCTGTTGAACTCAATACTTGCCTATTCTGATCGTAGTGCCCATCTGGACATCGGCGTGAACCCACACGAGATTTCGAATCTCCAATCTCCGACTTTGACAACCGTAATTCGAGATCGGCCTAATTGCGTTTTGTTTTTGAGTTTATTCGATTGGTCCAAGCAACGTCTCATAAAAGCCATTGCTTTCAGTTTGTTAGCGTACCATACTCGGGCAACCTCCACATGAACGAGTACGACACATTGCTCCCGCCGGCACAAGGCATCGGAGCCCACTTTTACCGCGGGTCTTGGAAAGTCAAGTTCAAGCATTTCATTCTCCACAACGGGCAGGGTAGTAAATCCCCACGGGACCCTACATCCCCCGGGCTTCGCTCGTCTCACCTGCATATCACAGAGCCCAAACTCACCTCGTCATCGGCAAACATCATTGACGTTTCCGAGCTGGCCGGTCGCACTTTAGACCCCGCTCAGCACGAGTCCCGGGTCGCGGTTCCTGTGAGCCCCCCCACAGTCAACCCCAGAACATCGTCCTTGTATTCCTTTGATTCGTTTCAGCAAACGTTTGAGAATCACAAACGAAATACCCTTGCACAATCGGCCGATACGATCCAGGAAAAGACGTCGCATTCATCTCTTCTCACGGCAGTGGACTTCCAGCAGGACAACACCCGCAGAATTGGGGAGCTTGAGAGCGACCTAAAAGCGGCAAAGGAGGAGATATCCGAGCTCAAGCAAGTGCTGCAGGCCGAAAAAGAGCGGAACAGCTTTCTCTGTCAAAAAATCTACGACCAGCACTCGGGCTACTCTGCCGAAAAGGTCGACTTTGTGCAAGTCGTCGCCGAGTACAAACAAGCAATCCGGCGTCTGAAAGAACAAAAGGCTATTGACACTACACACGCCCCACGTCCCACAGAAAGAAAATCACGTCTGGCCCTCGAGTACTTGCCTACGACAGTGACCAGGAAGTCTCAGAACGGCTTCCCTCATTCGGTGCCCATCCAGGAATCTCCACAGGCTACGGTAAGTGTAACTGACTGATATATGTACGCTCCCCTACTATCAAACTACATCTGTCGAATGTCAAAGATGTCGTTAGCGAAAAGAGCAGTTAGTCTAGCCCCTCCCACCGCCCCTCGAAGCTCGTAAAGTTTCGAGTTTTGGTAGGAAGGTCGTGACTAAACCGAGTGCCTCGAACGCTCTTTTATACATACTCTAAACAAGAATACAATAAGAAATAGCACAAGCAAGGAGATCGCAATAGGGACAGCCCGGGGCTGAACCTCGAGAATTAATTCGTGATTTGACTAGAACCCTCGTATCGTCTGTGGTTTTTTTTTGTACTTCATCCTGCCGTCCCACTGGCTGTAAAACCCGAACTGCCGCCGGCCGTCTTTGTCATCACAATGTCAAGATTTCTACCTTCCGGGCCTAATTTGGAGATTTTCAAATTCGCGGTGTGCGTGTCGATGCCTATTGTGCTCATGTTTTACATCGGTAACAACACGCATGAGCGATTGAATGTCGTGGACTTTTGGCCCGACCCCAACCGCCTGAATCAGATTCCGAAGGACCGGATCGAGCTCAAGCTCGAGCTGGCGAGAATGCGCGAGGAAAGACTCGCCAAGAAGCAGACGGCTGCTGCTGCTGCTGCTGCTGCCTCTGTGAATGACGCCGCAGACAAGGCCTGAGTGGCTGTGCACAGGCCGCATTCTGTCATTGAATGCGTTCGCCACGTACTCAGATTTGTACATAGCCCGTAAACTGTTTATTGCAATTTATTTTTATTACCGAGGTTGCTCCCGCTGGCATTCGTGCACACTGCTACTGCTTTGACGTTTCGCTACTACTTTCAGGCTCATGTTGCCAGTCAACAGGCCACCTCCCGGTGATCCTTATTAACCATGTCTCAACCAGCGCCCGCCAGCAACGTGCCCGACTCCTTGCTCGATAGGCTGAGGCAGTCGTCGCACCCGGTGGCGATTATTTTTTACATCTTCTTTCGGCTCGCTCCGCTATTCCTTTATTTATTCGGCTCGCTGGTAATCGCCGACTTCTCGCTGGTGTTCATCCTTGTAGCCATTCTCCTCGCCCTCGACTTCTGGACAGTCAAAAATGTGTCTGGTAGACTAATGGTAGGCCTCAGGTGGTGGAACGAAACCTCAGAGGACGGCACTTCTACCTGGGTGTATGAGACTGCCAGCCCAGACAGGTACATCAATCCAATTGACTCTAAATGTTTCTGGCTGCTAATGTACGCCGTGCCAGGTGCATGGGCTGTTCTGGGTCTGGTTGCAGTGCTCAAGTTTGAGCTTATCTGGCTGCTGGGTGTCATCTACGCCCTTGTTCTTATGGGCACTAACACGTTGGCATACAACCGAAGTGATAAGTTTGCCAAGGCAAATACCTCTTCTTCGAATATCGTAGGTCGCCTCTTTTCGGGAGTCACCCAGATTTGGGGACAGAACACCGCCACGTCCATGGCCTCGCGTTTCTGGAGTAGTTGATGAAAGGCTGTCTGCCTTGTATATATACATAAAACACTGCAAAACTAAGAGCTGTTTAGCCAGCTAGATTTTCTCGTGTAAAAGGCTCTGCTCGCGCCGCCAGTACCAACCAAGCAACTTGTGGATCTCCTTCAAAGTAGCGAAATCCTCGTGCTCAACGCAAATATCAATCAGAGGCTGCAAGTGAACGCGGCGCCATCTGAAGTACTTGGACGTGGAGAGCACAATGCGAAGGGCATTTTCGACCTCTCCACTGACTGCAAACAGCTCCACCATGTCGCGGGCAAACCGGATATCTGACTTTTCCCGCGCTTCTTTGGGCAGCTGCTTGAACATATCGGTGTGTCGCCAAGAACCTCGCTCTTCCCAGACCTGCCGGGCAAATTCGAGATCCTTTGCATCTTTCGCAGCGAGGATCGCTTGCCGATACACGTTTCCATCTCGGGGGATAGCAACTTGGTTGAGTTTGCTCACCTCCTCGGTCGATTTCTCCTTCACAGCGGCCACCGAAAAAGTGTACTTGTGGTAACGTCGCTTGTACTCCTGAAAGTCGCCTAGTCTTGCAGGGAGATGCACAAAATTAAATAAAACCGGGGAATTGCTGGATGCCGATGCCATGTTCTGTACAAAAAGGATTTCCGGTTGCTTTTCGGCAAAGAACTGCACCAACGCAGCCGACTCTGCCACTACTAACTCAGAGCTCAGCAAATTCAAAGGCAGCATTGGTGGCATCATTTCCAGATTGGGTGCTTCATTGCCTGTTTGAATCATAACCTTCGAGCGGATCTTGGGTCCATAGGGACTCTCAAGAACCGTCGAAAGCGTGTTCGGGGTATACTTGGCATATGCTGTGAACAAACAGTTTAAAGCAAACCCATCAGGATAAGATTCTGGACGCATAAATAGCTGCTTGAAAAGAGCTCTCGTCAAAAAGAGCTCGCCAGTATTGGCACACATGTACAGAAGGGCATTCATCGTGTGACGTCCTGTGGATAAGCCCGCATCGAGCATCTCCATAAAAAATTTCCACGCTTGGATATGGGTTTTCTCGTCGCGTGTACACGCATAGACAAGCGTGTTGTAGGTCTCTGCATCAGGTACAAGCGGATCAACAGCTCTCGACGTCATTTCTCTGTACAAATCCAACACTTTGTTCACATTCATTTCTTTTGAAGCCGCCAGCATCATAGTGTTGTACAACTTCACATCCGGCTGCGTTTTCACAGCCATGTACTTTAGGTTGTCAAAAATTTTGAGGGCCCGACGATACTGCCTACTTTGTATACAGGCTTGAATAACTGTAGTGTAGATGGGCAGCGTCGGCTGAAGCTCTAGCTCACTCATTCGCTGCAGCACTGCTCCAACTTGGTCGACATTTTTGGTTTTGAAGTAGGCCTTGGCCAAATGTCCAAACGTATAATGAGTAGGAGGAGAAGGGTCCAGTTTCATTAAACGCTCAACGTTCTCAGGCGAGCCTACTTGAGCGTAGCCGGACATCAAGCCGTTTACAATGGAGGTGTCGAACGGTACCTTGGCGTCCTGAAGCATTTTTTCCAACCGAGCGACACTGTTGGCTCGTGCCAGCAAGGGAACCTGATGAATAAATATACCAATATCTCTTTGGGGAATCCCCTCGAAGCCACCTTTACTGCTGAGAAGATCAATTTTATGGGGCCAACTGAGATCTGATTCCAGCAGTTGCGCAGTTTTTGAAGGATAGATCCTGTTCTGAATGGACTCTGGGAGCTCATTAGGTCTAGATTTCAAAAACAGACTGGCTTCTTTCTTGCCAGCCGGTAGCTGCTGCATGCTTTGTTCAATTGCAGAGATATCCTTATTTGATGCACTCTGAGAAATCTCCAGGTTATCGTTCTCCACAATGGTATCTTGAATGCGCTTGTCCTTTTGCTCTTCCAGAAATTTTCTCAACTGGAGTTCTTGATGTTTCAACTCGTTTAGCTGCGAATCAAGTTGCGCCTCAGCTTCATCAAGTTTACTCGGTCTTATTTGTGATCCACGCCGTCTTGTGCGTATTGGCTTTGTGGAGACAAACACTGTACGTCTCTGAACTAAGAATAAATTTGCTCGGTTAAGGAACTTAGTTCCATACCTTTGTAGCATTTTCAATTCTTGGGTTTAAGATTTTGAGATTTAAAATTTCGAGAAACTATTACGTGATCAAGATCCTGGTTGAAATAGCAGAACTCCAAACTCCGACATTTTAGTCAACTAGCTTGGTTTTTTTCCCGTTTGCTTATATAATCAAATAATCTTTTCATGTGTAGGCTATTGAGACCAGGGATATTGCAGAATTAATTACATCGCATCGATTAATAGCTTTTGGACGAGTCTGCAAAAAGTTAATTTTCTAACCGTAATTTTCTGGTCCATCCAGTGTGCCTTCGTTTTACGAAAATATATTGTAGATCAAGTCTGTCGTGCTGGTTTTTACGCAGATAACGCCAACTAGAGATCCATGATATGTATATTCTAAAATGAATTGAACAGAACATGTTTTTTGTATGCCGTAAAGCCAGCGACCAGTACATAACTCACTGCTAAGAACGGCACATTTTGCGGGCCTAACTCGAAAACAACCTAATCTATACAGGGACTGTAGTATGCTAATCTGGTCGTAAAATATGCACACATCCACAGCACGCTTTGCCATATCATCACGCTCTCGCAGTCAGTAACGGATAGAATAGCCTATTTAGGCCATATGCTGCAGGGCGACCCCTGATAGCCTCGGTGTGCGTGTGAAAAGTTTGATTTGTGATTTCCGTCGAGTTCGGCTTTCTGGTTTGTTCTAGCTATGTTGGATTACGACGACTTTCAAAGAATCGAGTGTCAAGTTTATTGAATCTGCCCAGCCTTTCTCATGTGCCCTTGATAACACTGTTTTCATACACCAGCAAAACCCTATCCACAGGCAGGCACTGACAGCACGCATGGCTTGAGTCAAGCTGCAGCCTTTGACTGGAATCGGAAGCTGAGAGCGAATACAACTTACTGCGAGGCTCAAATAGTGGGGCTGCGAAAGTTCTCGGTACTAATTAGTTTAGTTATTTGTTTCTGCAAAATTTGGGCCGTTGCGTGCAAATCCCATTGGGGAATCTTGTAAATTCGGGCCTGCATTACGAAGTGGGTGGGAAATCCGTTCGGCCACTGACGCTCAATAGATGTATGAAAGTGCCACGTTTATGTTCGAGCGTATCAACACTTCACGTTCAAGCGGTATTTTCGAAATCTAGACGGGTGTATTACTTGGGCTAGAATATACCCGCTCATACACACCTCGGACCGCTCCGATTCGCCTGACACCAAGAGATTCCTGCATAGCCCCCACGCAGTATGACGCAAAACGACGCAGAATGACGCCCCGCCAGAATAGTCGTGGAAAGACATAGTAACAAAATACCTCACACTACCAAAATCGATTCTAAAAGCACCCTTGTAATGAGCTGACACGCAAATGCGCTGAGGTGGCCTATTTGTCTCCTGGTCCCGGCGATCACGATCTTGCTCGCCGATGCACGCCGTTACCGGCTTTTCGGTTCCCTACATCCAAAATGAACTAGCATACTCTACTGATGTGAACATAAAACACTAAACAGCAAATTTACGAGCACATCAACTATTTTATCCTTATGGGTATCCGTCCAACTCGTTTCAGACATAAACTTTTGCCAAGCACAAACATGCGCCAGCCTTTGTCTGGGGAAAAAAAAACCTGCAGTATTGCGGTAAGGGTATAGTAGGGGCTGGGGTTGATAGTGAAAGACCCGCATACCCCACGCGCACACAAGAGGGGCCAGAAAGAGTTTACGAACCAAGCTGCAAAATCCAGGTAATAGCTTTTTTTCATGTCGGGGATTTTGAGTTATAGAGCTGATATATCTCTCTAAATATCAAGTAGAGCCTTCCCAATAGCTCATGATACCTCGACGAAGATACCTGGCTGCATGCAAAATGCCTTTTATCTATAGGTTGCATGCAGCAGTGCTGCGTATCAGCCATTGCCAACCCACCCGCCCATGCCCAAGTCGAGCACACGCTCTATATAACAGGCGGATCTATCTTGATCGCCGTCAAATTAAGTCTTGTCTACTCCATCTTACGAACGTCATAGGAACTCGTTGAACATGGACCCCACCAAGATGACTGACTCCAAGGAGTTCGCTCGTGTAGCTGAAATCAGCAGTCTTGAAGTGGGAGAGCAAGAAAGTAAACCTCAGGGTAGTTTATTCCGAAGAGTTATTGATGGCTTCAAACCAGCGGAGATAGACAAGGTCGACACCTCGGGCATGTCCGAAGAAGAGATCCAGGCGATCATGATGTCGCGCCAACCCCTCAAACGCAAACTCAAGAACCGACACATTCAGATGATCGCTATTGGAGGATCAATTGGCTCGGGTCTATTTATTGGCTCTGGTGGCTCTTTCAAAACAGGTGGGCCGGCTGCTGTGGTTATTGGTTTTGCTATCATTGGTTTCATGCTGTTTGGAACAATGAATGCCCTCGGCGAGCTTGCGGTTCGCTACCCCATTTCTGGTTCCTTTTCTGTGTTTTCTGTTCGCTTCCTTGATCCCTCCTGGGGATTTGCCATGGGCTGGAATTATGCAGTCATGTGGCTTGTGGTTTATCCTCTTGAGCTTATCGCGGCAGCCGTGGTGATCAATTACTGGAAGTACGATGACAATGGAGCGACCAATGTCAACAAAGCTGCATGGGTCTCATTGTTTTATGTTTTGATTAGCGTTGTCAATGTTTTTGGCGTGCGAGGATACGGTGAGGTCGAGTTTATTCTAGCTATTGTCAAGATATTGGCTGTGGTGGGCTTCTGTATTTTTGGCATTGTGGTTGCCGCTGGTGGAGGACCTAGCCACAAGTACCTTGGTGCTCATTACTGGCATGACCCTGGAGCGTTTGCTCATGGTTTCAAAGGTGTCGCAGCAGTGTTTGTTAACGCGGCATTCGCGTTCACGGGAACAGAGCTTTCCGGTTTAGCAGCCGCAGAAGCACTTAACCCTCACAAAACTCTTCCTCGAGCAGTCAAGCAGGTGTTTTGGCGTATTATTTTGTTCTACATTGTTTCGTTGACCATTGTCTCCATGTTGGTCCCTTATAACAACCCCAATCTTGGAACTGCCTCTGACGGTAGCGCTTCACCATTTGTTATTGCCATTAAAAATGCCGGTGTTAGCGGCCTGCCTTCGGTGTTCAACGTGGTTATTATTCTCGCTGTTCTGTCTGTTGCCAACTCTTCGGTGTATGGCTGCTCGCGAACGCTCACAGCTTTAGCGCATGTTAACATGGCTCCTCGCTGGTTCAAGTACATTGATCGTGAGGGACGTCCTCTTGTTTCAATTTTGTTCACCTTGGCAGTGGGTAATCTCTGTTTCCTTTCGGCCTACGACGGCTATGGCAAGGTATTCGATTGGCTCTTGGCATTTACAGGTATGTCCTCAATTTTCACCTGGGGATCGATCTGCCTGTGTCATATCCGTTTCCGCCATGGTATGCGGGTGCAGGGTAGGTCTCTCGACGAGCTCACGTTCAAAGCACAAGCTGGTGTTTGGGGTTCCTGGCTTGGTTTCGCTATCAACATGGCAGTGCTGGGCCTGCAGTTTTGGATGGCCCTGTTCCCTCCGGGCCAGTCACCGGACGCTCAAACTTTCTTCAAGAGCTATCTGTCTGCGCCGGTTGTGTTGTTATTCTACATAGGGCACAGAATCTGGACTCGAAACTGGAAGCCGTACATTCGTGGCAAAGATATGGACCTCGATAGTGGCATGCGGCAGGTTGACATCGAAGCCATCAAGCGCCTTAACCAGGAGGAGGATCTGCACATCAAGTCGCGCTCTATTTTCTACCGTATTTATCGCTTCTGGTGCTAACCCACCGCTGTTTATTCAATTTGGTGTAGCTTATAGTTCCAAGTGCTGAGTTTGCCCAACTACTCTTTTTCCGTAGTCGGCAAACTGTGTTATATCATTCAGATTGAATTTGTCAAGACCGCTGATAAGGTTATCGGCTGTCGTTTTCTTGATAGTATCGATGCGGCTTAAACCCTTGGCCCTTGGAATCGAGTGCATGTCATGGCTGGTCGGCAAGGTGCTTGTACTCTGTTGGTCCGTCCCGCAATCTCGATCGAGCAAGAGCAAAGATCCCTCTGAGATCATGTCGAAATTGTTTCGGTTTGTTACCGAGTAGGCATATTATACTTTTGCTCGGGATATAACTGTGCGGTGTATTTTTAGCAACAACAAAAGCAGCAGTGTCCTGGCTCGAGTTGATGCAGAGTAATTACTTTTCTATGAGTGTGCAGCCAGCCTGCATATCTGCTTAGACAACGAATTGCTGAGATGGCTTAGGGGAGATCGAGGGTGGTGGGGACAAAGATTCAACAAACGACATAAGTTGGACGAGAAAACAGCTGGTGCCGGGAGCTGATATTTGGGCAGAACCCTATCAGGGCTCAAGTAGGGCGGGCTCTATGCGTGACTGTAAGTGTCTCTTGTTCGCCATTTTAGGGATACACTACTTCTTGTTCCTGCATGCATGAGAAGAGAGCCCAAGTTGATTGGATGCACCCGTTTTGCCATGCTGGTTTCCCGGACCATGACAGGTGTAGACATGCTAGCAACCCTTGGCATATGCTAGCAACACCGTGTGTCTGCACTGCACATACAATGTTGAATGCTCCGGCTGAACCCGAGACAATAAACCAGAGTATGCTTCGACGAGCACCCGGCAGACGAAGATAGCCCCCTAACCCCAACAGCAGGCGAATAGAGGGGTTCGCCTAAAAAGCAACCCTCGAAAAGCTATAGGCAGCCTGAAATAAAATCATAATAACCCGCATGCATCCCACAAGTCAACCATGCGTTTGCAGAATTTTTCGCTATCGAATTACATCTTAGTAGGAATATAATACTGACCACATTCGGTAAGATCACGACCGAAGGTGGGTTGTATGCGCAAGGGTTAGGCGCCGTGCCTGCAGATGAGAAACAATGAAATTGTCCATATTGAGGTAAGAACAGTGAGGCGAAGAAATCCAGATTTCTGACGAGCTGGGGAAACTCAGATGAAAACCAGTCAATGGTAACAGTGTTCAAGCGTACATGCGATTTGACGCCGTGCCAATCTCGGCTGTTGCCCGTGGGAGAGATTGGCTCTGACGCCAATATACACGAGCGTGGGGGCGCGTGATACAACGCTATTAATAGATCCCACACGAGGACAATTCGGAAAAAAACAACACTAAACCACACAGTGCATCCTCAAGGTCACCACAGCTTGTTCTTTTGCGATTGAATTGATTGATCCCTTTGTATGTCTCTTCCCTTGTACGCGCGGTATCCGCGGTAAGTCTCCTGCCGCTGGTTGCTGTTGCAGCGTCATCGGGTCATGCACATTACTATAGTTGCATGTGCGGGCTGACAGATGTGCTAACCACCTATTCTAGGTTTCCAGCATTACACCTTAAAGGACAGTGGCACGCTTTTTTTTTTAAGGGTGGTAATTTTGAGTAGCTACTTTTGTGCAGGCACAAAGACACTCAACTGGAACCTCGCCAAAGGAAATATTTAAAGAAAACGCCTAGATATCGTTTGGATACCTAGAGACTAAGTTCAACTTTGGCCGGCGGTTGTTAAGATCTAGCCACCTCGACACAGATCGTTTTAACGCAGTTGTGCTGGCTCATCTCTCACGGTCTCAGCCACACATATATATCGTCGAAAGCGACAGTTTGCATTCTGGAGCCGCTATCGTTGCTCCTGCCTGGTTTTTCCCCTTGCTTATATTTTTAGCTTCGAGGATTATTCTCGCATCTGTCTGCCGTGTACGGTGTCAGTCGAACTTTAATTAGCGTACCTGAATCGGTCAAGGAGTAAAACAAGTTTTATTTCCTTTGTATTGGTTTGGCCTCGATCATTTACCCATTCGCTGCTCCTGCTCCTTGAGAAAACGCCCCTTCCCTTGAATGTCCTACGCAGCCTACAGCCACTATAACCAGCAACAACGCCTGAACAGGCCCCATCAGGGCCCTGTGTCTTATACAGCGTATCCTGGCCAGTCTGTTCCGTGGACTCACCACTCTAGCCGCTCCTACTCGGCTGGGTCTATTTATTATCCCCCCCGATCCGCATCCCCCTCGCCCTCCAAGGTAAACGGCTACCATCCCCGCTCTAGATCGGTTTCAGGTAATGACTCGTTTCGAAGCTCGCCAATTCCCATGAGCTCTACAACAGCGCCTGCCGGTTCTGTTCCTGACAGATATCATCGGCACCGCCCCTCTTTGAGGTCTTCGCCGAGCGTCAAAAGTTTTGACTTTGACTCGACGTCAACTCAAACGTCAAACACGTCCTCCAGCGGCTCGATTCCTGATGAAACCTCCAAACAAACAAACATTCAACAAGTGCGCGATGTGCTTAACAGGCCCTCGGTCCAATCGATGCCTGACCTCACCCTGCCCAAAGCCCGCAGTAATTCGCCCACAAAGACTCCAGTCCCGGTTGATAGTATTACGCCCCCATCTTCGGTAAGTGGTCCAACCGCCGCTTTCCAGCCAATTCAACCAAAGTGGGCTAGAGCACCTTCCCCGCCTGACCCTGTGACCCAGCCACCAGCCCGTCGACAGCCGGCGAAGCAAGGACCATTGGTATTGCCATCAGATATGCGAGTCAGGCACTCAGTATCTATGGTGGACTTACCTTCTGACGAGAAGAATACGAAACCAATGGTACGTCAGTCTGAGCCGACTTCCCGTCGATCTCCATCTGTTGAAGCCCTCCGTGGACCCCCTGTGGTTGCCATGCCAGCCCCTCGTCCACACAGCATGTACACCAACTATTCGCTGACACCGGAGATTTCTCCAAAGACATCAATTCAGAACGACGCCGAGACAAGAAGTCTCCAACCTGGTAGAGGCCCCGTACGCCCCACGCAACCACAACGTCCTGCATCAGTTCTTGGCGTCATAGGTGAAGCCAAAGCTGTTGCTAATGCTCGATCTCAAGGGCCGGCGCCGGCGCCGGCGCCAGTGCATGCTGATGCTCAAGCGAAACAAACATTGAAGAAGTCGCGCTCCTTTGGTGATCGTCTGCGGTCCCTGTTTGGATCCGGCAAGTCTACCACTAATTCATCTTCTGCTAAATCCCAGGCAGCGGTAAAGCCTGCACGTCAGCCCTCTCGTACTGGTACTCAAAGCTCCCAGGAACTCAAGAGTGATGCTGCTTCGATGACCTCGGTCAAGTCAAGTATGTCAACTCTTTCTATGAGCTCGATGCGCACTATGTTTAAGCGGAAAGACAAGAAGGTCCCATCCTCGCCTTCTTTCGAGGTCCTAACACGTCCAATGTCTGCGCAAGAGCAGCAACAGCATGTTGAATCTCAGCTGCGACACCAGTTGCGTGATCACAAAGGAAGCCAGCCGAAGATTGATTATACCCCTCGGTCATATAGGAACTCCTTGGGCGTTTCCCGTCCGGTATCTGTATCATCAATCAACAGTTTGAGTGATAGGCAAGGCGGCTCGGTTTCTCGTATCCCGTCAGCGGTGGAGACAGAAGAGAGCCTGGCCCGCCCTGTTAGTATGGCGTTTGGCGATGCGTTATCTCCAGAGACACCTGAAGTTGCTATCTTTTCAGATGGTGTCGAAGATACGAGAACGCCCACTCCTTTACCCACTCTTGCTGATGATCAGGCAGAATCCGACGATGACGGCGTTGACTTGTCTACTGCTTCTTCGACAGTGTTTCCCAAATCTCTGGATGCAGAAGGCGTGGCCAACATCCTGTCTTCGCTCGATGTGCCTCATCGCGAATTGAGTCGTAAATCTTCTCGAAGATCGAATCGAAGCGCAAAGGAGCGCGAGGAGGAGTCTGTTCCCGATCCTCAGGAGATCTATGTCGGCTCGACTCCTGAGGATCTGAAGAGTCTTGAAACGTTCTCATTTCCCTCAACCTTGGATTCCTTGGATCTTTTCCACCCCGCGCTGGATACAGAGCCTTTCAACTTCCGGGGAGTTTATGAGCATGCTGGCTCTCGTACTCGCAGCTCTCTTCGCAAAGGCTCGAGGTCCGGCCCTCGTCGCCAGAAGGTTTCGTTCTCATCGCGAATCGTTGTCTTTGATACCTATGCCGAGACGGACTACGACCGCACTCCTGAGGAGGCCACTTGCCATCGCCTGAGCACACCCGGGTTGGCGCATCAAATCAAGCAAGAGCTTAACAGTTTCAAAGTACAAATGGAGGTCCACGAACAATCCCGAGCATACACCCATTATTTCCGGGACTAATCTTAACGCTAGATGCTTGCGCGCCATTGCTTTATTAAACCCCAAAAAAATCCCAAAAAAAATTATAGCGGCTCGACGAGCTTTCGCCGGTACCATCCGTTGTACAATACATCGATTGTTCTGACCTATTTTATATTTGTCCTCATAGTAATTGTTTAATTCTCCCTTTAGTGTCTACGATTCCGCTCAGCTAGTCTACCTACTACAGCGTTATAGTGGATTACTACAGAGATCGAAAAACCTCCGTTTGTCATGCTTCCAGCCTATGTCGTTCCAGGCCAGCAGATCTGCCTGTTGAAGGACACAGAAAAAGGCAAGACGCCCAAATATGTTGCTGGACCTGGTGTAGAACCCACTGACAATGGATACGTTAGCTGCTTGCTTGGTGAGCTCAAGGTCGAGGAGGTAGACGACGTCAAATCCAAAGCGAGACACCGAGTTAGTGTGGTGAACAAGTACAATAATCCCTACGCTTTTGTTGAGACTCCACGAAGTAACTCACAGCGAAACTCCTCTCAGCTCCCGCAGGTCGGCGATATAGTGTACGGTGTGGTTACGAAACTTATGCCAACCCAGATCAATGTGCAAATTCTTGTGGTTGAGAATAAAGCTGCATTAACCAAAGATAATGGTGTTGGCTGGACCGGTGCTGCTGTCGGAACAGTTCACCAGGCGTCCGGAACAAACGTTGACTCGAGCAATCTTGATGAGGGCTACAACGCTGTTATTCGTTTGCAGGATGTCAGAGCTACTGAGCGAGACAAAGTGAAAGCCCGAGACTGCTTTAGACCAGGAGATATTGTGAGAGCAAGTGTTTTGTCGCTGGGAGACGGAAACAATTTCTATTTATCGACTATTCAAAGTGATCTGGGCGTGGTGTTTGCTAAATCAACTTCTGGCTACCCTTTGGCACCGTTAGATTGGCAGACGATGGTTTCTCCTGTAACCAGAGAAACAGAGCCCAGAAAATGTGCGAATCCCTTTCAGGCATCAACTTAGTTAGATCGTTTAGGCAAGTGTGTCGCTAAATGCCTAATGTGGATATTTCGGTACGATCGTGATAAATAAGTCAAAATCCAACTTACTTCATCTTACAACGATCTCTTTGTTGTATTAAATCCCCATGCTTCTCGATCTATCATCCAGCACTCCAAAACGCAATACTCTGACTGCTCCTTTGGCTGCTCCACCTGTGAAGGTGGTGACGGTTAGTCGGGGCAAACTCAGTAACATCTCGACTTTCCGCACCAAAACAAGGCATGCCATTCGTTTTGAATTTGACAGCGTTGAACCGTGGCACGATTTCGAGTTTGTTATGCAAAAGAACCTGTTTCGTATAAGACATTTCGATAGAAACGCGTGGGAACTGAGCTTGGACTCTCAATTTGCTTCCAAAAATGGCACCTCGCTGTCGGCTGTACTGGAGAAGAACAATATCCAGGCCAACTTTCTGTCGGTTCCCCCAGCTGGCCAGGTAGGTTCCAGCGATTTGAGTGTTACGCTGAATGGCGGGAGCCGTCCAGTACTTGTTGGTCTTCACAAACCCAAATCTAAAATAAGTCGACGATATGATGCTTCGAAGTTGTGCAAGTTGTATACTACTCCAGAAAATGAACTGAGTGAGAGTGACAAGAGCTATGTCTGCGCGGTACATGAAATCGCTAGCCTACTTTTAGTGAACGATCTCAGGATGGGCTATGTGTCCACTTTTGGGTTCACGCACTTTCTAATGATCTCTAACAGTGATGAGGGTAAAGGTCTTAAACTCTCAGTTTCGGGCCCGATACCAGGTGATAAATCAACGGCGTCATTGATGGCTTTGGTGCTCGAAGCATACTTTAAGACACCATACATCAACTTCCATAAGGGATTTGAACTGAGCGCGGAAACCCGTCCGGATCCACCTCTGCATATGATTTCACAATCAGCTGCTGTGCCTGGTAAGGTGAGATGGTGGGTTGTGAACAAGCTCAATGCTCTGCGCTATTTTGTGTGTCTCAATTCGCCAGCTGGTGGTTGTTATTATTTCAACCCCACATTTGGAATCTACCTTGGTACCATTTATGAGGTAGCGCAACCTGGTCTTCAGCAAACCGCGATTTTCAAGGTAGCCTCAGGAAGTCAAGCCCATATCGAGATTATGAAGAATGAGGCATCAATGTTTGAGTATCTTAATAGCAAGCATCTCAATGTTCTACCTCAGCGCATAGTTTATGGTACCTTATTCGATCGTTACCATATTCTCGCCTTCAGGCCGTTTGGACGTCACGTAACCAAAACCGATCTAAGTCTGAAAACAATGGAACAAATGCGCTACGCACTACGAACTCTTCATGCTTATAATGTCAGGCATTGTGACATACGCTTGGAGAGCTTTTTCATTGATCATGACGACACTATACGCATCGCTAATTTGGGTAGAGCGCAGAAATTCAAGTTTCTTCCTGACGTAGCCAGAGATGCTGAAATGGAGCTACTCGAACAACTTTTTAAGTGAATGTACGTCTAAGTGTCTTTTTGGTTGCAGTAAACCGTGTTTAATCATTATGAAGTAATAAATTTACTATATCTTGACCAATCGCTTTTGGTCTAAAAGCATGTCAGTTAGTAGAAGTGGTCTCCCACTGGCTCACACGGGCAGGACTGAAAAATGGTCCTCGTCGTGTGAACAGCTAGTAGAAGAGGTCTCCCACTGACTCACACGGCCAGAACCGAAAAATGGTCCTCGTCGTGTGAACTGCTTGGTAGAGGTGGTCGCCCCACTAACTCAAGGCGAGAGCATGTTCAGGCCAGAGATGCTGAAATGGAGTTCTGGAACAACTTTTAGGTGAATTGTACGTCTTTTTGTTGCACTAAACCGTTTTTAATCATTACAAAGTAATAAAACTACCATATATTGACCGGTCGCTTTTGGCTAAGAGCATGCTCTCGCCATGAGACAGTTGGCAAAGGGTCTGCTACGAACTCAATCGGTCAGAACTACGGACCCGCAAGATGCGACCTTCCACAAAACAACCACTCAACTGAGTGGCTCATCAAGCACTTACCGCGGCTTTTGTGGCATTTTTTCAAGGGTTCCTAGGTACAAAAGTGCTACATTACTTTGAAATGGTTTTGTCCGTGGTATCTTCATTCTGCCAAGAACCCCCGCATAAGCAGTTGCGCTGGAACAGAACTGTAAACTGGCTTTTGCTGGCAACTTTAGGAGGATCATTGGCCGAGATAATCCCGCATCGAGTACATTGTCGACGGGTATCATTGCCAGATAGAACACGTTTGCGGATTCCATCAATCTGCTCGTTGAACAGTCCTTTAACATCGTCTAGGTGGAGCCAGGATGTGTCGTAGAAATACAAATGAGGTATATCCACGCCGTCAAGATTGGTACTTTTAATAATATGCGAAATAATAGGCAATAGCACTTTTGGAGTTCGCGCGTGCTTCAAGATCTCTAGTTCAAGTGCCTGCTTAACCCGGTCTTGAAGTTTTCCGCTATTGTACACTGTTTTCAGCTGTTTGTCAATTTCTGTGAGCAGTTTCTCAAAGTGAGCCAAAGGAACAGGTGCAGAGTTGAGAATCTGCTGGAATTTCAGGTGGGTTGTCTTCACAAGGTCTCCGTGACCAACTTGAGACTCGATCGTCAGTAGGTTTTGAGTTACCTGAGCTAGTCCTCGGACTCCGCGAAGAACGTAGATAAGAAGGTACCTCACAATCTTCGACAACATGAGGGCCATAAATATGTTGGGTTTCTCAATGAATTTTTTGACCAGCTCCTCTTTGTTTTGAGGATTCTGAACAAGAGTCAGGTAGAGTTCCTGGTAAATTCTTGCCGTCAAATCCGTAGTCCATCGGACAAGTCCCATTATATTCATAATATGGTAGCAATGTGAAGAAAGCTCTGCGAGTTGCTGCTGCGTATTTTGGGCCTTTGATGGAACGGACAGGACTTTAAGAGACCAGGTCAGAGCAAAAGCGACTTGCTGAATATTGACTGCCGTCAGCGCTAACTGACTGCCGCTGTTTCGATGCCAGCCTTTACGAGTTCCCAAAACCATCACAAATGCAAACCAGCGATGAAGTGGCGAAGGCATAACAATCACACGCTCAACGTGTCGATCGTCCGGGGGCTCAAGACCGGCATTAAGCATTCGCTGAGCTTCACTTGCCAACATATTGAAGAACATCGACTGGTTGAATTGGATGGAAGGCATGACGCTGTAAAGAAGGCGCCATCCCAGACCAAGCATATCATCGCACTGAGTATGATTGAATACCGAAAAAGCATAACGAGTCGCTACTGCATTGGCAAGCATGAAAAGCTTTTGCTGATCTTTTTCATCTTTATAAGTCGATAATTCTTCCAGTTGCAAAGTCTCCTCGCCTTTAAAAAGGGCAACACAAGTCAAATTAGGCGACACACATGCGTGATCAACCTGAGCGAGTACCTGCTGCTGCTCTTCGGAAAAATCCACTTTGTACTTTCCAAAGTTCATCTCGACAGGAATCAGACTGATAGCTTCAAATTTTCCAGATGCATAAATAATAGACACGTCGACTTCCCGAACACTATAGTATTTGATCGGTTCCTTCGGTGGCTGTTGCACTGATAAATAGAGTTTCCATGCCTCTACAAGTTCTTGTGGAGCGGTCTGTTGCTGTTCAAGAGCGATGAAGGCAGGATGCAACACTTCCGACTGCCTGGCTAGCTTGTAAATGAAAACATGTGAATTGTTCTTGCATGTGAAAACCGTATGGATTTCAAAGTGGTTGACGTCGAAAGTTTTAGGCACGTTCGTACTCTTGAAATCAGGTATTTGAGCAAAGCTAAACGCGGTGACCAGAGTATCTGGTGGCCTGACAGCGGTGATCGAGGTAAGAGGTACACTGGTTAGCTTGGCAAACGCTTCTTGATTATTATTTCTGTTGATCAATGCTTCATTGTTCCAGGTGATTGTGATCTTGTACACCTGAATCTGGTCCTTCGCGGAGTAAGTAGCCACCAGCAGCGCATCTCCAATAGGCACGACGGTTGCAAACAGCAAGCTCTCTGTCCCCTGCAGTAACGTTTCGAGTTCTCTATACTGTGTGTCGCCAAGCTGAGCCAATAGTCTGAACACGCCATTTCCGTTAACACAGACTAATGCACCCCTCACTCTAATGGGGTGGAAAGGGCCAAGAGTTCTGAAGGTCTCCCACTCTGGTTTTTGCGTGGCCATGATTCCATTGCTTGATTGTTCCGTGGACTCGGCTTTGATTCCCAGAGCAGTCGGGACGACAAATCCCTTGTCGACACCGAGCCAGTACGTGCCAACCAGGGCATCCTGTTCGATGGCGCGCGGTCTTTGATCCGCAGTAGTAGAAGACACGACGTGGTTAATGGAAATTCCCGAAGAAGTGAGCTCGTTTATTTGGATGCGGCCCATGTCGTCGACAATTGCTAAATCATAGTGCGCTCTTGACCAACTAAGGTGCACTGGGTTCGAGGTGACCTTCACGGCGACGGACGGAGTGAACGTCCACTTTTCGCCATCCTCGCACTTGAGCCACGTGATGTGCACCTTGCCGTTGGCAATGTATGCAACCAGGCCATTTCGAGACCATGCAATACGGTCATGACAACCCCATCGGCCAGGCCATCGATGTGTCATCAAAGATCAGGTGAGTGCCGCTAGTGAAAAATAGCTATTGTTGCAATTCTAGCAAGGATACTTGAGAAAAAAGAAGAACCCCCAACTGTGCTAGTTAGAACGAAATCGCAAGCTTGCTTTACGTCTTTATGAAAATACCTCACCCCTGAATGCGTTTCACGGGGGCCTATATATATCACACTCGCTTGCGATGTGTTAGGTAATGTCTTTAATCAACCTCCTGGTGAGACACGAAGGTCATGATGAAGAGCCCTCAGAGCCTATGCACGAGCATAGCGGGGCTGTGTATGTCGACTACAAACTCACAGGTATGATGGTGTTCCATTTTATACTTGTTGCGATTGCGTTCGGCTTCGTTCTGCCGTACGGCTTCGTGTGCAAGCAGGCGCGTAGCAGATGGCACCTAATTGTTCAGCTCGTCGGGGGCGTTTCAGCCATTATGGCTGCGATTACGGGCCACGTCACCGGGATTGAATGGTACAACCCGTGGCTGGTTGATTTCTGTGCTTTGTGGGGATTGGCGTGTGTTGGAGGAACGCTGCTTTTGCAAATTTACATGCCACGAGGTATTTTGTCGGCCATGCGCGAGATCGTCAACAAGGTCCACACTGCTATTTCACTGCTCCAGCCTTTGGTTTGTTTTGTGTTTGCTGGGTTGGCGTTCATCTCGTACCTGCAGTACTGCAAGAGCGACCACCTTGGTCAGTGTCTTGCTCACGGCATCATGGGGACCGCATTCATTGTGTATGGCGTTATTTTGCTTTGCATGCTGTTTATTGGTGAGCACTTCCTCAAGCGCATGAACCGTTCTCAAGAGTACTTTGACTCCATGGTGATCATGATCTGGGGTATCATCAACACGTTTACCGAGCACCGCTGGGGCAAGGAGGACTGGAATCACGGAGACGTCCAGCATACGTCCATGGGTATCATCTGGTGGGCTGCGGGCGCCTTGGGCGTCTACATGTCGTGGGACCGGGTGAATCACCGCCCTCAGCGTAACCATATTCCAGCATTTGTCATTATTGCAACCGGATACTCGATGATCACCCATACCCAGCGCTTCGCAGTGTCTACAGATATCCACATGATGTTCGGTGTGGTGCTTGTGCTTGCAGGACTGACGCGTATCGTTGAAATCTCGTTTGTGCTCAAGGACCAGCCCCACGAAGGAAACGAGGTTAAATCATTCCAGTACCTGACCCCTCTGCTTCTCTGTCTTTCGGGATGTTTCTTCATGAGTGCAACTGAAGAGGCCATGGCGTTCCTGCACTCTCAGGGCGTTATGGCTGCACCATATTTGCTGACCATTTCGGCCGTTGGCTTTGTGCTTTTCCTTGACGCTTACTTTATGGTTACATCCTACAAGCAGCTATCACAGGGCATAGAGCTTCCCACCAAAGAGGCCGGCATAGAACTCCGTCCGTTCTTGCATCAGCCTGATGAGGAAGCCCAGGTCAATGACTTTGAAATCAGCGACTAGTTTTGCCCAAAAAAAACACTGCGTTCATTCGTTTTTATAAGTATCCATGTACATCCGACTTCTATTTTATTCCTGCATCCAATTGGCTATAATGCCGCACCGGAGATGAGCGGTATCTGACACTGACACTGGCTTGCCCGGGACCCGATTCGTATCGGCAGGGGCCCATGCAGGGTTGAACAAAGCGTATGGAGGGCTGTGGCGTTTCAAGCGAGCGTGGGCTGATATACAGAGCTATAAAATAGCGGATTTTTACAATATAGTCGGTGCTTTGATGATGCATCGAGTAAACACCCAGTATGAGGGGTGTATGCCGTTTTAGCTCGGTGTTCGGCACAGCGAGTTCGAGTTTTTTCGCCCTTTCATTTTCCCTGATTCCAAGCACCACAACACTTCGACGGGCATTAACCCCTACCCTTGTGAGCCGATACCGGGAATACGTCATATTCTGCAGAACCTCCGTTCGGGTCGAGGAATAAAACTCGCAGTCAGTGTAGGGATTTTGGAACCGCGTGAGGCAGATTCGGGAGTCTCCTCGGGGCACATTTCCAAAGCTGTCTATATTTTGCGGCTCGCGCCCGTTTGTACGTGCTTAAGTGGCCACTGGAGAATCCCGCCTGGCGGCACTAATGTGCGTGCTGCAGCAACCTGCCTTATCTGCTACGATTACGAGCGGCTATTGGTCAGAGCCCATGCAGCCTTGGAGTATTTAAATTGCAAAGTCTCCCCCTCTGGAAACTTAATATCACCAGTTGCTAATAGAAAATGTCTCAGATTCCAGTTGAGCCCGAATTTCAGCAAGCCTACGATGAGGTCCTTCTGAGCTTCAAGGATACTCTGTTGTTTGAGAAACGTCCCAACCTCGAGCGTCTCATGGAGGTGCTTGCCATCCCTGAGCGGGTGATTCAGTTCCGTGTCACTTGGGAAGACGATAATGGACACATCCAGGTCAACCGTGGCTATCGTGTCCAGTTCAATTCAGCTCTTGGCCCTTACAAGGGTGGTCTTCGGTTCCACCCCACGGTCAACTTGTCTATTCTCAAGTTCTTGGGTTATGAACAGGTTTTCAAGAACGCACTTACTGGCCTGAACATGGGTGGTGGTAAAGGTGGTTCTGACTTTGACCCCAAGGGCAAGTCCGACTCCGAGATCCGCCGCTTCTGCCAGGCCTTTATGACCGAACTTTCTCGTCACATTGGTGCCGACACTGATGTCCCTGCCGGCGATATCAACGTTGGTGGCCGCGAGATCGGTTACCTCTTTGGTCAGTACAAGCATCTCAAGAACGTCTTTGAGGGCGTTTTGACAGGCAAGGGTCTCGCCTGGGGTGGCTCGCTGATTCGCCCCGAGGCCACTGGCTTCGGTCTTGTCTATTATGTCGAGAAAATGATCGACTACGCTACTGATGGCAAAGAGAACTTCACAGGTAAGAAGGTCCTTGTCTCCGGTTCCGGTAATGTGGCTCAGTACGCTGCACTCAAGGTTATCCAGCTTGGCGGCTCTGTTTTGTCTCTGTCCGATTCCAAGGGTAGCTTCATTTCTAAGAACGGCAAATCATTCACTGCCGAGGACATTAACAAGGTTGCTGAGGTCAAGCTTGCTCGCAAGGAGCTCAAGGTGCTTGCTTCTGAATTCCCCGACTTTGAGTACCACGAGGGCAAGCGCCCATGGACGCTGGTCAAGCAGGTCGACGTTGCTCTGCCCTGCGCCACTCAGAACGAGGTTTCCGGCGAGGAGGCCGAGTACTTGGTCAAGGCTGGCTGCAAGTACGTCGCTGAGGGCTCCAACATGGGCTCCACTCTCGAGGCTGTCAAGATCTTCGAGGCGGCTCGTCGCGAGCACGCTACCATCTGGTACGGTCCCGGCAAGGCTGCCAACTGTGGTGGTGTTGCTGTTTCAGGTCTTGAGATGGCCCAGAACTCGCAGCGCGTTACCTGGACTCAGGCCAAGGTCGACGAGAAGCTCAAGGAGATCATGACCAACTGCTTCTACCTGTGCCTGGACACTGCCAAGGATTACGGCAAGGTCCCTCGCAAGTTGCCTTCTTTGGTCGCCGGTGCCAACATTGCTGGGTTCATTAAAGTTGCGGACGCCATGATTGACCAGGGCGACTTCTATTAGACTACTCACTATAGACCTTATTTACGACTAATCATGATATAAACCTACCTGGAACGTCCATCCCCTCTATTATCTAATTAGACCCAACATTAAACTTGTTAACAAAAGTAAACAGAATGGATCCATTATTTGATGCTCAGCTCATTCCTCGATCCGTGACGAACCAGCTTCCCAGTGGCTACAGAATGCGTCCATTGGTGTCCAGCGACTACGACAAAGGGGTTCTGGATGTGCTCAAGGTGTTGACTGTCGTTGGCAACATTTCACGCAGCCAGTTTGTTGACCAATTCAATTACTGGAAGTCCAAGAAGGATATGTACCATACTCTTGTGGTTTTGAATGAACAGGACCGTGTTGTCGGTTGCGGCACTGTCCTGGTAGAGAGCAAGCTCATTCACGAATGCGGTAAAGTTGGTCACATCGAGGACATTGCAGTTGCCAAAGATCAGCAGGGTAAAAAGCTAGGTCTTCGCATTATCAACGCTCTGACGGAAATTGGACGTGCTCAGGGCTGCTACAAAATCATTCTCGACTGCTCAGAGCACAATGTCAAGTTCTACGAAAAATGCGGGTTTACCCGAGGCGGTGCAGAAATGGTTCTCAAGTTCCAAACGCCGTCCAAACTGTAAGAAAGTTTTTGTATACTTTTATAAATCTTTTAAAAAATCCTAGTCGAGCAACTTGGTGATCTTACCAATAGCCACGGTCTGGCCCTGGTCCCGCAGGGTGAAACGGCCTAGCTGAGGCAGCTTGGAGAAGACTTCGACGCATACCGGCTCAGCGACCTCGATGCGGGCAATAATCTTCATGCCCTTCTTGGCAAAGGCAGGCGGTTTCTTGGATTTACGGTTGGTGCCTTTTTCAAGCTTGTGGAGCAATGCGGTGAACGTGACCTCTTCGACAGCAGTGTGCACGTGCATAACGCAAGAATAACCAGTAGTCAAGATGGATTTGACTTCGACAATGGCAACCTGAGCCTCAAACCGTGTGACAGCCTTGATGGGGTTCTTTGCAGATGTAAGCACAAAGCCAATTTGAATGTCCTCCTCTTCAATGCCACGGAGCTTGATCTTGACCTGCTCACCAGAGATGGCACCGGGGATCTCAGCCTCACTCTCATTGTAGATGGCACTAACCTCGACCTGGGTACGGTTAGGCATCATAAGTAAACTGTTACCCTTCTTGATGCTGCCGCTCTCGATCTTGCCCTCGACAACAGTGCCCAAGTCTTTAGATTTACCCGAAACAGGCAGCATGAAAGGTGCAGTGAGTTTACGGTTCTCTAGGGGAACGTTGTCCAGGAACTCGAGCAGAGAAGGTCCGTCATACCAGGGGCAGGTTTCCTTGGGCACCCGCTCCTTAAGACCCGCACCAGTGTAACCAGAGACAGGCATGAAAGTGACATCAGTGTATCCAGTACCCTTGAGGAATACGGCAAGCTTTTTGGTACACTCGTCGTAACGTTCCTTTGACCAGGCGACGGTGGAATCATCCATTTTATTAACAACAACCACGAGCTTCTCAACGCCCTGGGTCTTGGCGAGAATAGCGTGCTCACGGGTCTGACCGCCTTTCTCGAAACCGGTCTCGTACTCACCACGACGGGCAGAAATAACCAAGACACCAACATCTGCCTGCGAAGCACCGCCAATCATAGATGGAACATACATTTTGTGGCCGGGAGCATCCAGAATGGTGTAGCGACGCTTCTCGGTCTCAAACACAGCGCGACCAACTTCGATAGTCTTACCCTCGTTACGCTCTTCCTTGTTTGTGTCCATGACCCAAGAAAGATACCAACCCTGGCGACCAGCATCAATAGCCTCACGCTCATACTTTTCAACGGTACGCTTGTCGACGGATCCAGTCAAATACAGCAGGTTACCGCCCATGGTGGACTTACCGGCATCGACATGGCCCATAAACAGGATCGACATGTGCTCCTTTACGTCGGCACCACCAAACATGTCCTCGACGATTTCCTGGTCGAGCTGCTCATGCTCCTGAGCAATGGCATCGGCATCAGTGGTCTCTGAAGAAGTAGTTTCTGGGGCAGGAGAAGCGGCGGGAGCCTCAGCAGCAGCGGCAGCAGCGGCAGCGGCAGCGGCAGCAGCGGGCGATGCCTTGGGAGCTGCCTTGGGAGCTGCCTTGGGATCAGGAGACTCCTCCTTTTTAGCACCACCGATTTTAAGAACTTTAGGTGAGTCGGCTTTCTTGGCGCCACCAACAGACAGGACCTTGGCTCCACCACCAACTTTACCACGAGTGCTCAGGTTGGCCTTGGACTGCTTCTGATACTCCTCAAGAGTCATGCTGCTGGAGTCAGGCTCTGCCTGAGCAGCACCCTGCGCAGGACGCTGGGCATAGTTGCTGTAATCTTGGTAGCCAAAGTTCGAGGATTGGGCACCACCACCGTACTGGCCATACTGGTTGAACTGTCCGGGAACAAAGCTCGACTTTGCGGAGGCGTTGAAGTTGAAGTTGAACTTCTTGGCCGGCTTGGCGTCAGAAATGTTGGCCTTTTCTTCCAAATCCTTCGCCAGTTTGTCCTGCTCGTTAGACATTATTATTTCCGAACAAAAACCTCAAAAGTGTTGCGTAGAAATAAGTTTTCACCGTTAGGTAATCTTTTCTGTCTGCCCACCCCCAACCCAAGCAGCTTTAGATCGGAGAATTGAGGCTCAATTCTGGGAATTAGATGGAGCAATTACTACAGAAGGCCGGGTCGCAGGCAGTAACGTTTGCGATCCGCTCGGGGATTTCGATTGCAAGCGGGTATGCTTTCAAAACTCTGTCTCAATTCATAGATACGGTGCCTCGAGAAGATACGAGTGAGCTAGATCGCATTCAAAACCGACTTGAGACCAGCGTGAAGGTCTTGATCCCAGCAATTGACCTGATCGAGCTGATTTCTAGTCGTGGCCACACCTCTCTAGAGTATACGTTGCAGCTCACGCGCGATCTGCGGAAGGATATAGACCAGTTCCAAGCCCGTGTGGAAAGCGAGTATGAGACAATCCGCGAATCGAAGAACACAGATTTGCGACGCACTGCAGTGGACCGGGTAGGCGGGTTCTTGAAGAATCTGCTGCAACGAGTCGAGGAAGCTATCCCGCTCATTACCCTTGCTTTGACTACCTCCGGAGCCAACCTTACAGCAAGTTTACCAGACTATGTCTCGCCCGGTAGGTTTCTGCAAGCGGCAAACTTGTTGACTAGTGCCGATTCAAGTTTTGATGGCAAAAGCAAAGCTCTTGTTGGTCCTGTTTTCAGTCTTGTTTATTACGATATTTTCTATTCTTCGAATCGAGTCCAAACGGGCCTTACGAATAACGACATTACGTGGAAAGAAGAGTTTGCAAAATGTCGTGCTCAGCTGATTCGTACGTGTTCTAAAGAGGAGTTCTCTTATGAATTGAGGTTAGAAGAGGATTTCGATGACGGCCGGTATCACGAGAGTGATGAAACCCCGCGGGTGGTATCAATTGACGTGCGAACTATCACAAGACTATTTTTCACTGCATCCGGTCGTCTTCTAGAAATACCGGATTCCCAGTCACCTGTTCTTGTTTTAAAACTAAACAAACTATTTCAAGAAGTCAAGTCAACAAAGGTCACAGCAGAGAGTGAATATAATCCACAGGAAAACGTCGAATGGATCGCCCTGGAAACCCACTTTGAATCGACCTCTGATAGTTCTGATGACTCCAGTGATAGCGAAAGTGATAGCGGTGACGAGCTTGCGGCAAAGCTTTCGGGGTTGAACATTTCAGGGCGACGAACAGAGGCGCTGTCTGTACTTGAGTATTTGCTCCGGTTAGCCGCTCTCCAGGCTAACGATCAAAAGTCAATGTATGAGGTTCACGATGAGCGGCTGAGTCTTTATCTACGTGATGATTCTCATGGACGAAACAACTACGACAGCGATCGATCAGACTACTTTGAAGAGACCCCCAGATCTGTTCGTCGGAATCGTCGAGAGTCCCCGTTCACAACTCCCTCCAGCACCAAGCATTCCAGCCGCGAAACGCCACCAATTACCCCCTGGGAGAGAGATAGGTTTGCAAACCAGCCGATTCTACAGCCAGACGTGCAGAGCGAGCTTTCGCGATCACCATTCCGGGATAGCCCAGTCAAGAATAAGTCTAGAAATCGAAAAACAAAGAATCTATAAATTTTGTAAATAGCTCAAAGGCTGGTGTCTAGAACACCGCGTACCTTGAGATTGGTTATTTTCAGCAGCCGAGTTTCATTAAAGGCAATGAGGGTTCCTGGGTCTGTGAAAACAAAATTAGCCACTCCCCCCTCGATAGGAATCTTGCCGAGAAACACACCGTCTCGATTCCAAACGTGGATTCCATCTGAGCACCCGCTCCACACGTTTCCGTTTGAATCGATCTTTATGCCGTCCGGAGCTGGCGTAGCTGAATATGCAAACACTCGCCGGTTGACCAGGGTGTATCCGGCCTGTTTTCCAGATGGCAACGGAATAACATCGTAGCTGTAGATAGTAGAAGCACCCGTGCTGTCTACCTTTAGAGTTTTCCCATCGAATCTGAAAGCCCCCGTATCTGTGATATAGCAGACCTTGTAGTCGTTCGAAAAGGCGATTCCGTTGGGTTTTTCAAAGCCGTCGGCAACGACACGGACGGTCTGCTTCTTAGGATCGTAGCAGTAGACCTGATTGGGCAGCAAGCACTCAGATTTGAGGCATTGTTCTTTGCCGTAGTTCGGGTCGGTGAACCAAATCGAATCGTCCAAGCCCAAAATCACAACGTCATTAGGCGAGTTAAACGGACGGCCATGGAACGAGTCCAGCAGGACCTGCGTTTTGTAGGGCTCACTGGTATCCAACAAAACTAGTCCAGAAGCAATTTCACCCTGGCCTTGCTGGCAAATCAATGCCTTCCCCTTGTAGTTAGTTCCTCCGTTAGCAGCCTCGATAGGTGGGCTGGGTAGAATTGTCCGCAGCGTATTGTCGTCTAAACTGAGAATAGAGACTGTAACTTTTGTTTTACCACGCATGCAGGCAGGGAAAAACTGGTTCGAAGTGAACACAACTTCGCGAGTAGCCGGTAACCATATTCCTGCTTCGTGGGCGAACGGAATCTCGGGAATCGAAGCGACTACTGAAACTTCGAACTCACCGACTTCATTGACAAAGGCAGCAGCTGTAGAACTCTCGCACTGGGGTCTTGTCATCAAAACTCGCAATAAAAAAACCGTCGATGGTAAGGGAGAAGGCGAGCGCTCACGTCTGCGCTATGCATAGTGGTTACGCTATGCATGCTCAACCCCAGTTTAATGCTCTAACACTTGTGCTTAGGTGAGCCGACCATTGGATTTTTTTTTCTCAAACCCAGTTTCAGAAAGACAGCTGGTGTCGATTCATCGCTCTTCCGAAAACTATTTTGCTGATCCCAACGTTGCTCTCTGTTGGGTCTCTTTATAACTGCTTCCAATTTGACGCCTGACACTCGATTGAGTTCCCTAATGCGCGACAGCGTTATTCTGGGCGGCAATTCCCACCCCGAGCTTTTGCAACGGATCTGCCGTGATCTCGACGTCCAGCCGGCTGAGATCCATAGCTCTCTGTTTGCCAATGGCGAAACCAATGTAAGCATTGCCGAGTCCGTGCGGGAAAAGACCGTTTACGTCGTCCAATCTGCTTGCGGAGAAGTAAACGATGCCTTTATGGAGCTGTTGATCATGATTTCAGCATGCAAAGCCGCTTCCGCCAAATCTGTGGTTGCTGTTATGCCTCTTTTTCCCTACAGCCGTCAGCTCAATCTCAGAGATGTTTTGAACGTGTCTTCCAAAGAGGCTAGCAAGATTGCCCAGCAACAGCAGCCCTTTGAGACTCCCCTAGCAAAGAAGCCACCGCCTAGACTCGGAGATCTGGCTCAGCCTCCTATTACACCAGTTCGCACAAACATTGGTATGAGCATTTCGCCTGTGCGGCCGTGTTTCAATCGGCAGCTATCGGTAGTCGCTCCGCCCAAAGAAGAGAACGTCGAACCTCAATATAACCCTGGTTTCAAATGCTGGATGGCCAACCCCGGTGAGCTTATGGCCAGGCTCTTGACCACTGCTGGAGCTGACCGGATTATCACAATGGACTTGCACGACCCTCAGTACCAGGGTTTCTTTGATATTCCGGTCGATAACTTGTATGGCCGGCCACTGCTTGAACAATATATCGCCACCAAGATCCCTGACTGGCGGCATGCTGTGATCGTATCTCCAGATGCCGGTGGTGCCAAGCGGGCCACTTCAATCGCCGACCATCTGGGAATGGACTTTGCTTTGATCCACAAGGATGGTCGTAATAATGCCACACTACTGGTTGGCGACGTCGCTGGTAAGGTTGTTATTCTTTTAGATGATCTGGTTGATTCAGGAAAGACCATGACTCGAGCAGCTAAGGTTGTAAAGGACCATGGTGCTACAATGGTCTATGGCATTTGTACACACGGTGTCTTTTCAGGTGACGCTCTGCATAGATTGAAAAAGTCTATCAATTGCTTTGTTACGACAAACTCAGTACCTCAGCACGAAAACCAAGCAGAGTTCGGCGAATGGATCCAGGTCGTCGACGTCGCGCACGTTCTTGCCGAGGCCATTCGTCGCATCCATAACGGCGAGTCGATTTCTATGCTTTTTGATCATGCAGTTGGTGTCGTTTGAAAAAGATGCTTAGCAGCAGTATACGTATCGTGATGTATATATATTGAGGAATAAATTTTTTTTTTTTGACATATGAACATAAAAAAAAAAAAAGCCGGATAGGGTGCGTCTGTGGAGCCCTTGGCAGGTTGTATAAGACATGTTGTAGGGTCATAATGAATAAAATAAAAGTCATGGTGATCTCGAACCTGCTAATGAGCCGGAACAGCCTTGACTTCATTCTCAAGAGGTTGGCCAGTTGAAATCACGTTGGTATTCTTGTGTTGAACCTCGTCATGTCCTTCTGGAAGCACACTGATTTCCTCAATGCGTTTCATCCACTTATCCTCCTGAATTTCTGTCATAGAGCAGCGCTTCTTGACGTCGACGACTAAAATTCGACCTAATAGGTGACGAGAAGAGGTTGGGAGGAGGCGCAGCAAACGCCAAGGTCCGCGAATATTCTTTGGATCCTCACCATGTTGCGATTTACTACCGTCCACATTCTCGGGATCGGCGCTGAACATACGGAATGCCTGGTCTTCAGGGCTTGGGATTCGCCAGGGAAACCTGCGAAGAACTGTGCAACAGAAGATGATTCCCAACGACCAAATGTCGCAAGGCTGTGGGTCATATTCGCTCAAGTAAAGCACCTCAGGTGCCAAGTAAGGATCGCTTCCGACGATTCCCTTAGCTTTGGTAATTTCCCGTTGATAGGGGTAACGGAAAACCACTGCCGATCCGAAATCAATGAGCTTGACCACACCGTCATACGAAACAACGCAGTTATCCAGTTTGAGGTCCCGGTGAGCGAGTCCCATAGAATGCAAATATGCTATGCCGTTGCACACCTGTTTGAAGGCGGAATAAATCTGATGGCGGGTCATTTTGCCCGACATGACCAAGTTGAAGAAATCAAAGGGCCCGTACTCCATAACCTCAAAGTAAGTTTCGTGCTCTTTGACGAGATCAATGATGCCGATGATGTTCTTGTGTTCGAGAGCAGCCCCCATGCAAAATTCAGAGGTGACGGTTTTAGCGTACGTTTGGCAGGACTCGTTAGATTTCCGAGGCCGGAACTGCTTGACGGCAAAAAGCTTGCCGTCGCTAGGTCGTTCCACTAGCCGAACATTACCGCCGGCACCCTGTCCCATAACCTTGCCCAAAGCGCCGTATTTGCTTTCGAGGGCTTCTAAAAATGGGGCCGCGGCTGCTTTATTTTCTAGTGAGCCTATACCCGCAGAGTGAGCGGACGCATTGTCGGCCGATACTTGTTGTCGGCGCTTTTCCAGTCTCTTGCGTTCGGCCTTTTCCTGCTTGCGCTCCTCTTTTTCCTGCTTGCGCTCTTCTTTCTCTTGTTTTCTCTTTTCTTTACCCTCCCGGTGTCTCCGGAGCCCCTTGTCGAAAAACCGTCGCAACTCAAACGAGGAGTTGTGCGAGGGCATCAGGCTCGGTCTGGCTGAGGTTGTGGGAGTCAGACTTTCAGTTTTGACATGAGCTTGATGAGCTTCTTCTCGATCTTCGTGGCTGTCCTGCGACACTGCATCTGACGCACTATTTTTGGATCCAGACTTACTGCCAACGCTCGCCGCCGAACTAAGACTGGGGGTCTTCGACGGGGTGACCGGGGCTGAGGTGGATGATGGTTTTTCGTGCTTTTTGTTGTCTGTGCCATCCGAATGCAAACTGAGACGCGATAGGTTTATCAGATTCCCCTTCATCACTGGGTAATTACAATCCGGGTGAAGGCAGTTTATTCTTCTTAGTTATTATTAAGAAGGATGAATCTCCGTGACTGATCCGCACAGTTTGACCACTCCCAGGTCCCAATAGGGTTGGTGATGAGGTCACCCAACCCAGGTCCTAGCGGAGGGCTTGCTGCGAGATCAAGTGGCGAAGCCGGAAATTATCTATGGTGTGAGGCCATTTGGGAGCGGGGCGTGCTTTCTATATTGTGGTTATTTGTTCGTAATATACGTTTTTCTCGCATGTCTTTAAAACGCATCATTTTCGGTCATCCCGCAAGAATGCAGGTCAGGCTGCAGTCACGGGATTGGTCTTACGCCTGTCCCGCGGCAAATCACGACCATAAACGTCAATGACTCGGACAAACCCTCACAGAGCCAATAGCGAGTTAAATAATTGAGCTTAAATCAAGTGAGTTTATTTTGGTATACCATTCTTGGCTCGATCTTGGCGTGAAGTGGCACACATTTCGAAATTATCATATTTTGGCCGGCATTGGAAATTCCTAGGGTTCGGCACCTCCAAGATGCGCAACCATGCACGGTCAGTTTCGGTGCCAAATAACTGGCAAGACCTGAATACAAGTTTGCAATTTAGTTTTGGGACTCAATTTGGTAGTTGCAAACAATTAGTATCGCTCTATTTACCCACTCCTGGTGCGGAGTTAGCGCACAGCCGCTTAGTTTAGAGCCGCCGATTTGAATATGTGAAATGATCTTTGGGCTGTACCGCCCCGATTGGTCGCACTCCTGGTGTTTTTCCGCGCCCAAAACCTTTCGATTGACCACGTACCTCATCCAGGCTTTGCGTTCGATAGTCGGCGAAAATACCCGTTCCCTGACCCTTCCCCTAAACGTGACGGTTGGTAACCTAACCCATTAGTTGCACCCCAACCCTGAGGGAGTCATCTGTGGCCGCGTTTCACAGTCCCCCGCCATTGGCCCGGGCTATCCCACGGTGGTCCACTGGCTTTGCAGTGGCGGATCACATACATACAATTTACTCGGTTTTGAAACAAAAAATAAGGTCTATTTACGCAGGAACGAAATTCGCTTCCACGCCCCCTAGAACAGAAGATGTCAAGCGCATGATCTGGCGAAGGGGCTCATTGGGAGCGGGATGGACAATGTTGATGTCCTTGAAAGTTTGAGCAACACGCACCAGGGCATACGAAGCTTCTGTGAGAGCAAACTGCTGGCCAAGGCAGATGCGAGGACCACCGTTGAACGGAATATAGTCCCATGTGTGACGCTGGGTCTCCGGGTCGTCCCACCGGTCTGGCTTAAACTCGTTAGCATCTTCACCCCAGTAGCGCGGGTGACGCTGCATAACGTACGGCAGGTAAAAGATGTTGGTACCCTTGGGGACAAACAGGGGTTGGTCCTGGTTGGGGCCACCGCCAACGGGAAGTTTAGTATCGCGAATAGCCGTTCTAAAATTCAAAGGTACAATGGGGTGCAAACGCAGGGTTTCGTTGATGATGTTCTGCAAAAACTTGGAGCGCTTGAGTGACTCGAATGTGATGTTTTCATGGCCTTCACCGAAATCAGCCAAGATGCTCTCGCGCAGACGCTTGTAAACGTCCTTGTTGCGGCCTAAATAAAATGTGCAGTACGATAGCAGAGCTGCAGTGGTGTCGCGGCCAGCAAGCAGGATATTGAAGGCTTGATCGCGGATCACAATAGGATCCTGGGTTTCTTTGGTCAACTCATTGATGAAGACATAGCGGTCGGCGGTATCGTCAGGTCCCATGGGCTTCTCGAGAGCCTTCTGGACATAATAGTCGACAAAGTTATGGCACACTTCAACATTTTTCTTGAAGCCAGGCGGACTGTAGACCCAGTAAAGAGACCCCAGAACTACCCGAGTAGCCAGTGTAAGCAGACAGCTTGTGAAGGATTCCGCAAACTGGGCGTTTGAGACTTCACCGCGAGGAGCCTTGATTGTAGTGGTTTTTTCGTCCAAGGTGTTTGACGAAGATCCAAACAGAAACTCGGTTGCCGTGTCTAAGGTCAATTGGTGGTACAGAGCCTGGGCGTCCACAGTGCCGCCATCCTTGCTTCCATTCGTGAATCTGCGCATCAAAATGTCGAGGTGCTCACCGATGGATCGCAAATGAGACACCTGCTCTCTCGAGAACTGCGGACGCAGCATGGATCGAGAGTGCTTCCAGCCCTCACCAGAGAGGGTGAAAATACCATTGCCAAGCAACGGGAAAAAACTTTCGTAGCGGAAGCCCAGCGAATAGTCCTTAAATGAAGTGGCCAGCACAGTGCGTGCATTGTCGGGCTCGATGGTTATGAACCATCGCTGGCCAGAGACGACAGTACGCACGGTACGAGCTTCAGAGATTCTCTCCTGGAAAAAATCGAGAATTGTACTGTTCCACAGTGACTTCATGGTCATGTAGGATCCTTTGATGCCAATTGGCATCTCTCTGTCAGAGTAAAATGGAACTGCGCAACCGTGGCGAGCAGCGACATAATCGTCGTACTTGTAACGAACAAGAACGAACACTACGTATAAACCGTACGCAGCCAGAATATAGGCACCGACTTTCAACAGATTGTCAATCATCACTTGGTGGGCAGGCTGATTTGTGGGAACAGTTAACTTGGGATGACAAAGGAGTATTTATCGTTGGTTGTCTCGGGGAAGACACCCCGGGGCGGACATGCCGTGAGGACATCTTCACATGCTACCCCATTCTAGTCCTAACCCTTAAATGATGTATGGCAGCATCAGAAAAAGTGTTCGCGCGGGATAATTGAGAACAGAATGTGAAATAGGAGAAGGGGGGGCGGTTGAGATGCTCGGAGGTTCCTGTGCGGGCTTCTGCGAAGAGGTTAACTTAAAGTTCACCCAATCGTGCCTCATACGCTCACATGGGGCAAATTTCTCCGATTATTAATCAGGCTTACGTCGTACCTAACAGGTGGATCAAGCTTGATTGGGCAATTCCTAATTGGGCAGAGAGCAGGGGAGAGGCCCCCAAGTCGAACAGCTCGGAGGGGGTACTTTCATTAAATTTATTCATATTAAAACACATGGTGGCTGATAAAAGAGTTTTTGCTAGAGTCTGAGTGCATTTATATATGTGTCGTCAAGCTATGGAACCTACATAACTAGCATAATTTGTTCGACAAAAAGAATAGTCCTAAAAGGTGGGATCACAACAAATAAACAACAAAAGAGAAGAGGCTACGATATGAAAATGTAAATCAAGACTACGAACGATATTTAATACAAAAACCCGAAAAGTTCAGTTGACCCCGAAGTGGGGTAAGACATCTGTCATACGGTGGGCGCTTCGGCTTTCGGTGAGCCCAGTTGAGAAAAGTCCGATCGAAGCCCGGCCCTCGATCTAGGGCTATGCTTGAGCAACGAAGTGATGCGCAACATTAGAAACCTCACTATCTAATACTGGAAATAGCGCCGCCTACTCTCAGAGGCACGACCAAGGGCATTTTGCGCAATAATTCACACTAATGCACGAAAAAGGAACGTGTTTCGCCAAGAGGAACCATGTACCCAGCACCCTTGTGCTCTAATTAATTGCAGGCGGATAACGAAGGGTGCATGGATTCACGTCAATGCGCAGCATTCCCTTTGCACAGAGCAACCACGGAAGTACTAGACTGAATTAAAAACCTCCAGTCTTCCCCAAAAAATACCTCTAGTGCAAAAGGCAATGATACATCACAACGAGTTACCAGAGTATCCTGCGCAGCAAGAGAAAACGAGTGAAACTTCGCATGACGTGCTGCGCTTAGCGACACTATGCAGAGTGTTTGGGCAAAGTGCTAGATGAATATTGCGGGAAATTACAGAGGCCCGGTAAAAATATGCAGCCCAAATTTAATCCACACAGCAGAGAAACATAATGACACAGCACAGAGTCCCTTCATACGCAATTGGTATACGGCTGATGAAGAATAAACTCCGTTTAGCATCCGCCATCCCTAACCAGGCTGCATTTCACGAGCTCGCTGCAGCGAGCCCTTACCCAACGCAAAAAGTGCGGGGAACGAGTGAGTTTAAAGGTCCTAGCAGCCTGGTTGAGTTCCAGCTTTTCCAGCTATCGAATACAAGGTTAAACAATATACTATAGCATAAAATAGAGACTCAAAGAGACGCGAAGTGGACAGGCTCCAATCCTTTGGTTGGTCCCAATCCTGCACTCTCTGTTGAGGGATCCCCTCTCCCATGCAGACTGAGAATCCATACCCCGCAGAATCACAGTACACATATAGGGAGGGAGACGATGTGAGATTCCCATCCTCCACAGACCCCCCAAAAAACGGAAACCAGCCCATGTACGAAACTGAATTTTCACCTGTTTTGAGCCCCGCGCTCAGCCAAAAAATCATTCCCTCTGACCAGCAGGTCGAGGACGCAGGCTCCGACGACAGCAACGGCTATGCGTTCGTCGGTGGTCACCGGGTCCCTTTGAGTGATGTTTTGCTTGCCCACGCCGGTTACCTCAATGCCGGTACTACCATCCCCCACGGATACGAGTTTGGCAATCCCGCCGTGTTTGGTTTGTTTTCTTTCGGTATTTCCGCCATGTTGCTAGCTCTTTACAACGTCCACTCGCGCGGCGTTACTATCCCCAATGTAATGATTGGTCCGGCCTTTTTCATTTCCGGTATTGGCCAGACCATTTCGGGCCTCTGGGAGATTGCTGTGGGCAACACTTTTGCAGCCACTGCCATGACAGGCTTTGGCGGGTTCTGGCTCGCATACGGCGCCGTGCTCACCCCCAGCTTTGGAATTGCTGCCGCTTACGCGGATGAACCTCTAATGTTCCAGAAGGCCATGGGATTTTTGATGTTGTCCTACACAATCTTCACCGCCGGGCTGCTCAGTTTGGTGCTCAAGTCTACTGCCGTGTTTGTATTCTTGTTCAGCGTGTTGTTCCTCACCTTCTTGACCGAGTCCATTGGCTTGTTTATTAACAACGAAAACGTGCTCTTGGCATCTGCTGGCTTCAATATTGCTTTGGCCCTCTCTGCCTTCTACTGCGGCTGGGCTGGTCTGGCCAGCGGGGAGAACTCCTACCTCACCGGCGCTCCATTCCGCGTACTTATGCCTGGAGCTCGTGTTGAGCACGCTCCTCCTGCTTAAGCAGCTTTCAAACAAACAACTACTACTATTTGCTACTTTCAAAACGGTTCTTAATAATTATATAGTTCAAATATTTATCTTTTTTTCATAACGGATATGCCCACGACATGAGGCTTTCTCTAATGTCTGTTTCTTGATACGGTTGGTTCTTTTCTCGTTCCGTGTAGGGATCAGCCACCACGGGCTTTGCCTTACCGGCGAATCCATCTCGACCCGCCACAACCTCTTGCAGAGCGTTGATGGGGTTGATGTGGTACGGCGTCGCAGTCCAATGTAATAAATACTCTTTCTTGATCTCCTCAACCGACTCGGGATTGAAGAACTTGGATTTTTTCTTTTTGTTGACGTCCATGACCGTAGAAATGTCGCTAGTGACGATCTTGGCCGTATTGTCGGGCACTTTGTAGTTTGTCGGTCCCTTTTTCTGGTCAAGATAGAGCTTGACCGTGACCAGACAATTTGACCGTGATCCGTCGAGTAAAACAGAAATGCTTTCGTCTTTGCGGTTGACGAACTGCGCCAGGTTGAGGTTCGCACTGCCAACAGTCACCTTCGACATGCCAGGAAGAGCCCAGATGACTTCAATTACCAAATTGCCGCTTTTGAGCTGCTTTGTTTCCGAGCCCATGCACATGCGATAGCTGAATGTGCTCTGTTTGTTGAAGGTTGCCTGGTTGTTGGCAATGTCAACGAAATCGGTGTGGCCCCGGGTTTCCGGGCGGCTAGCGTTCGACACGCGCCACTTTACCTGAACATTGCCTGAATTCTGTGGCATACGTACCACTCGGGTCACTTCAAAGTACACCTCGAACGTTGCTTTATCACCAAGAGACATTATTCTCACGTTGTGGAGCAATCAGAGAACTTGCGGTTACTAATGGGGCCGAGCAGGGGGGACTGGGGGGGGGCAAGGGCAGGCTCGAAGCGAGCCCTGGAGCTGGCTGAGTACGACGGTAGCGGCCGAACAAATAATTTGAAATGACACAAAATTGTCGTACTGCCAGACGCCTCTGCCCCTGCCACTCCCTTCACACTCGCCCGTAAATCGAGACATGTTGCTGTATCCGCTATCGTTATGCGTGGGGTTGGTTCCCCTGCAGGTGATGATTACTTTTACGTTTGACCTGTCGAGTTACCTAACAACAAAACCACTAAGGGCCCGGCACACAGAGGCAGTACTTGAGAAATTTGTCCAGAACCCACCCCTTCCCATGAGCGTCGGTCAATCTCTTGTGCCAGAAGAAGCCCTTAATGGGTCAGGACTCAAACGAAAGCACTCTGATGCCGGAGGTTCTGAGAGCCCTGCAACCCAATGGCCCGCTACGTTGCCAGAGGATGGTGAGGCCGCCGTGTCTGCTATTGTCAAAACCGAGGATTCCAGCGAGCAGATTATCAAACTGCCGGCTTTTGAGCATGCCGTTATTGTTCCTGCTCGTCCTCCTCAGCTCATCTACCAGGGCAAGACCGGTATCTGCTACGACGTCAGAATGCGCTACCACAGCCGTCTGAACACCAGCCCCAGCTCTTATTTGGACCCGCACCCAGAAGACCCACGACGCACATTCCGTATTTACAAGACGATTGCTGAAGCAGGACTGCTCACTGACGAAACTTTACAGGGCAAAACAGATCTGGGGAACCTTATGCTCAAGCTGCCGTCTCGCGAAGCCACGTTCGAGGAGCTGCTGCTTGTGCACACCCCGGAGCACCTCAAATTCGTTAGCTCTACTGAAAACATGTCCACCGATGCATTGGAGCACGAGACGGCTGTCGGTGACTCTATTTATCTCAACAACGACAGCTTCCTTGCTGCAAAACTTAGCTGCGGTGGTGCAATAGAGGCATGTAGGGCCGTCGTCGACGGCCGGGTGAAGAATTCGATCGCCGTGATTCGTCCTCCCGGCCACCATGCGGAGCCTGAAAATGCTGGCGGCTTTTGTTTGTTTTCAAACGTGGCCGTCGCGGCAAAAACAATGCTGCGCGATTATCCCGAGCAAGTGCGCAGAATCGTAATCCTCGACTGGGACGTGCACCATGGAAACGGTACGCAGAAAGTGTTTTTCGAAGACGACCGTGTACTTTACATCTCCATCCACAGATACAATGGAGGTAAGTTCTACCCTGGAACAACTTATGGTGGGCCTGACAAAGTCGGTGAGGGCAAAGGCGAAGGATTTAACGTCAATATCCCTTGGAGTACGACCGGTATGTGTGACGGTGACTATATGGCTGCTATGAACAAGGTTGTTATACCGGTATGCCAAGAATACAACCCAGATCTTGTAATTATTTCCGCTGGATTCGATGCGGCTGAGGGCGATCCCATCGGTCTCTGCAAGGTCAGTCCTCCGGGATATGCCCAGATGACCCATCTCATGAAAAGTCTGGCTAATGGTCGCCTAGTTGTTTGCTTGGAGGGTGGCTACAACCTCGATTCAGTATCGGTGTCTGCTCTGGCTGTGACAAAGGTTCTTATTGGTGACCCTCCGGCCCCCCCTGCCACCACCGTTGCTTCAAACGCTGCTATTGAAGATATCGATGAGGTGCTTTTTTACCAGTCCAAGTATTGGAAAAACCTGGGCCCCAAGATGCTTGATTGGTCTAGCCGCGAGGCCTTCACCAAGGAAGACAGTGTTCAGGAAGGTCTGGCCACGCTTTCCGACGTTATTCGTGGTTACCAAGCACGTGCTCTTGCTAGAGCGTATTCGCTTACCCCACTTCCGCTTTTGCGAGAAAGCAAGCGGGTGGAACTCGGCCCTGACCAAGTATTGGCAACCCCGCGGATCTACAGTGCAGAAAAGGTCCTGGTAATTCTCCACGACCCTTCAGACGTTTATGCACACCGCAGTGCTATCACCGGTCTCATACACACCAATGAGTCAACGGTAGTCGATGGTTCACAAAAGTTCATCGACTGGGCGATAAAAGGTGGCTATGGTGTTTTGGACATCATGGTCCCCCGCCGGTCAAACCGGCCTGACGATAGCTACAAAGATCTTATTGAGACACTTTGGGATGACAATATCAAACATTTCGCCGCAAATGATCTTCTACTGGTCGGAATTGGCCAGGCATACGCTAGCGTCGTTTTTCTTGCCGGACACAGAAATATTCGCGATATCTGTACGGGCATTGTTTGCTTTGCCGGAGACATCCCCCTGGTTCCACTAGGAACTACCGTTGAGGACTATATTGCCTCTTGGTTCTACAAAACTTCTCTTATTTTCGTGTCCCCCACCAATAAATATTTCGATGGCCCGGCAAATGCCAAGCGGCCGCGGAGAAGAAAGATGGGTAAAATCGTAAATTCTGAAAATTCTGACGGCATTTACGAAACAGTTCTCGCCAAATTCGAAGAGAGCTGTGAGTTCTTGACATCGGAGTAATTGTACAGACCTAAATAGATAAGTTTTTTTTTTTTTTTTTCATGATGCTGGCGCGGGCTTGACGAGCGTGGGGAAAGGATTTCGATTGCTCAAAACAACTGTTCGCATTGAATGGCTAATGTAGCCACGCATTTTACCCTCAGAAATCATCTCTGCGACCTGCAACTCTACTGCATTAGCCTGCTCTTCTGGGGTCTTGAATACATCATCAAAGTAGCTCTCCAAATGGTAGGCAGCAGCCAAGTCCTCAACCTTCAAACGATTTCCCTTGCCCAAGGCAAGCCAAGTCTTGAATATTAAATGAAGTGAGCATGCTTGTGATAGCCTGGTAAATGCAAAGTACAGATGTCGAGTCACAAGAAAGTTCTGATGCTCCTCAAGCAGTTTGTGATAGATACCGAGCTTTCCTAGTTTGAGCGCATCTAGAAGAGGCTTGTAGACTTTCTCTAGAGCGGGAAACTCGCTCCACAACTCCGGGATGGGTACGATGTTGGCGAGTTGTTTTGCTGGAATAAGATAAAGCAGAACAGTTTCCCGGGACTTTTTCGCTGACAAGGGAATCAATGAGAGACAGTTGCTCAGCTTCTTTTCGGCCGGAAAGTAGGCCTGGCTCATAAAATCTAAAACCCCAATGTAGTAAGTGTACACGACTTGATCGGCAATTGGCGAGGAATCGAGGGGAGGAATAGTATGGCCCACCGCAGTGATAGCCTTTGTGATACCTTTGGCCAGCGAATATGCCTTTAGTCGGAAGTAAACCCGCAGCATCATGCCGGCAAAAAAGTACGCAGCGATCTTCTTAGTACTGGTCATATCGTCCGACTGGCGATCGTTCAAACAGATCTTGAAAGTGCCATTGATACACCTTGACGCGAGTTCTAGGTATTCCTTGAGTTTCGCGCTATTATCGCTGCATACAGCCGTCATTTTGGTAATAGTCACAGCCGACTTTTTGAGAACTGGGATGATCCACAGGCCTTCACTGTTTGCTGTGCGATTTAAAGCAGTAATAAACTTCTCATAAGCCCGAAAAAAGTCTTCGTAGTCACTTTTCAGCATGGATTTCAGACATGTACCGAAGGAAACACCAATTTCCTTCCACTCTTTCGGAAGATACCTTGCGGCATCGTTATGGTAGTTGGAATTGCCTTTGAAATAATCAATAGCCTGACCATTTGCAACATTCAGAAGATTGGCAACCTTTTTCCCGTCCCGCTGCTCTATCAAACCACCAAGCTTCTCATAGTAGCTCTCCCTAGCCATTAGTGATTTATGGGTTACTAACCATCGCCAGGTAAGGTTGAATTATTGGCAAGTGGGCGTCTAAGGGTTCTTAAATATTCAATATATATCGTCCACCATTCCACAGGTTCGAGAACACCGAGAACCGATTTTTCTCACTGGCTCTGCTACGATGTCCAGTCTTCTGCATGGGCATATGATCAGTATGCAGATCACTGCTAGTTATGTACTTAGAATTCAAGTAACACGGTGCCGGAACCAGCCACACTCTCAATGAGAGCATCTTCGGGCGCGTTGGGATAACGCTTGGCATAGTATTGTTCGCGCAGGGCCTTCTTGACGGCTTCTGCCTTGTTGCTGGGCACAAGGTGCACGGTGCAGCCGCCCCATCCAGCGCCAGTGACCCGCGAGCCCAGAGAGCCTGCGCTTCTGGCAATCTCGACAATCTCATCAACTGCTTCATGCGAGTTGTCGAAAAGAGTTTGGGATGACTTGTGGGAGGCATTCATATACTCACCAAGCTTTTGCAGGGTATCGGGGGAGTTATCACCCATGATAGATACAAACTCAAGAACCCTCAGGGCCTCTTCATAAACATGCTTGGCGCGCTGGTATAGCTTGAGCTTGCTGAAACGGACAGGGAACTCCGTGAAATATTTTGCCTCCAGCTCGCTCTCTGAGATGCCCAGTTCACTAGCAATTCGTGCACTGGTGTATCCTTCGGGGTCAAGGTATTTTTCCACCTGAGGCAACATCGCCTTCAAATTTGCAATGGAAGCCTCTTTGCCACTGAAGCACTCCATAACGCCTCTCAGGGTCCCTGCAGACAGGAGACCGTCCTGCGGAATAGTGATCCCCAGTCTTTTTTCGAGCAATTTCGCTGCCAGGGTGACCTCTACAACACGTAGATTATAGCATTCTGGAGCAGAATCGTGCTTGTGCACCTCGAGAAGCGAGTTGGCGATAATAAGAACAAATGGAGTGGTTTGAGCGAACTGCATGGGCTTGACGTCCAGCTCTGGGCGGAAAGATACAAACAAGGCGTGGTCCTTTTCACCAAACACCGAGGCGGACTGGTCCATTCCACCCGAGTTGACGCCAATAAGCTGCTCACAGGTAGTAGACAGTTTGACCAAAAGCTTTTTGTCAACTTTGTCATATCCGTTCGAGCGGAGCACTGCCAGGGTTGCCGAGACAACAAACGCAGCACTCGAGCTAAGCCCACCTCCGGCTGGCACGTTGCCGTGCACCACGATTTGCATCCCCTTTGGACGGAATCCCGGTGTCTTTTCCCTCATGTAACGGTTAGCCACCACCACACCACACTTGAAGTAGTTCGACCACACCATATTGACTGCGTCGATCTCCACGTCGCCGTGTTGAGGCATCTCGAAGGTGCATCCGGAGAAACGCGGGTCCAAATTGGCCAACGAAACTTTGTGGTCATCAGTGGTAGCGACGGCAATGACGAAATCGTTTTCAATAGCCATGGGAAGAACCGAGTAGTAGCTGTAATCGATGTGATCTCCGATGATGTTGACTCGGCCGGGAGCCCGAGTTACAAACTCTGGCTTGCGGCCGTACAGGGATTGGAATTTGTTCAAAATACCCGCGTACCGAGCCTCATGCGCTGATGCATCAGCATAAACGTCTTTGATCGTATGTAACGTTGGAATCATGTCTTGTTAAGTGTAACGGATCAATGGTTATGTAATTTCCCCGAACTTATACAGGATCACGCTAAGAGCTACATGAGCACGTAATACCCCTAGAATCTGTAGGAGTTTCATCGAGATAGTTTTCGTAGCCAACGTCCCAGGAGGACTCGAACGGGGAAACCGTCATTTTCGCCACGGCATTGAACGGCGCCCAGTCGCCTGCTTGGGCCTTGGAAATTATGTCTTGGAGCACCCAATTTTTCAAAACGAAATTGGGATTCACCTTGCTCGTGCGCGATTTTCTGTCGGCATCATCAGTGTTCTTTTCAGTCTCGAGGCGGGCAGCATAGAGTACCAGCCAATCATCAATAGCACTCGTAGCGTCTTCAACGGACAAATTCGGGAGCTGGGCTCGATTCTTGGGCAAGAAAACAGAGCCGGACGTCAGAGAGCCATTGAAAAAGGCTACGCTTCCGAGCTTTCGGAAAAAGCCGTTGTATTCCACCTCGGACTTTTCCATCATCTCAAGCAAAGGTGAAATTAGCTCGTCATAGTCGTCCTTTTCGACCGTCAAGAGACCAAGCCGTCTGCACATAACTGATGTAAACTCAGACTCATAAAGGGCCTGGTACTCTTCCCCCATATCCATAATAAGTTTAGTAGCCCTTTCCGCAACAGCCCGACGCGCTGCTTTATCAGTAGTACCGTTCTCGATAAAACCAGCATCATCAACGTCGCTAGCACCCATGAGCTCTCCCAGGGCTTCACCCAAACGCACACAGTTCCACCAGATCATGGTTGGAGTGTTCCGGTAACTGTAGCGAAGCTCACCGTCGTCGTGGTTTGGAGTAAACGAAAAATCAAAATTGTCCATAAAAGCAAAAGGACCGTAGTCCATACTCAAACCGAGTACCGAGGTGTTGTCCGTGTTCAAAACACCATTCAAAAACCCATAGGCTTGGCACTGGGCTATCATCTTGCAGTTCCTTGTCGTGATCTCTTTGAACAGATGATAATAACGGTTCTGATCTGCCGTTGCACCGCTCGTGTCTAGCGACAGAACCTGATCAATGCAGTAATCTGCAAGCTGGCGGACATTCTCACGATCGTTGCGGCTGTGGTAGAGATCAAACGTACCAATTCGGACCCAGCTCTCAGCGAAGCGGGTAACAATTGCGCACGTTTCTGTACGTTCTCTGCGAGCTTTGGTTTCTGGGAGATCTGTTAACGCCAAAACACGTGTCGTCGGAATACCTAGAGCGTGCAAACTCTCCGACGCTAGTGCCTCGCGAATACTAGATCGAAGAACTGCGAGCCCGTCGGCGAAGCGAGAATACGGTGTCAGCCCAGCTCCTTTGAGTTGAATTTCGTAACGGATACCTGAATTTGGATTCCGCACTTCGAATAGCGAAATCGCCCGGCCATCGCCAAGCTGACCTGCCCAGTTTCCAAACTGGTACCCCGCATAATTCTGCGCCCAAGGATAGAGCTCCGGAGAGGTGAATACATGCTGCCCAGCAAACGTATCCACGAAAAGCTTCTCCTGCGTATCGGATACGGGAATATCTAGTGTTTCCAGGGCTGCCGGAAACACCCATCGCAGGTTGTACACATCCCGCTTCGCGGGTTTAACCCAAGTGAATGCACCGTTTACAAGACGCGCCTTTCTTTGCAGCTGATCTTTGGCCTCTTCTGCGGACTCAATTGTCGGCACAGAGGGATCTGGAGGCATATACTTGGTGAAGGTGGCGGTTTTAGGCACCGTCTTGAGCCAAGTCATGGTTGTATGAGTAAGTGTGGGGAAAGTAGATGCCAATGTTAAATTATGCTAATACAATTAATAAAAAAATACTCAATTAAGTCCAGAAAGCACACTCTGAAGAAGCTTCAAGTCGAAAAACTCTGAAACGTGGTTGTAGACTGCTAGATCCTTCCGCAGAGTCGAAATAGGTATGGTCCCAACAAACGCACCAGAGCATTCGCAATAGTAGGCCATATCGTCCGCACGGATACGGCTGCATTTAGAACACTTCAAGTCTTGGATCTGGTAGAGACACACCGCTTTAACCACCAGCTCAACCAGTTTTTCTTCGAGGAAAACGCGATCAAGAGAGGCTCTGCATAAGCTGCATGACCAGCCAAATTCGTGCTCCAATTCAGGCCGACAGATGTTGATACTCTCTGTATATCCACAATTGTGACATACAATTCCATTCAGCACTAGATCAGCGGAGGGATTCCTAAATTGTGCATCAGGATCGAACTCACCAACTCGAACTACTTCGAGCAGCTTGCGACGGAGCTGCAAATATTCAGGTTCGTTTGACGACCCAAGTCCATACACAGCACAAATATACTTGATAAGCTCCAAGATAGGGTTCTTAAGGTTGGCGACGCTACCCGCAAGTTTTGGGAATTCGAACTCTTTCGAAACATCAGCAATTGCTCGACCATCAATGTACCTGCGATTGAGATGCTTCATGCGATTAACAAGAGGCGCCTCGAGGGCCTTTAGAATGCCAGTCGTAAAACTCTCCTCTGCATTCTCCTTCACAGTACCCGCAATCTGCGTTGCACGGGTCTCATCTTTGTGGAACAAGTCTTTGGCTTCGCCAACATGCTGCATCAGCTGGAAGATCCATTCTTGGAATTCTTGCTCAAGAATTTTAGGCAAATAGTGCGCAATGTTCCAATCACTGACATGTGATAGCTCTGGAGTCTCACTCAAACTGGGTTTGCACACGCGGCCACAATAGTTTGCATTATCTAGCCACATCAAATAGTCCCAGTATTCACGGATGCTAACATCCAGATAGGTGAACAGCGGATTCGACTTGATCGATTTGATCACAAAAGATCCAAATGCGAGCGTGTTCACCGCATGTGCATTCGATGTGACCACCAGTAGTCGGTTCATATCGGCAAACACAACCCGAGCACCAAAATTGTGAAGCTCACCTATTAGTTGAAGAAGCGCCTTGCGACTCAAGTTCTGCACGTAGTACAGCAATGGAGGGTCGTACATCTTGGATTGTGGAGACGACACCCATGTAATAAAGTGTTGAATAAGATTATCTGCAACAACGTCACCCTTAGCTGCTGTAGACCACCACTCTTTTACAAGACTGCTCAACGCAGAGAGAGCAGAAGCGGATAACTTATTCTGACCAAACAGAGAATTGTTTTCGCTAAAGTCCAAACCATCAGCTGCGTTGAAGAGAACGGCGGTGAGAATACTGTTCACAGACAGATTAGAGACGTCAATATCAATGCAGACCTTGCCGTAGAAACCAGGATTGTTGAACGAGGGGATCACAGTCTCTTCATTATTAGCTAGTACATTACCAGCTTCTCCACCTCCCAGGTCAGGAAGTGGTCTGTTGGACCACCAGAGAACGACATTGTCATTAAGCAGCTTTCGGGCGAACAAGATATCGATAAGATCATTGCTGTCTCCACTGTTGAGATTTCCAATTGGGATATTGCTGAAAATAGCTTTGCTGTGAAGTTGCTCGATCCAGTACTGGAGACGGAAGTAAGACTTTACTATGCGTTTGGATAATGCAGGCTGCCAACCAACCGACGGAAGGACACCGTCACGGGATTTGATTTCGAAACTAGCAAAGTCATCGATTGCCCTTATCCGATTGTACAGTCGCTCAATGCGCGCCGACTGTAATGTCAAGACCGCATGCGTGCCCCGCTCTGCCAAAATATCTGATAAGATGTTGTTTGTGTGTGTATAGACCTTCGAGAGACTTGAGCAGTTAATGGTATCAAACTCCAAATTTTCTTGGAAGTTGAAGTAAGGTTGGCTCACATCTGACGACTGTAGAGAGGTGAAGCTGTCGCCGTACATAGCCCCCACACGAAGAGGCTCATTTGCGTTCACATTACTTGCAGAGTAATGCACCAAATAAGCCTTAGAAGACCAGCTCGTGGTAACAGCAATAAACACCTGATTAGAGATCTCATAGTGTTGCAAGAAGATATAGCCGAGATTCGTACTCTTCAGGTAGGGAATAGGCTCATGCTCTGCACCTTTCCGTGGGCGGTAAGGTCTGAGCCACTCCAGTTCGAAGCCGGACTCTAAACCTTTACCCAAAATGCCGGGACGAGAGCTGTCCAGGGAACATAAAGTTCCGATTTCTAACAAGACGCGGTCTCGGGGCTCAAGCTGAGTTTCATAAACGCCCTTGACTGTTTGTTGTTTCAACAAACCACCTCCCCTGGCTAACTCATCTTGATATGCTTCCTCGGACATCACGACTTCATAGAGATTGTCGTTCGAGACGCCATGCGGGAGTGATTTTGAACTTTTTTCCATAGTGATGCCACTAGGAAGTGTCAAATTGGGGACATCAGTGAACTGCACAAAAAATCGCCGTGGAACATTAATTTTGATCTTTTGGATACGACTATTCACCCAGATAAAAGCTTGGACTTGGCCAAGTTTTCCTGGGGATGCCGTCACCTGAACAATATGCCAAGAGCGCCCGGAAAATGCTTGTTCGGCCTGATTTCGCAGCATTCCCGTAACACCTCTGTTATAGCGTAAGGAAACCTTGTCGCCAAAGAGCTTTCGGCGAGTTTCTCTTTGCTCATATTTCTTCTGCCAAATGACTTTTTGATAACGCAGCCAAGCAGAGTAGTCGTCCTCAGGGTCAGGTGCGACTGTATCGTTCGAAATCTCCAATACAGCGAGGTCATCAGCACCAACCGAATCATCTTCTCCAGCTTTACGTTTGTGCACTACCGCTCGCTTTTGTCCGTTAACTTCAACACCTAGACCGGTCGAAAGCACATCTTCAATGTCAACAAGGGTTTGCTTAGGTTTCAAAAGCTCAGACTTTTCTGATGGCATGGTGAAAAAACCAGTGATCTTCTTCTGTTTGAATCGATCGTTCATAGCGGCAACACGCTTGTTCAACCAGTCTGGGTGGGCCACACGTGGGACAGGGTTCGAAACACTTTGAAGAGCAGCGGGAATAGTGATGATTTTTTGGATTGTAGAAGCCAGACGTGCACGGTAGTAGTCCCAATCTATAATTTCCCGGGGATCGAAGTTCTCAAGACCCGGGGATTTCAACCAGGCGCGTAAGAACTTGCGCTTGACCTCATATTCCGCCGAGAAGACTTCAACAGGAATAGCCCGATCGGTAACAGGAGCACCATATGGTAACTTGGAAATGACATAGTGACAGGCTAGGCCGCTATCCTTGATCATCTGGGAGCCCAAGAACTCTGCTAAACGGCGTGCGGTACAGATGGAAGTTGATTTTTGACCAGCATAATCTTTCAGTGATTTGCTCATTACCTTATTTTCTGAAATGAGATCCATAAGATCAGCGTCCTCGAGGTGCTTTCCTCGTGTATCAAGCACGTCGAGCCAAGCATTGGCAACTTTTGCAACTGCACCATAGCACTCTTCTAGAGAAACGCCCTCCAGGAATTCTTTGAAAATTTGGGATTGGAAAGCCTTGATGATTCGAAGTTCACCACGTCTTTTCAATTCGAAACCCTTGAGCTCGGCAAGTGAGCCGTCCATGTTGAAAACGGCATATCTTTTTTTCAGATTCTTGCCCTCCTCTGTCGAAGTGGGTAAAACCATCGCTTTGTAGGGGCCATCGACTTCGAAGTAAATAGAATTGTCACTGATTGTCTCGTACTGGAAAGTACCCGGGTCCACCAAAATCTGGTATTGGTGGTTTGTGAACTTTGCATGAACAAGGTGGTTCAACATTACACAAGGATAAGCAATTGGAAGTTTTTTGCCATCTGAGAATGTAAACATAAAATCACCGGGGAAAGAGGATGGTAAAATACACCAGATACCATCTGTATCCAACTCCAAAGGACGACCAAGCTGTTCGACACGGGAACGCGCTAGCTGGATAATCGTAGCGCCAGTCAAGCAAGTCACACCTGCCATTTCCATCGAGTACCAGCGTGATCCTTTGCGCATGACGTAGCCATAGAACGAGTTCAAAATAACCTTATGCGCAAGCTGCAAGGAATCGTAGAGCACAATCATTTTCTTAGCCTCTTCGACACTTGGGATATCGGATTTTGGTACCTCATCAAGCTTTCGCTTCCACACTTTCTGCAGACCTTTGAACTCATAACGGCGGTCTCTAAAATCACGGACGGTGTTTACGTAGAAAGGGTTCTCGCGCTGGCAAATGATAGCCTCGCGCTCCACTGTTTCCGTCTGTTTGATTTTGTGGTACACCTTGCGTGAATAATCACTAACACGCTTCTTGATCAGTTGGGCTTGCTCAAAGGGCGGAAGCTCATCAAATGTTCGGAAGGTCTTTTTACCGTTTCGATCTCGATTCGGCCTTGGGAAAGTTTCCTGCTCTAAAGTCTTGCGAATCATTAGATACTCACTTTTCTCGGCAGGATAGAACTCACCACGCCAAGCCCACGGAAGACGACGATCACAGTCCTTACCAGGACGATTGAAATCGCACATTGCACAATCACGCTCTGAGACCATTGAATCAGGCTGAAGACGGTTTGTCGTCATGATGTTGGGATACATTGAGGCGACATCCACATGGTAAATCAAAGGGGTCTCGGTGCGCGAAGGAGCTTCTTTTAAACTGATGAGTTTCTCAGTGATTTGCTGCTTGATTTCGTCGTAGTTTGTAACCTTTTGGAGATCCATTTTTGCCTCGACTTGGATGGTGAACTTCAAGGCTTCGTCAAGTTCTTGAAGCAGCTGTTCAATTGCATTCTGATCAACAGAGAAATGAGTTGGAATGTCATTGCGAAACACACCAGCTTCTAAGGACTCCACATGGCCGCCAACATATGTTTCAGATTCAACTAAATGACCATTGTAGAATCGTTCTAGCGGGTCTTGATGCTTATGGGGTAAAAGAATACCTTTCTGATACGCTTGGACCATTAGCAGCATTTCACAAAGGGTACCTGTACCTTTTCGTAAAACCTCATCTGGTTTGAGGGGAATGATGTTGCATAAAGAAAAGATGAAAGGATGCACATACTTCATATAGAGGTAGTAAGTTGCGACGGCATCTGAAACAGAGTACTCAGCGAGGACCTGGGGTTTCTCACTGGCGTAGGGGGTCATTTTTTCTGGGTCCAGTTCAAGCGGGTTGTAACCTAGCTTGGCTGAAGTGACAGCTTTCAAGCCCTGGGAACCTTGCGGGAGATATGAATCACGTTTTACCCAGCGGAAAGCGTCCATGTGCGCGCAGTGAGCAGATTTGTATTCGTCCTCCATATCTTTCCTGAACCCAATCTCCTCATACATATTAATGCCATGAACGTTTGCACGAGCATCGACAAACGGCCAATCAAAGAAATCACCATTGAACGTAACAATGACGGTTGGCTTCTCTTCTTTGATGTGGTCAAAAAATCTTGTCAGGAGATCACGCTCGTTTGCTTCATTGAAAATAGTGAATTCGCCTTTGAACTCGGGCTTGGGGGTGTATTCGAAATCGTCGATATCCTTGGACACTACTTCGCGATTTGTGATCAGGTAGCCCTCACCATTTATCATGTACGAGATCATCATGACGCAGTCAATAGCGGCGTCTGGGAATTTCAAAGGTTGTTTGGTTGTTTCGATGTCGAAAGCCAAGACAACGGGGTCCGCACGTTCGATACGGGCGAATTCAGTCAAAGAAACCACTCCTTCCACAGCTGTTACCGTATACCATTTACCGACGCGAACATCTAGGTCAATGGAGACGCGGACGTGGTAGGGCACATCGTACTCTCTTATGTCTAGAATGTAATCAGAGGCATCTGATTTTGCCGAAAAGCTCTTATTGAGCGCAGATTGAGCATAATCCGCACCATAGTCGGCGTACTGTGCCAGTTTCTTCTGATTTGCTTCGGCAAATGGCGCCAGAGTTTTGCGAGCTGCTAACAGGTTCGTTACGTTCCAAAAGCGGACCTCAATCAAGGACTGTTTGCGGCCGATCAGGTGGTTGGGTAGCGACAGGTCATCTTTAATGACACGCCTGGTCTCCTTAACAACTCCTTCCAAATTCTTGCGGATATACTCCTCCACGTCGGCTTCTTTTCCCGGGCTGCACTTCACCAGGAAATAAGGGTCATAGCGAATGGTCGACTTGAAGCAGCCGCCCTCGTCGTCAATAAAATAAAAATCCACAGCAGCCTTGCCATTCGGAATATTGGGATCGCTTTGCGAGGTGGCCTGAAAATTGACCAGCCAGCCTACCCGCGGCGGCCCCGAGTCAAAGCGTTCAAAGCCCATGCTGGCATCGATTGTGTCCGTGAGAGCAACCGCATGCTCTCTTCGTATTTGTGAGGTCGCATCAATAGCCAGATTAGTCGGCGCATCGTTGCGTCGGTAGTGGGCCATTGCGACGCGTCTCGATGGATCGTGGGGTCGTGTTTGATTTTTCGTAATTAATCTCAATTAAGGTCGAAGCAGCCCAACACCCCTGCGCGAGGCCAGGGGGGTATTCGGGTACCTTAGAACGCTGTTTAGTCAGCCTTCTAAAACCAAGAACGCCAGGTCAGGAACTGCCAGCTAGAGCCCTTCGTCATGCAGTACCCCTCCGCGAGTTCGCCTCCCCTCCACCATCCGGTACCGCAGCACCCAGTACATTTCCAGCAGGGTGGATATGGCAACCCTGCGGGTGCTGCTCAATCGGGTGGTACCTCCCGCCAGCCCCAAGCTTATCGAAATCCATACGCGCCTCCTCAGGGGGTACAACAAACAGCGCCGCAAGCACAACCGAGCACCATTCAACCTCAGGGTATGCCTAATGTGATTCCGAACGTGCCCACGGCACTGAACAGTATTCTCAGTGATCCGAATGCCCAGTTGGGGTTCGAAGTTGGCCGTAATGCTCTGAACTATGGCCAGGAGTACATTGGACGTAATATGGGCAAATACATGGACGCGGGGGCATTTTCTTATTATTTCCAGGTTTCTAATTTCTATGTTTTCCGGAAACTGCTTCTCGTTATGTTCCCATGGCGACACAAACCGTGGAGCCGCCAGATCGTGCGAAGCGACAGCACAGGGCAGGATACCTACGCGACGCCTCGCGAAGATCTCAATGCCCCGGACATGTACATTCCGATCATGGCTTTCACAACCTACATGGTTGTGTTCAGCATCATTCAGGGGTTGTTGGGACAGTTTCACCCGCAATTGCTGGGCATTGTCACGTCGAAATCCTTGGCGTTGATGGTCGTTGAGATCAGCTTCTTGAAATTGTTCTCCTACCTCCTGGCTGCTTCCTCCAGCTTGCTTGATTTAATTGCCTACTCGGGCTACAAGTTCATCGCCATCACCCTCGTCACTTTAGCGGCCGCCACCAGCAGCTCGCTTGTAAAATGGACCACATTCACATACACCGGTGCCGCCACGGCATTTTTCATGTTGCGTTCGCTGAGATACGTCTTGCTGCCAGAGTCCTCCAACTCAACATCGACTGTCAATTCGGGAATGCGGCAAAAACGTATTCAATTCCTTTTTATTTACAGCTTCGTCTGCCAGTTTGTCTTTATGTGGCTTCTGCTCTAAAGCCAACCCAAAATAAAATATATACTGGACTTGTAGCCTTTTATGCATTCCAAAATAGTTTTGCATCTGTCAGCTTAAATGAGCAATGTGATCGATTGGTACGAGGTACTAGGCATTTCTCAGGACGCTAGTGATGCAGAAGTGCGAAGGGCGTACCGTCGTATGGCGCTCAAGTATCATCCCGATAAGAATGGGAGCGCAGACGCTCGAGAACAGTTCCATCTGTTGACCCGCGCGCTCGAAGTTCTGCTAGACCCGGCTTCCAAGGCTCAATTACGCATTCATTTGCGGCAGACAGGCCCTAAAGGAACCAGAACTAGCGAGCAGAGCGAGGACGTACGAAGAAAGCGCGAAGACCTGCTGAGAAAAGAAGCACAGGCTGAGCCCTTGGCGCAGTCCAGTTTTTCCAGCCTTTCCCATCTGCAGATGGAAGGATTCAGGCTACGCAGAAGACTCGATGGGTTACGGCAAAAGCTGACAATGCAGGAGCAGTACCGCACCGCCAAAATCAAATTGCGGGCGGGTGACGAAGCCCGTCTTCCCCGCAAGTCTGATCCAGGCGTGGACCAGGTTCTTCATATCGGCTCGTCCGCACTTGTTACGTTCAGTACAATTGAGAATGCAAGGGAGTTTATCGACCTAAATACAGACCTATCTGCTCGATTGGGCGGGTCGCCGCCATCAGACTTGGGTTTGGCAGATTATTTATTATACACGCGAAAACGGATCGACCGCCGAGCTCGAACGTACTAGGAAATATCTTTTCTTTTTTTGCTTTTGCGAAGAGTGAACCCTTCACCCTTGAAGATGCTTTCTCCAGCCTCTTCTTCGTCTTCTAATGGCACGAGCGGGAATCCAAAAAACAGCTGGTTGGAGGCCAGCTCCAAGGCAGGTGCGTCTCTATTTTGGTAAATCGATGAGTCCACGACAGGAGGAGTAACGGGAGTGGGTTCCGTACTTGACGCTTTGCTTTCCCTCAGACTGTGTCCGCCAGCTTTGACACTCTGAGCACCAGCAAGGTTATTATATCCAATTGCTTCCGCCATATGGCCGGCGAGCTTTGGCGGGGCGCTTGGTTTGTCGCCACTGGGCTCCACATAGCCCACAGGAGCAGCAAAATCAACCTCAAGATCAGTCTCAACAACGCAAATACTCTTGCTTCTAGTTTCAGGCTTGACTTCCAGTACCTTGATATCATAAACTTTGTTGTTGTACAGAATTTGGAAGACATCGTCGACCGTGAGAGTGGTAAAGTTTCTCAAGGACGTTTCTAGAACCGACTTGGGGTCGCTAATATCAAGGAAATCTACCGATTGAGGCTGGATTTTGACAAACGTGCCCAGCTCCAGACTGACCGAGGAGATCCGAACCAACCCGCCAGCCTTAATCTTGAGATTGGCCAACATCCATTCCGGTAAATAGACCCGCCCTTCCTCTGCTGTGAATTCCAAAACACCTGCATGTGTGCAGCCGTGTGATTCTTCATTGCGGATCTCAAATAACATGGGATACGAGATGTGCAGCGTAGTCAACTTGTGCAGTGCCGACTGTGGTATATAGATTTTGCCACCAAAGTTCGCTGCTTTCTTATCACCTTTCATGGCAGATACCGGGTAGCACCGGTAGTACTGCTGGAACTTGTCGTTCTGGGATTGGAACGACCACATTTTCGCTGCCTTTCAATTGAGCCGTCGATGGCAATCTGGTCTGGTTGTCAACAAGTCAACCTTTCATGGCTGAATTTGTAAGCTCTTAAAGTTGACTCGAGGTGGATTAAAACCAGATCATTTTACAGAAAATAGTGAAATTAACGCCTTTGCCTTAAAACACAGTACAAGCCATCAATTAATTTGGTTTTGCATCTCCTCAAAATACATCTCGGTCCTTGGGATTCGAACTTGCTTACTATCATCGAAAGCCCCGTGCTCTTTTCTCTCGATTTGTGATTTTTGTGTCAATTGCACAGAATAGACGCCAATGAGTTACATGGAGGAGGATGGCGAAGACGATTTGCGTCATATGTTCACTGACAACGAAAGTGAAGACGAATACCACGACTCCGACGACTGGCAAATCGACGACGCGCTCAAGCCCAAACGCAGAAAGCGCGGTGAAGCCCAAGATGAGCCACTAGAGCCCGAAGTTCAGGAGCTTTTTGGAAAAGCACAGCATGCATTTTCGCTTGGAAACCACCAGGCTGCAATCCAAATGGTCGAGGAAGTCATTGCTGCAAACCCGAATGCCCGAATCGCCTATAATTTGCTATCGGCGATTTACGACGATCTTCATGACCCCCAAAAGGCCTTGCTTGCTAAAACTATGGCTGCCCATCTTAACAAAAAGAGCAAAGAAGATTGGGTTGAGGTTGCCGACAGATCGTACGAATTGGGGCTTCTAAATCAGGCCGCCGTATTTTACCAAAATGCATCGAGAATTGCACGCGACGATTGGACCCTTTTGTTGATACGAGCTCAAGTTAACATGGAAATGAACCAACCGGGTCGCTCACTCAACCTACTTTTCCGAATTCGTGACAAGTTCTTTCCATCCTTGTCTGAGGATGCCAAAACCAAAGTCATGCTAGATATCGGTAGAGCTCTCAAGCAGCTTGGCAAAATTGGAGAAGCCACCGAACAATATATGAGTCTTTATAGAAGCTCATTGAACCCCGAGAGTCACGGAGAGCCGGATGTTTTGCTAAACTGGCAAAACCTGAATGTGCTGGGCGAGCTGTTATTCGAGCAAGAACTGTACAAAAAAGCCGTTGATACTTTGAAAACAGGATCAAGATGGATTTTAGGTCGCTGTGATGAAACATTCTGGGAGAAAGCTGATGACGACTCGGAATTCGACGAACGAAGGTTCAACCTAGAGGTGGACGGGTCGTCTGAAAAGCTAACACTGGGACCGCCCGCGAAATACGAATTACCAATTGATATCCGTGTTTGGCTATTGGTTTGCAGAGTCAAACAAACAAAAGAAGAACCAACGGCTCTGGAAGACGCCTTGATACACCTCAGGTTTTTGAAAGCCTGTACACCGGTCGCCGATTTCAGTGATTTGTATTCTCGGGCGGGTAATGCTCTGTTTCAGGCGAAGCTTTTCAGAGAGGCACTGGATATTTATATGAGTTTGACTGATATCGAATACGAAACGCAAGAAGAGTATTTGAACATGACTATCAACGTGGCCAAGTGTTACATGGAGCTCGGCGACGTCAAGAAAGCAGAAAACCTTTACAAGCATGTGATATCTAAGGATGACCGCAATGTCGAGGCACTTGTAGCACTTGGAGAAATTTATCAGGCATCATCAAGACCGGCGGCTGCTAAGCTTATGGTGGAACAAGTTATGAGAATTCGTCATGAGGAAGCTCAAGCCCGAGTTGAGGAACAGAGCGGTGACATTGATTCTCGCTCCTCAACTCCACTTATTAGTACACCAGTGCGGCCAGCACAACCTGGTACTAGATTATCGGCGGCTGAAAGAGCAGAACTCGAGCGAACTGCCCAGCAACGGGCTGACACCAACTATGAGCTTCTCGAGAGATTCAGAACAGGTTTGGAAAACGGCAACATTGTGGCTGCACTAGAATGGATTAGAAGTGCATCAGTTCTCATTCAGATGTTTGTTTCCAACCGCAAGTTTTTCCCCTCCGACCGCAACAAAATATTCGTTCACGGCATTCGAAAGGAATCTATCGAGGATCGTGTTGCAGCACTCAGTGACGTTGCCCGTGAAGACGCCGTTGCAGGAGATGACGACGATGATGAAGGCAGGTTGCCAAGCCAAACACCGGCAGCAATCATCAGAGGATTCAAGTTTCGAGGACGCCCGTTTGAATTCTGGTTCACGCTGTTTATGCGATGCGCGTTGGCAATGGCCAAGTACAAATCTGCAGAAAGTGCATATGAACTCGTCAAGACGGCAGGTGCATCTAATATTTTTCATGTCGACATTCAGCGAGATCAAACTATGAATCTGGTATTATTGTCGTGTGCTTGGCAAGTTGGTGATACTAGCACCATCTCAGACACACTTCGCCACATGTACATGGATCGACAATTTCACAACGATATCATCAGGCTTTATGGAGCACTATTGTCATCAGGGAAGCGTGCAATGAAAAGTTTTGGCTCATCAAACAACCAAAAGTTTTTCCTCCGTCAGATCAAGGCTCTTGACTCTGTAGCTCAGAATCGGCGCATCTCAGGAGCTGCACGTGTTGACAGTGATAGTCGTGCAGATATTCAAAAAGAAAACCCTCTTCTGTTTGTTTTGTATTCTCATATCATGCTGATGGGCCCCTCGTATGTCCCGGCCCTGACATACCTGATGCGCGCGTTGGAGCACTTGCCACAAGATCCTGTTGTCCTTTTGACGCTTGGTATTGTCTATGTTCAAAGAGCTATTCAAAGAGTCACAACCAATCGCCATTTACAAATTCTACAAGGACTGAGCTACATGCAGGACTATCGTGCTACCCGACAAAAAAATGATGCCCAAAAGCAGGAAGCCGATTATAACATGGGTAGGTTTTTCCATGGATTGGGCTTGTTTACACTCGCAATTCCATTCTATGAACATGTTCTTGGCTACGATATTGACGAGGAGTACGATTTGTCCAGGGAAGCAGCTTATAACTTACACCTCATTTCTGCTATTTCTGGTAATATGCACTACAGCCATGAGCTTGTTGATGAATATCTTATAATTTAGAGGTCCTCGATAGATGCATCATTTTTTTGGAAAACGAGTTTGTCGTCATGCAATTCAACAGGAGGGCTCTGCGTGTTCGCGGCAAGCAGTCTTAGTTTAGTCTTTACCATCTTAATATTCAGACTGATTTTGTCCGCTACCTTTGGATCATTCTCGAAACTGGGACATTGTGAGTACTGTTCCACTTGTTTCAGCTGGGATTGCAGTTTATCATCTTTTTGGGCCTTCCAGATCGATATGCGACCTTGCATAATGCCTAGTGACCTGTAGCGCTGGAATCCAGTCTGTATGCCTAGCTCACGTCCTTCCAAATGCCCTTGCTTTTTGCCTGCCTCCGCGCCTTCCTCGAAACCACTGTCGTAACACTCTTTTTCGAAATCTAGCACCGAGTCCAAAATATCTTCATTCATATGACAAACCTTTCATCCCATGGACGATGATGAAGAGGTCGAGAGCTCTTTACGAAAATATGAGCTGGGGGGTCTCCAAGAACAAACCGATAGCGAAAGCGAGACCGAAAGCGGTCAAGTAGAAAACGCTGGTCAAATTGAGGCTGTGGATGGAGAGCATGATGGAGAGCCGCCAGATACGTCTAGCGGATCAGAGGATATCGAGCCATTCAACCTGGATGACGAAAGAGAAGAAGGCAATTTCCAGGACGGTGCTTTTGTACGCACAGAAAAAGGAGATGCGTTCGATAGCTGGCTCGATAATGTCGATAAAGCGACAATTCGACGTGCTCGAACCGCTAAATCATTTCAGGAAGAACTTGCCTGTAAGAGCACCTTATCAGAAGAACAAGCTTTAGAACGATTGGGGCCTCTTTTGAATCCTGCCGAAACTGCCATGGAGGTCATAGAGAGTTCTGAAGATGGAACCAGAGTCGAAGGAATCACTATCGCTTGTAACGCATTGCTCTCCTCGATTCCTAACATATACGACTTAGAGCGAGAAGAACTTGCGCGGCTGTTTCAGTCGAAATTTGGCCGAAACTTCAAACGAAAACGGGTGGCTGACAACTGGAAGTTCAAGTGGCCCGGACAAGAAGAGGTCCACGGGCCGTTCACAGCCATGGAAATGCAGACTTGGCTGGACCATGGCTACTTCAAAACCGGTGTCCAGGTGTGTCCTGCAGACGGAGACGAGTTCCGAGATATATCTGAGGTTACTTTCTAGATTTCTGCGAGATAGTAGTACTATAATAATAATGTCATTAGCTAGAGCGCCGTCATGGTGAAATCATGCTCAATCGTTGGAGTCACACTAGCGATAAACTTGAGGAAAATAATCAAATACTGATCGACCCGGATCCCGGCTGGGAACTCCTCCCAGTCATCGTCTTGTTTCTGATTTTTTTCTGTAAGAGCTTTGGCCTCGGCTTTATCGAGCAACATGCGCATAACACCCGCATGTCTGCAAGGATGAATGGAAATAAGAGTAAGATCGTCTAGAAAGGGAGCCGGTTCAATGGTGACAGTCTTGTCTTTGTAGTCTCCCAGAATATCTTCAAACATTAACTTTGGCGGCAGTGGCGCACCATTGTCATCAAATCCAGATAAATAAATTTTCGGCACGCGGTACGAGGTCGAATAGGTTATGAACACATTGTAAGTGCGATCCTCCGAAGTCGTCTTGTGGTCTCCCGTGGGCACTGGTTCACCACCCTCCAAATCAGCCTCCTCCAGGTCAGCCTCTTCAAGGTCCGCAAGATCGGCGTCACCAATTGCACCCTCTTCAACATCTGAAGAATGCAAGACAGGTGAGTCAACCTCTGCGCTCACCATCCAGTCGTCCTCGACCTCGAACTCCTTGTTCAATTGCAACCCGCCACCAACTCCATTGGCTCTCTGTCGACATGGTACATGTTTGGTAACAAGATATTGCTTGTTTGCCGGCAAAAAATCTCGTTGCTTTGAAGGGGATGCGCTTCCCCAGGACCAAGTTGGAAACTTATACACAAGATAGTCACCGGCAGCCACAAATTCTTCCGGTGTTATTTGACCGGTCTTTTGAAAAGAAGATTTATGGCTGACCGGCGTTAAATATTCGCGCCAGCTTGATAGTTTTGATCGAATCATTGTGGTCTTAGCCTGTGGCGTGGGATGCTAGCTTAGTTAGGTAAGGCCCTTAAGTAGTTTACCGCTTTGGGAAATAGGTTGGCAGTGCTTATTCGCAGCGACGGTTGATCAGAGGTAACAGGCCAAGTCACAAAGAATAGAAATTGCAATTCACCAAAATATAATTAGCTCAGGACTAGGGTAGCATCTCGGTAAAGCCTAAATAACAGCATTATGTGCGCTCACCATATCTGTTGGGCAGAACTAGTATCAATCGATTCAACCTGCACAGCGTAAGATCACGAATACAGAACCAAGCATGGAATGTCATGACATCGTCGTAACTTTGTTCAACATCTTTGCTGTAACTATTCAGAGTAAAATAAACTTTTGGCTGCGGCCATATCCAGATGAAAGCAAGACTTCCCGTCCGATCAGTCCTATTGAACCATCTGAGAGCCTTACCAAGTATTACAGTGGGAGACCATGTGAGAACAGAAGGTGCTGCAGTTAATTTTTTATATTTCTTGTTTGATGAACACTAATGGGTACCTTGGCCGGTTTAATGTTGAAAAACTAACGGGATAGATTTTTGATAATGAACGTTCAGAGCTTTTTCAAGTACGCCCCTAAGATGGATGGTGCTGGCGTTTCGAAGCTTTTCCAGTATGCACCTAAGGCATAAGGCACGCCCTTTCCCTCGACTGTGCCTGGTGAAAACTTTTATGCAACCAAGGCTCTGTGCATAATATTTAGCGCTATATGTACAGATTACCCAAGTTTGACTTGAATAATGCCAAAATGACCTTCATGAAAAGAAAATAAAAGCTTGAAAAAGCAAAAGATGAAATCGGAAACGGTCAGTCTGGTTTCTTTTCAAACGCAGCCTAGTTTGGTTGTGAAAAGAGTTGATTCGTTTAACGACGAAATCTCAAGCACAACCTTACAAAGGTGTTAACCTGAAGGGTCTTTACAAGCACTGCGCTATGTAAAGCACTGATGGGTTCTGTGGATTACTAGCCGATGGCAAGAATTTACAGGAAAACACTCGGGGGCATGCTGCTACAGATAGCCGACTTTAGTCGTGATTTGTAGACAGAAACCTCCTCTCAAGTTATTGATGCTAAGCTTTGCTTAGCGGACTATAACTGAGGAACTCAAAAAGGCAATTGGATGCAGTTGATGTGTTGACAGTGTAACAACTGACAATGCAGAGACTGGGTGGAAACACGAACTTTGAAAAACTATGTTTCTTCGGAAACTAGGCAGTCTCTTGACTGTTGAAGATAGTTATCTGGTTGATCCTGCCAGTAGTCATATGCTTGTCTCAAAGATTAAGCCATGCATGTCTAAGTATAAGCAATCTATACAGTGAAACTGCGAATGGCTCATTAAATCAGTTATCGTTTATTTGATAGTGCATTACTACATGGATAACCGTGGTAATTCTAGAGCTAATACATGCGTAAAATCCCGTCTGGGATGTATTTATTAGATAAAAAACCAATGTCTTCGGACTTTTTGGTGATTCATGATAACTTCTCGAAGCGCATTGCCTTTGTGCTGGCGCTGGTTCATTCAAATTTCTGCCCTATCAACTGTCGATGGTAGGATAGAGGCCTACCATGGTATCAACGGGTAACGGGGAATTAGGGTTCGATTCCGGAGAGGGAGCCTGAGAAACGGCTACCACATCCAAGGAAGGCAGCAGGCGCGCAAATTACCCAATCCTGACACGGGGAGGTAGTGACAATAAATAACGATACAGGGCCTTTGGTCTTGTAATTGGAATGAGAACAATTTAAACCACTTATCGAGGAACAATTGGAGGGCAAGTCTGGTGCCAGCAGCCGCGGTAATTCCAGCTCCAATAGCGTATATTAAAGTTGTTGCAGTTAAAAAGCTCGTAGTTGAAACTTGGGATTGGGAGTCTGGTCCACCTCACGGTGCGTACTGGAACTCTTGATTCTTTTTGCCTGGACGTCTGTTGCGTTTAACCGCGTGGCAGAAAGGTCAGGCCATTTACTGTGAGAAAATTAGAGTGTTCAAAGCAGGCGTTTCGCTCGAATATATTAGCATGGAATAATAGAATAGGACGTATGGTTCTATTTTGTTGGTTTCTAGGACCGTCGTAATGATTAATAGGGACAGTCGGGGGCATCAGTATTCAATAGTCAGAGGTGAAATTCTTGGATTTATTGAAGACTAACTATTGCGAAAGCATTTGCCAAGGATGTTTTCATTAATCAAGAACGAAAGTTAGGGGATCGAAGACGATTAGATACCGTCGTAGTCTTAACCGTAAACTATGCCGACTAGGGATCGGATGGGTAGTTATTTTAGCTCATTCGGCACCTCGTGAGAAATCAAAGTTTTTAGGTTCTGGGGGGAGTATGGTCGCAAGGCTGAAACTTAAAGGAATTGACGGAAGGGCACCACCAGGAGTGGAGCCTGCGGCTTAATTTGACTCAACACGGGGAAACTCACCAGGTCCAGACACAATAAGGATTGACAGATTGAGAGCTCTTTCTTGATTTTGTGGGTGGTGGTGCATGGCCGTTCTTAGTTGGTGGAGTGATTTGTCTGCTTAATTGCGATAACGAACGAGACCTTGACCTACTAAATAGCTGGGTCAACAATTTGTTGAGTATCAGCTTCTTAGAGGGACTATCGGAGACAATTCGATGGAAGTTCGAGGCAATAACAGGTCTGTGATGCCCTTAGACGTTCTGGGCCGCACGCGCGCTACACTGACGCAGCCAGCGAGTACATAACCTTGTCCGAGAGGATTGGGTAATCTTGTTAAACTGCGTCGTGCTGGGGATAGAGCTTTGCAATTTTTGCTCTTGAACGAGGAATTCCTAGTAAGCGCAAGTCATCAGCTTGCGTTGATTACGTCCCTGCCCTTTGTACACACCGCCCGTCGTTACTACCGATTGAATGGCTTAGTGAGGCCTCCGGATGCGAATTCACTTGTGGGCAACCGCAACGAAGTCGCAGAAGCTGGACAAACTTGGTCATTTAGAGGAAGTACAAGTCGTAACAAGGTTTCCGTAGGTGAACCTGCGGAAGGATCATTATTGAGATTCATATTACACCTGTGAAACAACTAAATTGCTTGGCCGAAAGGCCAATGTAACAAAAACTATTTTACCTATTATATCTGAAAAACGAAATCAAAAGTTTCAACAACGGATCTCTTGGTTCTCGCATCGATGAAGAACGCAGCAAAGCGCGATAGTTAGTGTGAATTGCAGACGTGAATCATTGAGTTTTTGAACGCACATTGCACCTTCTGGTATTCCGGGAGGTATACTTGTGCGAGCGTCATTTCATCTTCATAAAGCAATTTATGTGTTGGGGCTGTAGCCAGCCTTGAAAAAGATGATAGAGTACATGTTAGACACAATGTGCTTTTCTATATTTTTGACCTCGTATCAAGCAAGATTACCCGCTGAACTTAAGCATATCAATAAGCGGAGGAAAAGAAACCAACAGGGATTGCCTTAGTAGCGGCGAGTGAAGCGGCAATAGCTCAAATTTGAAATCTGCCAACAGGCCGAGTTGTAATTTGAAGAAAGCAATTCTGGATGTGTCTTTGCTCAAGTTCCTTGGAACAGGACATCATGGAGGGTGAGAATCCCGTGATGCGAAGGTAGCATATCTATGTAGAATGTTTTCGACGAGTCGAGTTGTTTGGGAATGCAGCTCAAAGTGGGTGGTAAATTCCATCTAAAGCTAAATATTGGCGAGAGACCGATAGCGAACAAGTACTGTGAAGGAAAGATGAAAAGAACTTTGAAAAGAGAGTGAAAAAGTACGTGAAATTGTTGAAATGGAAGGGCTTGAGATTA